TTGAATGACTCAGTCTTCTCAGAATGTACAGAGAGGTGTGAAAAGACGTTCGATACACACTCCATCATAAACCATTATTGTTCACAGCTGAGATGCGTCTCGCACTAGGAGACACTATTTCAAACATAATCCATCAAAATGAAGGCAGGTGGATTGGACCTGAACCTGAAATCAAGTATGGGTCCATGGTTTAATATTAATCTCTCACATTTTTTCTTACTGAATTTAAAAATTGTACTCCTCGTATTATAAGCAATATCAAAAACTTAAATTCACCTAAATTGAATGTGATCAAAATTTAAGAATAATATTAAAATCAAAGTTGTCTTGAACTTAACATTGCCCAAGTGGAATCTTATAATAAGAAATGCACAGAAGGCAAATTCAATTTAATTTGACTAGTGATATCAACACATAAGTAATTAGCATTGCATCAGCAGTTATTTATGAGTAAAGCACTTGATCTTTTTGTTTTCTTGTACTGTTTTGTGGTCATTATCCTTAGCTTTACATCATATCATTTTAACTAGTTAGACGGACGGATGGACGGACATCTAGTTAAAATGATATGATGTAAAGCTAAGGATAATAACCACAAAACAGTACAAGAAAACAAAAAGATCAAGTGCTTTACTCATAAATAACTGCTGATGCAGTACATACATCATACATACATACATACATATTTACAGTAATATTTCTATATTTAGTCATGGAAATCTACAGTTCCTCCTTGTTTCAGATAAATACATCACTTCCTGTTTCCTGTCCTTGATTCTGTGGGCTAGATGGATTTGGAATTCTCCAGGGATCAAAATCATTTTTGATCTAATGCTGCAAAGATAGAAATCTGTGATTCATGGATCAGAATCCAGGGATTTGGAAATCTGGATGAAATCTAGATTTGTTTGGAAATACTGTCCCCAGAAGATGCCAGCCTGTGCTATCTGTTTTTCTTTATGATAGTTCTGTGGATTACACACATTTTGGCAGGGAACAGGTACCTAAAAGTTACCAGGCCAAGAAAGGAATCACTCAATTTTTAATTATAACTAGTTACATTACTTTCTAAAGATAGTTATAGCTCAACATTGCACCTGAGACATGCAAAGAAATGACTCACTGTCTCCTGCTGGGCTGTTGTTGTTGGATAGGGATCCCAGATCTACGACAAGTCCATCCAGACACACTGTGAGCTCACCTCCACTCACAACTGTGCCTTTGTTCTCTGTCTGCAACACTAAACTTAGCTGGATGTTCTCCACTGGGGAAAGGAACATGCAAAGACAAAAGAGGACAGACCATAATCTTAGTTTTCAAGAGCTGAACAGTACACACATTTTCTTGCATAATTCAGAGGGGACATATGATGCATGTTGCTGGTTGTTAACGTGTAACGTGTAATTGAGCAAAGTTTTTTGAGAGTTCAGAATGTCACCTGTAATTATTAAAGTAATGTGCTTCATATGCACATTCACAGCTATTATCATGTTATAATAACCTTATAGTGCCTTTCAATTTTATTTTATACATACTATGTAGTGGATTGTCCATTAACCCTGCAAGCAAATGGTTATGCCCTGAAGATAGACCAGTTGAGAACTACTGTTATATAGGCTATATCAAAAGAAGTTTGGAATAAAAGAGCTGACTAATGATGACAATATGGTATTGTTATCTGAGTCAATCAAATGTTGTTATGGGAAGGATGCAGTACTTTTGCCCTGGTGTGTGCGCAAAGTGTCCATGAGGTCAATAGTAGCACTGCCCAGCAGCTCCTTCCTCAGGGTGTGACAGCTCCACAGCTTGAGGTCCAGATGACTCTGAGGGGTCACATTTCTGTCCAACCACAAGCACATTAGAGATTAGATATACATATATACATACATTAGACATGTGCAGCGTATGTAGCACACACATAGCGTAATTAACTGTGAATAATCACTGTTGAACAACAGAAAATATAGCACTATTAATAATTCTATGCTTTCTGTAAGTCCAGTAACAATCAGCAAAGCATTTTTGCTATTGCAAAATGCATGGCTCGATTAGCATAGCAGTCAGGTAGTGCTGACTGTGTTTCTCACAGTAATGTGGTGTAATTGTGAGTAGCTCACAGCATCAGGTCTTCGTTCCACTGTAGCTCCACATGGCCACTGCGCTTGCCTGTTTTCTTGCTCTCACTGCTCAGGCCATCAGCTGTTACCTCCACAAAAGTGCTGAGACGCGAATGACGGCTGGGGAGCTTCGGAGACTGAGGCTTTGCGGACACCACTACATACAAATAGTAAATAGTCACATTTTTATACAGCACTTTTCCACCTTCAAAGCACACAAAACACTTTACATTAAGGTCTTTTCATCATCCATTCACACACAATCACTGGGGGCAAGGACAAAATGACAGCATGTGGGAGTGGGATTCGAACTGCCAACTGATTGATCAGAGGACAAACCTTCTACCAAGTGAGCTACTGTCGACCCAAGAAGTCCAGACATCCAGTCATGGAAATCTCAAGTATGTCGGAGAATAGATCAAGTACATTTTTGATTATGTATTGGGAATGTGGGTCCAGTGTTAGGATGATTATTTTATGATGAAATTCAAGACTTAACTCTAAATCAGTTAGCTTCATGGGGCTGCAACAACAAGCAATCTTTTTAGCAGTCAAAAAAATCTATAGTCAGTCTAACAGAAAAATACAGAATATTTCTAGCAAATGGCATATAGGGCATTTATAGTCTGTTTGAACTCCCAATTAAGGACTATTAAAATAGTCAAATAATTGGCAGCCAATTAGTCTTGATGATTCAGATTAATGTCGCTACTCCAATTAGACTATCATTTTGTTGGGCATAGTTTAAGACAGGGGTGTCCAAACTTTTTTCATGGAGAGCCACATATTGGAAGATAGACCATGAGGAGGGCCATAGACAAGTGATCAAAAAGAGCTTTTCTCTGAGATTTTAAAGTGTCTTCAGTCTAAGACCCTTAATATCAGGTCTGTATCACATCAAAATGATTGGTTATTTAAGTTATAGTAGTAGAGGATTTGAAACTAGCAGAAAAAGCACTTTCCTGGATAATGTGGGTCCAAGAAGAATTGGCTTGAAGGCCGCATTTGGCCCCTGGGCCACAGTTTGGTCACTCTTGGTTTAAGAGCATAAATCTGATTAAAGAAGATATGACTGCTGTGGTACAGGCTTAATGAGTGAACTTTGGTCAGCAGCAGTAAAGGTAACAACAGAGCTCTGCCTGTGGTCAGTGTACCTGTGAGGGTGAGCTGGGACTTCTCAGAGGTGTGAGCAGCTGCCATGGCATCACCGCTCTGAAACACAACAGGTCCGGCATGTGGAATTAACTTCACTGAACCTTAATTGAAAGTATCAAAAATGTTACAGAAATGACCCTTTCCTGAATAGCTTTAGAATGATCGTGACCTGTGTCACAGCAAGTACAAGCACATAGACTAGTATATGTCCATGGACTATGGAACCTACCTGGACGACTGAGGGTTTATTCAAATATAGGTGGTGTCAGGTGGTAAAATAAAAGAAAGTGCTATGATTTAATCTTGAAAATCCCATTCTATTGTCTAAACAATCATCTCGGTATCAAAATTGATACTGAGTATAGAGTAGTCTATTCCTTAGTATCAAAATCAACTTTAAAATTTTATGTCATGACAACACTAAAGGAAATTCATGTTTTAGAGTCATCAGCAGCACAATAAAAGACATTAAAAAACAAGAAAGGCACCTCATCAGCTGGGTTTGAATGACGGAGAGGCGGAGAGCCATCAACCCCTTAAATCATCCTAAAACTATAACAATGTGTCCCATTCATACACATGACACAGATCATGTGTGTAGTTCATAGTAGGACTGATGGGACTGACCTGCAGCGCTTGGTTGTTTGAAGGTTGTAGATAGATGTTGGGGATCTTCACCTTCCTTTAGATCAGTGCGAAGGAAGGTGAATCATGTGACGTACAGCCAACTCACAGTAACAACAGTCATGGGCAACGTACCAGGCATTTCCAACTAAACTCGTTTATGATACAGAGTTTATCGGATTCACGTCAATTATTTCAGTTTATTGGTGTGTGTCTTTTTTCTGTGATGCTAACCGTTAGCTCAGGCTCTGACACGGAGCTCTTCAGGGGAAGAGAGTGCTGTCCTGCACCGACAGATAACACACTCTAGTGGGCTCGGACCACAGACCAGTACCCCGAGCTTTCAGGGCACAGACGCGGTGGACATACCTTTATCAGCTGTTTTTTCTGTCGTTAGTCAACTTCCATTTCCATTTCCGCTTTAGTGAAAATACCACGTGACCAGAGCAGTTTTTTTTTCATCAGCAAAGGATTGTGGGTAGCATGGCAGCTCTACAAAACCTCTCCATAGAAATACTGTAGATCCATGGAGCTCTTCTATCCGCTCCCATGGATCTATGATCAAGACAGAGGCGCTTCTTAGTTCACAGGACTCGAATCCTAAAGATATGAGTTCTTTTTTACGGAAATTCCCTTTCATAACAGTGTCTCAGTCACTCCACACAGGCTGTAAGATATGAACTCATCCCCACCCCCATCTGTGATTTAGTTATCATTTTACTTAAGTTTACATGATTCTACATGGTGAATGCAGTCTTTGACCTTTATATTCTACAGGGTTTATTATGCATTTCTTTACAAGAGCATGGAAGACATCTCATTCACACAGATGTCAATGTAGACACATGTAAACTATGGAGCATTAGGCAACAGTAAAAAATAAGCATTATTAGAATAATTTATTTCTTAATATTCATTTGTTTTCGACACCTGCTCCACCTCTTAAATACCCATTTACAATCAATTTTAAAAATATGAAGGCAACTAGGTGTATTCAATGGGAATTTAATTATTCAAACAGTCCTGCTGTGAAATAAGGTAAACACCTAAATGAAAGGAATTGTACTTTTTCCATTAAGAAAACTATGAGACAAAGGCAACACGTAAATTCCACAGAATATTTATTTGAAAATAATTCATAAAAAAGCTACAGTAGTAAGTATGTGTGAGCTCAGTTGATGGTTAGGACATCACTCTGGATCTCATGGCTCAGCTGAGTTTGCAGATCACTCAGTTTCCTCTTCAGGACACCCAGCGCTGACATGACAATCGTCTCTGGTCGCAAAGAGCCACATGACTCCACATTGTAGAAAAACCTGCACATAAAAGCACCATTACTGCTCATTTGATTACACGAATAGCGCCCTTACTGTTCATGTTATAGTTATAGTGCTTCAACATTTACATGCTTAACACTTTCAATTCTTCTCAAATCTATCTGAAGGCCTTTCATAATAAATGCCATATCTTCTTGTTGAAGAAATGAGAAATAATTTAAAAACGTGGTATTACACTATAGGATATTATTTGCTTACACTTCAATAATCAATATTTGCTGAAAACAACATGTGAACCTGTTTAATAAGTTTCACTTTCGTTTAGGATAGCATAGAGAGCAAAGGAAAGGGGGACTCAGAATAAATCGCCTTCCTTCAGAGTGTTATTACACTCATTACAATTGGTGTACATTTCAGTTATGAAACTACTGCACATTGCACCAGATTTATAGTTGTAATGTATTGTTTTGTACCCAGCTTTTGTATATTTATGGAAAATTTCTGTCCAGGAGAATGGGTGATTTAGGCTTGTGGGTTGAGTGCGAGATAGGATCGTACAAAGTGTAAGAGGGTTCAAACATGGCCCATCAGAGATCTGTAAAACACTCAAACATGCATGGACGACATAAAAAACCTCTTCAGGCATGTTTTTGGTGAGGGAACATTATCTGTATAACTTAAGATACTAGGAGCGTATGTTATATTTACAATATGATTCATTTGGAAAAAATGTTTCCTTATCAATTACAACCTTTTCAGGCAAAATATAAGAACTTACTAACCTTTCTGGTTTTCCATTTGGATCATATGGGGCCTGAACTTCATCCTCTTCAATTTCAGAGTATTCACTCTTAGGCCTGAACAGAAAACAGTGCAAGTGCAGGGTTCAGGTAATAAAAACATTGAATAACAAACATAAGTACCTTTCAAAACAACAAAGGGCACTGTACAATAGGACACGTTAAAATAAACCAAATAAAATACAATATGGAAATGGGGACTGTATGTGCTGCCCCACTGGTCAAGTGGTGGTTAAAGTGTTTAAAGCAATAAAGCATACTCACTCTTTTCTCCCAGGACGTTTTTCCTGTCATTATGATTAAGTATAGTTACAAGTATACATATTAAGATGAAAAACGATCCACAAATCTGTGTGATGTCATCGCACATATTGAGATGAGCTATTGTATGGGAGCACACAGTCTTGTTTTTGCTTCATTAGATGCACTCAAAATGGATTATGCCTCCTCATACCTGTAGCTCAGTGAGTCTTTTTAAAAACTAAAAAATGCAGCTTGTTATGGATTACTAATAATGAGTGTATATAAATGCACATCAGTATCCCGGTTATGATCAGATTTTATGAGTATCCCAGTTTCGTCATGGTGCACCTACCTCAAATACTGCCATTTGTCTTGTATAATGTCTTAATATAAAAGGAACTGTTTATAAGATTTTGATTTTAAATTCCACAAACATGACTCGTGTCCCCACTCCAAATGAGGTAAACATGTTTAAATCAAACATAAGTTTTACTGATAACAATTGTAATGTCATTGTTACAAAAACACTGAATATGATGTTCCAATTATTTGGTGTTTTGGTTCTTAAGTCTCACATGAGTTTCTTTTTTGGGTTGTCAGTTTTAATGCTGAAATCCAGTTGGTTTAAACCTAAAAGGATCCTCTCCAATTTGAATCGTCACTACTTAAATTTCGGCACCTGCAGCCAGTCATAAACCAGTGCCCCTCCTACTCCAGTATATGTTGTCCATATACTGAGAATGAGGAAAACCTGTACTTCTATAGGATAATAACTGCTAGCACATGACCTATTTAAACTATAGTTTTAAAAATGCTATATTTCACCAAAAACAACATATTAACATATGATAAAAGTTTTGCTTTTTTGACTTTCCCTTAGCTCCCTTCAGAGCACTATCACGACAACACAATGAAACTACTGCACTTCTCATCAGGTTTGTCAAGTTGTTGTGTACAGTTTTGTGTTACATTTTTGTATATTTAAGGAGAATTGTCTTACAGCTAACCATAAAAAAAACTTTTAAGCCATGTTGTTGAAGAGGTAACAATGTTATAACATGGTATAAAACCCAAAAGAAATGAAAAATTATACCTCCTCTTTAAGGCACTGGCAGCCCAAGTTCATGAAGAACTTAAAAATATTGTAGGAGGCTACATCCAGTTCCTTTAAGTAGTGCAAATAAAAATAGTTATAAAGTATAAGATATAAATAAACCTTCCAGCTCAATTTAAGAAACAGAATCAATACCATTCCTCAGGCCTGGGGTAGACTGTGTGCCTCAGTGCGTTGTCTGGGTCATACTCAAACGACACTCCAGCTGTTGGGTTCCATTTGGCGTGTTCTTTACCAAAGCCTTTCTTGGCGTAAGCCCTGAGTCGCAGCTCTTGACCTTTGCGGAGCTTCACCACCAAAATGTCTGACAGAAACAATGTATGCAGAGGAGGCAAAAACAGTTTAGAAAAAAAGACTATTCTTTATAGTTTTTAAACACCATATTTTATACAAGTAATTATATGAAACTTTTTTTGCTTTGATTGCTCCCATTACATGATGTGAAAAACTTTCAAATCTGTTTTGACATTCACTGGTTTATTAAATTTTTTCATAATTTTTTTAATATTTTTGAGGAATTTTTTTTATTGAATAATTATATTATAACTCTTTGTTTGAATAAAAAAGCTCCATTCAGTTGTAGACTAAGTAGCTTACCATCCTGTTCTACATAGTCATTGGGGTCATTGTCCCGACTCCTAGAGGTCACCTGACAGGAGAAACAAACACAAAATTTTAGTTTAATGGACTTGTAGACTGGGGTTACATTTGAGCAGAAATTGCCTTTGAAACACTAGAACAAGCTGATAGTTAACTTTTGGAGGGTTACACTTTAACATGATTGCACTGCAGGCACTCACAGGGATGACTCGAGGGTTGTTGGACAGAAGATCTCGTGATGTAACATGCCGCGTCTGGTCCTCTGTGCAGCGAACATCTAAAGTCAGCTCTACTGAACACTCAGGGCAGAAGTCCTCACATGTGCAGTCCTGTGGCACACACGTAAATTCATGTCATAGTCTTGTATTGAATGAATTTAAAACCCATTACTGTACACTCCATTAAAAGTAGGCTGGCGATCGCCATCTGTCAGAAGAGAACAACACAGTATAAAATGTACTTATAAGGAACTACTTAATAGACTGCCTGAATATCTCACTTGGAGTTTGTGAACTCACAAGAATTCCATCTTGCTGTGCAAGATACTACTGCATTTTAATAATCTGATGATAGGCAGCTGCATTTATAATCCCACCTGTACCTGTTTTTAATGTTGTAAATGGACCTATGCAGTTGTTTGTTTTGTCTCTACTGCATTGTAATAGGGCACCCATCAAAAAGAGAGTCTGGTATCCCCGTGTATTTAAAAAAAAAAAAAAAGAAATTAAAGATAAATGAATTCTTCCTGGAGGAAAGCAAAACCACCAGAAAATTCACCAGAAAATATTTTACATGTATTTTTAAAGCTAAAAATGAAAGTTAATTATACTTGCCCTTGAATAGTGCAGTTTATCCACTATATCATCACTGGTTAGAGGGATTAGACCTGTCAGCACACGTGAGACACAGGGTTCAGTAAAAACCACAGACTTTACAGTCTATGGTAAAAACACTGCACTAAATATACACTAAAAATCGTTTAACATGCATTATCTAGAATACTCACCGACTCTATGAGCAATGAACTCATCATGAAGCACGGAAGAATTGGCATCAATCTGGATCCAGTCAATAGCTTCAAATATTAGAAAATAAGCAGAATAAATATCACGAGGTATAGTTTGGATAATTCTTGAACATTACGGCAAACATCAATACCTATAGTGGCGACTTCTGACATGAAAACCCGACGGATAGAGTTTGCAACCCTGTAAAATATCAAACTTTGTTATTGAACGCAGTTAGGACAGTGCAAATATAGTTCATAAGGATTAGCAGCAAAAATAAATAAGTAGCAAGGATACACGGTATACATGCCCACATGTATCTGTATGGGCTAACTTGCTAGAAAAAAGTATAAATGTATGAATGTTTAACACTACCCAAATAAACCGTTTCGTCTGAGGTCTCAAGACTCAGTGTACTGATGTTATGTTCTCTAGCATCGCTTAGCATCTTTTCTCCTTTCTCTTTCCTCTCCGCTTTCTTCCTCTCTGTCCCCGTCTCTCTCTCTCTCCTTTAGTCTTTCTTATTACACAATAGGAAAAACTAAATATATAAAACCAATAAAAATGTCCCCAAAAAAGAAAATTAGTAGTGAGGATAGCTCTAGTTGTAGCTTTTGTTGATACAACGTCGATCAGTAAGCGAACAATGAACTTACGCCAAATCGGTGTTCTCAATGACAAATTTCACATTTTCGTCGGTAAGTTCCGTGATTTTTACTGTTGGTTGGTTAGCATACGGCATCGTTAAAGTCTTGTTTTACACTGGGCAGGCTATCTCTATATTTCTACGATGCTTCTGCACCATGTTCTGCGCTTACGCCGCGAAAACACTTCCTCTTTTCTCACCACCGCTGCTTGTTCGTGCTTGTGATTGGCTGCAGCCACAAAGGAAGATGAGCTCTGGGGTTTGTGATTGGCTATGTCGCTAAACGAAGGCGGGCTCTGGGGTTTGTGACGTTTGTGTGTGTGTTTGTATTTGCATTTTTAATTTAAGATTGACAAAAAATACAAGCATTACAGTATGTTAAACATAGGATGGGCATTTTCATACACATGAAAATGAAATTTACATAAGTTATTTAAAAAAAAAAAAGACATTGTTTTGGGGTCCATTCAAATAAAAATAATTTAAAAAGAAAGAAATTCAGATATTTTTCAGAGAGGGTGGATAGGTTAAGTGTTAACCTAACCTGTTTTGCTGAGAAGCCCATTTGTTCAAATATCTCCACAAATGCTGACTGATAACATTGCATTTTTCATTTTCGATTAGAACTAGACCCTAGAACATGCAATATTTTAAGAAAAATCTGCATTTAAACATTACCATATATATTTTTTAAATAAATGCATATTGTACTATTTGAATAAATAAATCAATCATGATCAACACATGTAGCTAATGTAGTTTATTTACAAGTAGTTACTTAAGTTTTAATATATTACACAAGTTTCATACTGTCGTTTACAAGCCTCAGGAATCGCAGCTGTAGATGGGCAAGAAGAGGCTTTATGAGAGTGATTCATTTGAAACCAACCACATGATGCATAACAATTTGATCTGAGGTGATCCTTCACAATCTCAAGTGACAGATGTTCCAATTAGCACAGTTTCATCTCCTCTGGTTTATCCCAGTCAGGTTCTTCAACTGTCACATTGAAAACAAACAAAAATAATAATATTACCATCAGTGTCACAATATAAGGGGGGTATTTTACTTGTATGGGACATTAGCATATTTAGATCATCATGTTACCTTTTGCTTTGAAAATGCTATATTTACTAAAAACAAAAAAATAACATCTCTTTGCTCCTTACGCAAAATCACTCCTTCAGAGTACTATTACATCATAATGAGTGTGTGTCCCACTAATGAAACTACTGCACATCACATTTGTTTTGTAAAGTTGCGGTGTACAGTTTAATATCATGTTCTTTTATAGATGGAGAATTGTCATGTGGGAGCATGGGTAATATAGGCTTGTGGGTTGAGCATTGCACAGAATCTTACAGCTAACTACAAGGAGCGATGGAATAGGGTACGGGAGAGGTCATGAAATTACTGAAACATGCATGGATGACATCTAAAACCTTTTCAGTCATGTTTTTGATGAGGGGACAATGTTATACAAAGTAAACAAAAAATGTTAAACAATAACTTCAGCAACACAATTTTAAATCTGACATACCGTTACAGCTGCTCCGACAAGCCCTTGTACAACTGCTTCACCTGTCGACTGCACCTGAATAATTTTTACATATTTTAAAACGTTGTCATGATGAACAAATTTCACTTCAATGTTCACATCTATAATCATAACTTCAAGTAAATGGTCACATAGGTATATAGCACTGGTCTATATTCATTAGGCACTCAAAACTATTCATTTATACAACTTTTAAGTTTAGCCATGGAAACTTCCCTTCCAAGAGAATAATTACATCTAAGTAAAATATATATTTGAAAACTACCAACATAGAAATTGACAAATTCAATTGCTCCTGGATCAAACAGGACAAACATATCCAGGGACATATGCATCACAATATATAATTGATTTGTTCAAGCTCCACCTTCTTGTCCTATTGTTTCCTCTATTTGTCTTGTAAATGTATTTATTCTTGTTGTAAAATACAATAAAAAAGAAATTACTAATACCTATACCAGTTAGTGTCATGTTAAGTGTAGTGCCCAAGGACACAGAGCCGCCATATACAAGCGGAGTTGTGCTCTGTACCTGCTTAGCTGTGCTGGCCATGTTCACTACATCTTGTATGCGATTGTGGAGAAAGTCCCAGGTCTCTTGAAAATCAGGAGAAGAATCTTGCACCATCACCAGTTCAGTGGTGTTGTAGATGCCTGTTAGCGCAGCCCTCTTTGTGTACCAATTCATCTAAAGGGAAAAAAGCAAACAACAAAAAACAGATTGGAAATAAACTGACTTTATGAATTAAAATGTCAATTAATTTATTATATGACTCATGATGGTGAAGATTGGTTGCTTTTGCCAGTCTGCCCCAGGGCAGCTGTGGCTACAGTAGTCTTGTATATGATTGTATAATGTAGCAAATTGCTGGCTGTGACTGATGACTTGTTGGTTCATGGAGCTTTTTTTTGTTTTGTTTTGTTTTCAGTAGTTTTGTATCAACAACAAAACAATTTTGAGCAAGATATAACAAAACCATGGGACTATCTCTGTGGTCATTGCACCCAGGGTAAAAAGGGGTATATTAAAAGTCAAAGTAAAATGGACTGAGAGTGGCACTCACATCTGTGGAGCGATCCCCTGCATAGTACCATATGTCATCCACTAGTGAAGACAGAAGCTTCAGACCCTCAGGGATGTTCTGAGGCAGCAGCAGGAGACTCATAGCCTAAACAACATAAAGCATTTTCACATAAGCAATTCATTTTAAATGCAGCTATTACAGGAAAACTATTTATAACATATGTGTGTGCAAGGAGCACTAGGATTAAAAAGTTAACGTACCGTATTTTCTGTACTATTAGGCGCTCTGGATTATAAGGAGCACTCTCATAGTATGGTCTATTTTCGAACTTTTTTCACAAATAAACCGCACCGGACTTTAAACGAAACACAACAGTTGGATGGGTCAGTTGGACGGGTCAGTCGGACTTTGTTTGGCGCGTTCACGGTGACTCTCGGCTTTGTTCAATTGTGGCACAAAGGGAGGGTGCTGTCTGGGACTGCTGGATTGTTGGCGTGTTCGCAGTGACTTAGTTGTTCAGTTGTGTCTAGAAGTGGCACATTGCACTCGCTTTTTCAGTTCGTTCCTCTGTTCAATTCCTCGTCCGCGTAGAGTGATGAGTGTGGGTGCAGGTGTTTTTCGCTGTGCAGTCACTGTCTGCTCTGTGCGTGTTTGCGTGTGCTACAGCTGGTGTGGCTTTGTAGTTTACTGAAGTCATGCTAGGACGCTCTGGATTCGGGGTGCGCAGTCGTTTTTTGATGAGGTTGGAGGCTTAAGGGAGCGCCCAATAGCCCGGAAAATACGGTAGTTAGGTTACAGGGTCTTGAAATCACCATTCAGCAATTTAATCCTCATTTCAGTAGTTACAATATATATTTCCTTCATTTCCATAATAAGACGCAGACAAAGTATTCTAACTTTGAGAATGCCTTATCAATATCACTGACTTTGAACAGTATGTCAGCTGTCAACAGAACACATATAACACACACAAAACGCTGTACCTGGGGCCATGTGTCAATGTAAGGTGCATACATCCTTAATCTGGTCTCCACAGCATCTTTCAGAAAGTCTGCAGTCTTCTTTGGTCTGAAACAAGAACAGGGCTGGACTCAAATCAACAATTTATGCTAATCTTGAATCTTTACCTCATGCAGTTCATTAAACCTAGTGGAAAGCTTTGAAGTACTACACATAGGCAGTCTTGCACCAACAATGTTAACGTTTAAAGTCACATTAGGGATAATTTCAGTTTGGTGAACTTTTTTTACGGGGTTTGACTGAAATTAAATTAGCACGAACCTGAGGCTGAAGTTAAACCTTGTTGGTCACATCTAAAAAGGGTTCAGATTAGGGATGGGCATTCGATGAAATTTTCTTAATCGATCGTCGGAAGAATTAACGATCGATTATTGATTAATCATTAACGTTTTTATATTAAAATGATCATCATTATTATTACTATCTGCACTACTAATGTGCATAAATAAATTCAACTTTACGACATATAAACCGTAATGACTCTAGAGCCACATCAATCCGTTTGAAATTATAATGTGTTTAATGCAGTTTTGCGCAACTCTCACAGAAACGAAACTTAAAACCGCATCGCTAATTTGCATAAATTAAGCGAAGAAATAAAACAGCTCTTGTGTCGCTGATGCGGTCAACTTCTGTCAGATTAAAAGACATGATTCAGTGGAATACAGGTTAGTGTGACCAGATTTGCCCGTACGTAGGGACTCGTCATCGACCTTGCGCGACTCTCACCTGGCAAAACTTTTTCCCACTGGACACCGAAACATATGTGTTGCTTTATACACTGTGCACATGGACTCACACTTGTCCCGAACGTAACGGTAAGCGTGGAATTTCTTGTACAAATCATCGTTAAATACGTATTTGTGCTTCGGTACGCTGCAGACTGACCGACTGTTTGTGTTTGCTCGCTCCTTCTGAGTGCAGAGAGACACATGTACGGACCTGTTTGGTCACGCTACGCACAGCAAACTGCATTCGGTTTGTTGATTAAAATTAACGTAATCGATGAAATTCTTAATGATCAATTATCGATTAATCGATTAATCATGCCCATCCCTAGTTCAGATAGAGAGTGCTCACTCTGCCTGGCCTAGTTGGACCTGCTTCTGTTGTTCTGCGAGGATCTGAATGAGCTGGGAGTTGCAGTGGGCAATGAAATGAAGCACCAGGTCTCCGGCTCCGGTGAACATGCCTGTGGAAGCAGAGGATAGGCCCAGGCTCTGGAAAAAAAAAAAACACATTCAGATGTTGGCCCTGCTTACAGATATCATGATCCTAATTAGTCTTATACAGACCTCTGCCCCAGCTGCAATGGCCTCCATAGACCAGCCATGCACAGGTACAAACTGGAGCGCTGCAATCAGGATTCTTGCCTGCAGCTGTTCCTCAGTCTCATACTCCTCATCCTGCTCTCCACTCTGTTCCTGGAAACTAGAAAAGAACAAAAGGTCAGCATCGTCATTTTACATTAAAGGACAATTAATGTACATTAATGGGTCTTTATATTTGCTTTAAAGGCTTTTTAACCTAACTTAACCTAACCTAACTGAAAGGTAGACTAAATAATAGGAGGGGTGGGTGTGGAATAGTCACATTATCATATACCACAGACTTTGGGCGGCTGCCCTCTGGACATAGGCTCCACCCCCACTTGCATGACTCAAAGCAGAACACAGGACCATCCAGCTCTCAAACTCTAAACAGCAAAAGATGCTTCCACCGGTTTGTACATGTTCAGCACAAATGAATGATCCTGTATTGTCCTTTTAATGGTGAATGTTTGTTTTTAAGGTCTGCAGTTTGAATTGCCACGCTGGAACAAATAAAGTTATTTGATCATTTGATTTAGCAAGCTTGGATTAGCAACCATGGCAAGCAAGGGGAAAAAGCAGTCAGCAGTCAATAGGAAAGCATGGCATGACTGGAGTAGAGGTGCAAATAATTAAGTTAGGACAATGTAAAACAACCACTGTGTACTGAAGTGTAAATATAAAGGCATGGTAACCTCATCTCAAGTTGGACTTATTGCAAATGCGTGACAACGGGGCCTCAAAAGCTAGGGGTGTCAAATTATCGCGTTAATTGCGATTAATTAATTACAGTCATATTTAGCGCGTTATGTTTTTTAATCGCGTTAATCTCATTTTTAATCTCTAACTTTACTGTTTCTGTATGCGAGTTGCTTTATTATAAAACCTGTTTTTATGTGTTGTTGGGACAACAACAACACACACACACAAAAAACACATTTATAAATTTTTTTTATTTCGGTAATTCCACTCATTGCCGGAAACCCACACAAAACACGCGCAGTAAGAGCGACGTAAACATCATGTTAACGTTAGTCAGTCGCACAATGGACGAGGTCGAAGAGCCAGTAGAACAGAGTCAGCAGTGCACAGGTAAAAACACATTCGTGTCTTGGAAATTCTTCTCCCGACGTGAAATATAAAAGAAAATAACAAATATAATATCGCCTACAACTTAAATGTCACTGGTGAAAACAACCTGCATAGGCTCATGTCTGCACTACTGTCCTATACACAAACACACACAAACACACACCTTCATCATCGTCATTAACCTGAGAACGCGCGGACCACGTTTCCTTCCGTAGTTACTGCGCGGACACCGACGTGCTCCCGTGCACCGCGTGTGGATCGTGTTTTCTCGCGTACGCTGCGTAAACCGCGCTTCCTCCTGTGCGCCTCTAAACCAGAACTAACACCAAGACTAAAACCAGGACTAATCCATTCCAGGACTAAACCAGAACTAAAACCAGAACTAAAACCAGAACTAAAACCAGGTCTAAACCAGGTCTAAACCAGGACTAAACCAGGACTAAAACCAGGATTAATCCATTCCAGGACTAAACTAGGACTAAAGTAGGACTAAAGCAGGTCTAAACCAGGACTAAAACAAGGACTAAAACCAGTGATCTCATATATAAAGAATTTCTCTATCAATAATATTTTTTATATGGTTAAGGAAAGACTGGACTTTTTATTGTCTTTAAGTAGACAAAAGTTATTATGTTCAGATTTCCTCATCTTTACTTTACAGCAAACAGTTTCTTATTCATGGAGACTTGGGCTCAACAGCCAATTTGGAGAGATTTGTTAAACAATAAATGACTTTATAAAGTCACTTTTTTTTAATCTATATCAGTCTTTTGATCTGCCACAATAATGTAATAATGAATTTAAATGAAAATACCTCAAATTGAAGGCTTTTCTCAGCAATTTTTAGGTGAGATTAAAATGAGATTAATTAATTACAGATCATAATTAATTAATCTCTCAGTTTTTTTAATCGCATGACAGCACTAATTCTCACAGCAATTGCTCACAGCTAACTTGAATGGTAGTATATTCTTATATTCCAGCAGCAGATAGCTCCATAACTTAAGCACTTGTAGTGGAATTTGTGTGCTAAACTAAACAGAGCCAAAGTGGCTACAGGTGCTACAGCCAATAACTTAAATCCTCGCTATCATTCCTATGGATAGCTTTCCATCCAAATGCTTCAGAAGAGTGGAATATACCTCTGTGATGCCCAGGTTAGGCATATTTTTAATTTTATTCCATTTGTTTTCTCACACCACCTCATTTTCTGTACTTTAACAGTACATTCAGAGGTCAAAGGTCAAATCTGTGGTAATGGCTGTATTTGATAAATATTAACTCAACATATGGTAACACAAACACACCCTTGGAGGTACACTAATGATATACAGAAGAGGGAAAACATATAAATTATAAATCCATTTTCCTCAGTTTAACTGTCAACACAGGTACTGTGTTTTTTATTTGCAGGGCAGTATGGCCAACAGTGAGAATAGAACCAAAGTTTGAAATGGCCTTATGTCAAAGCCCGGAATCAAATCACAAATTAATTTTTGTTGTTATTCTGTATTACCTGCTGCTGGGCCTGTGGCCCTCGTCTGAGGTTTGCTCTGAGACAGCATCCTCCGGTGGAGCCTGTTGGAAGTCATGGTGCACATGATGGGTGGCACTGGCTGTGGCAGAGGCTGCTTTGTCACATTTAGATTCATCCTGCAGTCTCAGAACTGCACCATGGAACATGCACTTCTGGTCACAGTGTGGAGCTAAAACTGTTCATACAACATCAAATAATAGAGAATAAGAACCAAGGTAATGTAAGGTAAGAACATCAGATTATCTAATCAAAAGTATCACCATGATAAAAGTAAGTGTAAAAGAAAATGACCAGTGCTACTTATGATTAGGCATACCATTCACGTATAGGCATGCTGTATATATAAATTATTACAATTACAGAGTCTGACATTTGTCTGCCACCAAATGATGAATGACGGAATCACGTTGTTTTGATGATTCATTGCCATAATAACTAACACGTATACGTGTAGTAGGCATTCTGTTAGGTCAGCATGGTTCCAATCAATTTTACAACAATAAGATATCAACCTCCAAGAGGTCCTCTAGCCCCCCACTCATATAGACCTATGGCACTGACTGCGGAATGTCATAAGTTTGCATTATTCCACGATGCCCTTCATTATCACCTTTTGCTGCCAGTGCTACATTTAAGTCAATGTCTGTGTAAACTGCACTACAAGGGCACGTTTTCTGCGCAGTGTCTACACGTTATCACAAGTACAGACAGTAGTTCCTTCGTACCTCTGGGCAGTACCCGGAGTGCCCTTCCAGCTCCGTGTCCTGCTCTCAAAGCTCGGACCAGTGCCGCCATGACAGCTGCTCTACCGCCTCTGCGTCTTTACTGCGCAGCCCTGTGCGCAGCGTGCATTTGCGCATGCCAAATACAAACCTACCCAACGAACAAGGTTGTGATTCCATGCAGTCATCAGTCAACGCATTTTGTATGTTGAATATATTTAAAATATCTCTTTACAGCAGCCGGTGTTACGGCTCTTGCCAATTAAAAGATTTCTGTTCTTAAGATTTGGATTTATTTTGAAAATCTCCACCGGAAAGCGATTTCTCTATTTAGGTTGGATAACACGGATGCGCACACTGAGGTCGAGCTGATGGACGCGTGTGAAGGTACTGTTTTATGTCCAGTGTTTGAACAGTTGTTATAAACAGTTATACTCGTGAACGCTTGATTATATGTCCGTGTAGCTAAAGGGCCGGACACCGGGTCTAAGGACAGGTGACGCCAGGCTGAACATGAGCTGACCTGACCTGACCGGTTCCATGGTTCATCTGCGTCACGTCAGTTCATTAGAAAACTACTCGTATCATAAAACTAAAGTTTATTTCCATTTTGGCTAGAACAAGGAACAATAGCTATCCTAATGCTGTAGACTGTAGGGGTAATTTTGTCTAAGAACATGGTCAGTCAGCCCCACTTTGACCATAGCTCTGAATTATTGCACACTGCTCTTATGTTCCTATAACCTCGGTATAAGACAAATTTCCTTCAGATATGATGATCAGCGTCCAGAGATGGACTCAGTTAAACATACCTAAGCCTGTAATCTACTTTATTACATATTTTTACAATTGGACCCACTGTCACTGGTTACAAACAGATGGACCAACTGAACTGAACGTACTGTGATATTTGGTGTATTATTTGTGATATTGTTTGACGATGAAGTCCCGAAAGGCTGATCTATGTTATAATGTTGTCTCGTCATTACAGACATACTCGGCGTTGTGTTTTGTTTCATTCACACATGTTAAACACACAAATCTTGCATATAGTCATTCTCATAAACTGAAAACACTGTTCCACCTTGTGATGTCATGTGGTAGTACAGGAGGTGTTCTACTGTGTCTTTACACTTCATACACCTTCACTTGAATCATTTGGGTGATTTCATCCCAAGAATAGCCAATCTCTGCTGAAGAAAAGGTAAAAGGTAGCTGTTAACTTGAAAACTACAGCTTCATGACATAATTACAAGAGTGTTTCCAGTTTTACAGATGTAGACAGGCTAATAATAAGTAACTCAGATATGTATGAATGAAACAAAGCATAACTCCAGGTATGTTTTTGAGGAGGTAACAATATTCCAACATGTTTTAAAGGTTTAAAGGTCAATTTTGTGTAATATAGGACCTTTAATTACTGTTAGTACTCTCTAAAGATCTGTTTGAAAGAAACCACTTTAAGCTTTGAATTTGTTTTTCAATTCTGGATACAAGCAAGTGCTACATGGACTAGCTCCACCTTCCATGTCAGACTTTTGTCACCCCTCTCAAAGGTGTGAGGTCCAGAGTAGTGTGACCAGGCGTCCCTATTTAGACTCAGACTTAGATATTTACCTGGAACAGCCCCCGTCTCAGAAGATTTACCCAAAACCAATGATTTGTCCTAGATTTATACAAAAAAATGTGTCAGCCAGGTGTTCATGTTTTTGACCCATTTGATATCTGCCAAAAGAAAATAGGGGAATATACTGTAACTCGAGGGCCAGTCACATCTGAAACAGACTACCTGTCCACATAAGGATGTGCCCCGTACTGCTCAGCTTTAAAACTCAACTTAAACTGTGGCTGATAGCATACCAGTCAAGTGGTCATTAGAAAAAAACACTTTTTAAACTTTCCTTGTGTGTACAAACTTTCTATGGGTATGCTGTTTGTGTTTTGTCCCCTGCCTACTAGGGACTACAGATATAAATTAGCTTGGTAGCTAAGCTAGTTTTGTTCCAATACAAGTAAGCAAACAAACAAACAAACCAAAAGATAATTTTTTGTGGTATCATTTTGATGAAGCATTTACCCTACTGACAGCACTATTACATGTTTACCTGTTTATTTTATTGCACAACAGGTTGTAATTTGTTTTATTCACATAACTTTGAATTTTTTGTGGCTCTGCTGCTGTCTCTTATTTGTTGAGAATTAATTGCAATTTATTGTTCAGATTTTTTAATGAATGAGCCCAGCAATAATAATTCTACTATTTTGTAGTCCCTTTTTAAAACCACCTGATGGTGATATATTGCATAAACACTGCAATATATGGCAGTGTTTATGCAATATATATGTCTAATGTCACCCTCTGTCACATGCCCGATGCTGTACTGTCCAGTGCTGCAACACAGAGTTCAAGAACAGCAGGAGATTTTTTTATTCAAAATAGAGTTAAATCTAACTATATAACTAGAATATTAGAATACACATTTGAATAGTTATGACACATAAAGGTGTAAAAGTAATAAAATATAGCATAAATGCATAAACACAATGATTTCTTTTCTCTGCAGCAAATGTGTCGGATGTTGGCCTTAAATCTGGGGACAGGGTGCTGTTGGTGTGGACACAGCCTTCAGACCCAGAAGTCTTGAAGAAGATGGCAGCTGACGTGCAGGCCATTGTCGGCACCCAGGGAAAAGTGTCAGTGGAAAATGCAGAAAAACTGCTTTTATGTGAGTCAGTTGAGTAAAATGAATTAGTTGTACCAGGGCTAATTAGTCAGGTTTCAAATTACATGATTGTGATTTGATTTCATAATTAAACAGATCTGTATAGTTTGACTGCTTTCCCTGCCCTGTTTAGCTTCTCATGTGGCGTCATCTTTTGACTGGGTGCTCTCATTTTCACTGTCGGATACCTCTTCCAGCCACAGTGTAGAGGGCCTCTCGGAGATGGCCCGAGCGCTTAGGCCTGGCGGAAAACTACTTCTAGAGGAGCCTGTGACAAGTAAATAACTGAAAACATTTCTCTCTAGGAGGTTTCTGGTTTGGATTAACTTATACTGTTGATATTAGGTTCAGAAAGGGAGAAGCTGGAGTCGGATCTCAAATTGTCGGGCTTTGTTTCAGTCACAGAGGTCAGTGTGGGCACAATGGGAAGGAATATTAACGTGAAATTCTCTTCTAGAATGTTTGGCACATCTTTGGGAAAGATTAATTTTGTCTTCAGTTTTAAACAATTGACAATTCTTTTTGTCAAAGAGAAGAATTTGTTTACCGGCTTTACATGTTTTAGCTACTTCCCCGAGCCTTCCTCAGAAGCGTCATGTGATGGTGTTTTGATGTGTCTTATCTACGGGATTCTTCTGCATCCCTTGTGAATGTGACAGAATACCACCAGTTCACAAATGTGATGTAATATACAGACAAATGAGCAATTAAAGAATAAGAACCACAAATCAAATGAGCCTACACATCGCTACATGTCACTACACCATCACGTGACCCTTCTGAAGAAGATACTGGAAGGCTCTGAAACATGTAAAGCAGGTAAACAAACTCTCCAGTTTGACTAAAATAATTGCTTATTCTAACATGCACTCTTTATCCGCTGCAAAGTTTGAGTCTTAAAATGGCTCAAGGCAAAACACTGCAGTGCACTTCATATATATTTTTATATTTTGGGTCCGAACTTATTATTCCAAACTGCATATATTGACATACAATTAGGACTATTTTAGTTCTACATGCTGTACATAGGCCCTGAAAAAAAGTTTGATTGTGGAAACCTTTATGCTTAGAACAAATAATCCAGCCTGTTGTTGTTTGTCCAGGAGAGTCCAGCACAGGGAGCTCTCGGGACAAATGGACTGCGGAGGACACGCTTGTCTGCTTCAAAACCTAACTTTGAGGTGGGCTCTTCAAGCCAGATCAAATTGTCATTTGGAAAAACAACAAAGAGGCCTGGTATGACTCTATAGTTATAAACTCCTTGTGTTTTTGGTTTGTTGTGTATGAAGTATGTTTGCAATATATGATTTTTCAGAAAAAGCTGCTCTGGATTCCAACACTGCCAAGATGTGGACGCTGTCTGCCAATGATATGGCAGATGATGATGTGGTGAGTTTCAACACTGACACTTGTGGAATGAAGCATTACAATCACAGGGTCCACAGGTCACACTCAGTGGCACTCTTTGCAGGATCTATTAGATTCTGATGCTTTGCTGGATGAAGAGGATCTAAAGAAGCCAGAGCCTGCATCACTCAAAGCGGCCAGCTGTGGACAGGGAACAAGCAAGAAGAAGGCCTGCAAGAACTGGTGAGGAGGCTAGTTTTCCAGGAGTGTCTATCAATTCATAGACAGGAATAGTACAATAATCTTAAACTACTGTTTATATAAATGGCAATTTGCAAGGGAGGTTTTGATGTTACTATAATTTGCTTTGTCTGTCTGTTAGCACGTGTGGACTGGCTGAGGAGCTAGAGCAGGAAAGCAAGGGAAAACAGAGCAATAATCTACCAAAATCTGCCTGTGGAAGTGTAAGTATATGAGCCCATCTAATAATATATTGATTGTAGCAAAAAGACTTGAGAGTTTGTTTAACAAAATGTGTTCTTTTTTTTTTCCCCTCCCTTTATTGTTCCCACATCAGTGCTACCTTGGAGATGCCTTCCGCTGTGCAAGTTGCCCATATTTGGGCATGCCAGCTTTCAAACCAGGAGAGAAAATCCTGCTGGATAGCAACATTCTCACGGATGCTTAAATAGCTTCTTCCAAACCCTGCATTCCTTTTCTGTTTTCAAAACTCTTGACTTTGTGAAATATCAATATGTCCATTAAACAATTAAGTGGAATAATTGTGTCCTTTTGTCCTGTCAATATTGATGAATTGCAAAAGACACTCAAAACTACTTTTACAGCTGTATTTAATAGTGCACATCTAAAGTATACCTTTACAATTATAATAGACATTAGAATTCAAATTTGATTAATTTTGCATCATATGTTTAACTGTTAAATCTACTAGAACTACTTGGACAGGGGTGGGGCGTTACCAGTAAACCCTAATAAAAATCAGAACCTCATTGTATTCCATATTACAGACAGATTATATCCATAAAAAATATATGTAATTAACAAATGTGTCCAAATCATAGGACTATCAAATAAAAATGATCATTAAAAAGAACTGATGTGTCATCTACCATGATATCATTTACCTGGCTCTGGCAACAACAGGGAACCTATAAATGTGGGACATTGGTCTGGACCTGCCATAAAGTTTACTAAAGCTCTTTCATCCCATAGGGTTAGGGCATAGGTTGTAAATGAACAAGTAGTGAGCATTGGCATTATTTGGCTCCATTGGCTCTAATTCATTGTTTATTGAAAAAAAACATGGCCACTCTCTGTACCTGCAGCTGTCAGGCTAATCATTTTGGTCTTAAAATGTTGGTTTTAACCTGCCCTACAAAACACAACCCCAGCTATGTTTGTGATGAGGAAACGGCATTATAACATAGTTCCGAAAATTCTGTAATATGGGTGCTTTAAATAACCATCAGTGGTTCATAAAAGTTTAAACATGGCTCCACATGAAGCATCTGTAAAATGAGATGACAATAACATTGGTTTGTTTTGCATAATTATCTGTTTAGGGTTCAGTAAAGCTTCAATAATAAAGATTTTACTCCCAATGTGAGCGCCTGTTGTCTTCACTCTAAAACTTGGTCCAGTTGACAGGACTAAATGTTTCTTTTGTTATGGATCATACCTGGACAACTGAGGGATTACACAGAGCCTTTAGTGTTGTCATTTTGGTTCAAAATAGAAAATCTTCATCGACAAGACACAGACTCATTTCTAAGGTGGTTTTCACATATGTTTCTGCACTCTGGATCAAATCCAGAGGCACTAGATTAGAGCTGTTTACTTTTGATTCGGTTTTGTCCAATGCACTGTGCATCATTCACCTCAAACACCATGAACCATGTGAAAGGACATCAGTTGATCGACAAACTTGTTTCACATGAGAACATCCAAAATTTAATACTGAATGAATGAATATTGTTAAAATGTTACTTTTATATCTTTTTTTTTTTTTTTTTGTATTATGGCAAGTTGAAAGGTCTAGTCACTAATAGAACTGATTAAGACAAACATTTGTGGATCTACTTTTTAGATATATCATGACAAAGAACAATGTAATGTAATCAATAGAGAAAACTGTCTCTTGTCCCCATCTGGGAGTGTGACATCATCACATTCTTTTCCTTCACCTGTGGTGATATTAAGCTCTAAATTTCCTTGTCAGATGACCATGTCAAAGAGCAACTCTGCATTGCTCATTCATACAAATATATATGATCCCAACATTTTTTTAAAAACTTAATTCCACTTTTACTGTGACCGTGGACTGCTGCAGAGAGAGAGGAGCTGCTCCTGTCTCAAGCATGCTTGAGGTGATAAATCAGACTCAAACTCAGACACTCCAGTCCCCGGTTCAGCCTTTTCTCCTTGTGAAAGTGAAACCATCAGTGAAACCAAGTTCCATTTGGACCCTGTTGAGAACGCCAAATGCAGTTTATTGTTTAAACAGGTTAAAGTTGAGTTTGTGTGGAGTTTGCATGTTCTCTCTGTGTCTGGATCAGCCTCCTTATTTTAAACATGTGCACTACACTAGCTAGGTACTCATGACTAGGAACAGGGTCGGATATGGCTCCATCAAAGTTATATCTTTAACGTTTGTGCAAATTATCTGTATTATATTATATATATTGCTGTAAATGTTTTTTTAATCCGCACTATCCACTGATCAGATTACTGTCACTTTTCCAGAATCAGATTTATATATGTGTGAATGAGCTGATCACTGCCAAACAAAATAAATAAATGAACCCTAAACCTCTGACTTCAGTCATATATTTCGGTGCATTCTAGAGCCCACACAGATACACAATAATACAGAAACAGCAGCAGAAAACAGTTTGAATCCCCAGGACACTCTTACACTTGTATTGGTTCTAGAGTAACCAGAAGGGTGACATCCCTATTTACCTAGAACAGTCCCAGTTTTGAACTCTGTGTCTCCTGTCTCAGAAGATTTATTGAAAATAAGTGATTTGAAGAACTGTTCCAGGTGTCCCTATTTTTGACCAATCTATTACCCCCCAACAGTAATGGAGGCAATATATTGCTATTTGTTTAGCTAAAATACAGAAAACTGTGCTTGAAACTGTGCATAAGGCAAATAAATGCCCTGACAGAATTCCCTTAGATTATATACTGACCCACAAATGAGTCGAGAATGGACAATGTTACACGCTCTTTACATAATTTTATTTATACCAACCATTCCAATACAGGTGTGTTCCAGTATTCAGTTTTGAAAATCTGGTCACCCTAATTGGTTCAGCACTCCAGACTCTTACACTTATTCCATATGAACAAAAATATTTGATTTAAGACTTAATACACACATTTCTAAACATAAAACACACTTGTGGACTTCATATGTGTGAAGTGTGCAGAGTGTTATAATTCTTAAGAATGTTTTGATCCGCACTTCACTGCACACATTCTCTCTGCACTTCACTACTACTCCCTACAATGCATTTCACTTTTCAGACAGCGCAGCACTCGAACCACAGCAACTTACTAGCAACTTAGCGGTGAGCATTAACTGGATACGACAAAATGGAATGGCATAAGATAAACAGTTAAACAGATAATATATTAAACAAATATCAGTTAAGATTTCGTTAAACCTTTGAAAGTTATGCTAGAATATGATTGGCCAAAGGTCAGATATATTCTGCTCTGATTGGTTAAACCTTTAAAGTGCCATGTCTTTTTTGCTTTACAGCTGCAGTACAACAGCCCACAGACAGGTGGAGCAGTTCAATGTAAACCTATTAAGCTGAAGGCACAAACAAACTTTTTTTTAAACAACTGGATTTTGCATGCATCAGTCTGTTTTAGTCTAGTTGGTTTAGTTCCTGGTTCAGTCCTGATTTAGTTCTTGGTTCAGTCCTAGTTTAGTTTCTGGTTTAGGTCTTGGTTCAGTCTTGGTCCGGGTGGGGCCCTGGTTTAGTTCCTGGCTCAGTCCTGGTTCAGTCCTGCTTTTGTTCCTGGTTAAGTCCCTGATTCAGTCCCGGTCCAGTCGTAGTTTAGCAGTGGTTCAGTTGGGATTCAGTCCTGGTTTAGTTCTGGCTCAATCCTGGTTTAATCCTTATTCAGTCCTGGTTTAGTCTTGGTTCAGTCCTGGCTCAGTCCTGGTTTGGTCCCAGTCTAGAACTGGATCTTGCAGGCAGGGAAGGACTCGTTGCTCATGACGACGGTGGAGCTGGAGGCCAGAACCAGAATGTTAAGGTCCGTTTGGACTTGGTGGTTCTGTTGGTACCAGTCTCTGAGGACTTCAGAGTCTGCAGTGGGGATCACAGTCACCTGGAACAAAACCAGCCACCACATTAAGGCCCAAAGGTACAACTGCACATACAGCAGCACACTGGAGGCAAACCACCAACCCCTGGGCAACTACCATCTCCATCTACATTGTTCCAGATGTTGGACCTGTTTTTTTATTCATAGTCATGACTCTGTATTTACTGAGCCTAACAAGAAAACGGCTCCAGTTCAGTGTTTTGCTCTGTCAGCTCAAATGAACTAAGGCAGAAACATACAAAAGAAGATGAATTGTAAACATATTATTTCGATTTGAGAAAAGTGCCATCTCAAACTGATAAGATCAATGAACTTCAGTCTGAATTAGATCTAATTTACCAATACATGTCTGAAGGAGCATTTATTCATACTACTACTACTACTACTACTTGTACTGGTAGTATTTATACCTGTATATTGTGCTCCCATTCAGCCTTGGCCTGCAGCAGTGCGTCCAGCACAGAGCGACTGGGTTCATGGTTTTTGGGATCGTTGCCGCTGATGACGTAGTATGAGCTCCGGATTCGTCTGAAGAATTCCAGGTCCGAGGTTTTGGCGCTGCCGTGGTTTGGTACATAGACCAGGTCCACATAGACTGGACCTTCAGAACCAGACCTTCTCTCTGGAACAAGAGCTCACTCATTTTACATGTTCAGGAGATGCTGCTGAAGACCCACACACAGTTTGACCTGCTCTATGGTTCAGTCAATCATAATCATTTATATAGCACATTTAAAAACAGCCATGGTTGACCAAAGTGCTTCACAGGTTTAGTATTATTACAAAATACAGTAAACAATAAAAATACAACAGAGACATGCAGTATTGTTCAAAATATATTGTCTGCTCTAACTGTTTCAAATGCCAATGAAATATGTCTTTGGTAACATTTTAAAATGCTCTAGAGATTGTGCAGCAGTGCCATTTAGACATTTAAACACCATCATTAAACTCTTAATGGTGAGCAGCCAATGAAGAGCGGCTAAAGGCGGGGGTTATATGCTGCATTTTGTATTGCAAAGACAAAGACATGGAAATTGATTTACTTGATTTACTTAATGTTATTTAGATTGTAATATATTGTTAGATCAATGAGTTCCAGATGTATACTGTAACGGACAGTCACACTGTATGTGTTTATGTATATGTGAGAACTGCTCTGAGAATGCTGCAAATTAATTGTCCTCTGAGACCAAGTTTTCTGAATCTGAAACAGACTGACTCAAACCTATGTACAGAGAGTTACAATAGTCGTGAATAAGCTCTTTGAGTACCTTAACGGTGGAAAAGTGCTAAATAAAAATGTGACCATTTACTAATAGTTAAGTTTGTCAACTTTGCTTAGGGTTTTAAGGTGTAAATAGCTTTACAATAGTTTTAATATGTTTTTCAAATCTAAAATCAGTTTCCATATCTGTGTAATCACTGCACCTCTCCACATGAAACAAAAACTATTTCCTGTCAGCACAAATTAACTTAGGTGAAGTTAGGTGTGAGGACAGTACCAGAACTAGATCGGGTTCGGCTGAGATCTGTCCTGGATCCCTGGATCTTGGGTTTAGTCCTAGTCCTTCTCCTGGCCTCAGTTTGGATCTGAGGGTCCACTGTGCAGGATTCAGGATGGGGTTCTGATGGGACTGGGTCTCTAACTGGACCCGGAACAGGGTCTAGACAAGGGTCGGAAGGAGGATCTGAGGAAAGACAAGGACATTTAGAGACATTTCACCTGTACATGTGTGTGTGGACATTTAGACACTCACCTCCTGAGCCTTCATTGGTTTCCTTTTGGTCTTGGTCCTGGTCTTGAACCTGGTCTTGGTCCTGGTCTTGGTCTTGGTCCTGGTCTTCTTCAGACTCTAGGTCTTTCTCGGTGGTGGAGGGACAGTCTTCAGTCTCTGGAGGTACGTCTGAATCAGATTCACTCTGGGAGGATGTGCTAACTGCTAATGTGGCTAACTGGGCACACTTCTGGCCCTTCCCCTTTTCCTCTTCCTCCTCTTCGTCGCTGGACTCTGGACTATCCTCTTCTCCCTCCTCTGTCTCTGAACATTTATGAGTCTGGTGTTGGTCTCTGGTTCCAGGTTTGACTTGTTCCCCTTTATCTGTGTTCTTGTCTTTCACAGCAGAACCATTGTGGTCTAGTTCCAGTTTTGACTTTTCATCTTTGTCTTGGTCCTGGTCTTGGACTTTTTCTTGGTCCTGGCTTAGATCCCGGTCTTGAACTCTTTCTTGGTCCTTGTTCTGAGTTTGGATTTGGTCCTGGTTCTGATCTTGGTCTTGGATTGGGTCTTGTTTTGTTTTCTTCTTTTGAACCTCAGACCCTGAATATTCCTCTGGTTTCTTCTGGTTCTTCTCCTGACCCTGGTTGTTCTGTTGGTGTTGGTCTAGGGTGCTCTCCTGGACTTTCTCAAGGTATCTGACCTGGTTTAGTTCCTGGTCCCTCTGTAGATCCTGATCCTCGGACTCACTCCAGTCCTCTGGTCGCTGCAACAGTTCCCAGTCGGACAAACTGCTCCTCCTGCTTGCACCTGCAGACTCGTTTTTCACTGAGGGTTCTCTCCTATCTGATCCTCCATCTTCTGCAGATGTTTGGTCAGTTTGGATCTCAGGATTTGGACTTGGGCTTTCTCTGGTCTGAACCTGAAGGATCTCAGTTGGACTTGGACTTGTTCTGGTCTGGTCTTGGTGGATCTCAGTTGGACTTGGACTTGTTCTGGACTGGTCTTGGAGCATGTCAGTTGTACTTGGACTCTGTCTGGTCTGGTCTTGAAGGATCTTAACACTTGGACCAGGACTTGCTTTGGTCTGGTCTTGAAAGACCTCAGTTGGACTTGTTCTGGTCTGGTCTTGAAGAATCTTTGTACTTGGACCAGGACTTTTGGTCTGGTCTTGTTGGCTCTCTGTTGGACTTGGATCAGGACTTTCTCTGGTCTGGTTTTGAAGACTCTCTGGACTTTCTCTGATCTGGTCTTGGAGGATCTTAGAACTTGGACTTGCTCTGGTCTGGTCTTGGTGCATCTCAGTTGGACTTGTTTTGGTCTCTTCTTGTATGATCTCTGTACTTTCTTGGGTCTGGTCTTGAAGGATCTTAGCATTTGGTCCAGGACTTATTCTGGTCTGATCATGAAGCATCTTTAGACTTGGCACTTCCACAGTTCCTCTCATTGAGTCATCACCACAGCCTGAAGATGGCCCTGAATGTTCTCTGCTCTGTTCTTCTCGCTCCTTCTCCAACACTTGGCTCTGCTCTTCTTTAGATCCTGGTTCAGTTTTGGATTTGAGTTGGATCTCGTGAATTGTCCTCTCAGCTTCAGTTGGAGCTGTGTCTTTGGTCTCCTCCTCCATTTTGTTTTCCTGCTTCAGTCCTTGCTCTGACGCAGACTTCTTTAAAATGCTCTCTCCTCTTTCTGCTGTTGCTTCTTTAGACATCATCTTCTCCTCAGCTCTTCTTGTGTCTCCTCCTCCTTCACACTCTTCTTTTCTTTCATTTTTCTGAACTGACCCTTGATCCAAACTTCTCCTGTCTCTTCTCATCTCTTCTATCTCGTCTTCATCATCTGCAGTTTTCAGACCTACTATTCGCTCCTCTTCCTCCATGTCTCCTTCATTTTTTTGTTCTAAAGCTGATATCGAGGTTTCGCTCTCCTTCTTTCTGTCCTGGTCCTCCTCAATCTTAATCTTTCCTTCCTCCTCCTCTCCCTCTTCCCCATCTCCTCTCTTAAATACTTCTCCTGGAGTTTTAGAACATGTGTCTGCAGTTTTATAAGGTGGACACATGATTTCTGATCCACATGGCTCTCCTGAAGCTTCAGTTTGCTCATCAATCGCAGCCGCAGAGGAGGACAAAGCCTTTTGGTCTTCCTTTGCACCACCATCTTGGATATTTTTACTTTCCTCCTTCATATCTCCTTCAGTTTTGCGTTCTAAAGTCAATAATGGCTTCTCTCCCTCCTCCTCTTCCTCCCTTTCTCCCTTCACTTTTGACCCAGCCTCTTCTTGGTCTGACATTTGAACCTTTTCAGACATTACTTCTCCTTTGTCTACAGTTTTGTCAGCAGGAGATATTGTATCTTTTCCTTGTAAATCTTTAGTTAGTTGTTCAGTGAAAGACAATGAGGAATACTTTTCTCCCTGGTCCTCCTCTGCACCTTCATCTCTTTTCTTCATGTTTTCTTCATCTGTTTCTGCTCTCGGCTCAGGTCCTTTAGAGCTGCTTTGGGATTGAACGCTCTCCCTCTCTCCCTTCTCCTCTGTCTCCTTTTCTCTTTTCTTTATTTCACTTGCTTCTATCTCTGAGAACTTTAAAGATGTTGTTTTTATTGGCTGTGAGTCCTGATCTTTGTCTCTGGGTTTAACCTCCTCCTCATCTTCCATTGTGTCCTCTGCACTTTCTATAAAATCCTGCTTTACTGCAGTTTGGTCCGGTTTCAGTTCAAATCCATAGAACTGGTCCCTCTCTTGTTTGGACCCAGGACTGAGAGGCTTCTGCTCCTTAGAATCTGTCTCATCATTTAATTTGTCTCCTCCTACCTGCATCTCTGCTCCTGTGGTCCTAACTTCAGTTTGAGCTCTCTCCTCTGTTCCTCCATCATCATTTATAGACTCTGGCTTGGTCTCTGGTTGGGTCTCTGAACTAGTCTCTGGTTTAGTCTCTAGTTTAGTTTCTGGACAGATATCTGGACAGGTATCAGGTCTGGTTGCCGGTCCGGTCTCTGGACTGATCTCTGGACTAGTTACTTTCTTTTCCTCATCTTTAAATTCTTTGGTGTGCGTCTTATATTTATCTGAGTAAAATGTTCCTGATTTTTGGTCCTCCATTTTGTCTCTTTCACTTTTAGATTCCACAGTCTGAGTTTGAGATTTCTCCAGGCTGTCGTCTCCTGCTTCTGTATCTGCAGCTCCTCTCACCTCCTCACTCTCCTGAGTTTTAAACTCCTGCTCTACTCCAGTTTGCATCTCCAAGTCTGTCTCTTCTTCTCCAGGTGCAGGTGTGTCTCTCCTGGTTTCTCCTTCAGATCTCTGCTCCTCTCTGGACCATGATGTTTGTTCAGATCTAAGCTCAGCCTCAGTCTTGTCTCCTGCCGTTTTTGATTCTTTGATCTTTTCTTTTGATGAAGCTTTAAACGTCTCCAACAGCACATCTCCTCCTGTCTCTGAGTCTTCAAATGTTTCTTTAGTTTCATCAGTTTTTGACCTGGTCTCTGGCCAAGAAACTGGTTTGGTCTCTGCTTTGGTTTCTGAAATGGTCTCTGGTCCTGTCTCTGGACTGGTCTCTGGTCTAGTTTCTGGTTTAGTCTCTGGTTTGGTCTCAGGTCTGGTATCTGGCTTGATCTCTGGTTTGGTCTCCGGTATAGTCTCTCTGGTATGGTCTCTGATTCAATCTCTGGGCTGATCTCTGGACTAGTTTCTGGTCTAGTCTCTAGACTGATCTCTGGTTTTGTCTCCGGTCTGGTCTCTGGTCTAGACTCTGCTTTGGTCTCTGCTTTAGTCTCTGCTTTGGTCTCTGCTTTAGTCTCAGCTTTGGTCTCTGCTTTGGTCTCTGCTTTGGTCTCTGCTATGGTCTCTGTTCCAGTTTCTGGTCCGGTCTGTGAACTGGTCTCTGGTCTAGTTTCTGGTCTGGCCTCTGGTTTGGTCTCTAGAATGGTCTCTGGTCTGGTCTCTGGTCCAGTCTTTGGGCTGGTCTCTAGTGTGGTCTCTGGTCTAGACCCTACTTTGGTCTCTGGTCCACTCTCTGGACTGGTCTCTGGTCTAGTTTCTGGTCTGGTTTCTGGACTGGTCTGTGAACTGGTCTCTGGTCTAATTTCTGGTCTGGTCTCTGGTCTGGTCTCTGGTCTAATTTCTGGTCTGGTCTCTGGTCTGGTCTCTGGTCTGGTCTCTTGTCTAAACTCTGGCCCTGTCTCTGATCCGGTCTCTGGTCCGGTCTCTAGTCTGGTTTCTGGACTGGTCTCTGGTTTTGTCTCCGGTCTGGTCTCTGGTCTGGTCTCTGGTCTGGTCTCTTGACTGGTATCTGGTCTGGTCTCTGGTCTAAACTCTGGTTTAGTCTCTGCTCTGATGTCTGCTTTGGTTTCTGGTTCTGTTTCTGGTCCGGTCTTTGGACTGGTGTGTGAACTGGTCTCTGGTTTAGTTTCTGGTCTGGTCTCTGGTTTGGTCTCCAGTCTGGTCTCTGATTTGGTCTCTGAAATGGTCTCTGGTCTGGTCTCTTGACTGGTATCTGGTCTGGTCTCTGGTCTAAACTCTGGTTTAGTCTCTGCTCTGATGTCTGCTTTGGTTTCTGGTTCTGTTTCTGGTTCTGTTTCTGGTCCGGTCTTTGGACTGGTGTGTGAACTGGTCTCTGGTCTAATTTCTGGTCTGGTCTCTGGTCCGGTCTCTGGCCCTGTCTCTGATCCGGTCTCTGGTCCGGTCTCTAGTCTGGTTTCTGGACTGGTCTCTGGCTTTGTCTCCGGTCTGGTCTCTGGTCTGGTCTCTGGTCTGGTCTTTTGACTGGTATCTGGTCTGGTCTGTGGTTTAATCTCTGGTTTGGTCTCTGGTTTGGTTTCTGGTCCGGTTTCTGTTCCGGTCTTTGGACTGGTGTGTGAACTGGTCTCTGGTTTGGTCTCTGGTCTGGTCTCTGATTTGGTCTCTGAAATGGTCTCTGGTCTGGTCTCTGGTCCAGTCACTGGTCCAGCCTCTGGTCTGGTTTCTAGACTGGTATCTGGTCTGGCCTCTGGTCTAGACTCAGGTTTAGTCTCTGCTTTGGTTTCTGGTCCAGTTTCTAGTCCGGTCTCTGGACTGGTCTGTGAACTGGTCTCTGGTTTAGTTTCTGGTCTTGTGTCTGTTCTGGTCTCCAGTCTAGTCTCTGGTTTGGTCTCTGGACTAGTCTGTGAACTGGTCTCTGGTCTAATTTCTGGTGTGGTCTCTGATTTGGGCTCCAGTCTGGTCTCCGGTGTGGTCTCTGGTTTGCTCTCCGGTCGGGTCTCTGGTTGGGTCTCTGGTCTGGTCTCTGATCTAGACTGTGGTTTAATCTCTGGTTTGGTTTCTAGTTTGGTCTCCGGTCTGGTCTCTGGTTTTGTCTCTGGTCCGGTCTCTGGTCCAGTCTTTATACTGGTCTCTGGTCTGGTCTTTGGGCTAGAATCTGGTGTGGTCTCTGGTCTAGATCCTGCTTGGGTCTCTGGTCCACTCTCTGGACTGGCCTCTGATCTAATTTCTGGTCTGGTCTTTGGTCCGGTCTCTGTTCCGGTCTCTGGTCCGGTCTCTGGTCCAGTCTCTGGTCCAGTCTCTGGTCCAGTCTCTGGTCTGGTCTCTGGTTTGGTCTCTGGTCTAGTCTCTGGTCTGGCCTCTGGTCCGGTTTCTGGTCCAGTCTCTGGTCCGGTCTCTGGTTCAGTCTCTGGTCTTGTCTCTGGTTTGGTCTCTGGTTTGGTCTCTGGTTTGGTCTCTGGTCTGGTCTCTGGTTTGGTCTCTGGTCCGGTCTCTGGTCCGGTCTCTGGTCTAGTCTCTGGTCTGGTCTCTGGTCCGGTTTCTGGTCCAGTCTCTGGTCCGGTCTCTGGTTTGGTCTCTGGTCTGGTCTCTGGTTTGGTCTCTGGTCCAGTCTCTGGTCTTGTCTCTGGTGTGGTCTCTGGTCCGGTCTCTGGTCCGGTCTCTGGTTTGGTCTCTGGTCCAGTCTCTGGTCTTGTCTCTGGTTTGGTCTCTGGTTTGGTCTCTGGTCTGGTCTCTGGTTTGGTCTCTGGTCCAGTCTCTGGTCTTGTCTCTGGTGTGGTCTCTGGTCCGGTCTCTGGTCTCTGGTCTCTGGTCTCTCTGGTCCGGTATCTGGTCCAGTCTCTTGTCTGGTCTCTGGTCCAGTCTCTGGTCTTGTCTCTGGTTTGGTCTCTGGTCTGGTCTCTGGTTTGGTCTCTGGTCCAGTCTCTGGTCTTGTCTCTGGTGTGGTCTCTGGTTTGGTCTCTGGTCCAGTCTCTGGTCTTGTCTCTGGTTTGGTCTCTGGTTTGGTCTCTGGTCTGGTCTCTGGTTTGGTCTCTGGTCCAGTCTCTGGTCTTGTCTCTGGTGTGGTCTCTGGTCCGGTCTCTGGTCCGGTCTCTGGTTTGGTCTCTGGTCCGGTATCTGGTCCAGTCTCTTGTCTGGTCTCTGGTCCAGTCTCTGGTCTTGTCTCTGGTCTGGTCTCTGGTTTGGTCTCTGATCCAGTCTCTGGTCTTGTCTCTGGTGTGGTCTCTGGTTTGGTCTCTGGTTTGGTCTCTGGTCCAGTCTCTGGTCTTGTCTCTGGTTTGGTCTCTGGTTTGGTCTCTGGTCTGGTCTCTGGTTTGGTCTCTGGTCCAGTCTCTGGTCTGGTCTCTGGTTTGGTCTCTGGTCCAGTCTCTGGTCTTGTCTCTGGTTTGGTCTCTGGTTTGGTCTCTGGTTTGGTCTTTGGTCCGGTCTCTGGTTCAGTCTCTGGTCTGATCTTGGGTCTACTTCCCTTCTTTTCCTCATCTTTAAATTCCTGATCTTCTCTCTTGTCTGCTTCTCTGTGTTCATGTTTTTCTTTTAGTTCCTGCTCTGTGAGCTCCACTTTTGTCAAATTCATCTCTGTATCTGGGCTGGTTTCTGTTTTCAGTTCCTCTGCTTCCCTCTGCTCTTCTCTGGGTTCCTCCTTTGTCAGTAGACCAGTCTCTGGTCTGGTCTCTGGTCCAGTCTCTGGTTTAGGCACTTGGTCAGGTTCTTGTTGAAGTTCTTCAGTTGGTGCTGGTATCTCCTCATCAGCAATGGTCTCTAAGTCCTGGATCTCAGACAGTTCTGGGTCGATCCTGGTCTGGTCCTGGTGTAGATTGGTCTGGACTCTTGTCTGGTCCTCGTTTAGTTCTGGTTTAGACCTGGACCGAACAGACTCGAGTTAAACCCTCAACCAAGCCCGGAGCACATTACACACAAGGAAAGGTATTAAAGAAAACATATTGTACATTCTGTGTCTGCTATATAATTATAATCTACAGTATTACATTTTTGGATCATTATGTTATAATTTGCACATTTGAAATCACAATATTAATTTCAAAAGACCTAATAATACCTAATAATAGGTATAGAAAACTGTGGTGCACAGTGGAAGCTAACATCCCCATACACATCTTCATAACACAGAGAAGGAAAGTTGTTTACACCTCCAAAGGCTAGATCAAGATCAAGTTAGTGGTCCACAGATGTATTTTCATTCGTACTGCAGTGACTGCATGATGCTGCCAAATCCTATAAATATCACAGATTAAGAAAATAAAATTGGAGAACAAAAGAAGTAGAGAGCAGTGAGTGTATCCTAGTGGCAGTGAAAAGGAGAGCTGATTGGCAATGTGGCATTTAAATAAGAAACTCTAAACCAACTCTTAAAAGCTCTGAAAAGTAACTTTAGCATAATAAGTTTGCATTAAAGAGGGGGTATTTTACATCTATAGGGTGTTAACAGATGACATGTAATATATTTAGATAACAATGTTACCTTTTATTGTTTTGAAAATATAATATTTACCCAAGACAACATATTATCGTGTTTAGTAAGTTTCACTTTCTTTTTTGATGCTCCAAGTCTTAACCCCCTTTGCTCTCTGCACTAAATCTCCCCCCTCAGTGACATCACAACACAATAAGTTTGCATCCTCCTAATCAAACTACTGCACATCACATCAGGAGTTGTTGTGTGCAGTTTTCTATCATGTTTTTTTATATTTATAGAGAACTGTGCATGGGTGACATAAACTTGTGGAGGAGGAGCCTTGTACAGGCTTGAACTCAGAATGTCAGTGAGCCCACTCACAACAGGGGGCACACTCTGGACCTGCTCATTACAAAGGGTGTAAATATTTCTAATGTCAATGTGAGGGATGTTGCTCTGTCTGATCATTTCTGTGTCTTCTTTGACCTGTCTGTTATTCCCAAACCACCGGCTGCTCCTACAGTTGTTCGAAGAAGACACATAAATGATAACACAGGTGCACTGTTCATGGAAATGATAAACTTTGAAATTGCCTCATGTTCCAATACTGATGATGTGTTGAACTCTGTGACTTTGAGTGTTTTGAATGTTCTGGATGCCATCGCCCTGATAAAGGTTAAAATGGTTAAAGATAGGCAAAAAGCTCTGTGGAGGAATGAAGACTCAGAGCACAGAAAAGGGAGTGCCGGCAAAGTCCTTGAAAAAGCTGTTTACCAACAGCTTACGAACTTTCTCCAAATGAACAACCCTTTTGATGTTTTCCAGTCAGGTTTTAGAGCCCACCACAGCACTGAGACTGCTCTTTTCAAGGTGACAAATGACATCCGCCTGAACACTGATGCAGGCAAAGTCTCAGTCTTGATCCTGTTAGATCTGAGTGCTGCTTTTGACACTGTCGATCATGGGATCCTCTTACAGATACTAGAGGACTGGGTGGGCATCTCTGGTACTGCACTAAACTGGTTCAAGTCCTATCTAGAAGACAGGAAGTATTTTGTTGAAATTGGAAACTGTGTCTCAGATCACATGGCTCTGACCTGTGGGGTGCCTCAGGGGTCAATCCTGGGCCCCCTGTTGTTCAGTCTCTACATGCTGCCATTAGGCCAGTTAATAAGCAGCAATAATGTGTCCTACCACAATTATGCAGATGACACTCAGATCTACGTCTCTCTGGCAGCAGGAGACTATGGACCAGTGGAGTCACTTGGTCATTGCATCCAACAGATCAGTGTGTAGCAAAACAACTTTCTCCAGCTAAACTCTGACAAGACTGAAGTCATAGTGTTTGGTCCACAGAAACAAAGGGACAGTGTCAGCAGTCACCTCCAGTGTCTCTCTCTAAAACCTTCAAATCAGGCAAGAAATCTAGGGGTAATAATGGACTCAGACTTGAACTTTAACAGCCACATCAAATCAATAACATCTGCAGCCTTTTACCATCTAAGAAACTTAGCAAAAGTCAAAGCAGACTTGGAGAAACTTATCCATGCATTTGTCTCCAGTAGGTTAGACTACTGTAATGTTCTGCTCACTGGTCTCTCCAAACGAGCTGTGAGACGCTGCAGAACATCCAGAACGCTGCAGCTCGGGTCCTTACTCGAACTAGGAAGTACGAGCACATAAGTCCTGTGCTCAGGTCTCTGCACTGGCTTCCTGTGCCTCAGAGAATAGACTTTAAAGCAGCTCTGCTTGTGTACAAGTCTCTCCATGGCCGAGCACCAAAGTACATCTGTGATATGTTAGTGTCATATGAACCATCTCGCACTCTGAGGACCTCAGGGACCAGCCTCCTGCTGGTGCCCAGAGTCAGGACTAAACAAGGGGAGTTCAGCGTTTCAGGTTCATGCAGCTAAAACCTGGAACAATCTTCCTGAACATGTGAGACAGACTCTTCTGTGACGCTGTTTAAATCCAGGCTCAAAACATTTCTGTTTAACTGTGCATATAACTGAAAGGTTTTCATTCCGCACTCTTCTCTCCAATTTATGTCTCTCTTTTTTAATTTTAATCTTCATGATTATTTATGTTTTGATTTGTTTTTATTATGATTTTAATGTATTTCTTATTCTGTAAAGCACTTTAAATTACTTTGTGTACGAATTGTGCTATACAAATAAACTTGCCTTGCCTTACTGCTAACCGTAAGGATGGTTTGAAAATGGCCTGAGAGAAGTTGCTAAATTACTAATACAAATAATGATAGCTAAAGCCTCTTCATGCATGCTTTTGATGTGTGAATAACGTTGGAACATGGACATGGTAGAGAGCTCCTAAAAATTTATCTTGCATAATACCCCCTCTTTAAGCCAGGTGCTCTCCCCACACAGCTCTACATTTATGAAGGCTTGGACAGATCTCGGAATGGAACCCCAGACTCCTGCAGCATGAGGCTAACCACTCTCCCAGCCTCAGATTTAACTCTCGCAGTGCAGATCACATAACATCACACAGATGTATGTACATTTCTATGAATAAATGTAAATTGTAAATGAATTTCACTTGTCTCTGACCTGAGACTCTCTGTGTCTTCTCTAGGCACATCTGCTGCTCCCTCTCTCTGCAGTGTCTCCATCAGTGGATGCTTCTCTAGATGTTTCTCCTGGACAGTATCTTCTCTCTCTTCCATCTCCTTAGTCTCCTCTTTCACCGATGTCTCCTTCGGCATTTCCTCTTTCAGATGTTTTTCCAGATGTTTCTCTTGGACCTTCTCTTCTGTCTTCTCTTTCTCTGTCTTCTTTCCCCCCTTTTCCTCAGTGTCTAGTGTCTCTTTCTCTAGATGTTTCTCCTGGATCTTATCTTCATCCTTCTCTCTCTCTGTCTCCCCTCTCTCTGTCGTCTCTCTGTCTTTCTCATCTTTCTCTGGTGTCTTCTTCTCAGATTCCTCTTTCAGATGTTTCTCCAGATGTTTCTCCTGTACCCTCTCCTGGACAGTATCTTCTCCCTCCACTTCTCCCTTTGTGTCTTCTCTCATTGTCTCTGTTTTCTCCTCTAGATGCCTCTCCTTGCTCTTTTCTCCCTCTCTCTCTGCTTGAGGTGACTCTCCTAGATGTTTCTCTTGGACAGTATCTTCTCTCTCCTCTCTCTCTCCTTGTGGAACTGGCTTCTCATGAATTGGATATTTGTCCTGTACTTTCTCCTCTCCCTCTTCTCCCTCTCTGTCTTCTCTCATTATCTCCTCTCTTTCTGCTTGTGGCAACTCCTTGAGATGTTTCTCCTGGACAGTATCTTCTGTCTCCTTTCCCTCTTCTACCTTCTCTATCTCCTTTCCCCCTTTCTCCTCTTTCTCTGGTTTCTCCTTCTCAGATTCCTCTTTCAGATGTTTCTCCAAATGTTTCTCCTGTACCCTCTCCTCTTTCTCCCCTCTCTCCCCTTGTGGTAACTCCTTCAGGTGTTTCTCCTGGACAGTATCTTCTTTCTCTACTTCCTTTCTGTCTTCTCCCATTGTCTCTACTTTCTCCTCTAGATGGCTCACCTTGCTCTCTTCTCCCGCTGTCTCTGCTTGAGGTGACTCCTCTAGATGTTTCTCTTGGACAGTATCTTGTCTCTCCTCTCTCATTGTTTCCTCTCTCTCTCCTTGTGGTATCTGCTTCTCCAGAAGTTGATGTTTCTCCTGCACTCTCTCCTCTCCCTCTTCTCCCTTTCTCACCTCTCTTATTATCTCCTCTCTCTCTGCTTGTGGCAACTCCTTCAGATGTTTCTCCTTGACCATCTCTTCTCTCTCCTCTCCCTCCTCTGTCTTCTCTATCTCCTCTCTCCCTTTTTCCTCTTTCTCTAGTGTCTCCTTGTCAGATTCCTCTTTCAGATGTTTCTCCAGATGTTTCTCCTGTACCCTCTCCTCCTCTCTGTCCCCTTGTGGTAACTCCTTCAGATGTTTCTCCTGGACAGTATCTTCTGTCTCCACTTCCTTTCTGTCTTCTCCCATTGTTTCTGTTTTCTCCTCTAGAGGTGACTCCTCTAGATGTTTCTCTTGGACAGTATCTTTTCTTCCTTCTCTCATTGTCTCCTCTCTCTCTCCTTGTGGTATTGGCTTCTCCAGAAGTGGATATTTGTCCTGTACCCTCTCCTCTCCATCTTTTCCCCCTCTGTCTTCTCTCATTATCTCCTCTCTTTCTGCTTGTGGCAACTCCGTGAGATGTTTCTCCTGGACAGTAGTTTCTGTCTCCTCTCTCTCTATCTCCTCTTTATCCTCTTCTTTCTCTTTTATATCCTTCTCCAACTCCTCCTCCAGCCCTTTCTCTAGATGTTTCTCCTGGACCATCTCTTCTTTCTTCTCTCCCTCCTCTGTCTCCTCTTTCTCTGATGTCTCCTTCTCAGATTCCTCCTCCAGATGTTTCTCCAGATGTTTCTCCTGGACAGTATCTTCTCTCTCCTTGCTCACTGTCTCCTCTCTCTCTTCTTCTGGTTTCTGCTTCTCCAGAGGTTTATGTTTGTCCTGTACCATCTCCTCTTTCTCTTCCTCCTCTCTGTCTTCTCTCATTAATTCCTCTTTCTCTGCTTGTGGTAAATCCAGATGTTTCTCCTGGACTGTATCTTCTGCCTTCTCTCTCATTGTCTCTTCTCTCTGTCCGTGTGGTATCGCCTTCTCCACAGTCTGATGTTTCTCCTGGATCATCTCCTCAATATCCTGCCCCTCTCTCTCTCCTTGTTGTTGTTTAATAATTTCTTCTTTCAAGTTTCCCGCTTTTGCCATTCCTTCTCTCCTGGTTCCTTCTCCTCCTCTCTCTTCTCTGAGTGGTGAGACCTCCTCCAAATGTTTCTCCAGATATTTATCTTCTCTCGCTTCAATCTCCTTTTCCTCGGTCTCTGGTATAACCTCCCCCAGACCCTCCTCCAGGTATTTCTCCTGGACTCCTCCTTGTTCTTTGGTTTCTCTTCCATCCAATTTTATTTTAGATTTTTTCAAAGTCCTCTTGGTCTCCATGCCTCCTTTCTCCTTGCCTCTTTTCCTCACACCCTTCTCTTCCTCTAGTTTGACAGCAGATTCTGGTTTAGTCACAGGTTTAGCCGCTGGTTTAGTTCCTGGTTTAGTTCCTGGTTTAGTCCCAGTTTTGGTACCAAGTTTAGTTCCTGTTTTAGAGCTGAGTTTTGGTGCCACTTTCTTTTCCTCATTTTTCATAACCTCCTTGTCCACCACAGATTTTTTCTTTACAGTTTTCACCTCCTTCTTCCTTTCCTTGGATGCCTCCTTGGATCTCTCCTTGGATTTCTCCTTACTCGTCTCCTTCCCTGTTTGAAAAAAGACACATGTTTGTAACTCTGATCTCATCAAAGTCTCACTGGGACAAAAACTTTTCATGTCACAAACTTGGAAACTGTGGCAGTCACTTTGTTGAGCTTAAATTTGACACATCAATAAATGACAGAAACATCAGGAAACTTTTCATGCGTTTGTATTTTTTTCTGTCCAAATGTGATTATTATTATTTTAAACAAACTGTTCTCCAAAGGTGAGTCCTACCTGCTCCTCTAGCATCCTTTCTTGCATGCTTCATAACATCCTTTTTAGTGTCCTTCCTTGTATCCTTCGCGTCCTCTCTGCTCTCATCTCTCCGTGCTTTGGTCCGAATCTTCTCTTGGCCCAAGTCTGTCTTTTGTCCAGTTCTGAAGGTTCTGGCAGTTGTAGATGAAGTTTTGGAGCCAGTGGCCTCCTATTAACAGACAGATAAAAGGATAAAAACATCAAAGATTTCATCGCGTCCCTAAGTGACCTGTGTGACTTGTCATCATTCCCCAGTTTTTTTATTTTATTTTTTTTATTCTTTAATATGTTTATTTTAAGTTAAATCTGAGCCCAGATATTTAACTCTTTTAAGCATCTGGAGAAAAATTTAAATAAAGCCAACGACTAGCGTCACTGACGCAAATTCGACAAAAAATTGAAAGCCTTTTGTTTACAGAGCCAATATTTTTGCTAGTATATATATATACAGTGTTGGGAAGGTTACTTTTAAAATGTAATCCCCTACAGATTACAGATTACACACCCCAAAATGTAGTTTGTAACGTAATCCATTAAATTACTTAAAGTGAGTAACGTAATCTGATTACATTGGATTACTTGATATTGTCATGTTTTTTTAAACGACATGAATGTAGCAACCACATCCTGAAAATTCTTGTTTGTTGTCTTCAAATTGTCTGAGCCCAAGTCTCCATGAATAAGCAACTGTTTGCTGTAGAGAAACAAAGACCACGATATTTTAACATAAGAGGTTTTGTCTGTTAAAAGACAATAACAAGATCAGCCTTTCCTTAACCCTATTAAAAATATTATTGATAGAGAAATTATTTTTTATATGAGATCACCTTAAATTATGTCAACCTACTGTTAGGTGTCATGTTGTTTAGTCCTGGTTTAGTCCTGATTTTTAGACCTGGTTTACTCCTGATTTTAGACCTGGTCTAGACCAGGTCTTTTAGCTCTGGTTTAGTCGTGGTTTAGTCCTAGTTTAAACCTGGTTCAGTCCTGCTTTAGTCCTGGTTTAGTCCTGGTGTTAGTTCTGGTTTAGAGGCGCACAGGAGGAAGCGCGGTTTACGCGAGAAAACACGTTCCACACGCGGCGCACGAGACGGCGGTGTCCGCGCAGTAACTACGGAAGGAGACGTGGTCCGCGGGTTCTCAGGTTGATGACGATGATGAAGGTGTGTGTTTGTGTGTGTTTGTGTGCACGTCCACTCATGTCGCAGGTCACTATAGGACAGTAGTGCAGATATTATGAGTCTATGCAGGTTGTTTTCACCAGTGCCAGTAGCTCCTGTTTCACATTTAAGTTGTAGGCGATTTTATATTTGTTTTTTTTTATATATATATCTCACATCGGGAGAAGAATTTCCAAGACACAAATGCGTTTTTACCAATGCACTGCTGCTTCCACTGTGTGACTGACACCGCCAACTTTAACATGACGTTTACGTCGCTCTTATTGCGCGCGTTCTGTTTGGGTTTCCGGCAATGAGTGGAATTACCGAAATAAAAAAATAAATAAATGGGATGTAGCACAAAATGTGAAAACAGGAAAATACCGCCTTGTAATCCACTTATTTCAGCAAAGTAACTGTAATCCAATTACCACTCATTGAAACAGTAACTGTAACGGAATACAGTTACTCATAATTTGTACTCTGATTACGTAACGGCGGTACATGTAATCCGTTACTCCCCAACACTGTGTGTATATATATATATATATATATATATATATATATATATATATATATATATATATATATATATATATATATAAAAATGTGTTTCTCACCTTCCACGGTGGTAGGTCTCTCTCACCCTCATTGAGCTCGGGTCCTCTACCAGAGGCCTGGGAGCTTGAGAGTTCTGCGCAGTATCTTTGCTGTTCCCAGTACTGCACTTTTCTGGACTGAGATGTCCATTGTTTTTCCCGGTATCTGTTGTAGCCACTCTTCCAGTTTGGGGGTTACAGCCCCGAGTGCTCCGATCACCACAGGCACCACTGATGCCTTTACTTTCCAGGCTCTCTCCAGCTCTTCCTTGAGCCCCTGGTATTTCTCTAGCTTCTCGTGTTCCTTTTTCCTGATATTACCATCGCTTGGTATTGCGATGTCAACCACCACGGCTCTGCTCTGTTTCTTATCAACCACCACTATGTCTGGTTGGTTCGCCATCACCATTCTGTCAGTCTGTATCTGGAAGTCCCACAGGATCTTGGCTCGGTCATTCTCCACAACCTTTGGAGGTGTTTCCCACCTTGATCCTGGGGTTTCCAGCCCGTACTCTGCACAGATGTTTCTGTACACTATGCCCGCCACTTGGTTATGTCGCTCCATGTATGCTTTCCCTGCCAGCATCTTACACCCTGCAGTTATGTGCTGGACTGTCTCAGGAGCCTCTTTGCACAGTCTACACCGTGGGTCTTGTCTGGTGTGGTAGATCTGGGCCTCTATTGCTCGAGTGTATATATATATATATATATATATATATATATATATATATATATAGATATAGATATAGATATAGATATATAGATAGATAGATATAGATATATATAGATATATAGATATATATAGATAGATATATATAGTTTCTTTGCCTTAACCTTTGATGACCTGAGTGACCTGCGATGTTTTGTGATGACTAGGACCTATGATGACCTTAGTGACTCAAGTTGACTGACCTTGTTCTTGGTCTGAGCCGCGGTCGGAGTCCTGAGGAAGTCCAGGTGCCGGAGCCGGTGCAAACCCTCTAGGACTCGGCTCTGAGGAGCGTTTCCGGGGAACAGGACCCGGACAGGGCTCTGGTCCGATCCAAACGGAGTCCAGACCAGCAGCACGGCGCCCGAGGCCAGGAAGGGCACCGGGACCTGTGCCCGCGTCCCATCGGGCTGCCTCACCCCTCCCCGGGCACAACCTGACCCGGTCCACCTGTGCCGCAGAAAGTCCAGCTCAGCGCTGCCCCCCTCTGGACACAGCACATACATGTCCAGGCGGCCCACGCCCAGTTTACTAAACAGCACCACAGGTTCTGGAGAAGGCCCGCGGGTCAGAGGCAGAACCTCCAAGTCCAAACGTTCAATCAGGCTCAGGGTCAGAGCCGCCTCCTCCGCACTGCGCCGAAACCGAACCGGACCAGAACCGGACTGAGACCTGACCGGACCAGAACCAGACCGGACCAGGGACCACAGACGCTCGGGCTGGTTCCAGAAGACCAGTCCCACCTGACAAGAGAGAGCAACAGGTCAAAACATGCTCCACCCTCGGTCCAGGTCCTCCTGACCAGGACCAGGCCCTAACTGGCTCTTTTGAACAATTCCTTAATGTAAACGACTGGAAAAGGATCTCACTTCAAAAAACTGAATCTTCTTCTAATTTTTACGCATTTTTTATACTGATTTACCTTGAACAAGCACAGTACCAGAGTAGGAAACGTGAGAGCTTTGTGCACAAAAAACATATCTGGCATCATAATAACATAAAGTTAAAATATATATTATGACTATTCTCCGGTGTTTTATTTATATTATTCATAATTCCAAAGGGTAAACACTTTCCCACTCTGAACCATTTGAAACAAATCTGAGCCTTGGTCATTTCTCTCTGTGTTTACTATAGGCTATATATAAAAAGTGTTCTCACATTGGCATATAAATATTTTTTTAAAAGCCAAAAGTCTTTTGAATAACTCTTGAAAAGAACAGATCACAAATACAGTATTTGGATCCCATAAAAACTTATCAGTAGTCCTAGATCCACCTGATCAGGACCAGGCTGAGATCTAGGGTTTATTGAGGTACATAAGAATTAAACAATGTGTTTGATTTTCAACAGAAAGGTGAGATTAACTCAAACACTGTTGGCCAATGCTAGCTAGCTTGTGACTTTAATGCTTTTTGAGAGAGACTTGTTTAAAACCCAAATCAGCTCACGTGTTGTAGTTCCAGCTAAGTCAGTTCTTTATGATCAGATTGTTAAAACAAAGCTCAGAATAAAGTCTAACTTGAGTAACAGAGCTTCAGGCAGAGTAGTGTCTGCAGTTAGCATCACACCCCCAGAGAATGTTGATGACATCATTAGAAAAATATCAGTCCAATCATATGTAATGCAGATGGGGCCAAATACATTTTATATTGTTAAAAAGCAGAGCTTTGTTGGTTTAAAGTGAGGTCTAGGGCCTAGTTACTAATAGAAATGATCAGGTTAAACATTTATGCATTTGCCTTTTGGATATTTCACAGGAAAAACAAACAACAGATGGGGGCAAGAGCCAATTTTCCCTATTGATTAGATTGTACTTTGCCATGAAATATCCAAAAGGTAAATTCAAAAATGATGAATTAGAAAATGTTCAGTACTGACTAGACCCAAGAACTGACTGTATTACAACATAAATCAGCATTTCAACTAGATTCATTTTGGCTGCCCTCCTGCCTCCATTTGTGTTAAACTCAAACTGGCCTATGAAATGTGGTAATGTCATCTGAAACCCGTCAATACTGTGTAATAACGTGCTGTGACAGGTGCTGTGACAGGTGCTGACCTCGGGGGAGACCAGGTTCTGGATCCAGTCCTGGTTCTTCTCTTGGTCCTGTTCTGGCTGCTGGTTAAGACCCTGCTCCTCTTGGACCCTGAGCTCCTCCACTTTGCGCTGAAGAAAGCCATTGATTCCGGGGAGGTTGTCTGCACCGGTGTGAGTGATCAGCACTGCGTCGAGCCGGTCCAAGTGTCGGACTAACCTCCAGAAACAGGACTTCCTCTGGTCTCCTCCGTTCACCAGCAGGGAGTACCCACTGACCCCGAGGAGTGCCGAGTCACCCCTTCCCCCAGGAAACACATACACACAGGGTCGAGAGAGGCGCAAGAAACCCCCACATGACGAGGGCAGGCTACGGAACGGGTCCTCCAAGTCCAGACCGGGGTCTAAACCTGAGTCCAGACTTGGATCTAGATCAGAATCTGGGTTATGGTCCTCCATCAGGGAGGACTCAGGGGATGCCATCAGCACCTGAAGGGAGGAGGATGGGAGGGCATCTTACACACAGGGATACAGGAGGATGTGAGGGCATCTGCCTCACTGGGATACAGGAGAATGGAAAGGCATCTGACATACAGGGATTGAGGACACTTATTTCTGGTCTGGTTTAAGTCCAGGCTCTGGTCTGGTCCTGGCTCAGGACTCGAGACTGCTGGTTCTGACCCGGATTTCAGGTCTCAGTGGAAAAGCTCCATTTAAACAGGCCAAGAATATATGACACATTTGTCTAAAGAGGAGCAGAACTGAATCGGTTCTGGACCAGAGACTGGACCAAAGACCCGACCAGAGACCAGACTGGTTTTAGGGCTTGGTATCAGACCCAGACTGGTTCTAATCCTGTTAATGGGGATTAATCAGGATTAGTCTCAGAGCGGCCTCAGTCTCTGCTCCTTCAGAATCCTCTGCACCATGTGTCCACAAGGAATCCTCTGCCCCTCTGCCACTCTTCTGCTCCTCTCCTCTGCATCCTTTAAATGGTCACATTGGTTAAGGCTAAAAATCTAACACCAGGACTAAAGCAGGTCTAAAGCAGAACTAAACCAAGATTAAAGCAGGTCTAAAGCAGGTCTAAAGCAGGAGTTAAACTTAACTTGAGGTTCTGAGAAGGACTGCACTAAGCTGAGTCATGCTGCACTCAAGGAGACTAGGAGAGAGGAGACAACAGAGGAGACAAGAAGAAGAGGAGAGAAAAGGAGAAGAGAGGAGAGGAGAGAGGAGAAGAAACAAGGGAAGAGGAGAGGAGGAGACAAAAAAGGAGGAGAGAGGAGAGGAGGAAAGGAGTAGGCAGAAACAGCTGACTCACCAACACAAACCTGTGACTCTGCAGCAGCTCTGGAAAAATCCCCAAAATGTCGAGAAATGAGCAGAAGAAAGACGTCAAAAAGGCGAAAGGAGAATAGGAGGGAGAGATGGAGGAGAAAAGGAGGGAGAGAGCGAGGGAGAGGAGGACAGGAGTGAGGAGCAAAGGAGGTGAAGAGTGAGGTGAGACGAGGTGAAACTGACTGCAGCGAAGAGCCCAGAGACCACACGAGGGCGCCACTGCAACAGGGAGAGAGAGAGAGTGAGAGGAGGGGACAGAAAGAGAGGAGAGGGACGAGAGAGGCCAGAGAGAGAGGTGGGACGAGGGAGAGAAGGGAGAGAGAGAGAGAGGGGATGCAGAGAAAGAGAAGGGGGGTTAGAGATAGAGAGAGATTTCCCTCACTTCAGCATGCCTCCAGTCCGTGCGCCCTCTGCTGGTGTGTCATGTCTCATAACTAATATGAATAAATAATGAGTGAATAATGAACACACACAAAAAAAAGGGAGTCCTGAGTTTATATTTGTTTATTAAGACTTTACATGGTTGACTTTGGTCTGGTTCAACCTGGCTCATTTAAAGCTCATGTGACAGGTTAGACTCATTATAATAGTTATGATTAGACTAATAAAAATAAATGACAACACCTTTAATTAGTTAAACAAAGATTTAAAAATCAGTCAGAAAAATGTCTTCATTGTGCATAAATTGTCTCTGCATTTTGGATGGGGTTTTCTGTGTTGATGATAAGGGTAGGCCTGTTTTACAACTCTATGCTACTTTCTGTATTTTTGTATTTTTTTCCACAGACTTCCACTTAACTGATGCAAAACTATGATTTTCCACAGGTACTATCCCACCAAACCAAGTCAGAATGAAAAAAAACTATTAAAACCTGTCATATGCACTTTGGCCCGGCTCACTTAAGACCAGGGGTGTCCAAACCCAAACCTTTGAAACCTTTGACTATTCAGATGGACAGGTTTAGCAGCGCTATGATTTTGTGTTCACTTCGTTTGTGACCCAGGATTCTTAAAGTGCGTATGACAGGTTTAAAAAAAAAAAAAAAAACTTGTCTGATATTATCTGATATTTCTGATTTTCATCTTATTTTATTTGCCAAATCATAATCTGTACAGGTGCACTAGAGGTTAAAACACCGGTGTACCACATAGTTATCCCATGTGATATGATGATTTCCATCCAGAAAGTAAAATTTGAAACCTAAAAAGATCTTCAAACCAAAAAAATGTTAACTGACTTTTAGTAAAATAAGTGATTCAACTTGTCATATGCACTTTAAATGTCATGTCCATTGTTAGTGAGTGAGGAACGAGGTGGAGGTGGAGTGGAGAATTATTAAACTGCAGTAAAAAGTACCGTACTACTGTTACTACTGTTACTACTATGGGGCCTTTCATCAAGAAGCCTCACCCTGTATCGGGCCCGCAGGCTGTGGTTTGGACACCCCAAACTCAGATGAACTCTGAGCTTAAACTAAAGGAGTGTTTACTCTGAGGAAGGAAAGGAGATAGGAGATAGGAGGTAGGAGCTAGGATATGGTGAGTTCATAAAGTGTCATTTGTAATAATATTCAATAATGCTGTGAATGATCTAAAGGCACTAAACACCGGGTCCTCCTCAGGTTCTCCTCGGGCACAGGGAGGACTAGTTATCAAACAATCTTTTATTTAAATATAACCCAGATTCTAAAGCAGGGGTCTCCAGCCTGCATCTCATGAGCTCCACTAGCTCTCCGCCCCATTCTAAGCAGCTCTCTAAAAGATTTATACATATTACACTGAGTAATTTAAATCCAATTAATCACATGCCTGTTATCATAGTGTAAGTTTTAAATGTCAAATTTTGTGCACTGATATATTGGTTTAAGGGTTATGTTTATAGGCATCTAAATACACCCCAACTAAAGCTATAGTTGTTATCTTTATATTGTCTCAATTTTGTGTAACACCCAAAAGCTTTTCATTTTGTAAAATCTCACCAGAGGAAAAGGTTGGAGACCCCTGTTCTCAAGTGTCCCAAAATATAAAGGACTGATCAAAGGAGCAGGGGATTGTGGGAGCTGTGGTCCAGAGGAGCAGGGGTTTGTGAGGGATTGTGGTCCAGCGAAGGCCTGGCCTGACTGGCTGGTCTCTGAGGGGAGAGCTGTGATTGGTCAGTAACAGGTTTTATCTGCCACTCGGAAGCGAGTGAGCAGATTGCTTGATACAGTTTATTTTGGAGGAAGTATCTCTGAGAACAGCAGGCCATTGGCCGAGATGGCATCGCCCAAACCGACTGTCCTGACTGGCCGCTTGCAGACAAGCACGGGCGACAGATGGAGGGTCACATGATGCTGGTGCCACACTGTGATTGGCCGGTCGGGGTCCAGCCTGAGTGTGTGCGTGTCATTGGCGTTAAACTCTAGCGGCGCTTTCAGCTGAGCCTCGGCGGCATGCACGTGAGCATGTCCGCAAGCCTGAGCACTGGCTGTGCGCGCTCCCGCCGCAGAGCTCGCTGCCTGGTTACCCCAACGCCCTGTCACCACAGCAACCACGTGGAATGGCAGCGAGTGGAAGTGTACCCTTGACAGAAGGGATCCACTGGAAACTGCTCCGAAATGCTGCAAAACCCACTGCAGCACGTCACTGGCCACCCCCACCGCCGCCGCAGATGCCACACCCACCTCTGACCATGACACATCAGAGTGTGGCCCGCCCATGGAGCGCGATAGAAACAAAAGCTCCTGCTCGTTCAGACCGAGCGATGAGACCAGAGGAAAAACCTGAAAGGACACAATAACTATATGAACATTATAATGATATGGTACTGTATGTCCTATGTCTACCACACATGAACAGAGCCACTGAGAGAAACAAGAACGGGGGAACACCTGAAAGGACACAATATAATCAGTATTCTAATCACAAAGACACTAGATAATTCCCCCAATTTTATAGCAAATTGTTCTCATTTTGTCCTCAAATAGTCTAAAATTACCCCACCCACTCACACATACACACACAGAAATATATATATATATATATATTTTTTTTTTATTATTAAATTATACATTTTTTTGTCAGTTTCTGGCCTGCATTTTCAGAGGCTCACCTGTCAGAAAGAGGCCCAACTGCCAGAAAGGGGCTCACCTGTCAGAAAGGGGCTCACCTGTCAGAAAGGGGCTCACCTGTCAGAAAGGGGCTCACCTGTTGGGCGATGCGCTGCATGAAGCCTGGGTCTGTCATAGAGGCCAGCTCCAGATGAACAGGAACAGAGAGCTCCGACAACAGTGCCACCACCTACACACAGCACACTGGTTCAGACCAAGTTTAGTCCAGGTTCTGTTCTGGTCCAGTTTCTGGTTTACTTCTGGTCCAGTCTCTCTGGTCCAGTCTCTCTGGTCCAGTCTCTCTGGTCCAGTGTCTCTGGTCCAGTCTCTCTGGTGCATACCTGGTCCAGTCTCTGGTTCCGGGCCTCAGGCCTTAGACCCTCCATCATGTGGAGTCCTGACAAGACCAGGAGATCTGGTTCAAACTGGTCCAGACTCTGGACCAGGGCCTCGGTGAGGGCCATGTGACTGTTGGCCTCATCGTGAGAGAAGATGAACCTGTTTGCCTGTGGAGCCACCAGGGGGCCCCAGTGCTCCCCTGGAACACATCAGATTATACAACTACACATTTTGCACAGGTATTTGACATACACTGCAGATTATGCTCACTGTCACATGCCTCATTGATACAGACTATAGAATCACAGACAATTGAACTGAACCTTTTTCTCCTTAAATAACTGTTACTGAGTCTGTGTGTGGGCAAAATCCACAGCTCCATGGACAAAAAATAGGCAATAAAAATGTTGTCCTGCCCATATTTCTGCATTTCTTGAATAAAATTATGTCACTGCATAACCTCCATTGAGTCTGAGTACCGCAGTACTGGGTTTAGATACTCTAGGAATAGGTGGTAATGTAATAATAGTAGTAGTACTGTAATAGTAGCAGTAGTAGTGGTAACAGTTGTAGTAGTATAGTGGTAGCACCTGTCTGATACTCCAGGATGAGGTGGTACTCATCGGTTTCTCTGAGTGATTCTGGAGGAACCACGATTTTCTCATCTAAAAGTTCATGAAGTTTAGGACCAACCGGACCAGACAACAGGACCTGAGAAAGACCAAGACTGGGGTTAGACCAGATCAAGTAGCGGACCACAGACCGGGTATAGACATTGGTTTAGACCAGGTTCAGGGAGTACCTCAGTGTCAGGGCTGGAGGCCAGTTTCTGTCCGATCAGAGCCGCGTTTCCACCAACATACAGCTGTAACAGATACAGACAGTCAAACAGTCCTGGTTCAGTCCTGGTTCAGTCCTGGTTCAGTCCTGGTTCAGTCCTGGTTCAGTCCTGGTTCAGTCCTGGTTCAGTCCTGGTTCAGTCCTGGTTTGGTACCTTCGCTCCAGGGATCTGTAGTGCTGTCAGGGCGATGGTTTGGAACAGCTCTGGGTTTGAGAAGAAACGTTCTGCTGCAGCTCCTCGAGACATGAAGAACAGAAACGTGTCCCTGAGATCCTCCAAAGAGCCCAGGACCTCATGATCAAGACCCGAGACTGGACCAGGACTGGACTCAGGATTCAAACCCAGAGCCTCCAACAGAGCTACCCCCGACACAACCACGTCCACACATGAGTTTACCCTGAAACAAGAACACAGAGCATGGGAGAACATCTGACACACGGGAAGGGCATCTGACACACAGGGAAGATGAGAGGGCATCTGACACACAGGGAAGATGAGAGGGCATCTGACACACAGGGAAGATGAGAGGGCATCTGACACACAGGGAAGATGAGAGGGCATCTGACACACAGGGAAGATGGGAGGGCATCTGACACACAGGGAAGATGAGAGGGCATCTGACACACAGGGAAGATGGGAGGGCATCTGACACCCAGGGAGGATGGGAGGGCATCTGACACCCAGGGAGGATGAGAGGGCATCTGACACCCAGGGAGGATGAGAGGGCATCTGACACACAGGGAAGATGGGAGGGCATCTGACACCCAGGGAGGATGAGAGGGCATCTGACACACTGACCCGACAGCTGCTCGTCTCCACCGTGTCTGTGGAGGAGTGATTAGGCTCTCCCAGGCCTCTGACACCCTTTGCTCCAGGGTCTTCACCTGGTCTGGTCTCTGGTCTGAGGGGGTTCTGAAGAGGGCCTTAAGGTGGTCCAAATCTAGGTCTAGTCCCAGGTCTACTCCGGACTGTCGGTGTAGGACCAGAGCCAAAGCCAGGGCCAGGAGCAGCACTAATACAGGGCCCCAGCGCGCCATACTCTAGGGACCAAACCTGAAATCCACACACAGAACAATAAAATATATTTTTAAATTAAGTAGCAAATATCAAATATTTAACATTAAAACATCAATTACACATATATAAGACACTTAAGTAAATGAACATGACTTAAATAAGACCTATACAGCAAACTCGATTTTTCAGAGCTTTTAACCATGTGATGGTTCCTTCTCACTGAAGGAAAAAAGTACCTGTTAACTTGAAAACTACAGCTTTATGACATGACAAAGTGAAACAGAACATTTTGAGATGTAGATAGACTAATAATAAAGGATTACTCAAATATGTGTGAATGAAACAAAACAGCTGCATACAGCAACATAGGCCACAATACAATACACATCTCGATACACAGGACGTGCTTCTGCATTTGTACTCCCAGGTCCTCTAGACTAGGACCAGGATCTGGTCCGGTTCTATAGTGGGACCTATAGTGGACCAGATCTGGTTTCAGTCTGGGTCTAACTTTAGCTTTTAGTGGATGGGTTAGAGGCAGGTCCCTGGGACAGGTTTAGGCCTGTTTGACTTTGTTAAAGTAAACCCACTACATCCGTAATAATTAATATTAACAATATTATAAACTATTATGATGCAGTGAGATACTAAAGTGCCTGAGCCCCGCCTTCAGACAGGTCCAGCTGCACTTTTATAGAACAGGTTTAACCACAGTCCAAGCACAAACTAGAGCACGCATATAACATACAGCACACAGCCCTTGCACATGGACAGAATGTATCTTATATACATTTAACACATCTAACATAAAATAAATATCTGTGGAGGACGCTGCAGTCGTTGGATTCTGCACAAAACAGATCCCGGGGTTAGACCTGGTTTGGTCCCAGTTTAGTCCCAGTAAAGACTTAAACTTGAGCTCTGTCAGAGGATTAGAGGCGCTCACCTCTCGGTTCTGGGCCAAACCCCGGGGTTCTGCGGGAGCCACGTCGGATTTGGTGCGGTTCTCTTGGGCTTCAGTTCTGAGGAGGTCCGCTGTCCTCGGTCCAGTTCTAAACTCATTAAAAACTCATTGAAATCCAGGAAAGACCCGAACGCACGGTGCACGGTGCCACATCCGCCTACCTCTCTGCGCTTGCGCAGAGCCCGGGGTCACGGGACATGGGGGACCGGATTATTTTGTACACCGCCTTAAACCAGAAGCACCGGAGCAACTTTCCCCACAACACCACAGGCGGCCGTATCCGCACCAGATGTATATACAATTATATATACAGTTTAAAATATTTTTATATTAAATTAATATATATATATATTTTACAATTCTATTTAGTTATATAGACAAGGCTCTTAACTATTTCAATGCGATTTTCTGACTTTCTGTTCTTGTGGAGCTCTCTATGGAGGAGACGCTGCTGTTGTTTATGCTTTACAAAAGTACGTTGAAATTAACTCTGAGTGAAACAGGTACTGTTCTCACTCTTCACTGTTGTTCGGAACTAAACCATTTACTATAATTAATGTTAATATAATAAAATACTGTATCTTTCATTTGTGAACTAGTCCACGAACATAGACCGCAGCCCGCTCAGACGCGGCGTGCTGTGATTGGTTAAAACACTTCCGCACAGGATTCTGATTGGTCAAAATCTCAAATACTTTGGCCAATCAGCGTGTTGCGTTTCCCTAGATCCCGCCCCGCGCTGACGTGGCGCGCTCCCGAGGCTCCAAAACCGCAACGGTGCGCGTTCCACTTCCTCCGGCTCCAAGCGCACTGTTCCCGGCTGTAGACGCACTGTCCCGGCTCCAGGCGCACGGTCCTCGGTTGCTCCGCCTGCTCTCTGTGTGGATCTGTGCGTGTCTCCGTGGGTCTTCGTAACAGGCTGAAGGCCGTGGATGCTCAGACGGTTCGCGGCGCTGCTCAGACGGAGGATGAAGTGTGTGCTCGCGCTGGCGCTGCTCGGCGGCGCACTCGTGTTCCTCGCGTTTCCCGGAGGTTCCCAGGCCGAGGACAAGAAGAAGGGCCCCAAAGTCACGGCGAAGGTACAACACTGCCCCGGGGCCCGGGGGTAGCTCATACTGTCACGGGGTAACTGGGTACGGGCTTAGCCATAGCCCCAAAATCACGGCGAAGGCACAACACTGCGCCGGGGTAACGAAGTAGTTACAGTCTTGTCCATAGCCTAGGGTGACCAGATTTTCAAAATAAAAAACTGGGATGTCTCTGTTTTGTGGTGGTTGGTAATAATAAAACTGTGAAACGAGTGCAGAACAAAGGAAAATTGTTATGCACTTGGCACTAATGTGAGTTTTTATAGTCACATTTTCTTTGTGTTTTTGTCATTTTTAAGCAACTTTTCTTTTTACCTAAATTTTATGTAAACAAATGAGAATTTATGCTTCTTTACTGTTGGCATGTATCAGATTAGTCAAAAATAGGGACGTGGGACATACAGGGGACACGGGGCTCAAAACTGGGACTGTCCCGGGTAAATAGGGACTTCTGGTCACCCTACCATAGCCCACCGTCAGAAGGTAGGGTTTTGGCAACTGTCCGGGTTCGCACACACTTCTCTGGGGATCAACCGGCTAATCCGTCGTTTTCGCGCTGTTCCTCTGCTCCACGGCCTCCGGATAAACCAGCCCCGACCCCGCAGTGGCCCTTCTCCCTCTGCTCAAACCCCCGTCCCTGGTGTGAAGCTCCGTTAGCTCTGGGCCTTTCCTGAGGCACGGGTCCAGCCCTGCGCCCAGCATCAGTGTGTTCAGTCCGCTGCTGTGGTGCCCATACCCATTCACCAGACCCAAACATTAGCCCGGTTCTAGCTCCACATTAGCCCGGTTCTAGCCCGGTGCCACGCCACGTCACATTGAGCTACTTTGCTTCGTCCTCCTGGCTGCTCATTGCAGTAGCTCAGTGAAACGTTCAGACGCGTTAGTTTCACGCTGGACGCTGCTCCGGGCCAGTGCTGTTCAGACAGGACCTGTTTAAGTGTCTTAAACAGTGGTTTCCTGCCTTTATTGTCTCACACTGTTGAGCACTATTGTTTGTTTTCTAGTACACTGATAATTATAAGTATTATAATTTAAAGTTAATAAATAAAATGTATGCCAAGTTTATCCGACATAAACTTTCTTAAGCTTGTAAAATGTACTTTAAAGGAAAAATCTGTGTTTCTCAGGTGTATTTTGACATGAAAATCGGGGAGGAAGAGGTTGGGCGCATAGTCATTGGAGTCTTTGGAAAAACAGTCCCAAAAACAGCTGATAACTTCATTGCCCTGGCAACAGGCGAGGTAAACGTCCCATAATGTGTTCATTCTCTGGTAGAGGGTCTGTGAGAGTAGACTAGGTTTAAACCAGATGTCTGTTTGCTTTGTGTTTTTCACAGAAAGGTTTCGGATACAAGGGAAGCAAGTTCCACCGCGTCATCAAGGACTTCATGATCCAGGGAGGAGACTTCACGCGTGGGGATGGGACTGGGGGTGAGACCGGAGACCGGGGTCGGGTCAGGGGGTGAGACCGGGGTCGGGTCAGGGAGGGAGAGCGACGGGGGAGGAGGGAGAGCAGAACGCACTCTGCTCTACCAGAATGAGCCACTGGTGTTTTTCCAATGGTGCCTCACCCCCAAAGCCTCACGTCCTCCGCTTCACTCCTGATTCATTTACCTATGGATTATTGCCTGTTTCAAATGAGCTCTTCCCTCCTTTTCCCCTTTTCACCTGTCTCCCCTTCTCCTCATCTATCTACTGTCTTTCCCCCTTCCTCACCAGTTTCTCATTCTGTCTTGTAGGTAAGAGTATCTATGGCGACCGTTTCCCTGATGAGAACTTTAAGCTGAAGCACTATGGTGCTGGGTGGCTGTCCATGGCCAATGCTGGCAAAGACACAAACGGGTCTCAGTTTTTCATCACCACTGTAACCACGCCTTGGCTCGACGGCAAGCATGTGGTGTTCGGCAAGATCCTGGAGGGCATGGTGAGTCCAGAGAGGGCACTTGGTCTAACCCTAATGCAGTTGGAGAGCACAGGGAGGGAATCTTCACTCTGCTAAGGATGGGTCGGTATGGATTTTTTGAGCAGATGGCAGATATTTGTACTCCTGCTATGGTTGCTAGTTGATATTTGCCGATACCTATATGTAGCCTTTAAAATCCATAGCTAGGCCCAGATTTTTTAAGTTGAAGTGAATTTCACAAATTAGCTTTTCACATTTGTAAAAATAATTTATCTGTGACATAAAATAATTAGGTATGTTTGCGTAACATAGCAATATAATGCTCTCCTATTTCAATCTCATCACTCTTTTCAAAAAAGTGGCAAAAATTGTGTATCAAATAGCAATATTGATATTTGGCATGGCCAATGCAATTCTAGAAAAGATGCATCACTCACCCCAAAACCCAGCAGGCCAGTGGTGGAAATACTCATTTTCTTTGAGTATATCTGTACTTTTAAGTATCATTAATACTTTTACTTCAATAGATACATTTTAAGTGTCAGTTTAGGTCCTTTTTAAAGCGTAAAAAATCAAAGTATTGTCCATTGTGCACATATATACGGTCTACGACTGTGCATATATTGATGTCATCTAAAGTTTCACATATAGTGATTTTGTTCACAATTTTTTTTATTTTTTAAGCTATTTTTATTTGTACACTTGTCTGCTCAAACTATAAATGTGGGTTAGGGTCTCATGTCTCAAACCATAATAATAATAAAAATAAAAAAAAACTTTTCAGTCCAGTTCAAAAATATAATGGGGTAGAAAGTAGAGATATCAGATCAAATTGAAAGTAAAAAGTATCCCCGTTTTCAAATTTTACTTGAGTATAAATGCCTAAAATTTGTACTAAAGTATTGTACTTTTACTTTGCCACATTCCACCACTGCTCTTAACTCCCGTGTTCATTGGGCTATGCTTCCAGTGGCATATGTCTCAGTACAGCTGCTTGTTTCAGCTTGTTCTGTATAGTAGTCAATGTAAAGATATCAACATGTGCTGACTGTGGTAGATTACAGGTTTAGACTGTGGGGTAGGTGGTTACAGGTTTAGACTGTGGTAGGTTACACAGTTCTGAGGAGATCTGGACTTGTTTTCTTTTTTTCAGGACGTCGTAAAGAAAATCGAGTCAACAAAAACTGATGGTCGAGACAAACCGCTCAAAGACGTGGTAATTGCCAACTGTGGAACACTGCCTGTGGAGAAGCCCTTTGGAGTGACCAAGGAGGGAGTCACGATCTAAACCTGGACTGGATCTAGATCTGGGGCTAAACCAGGGGTGTCCAAATTATGGCCCTGGGAGCAATTTTTGTTAGCTCTTAGGCTGCCTGCTGAATTGGCTCAAATGATCAGGAATTCTGCCACTATAAACTCTATGACATCATATTATATTCAGATGCACACCTAAAATTAATGCCCCAAGCCTTATTAAAGATACAATGGCTCTTTAATGAGTAACGTAAATACACCAATATGAGAAACCTGCTGTAATGAACTGTCTGTGGCCCTCCGTTCTGAATAGGCTTAGATATGTGGTCCACAGTGAAAAAAGTTTGGACATGCCTGGTCTAAACAAAGGTCTAAACCAGGTCAGGGTCTTCAGGGGTGGGACTTTCATAGGGACCAGGGGTAAATTCATTCCAACATGTTTTTGTAAAAAATGGATCTGAATAAAATTTTGTTATAAAACATCTAACATTTGGTTGTGTTTGTGGCTCAACTCACCTCAGCATCTCTTTGTTAAATGTTAGGGAACATTTTTTCTAGTACAGTTCAGAATTAGATTATTGTATTTTATTGTATAGCCTTTTCCCTCAACAGTACTGCACTTGCAGCTGCTCAGAGGTTAATGCCAGCCCCCCTCAGGCGTTTAGACGCATTCTATAGTGCTGTCGCTCAAGTGTCTGATGGAGGGTGTAGTCTGAGTTAGACGTCAATTTGGACTCAGCCTTTCAGACCATTGTCCCATTTTAGAGAGTGTTACACTTCTATGGGGTATTAACTGCTAACACAGCATAGTTTTGAAAATGCAATACTTGCTGAAAACAAGGTATCATTTTCATTTGACCCTCTGAAGGGGGAGTAAAGATAGAGACGAAACTACTGCATATCGCGTCAATTTGCTGTGTACAGATTTGTATATTTATGGAGAACTGTGTCAGAGCATGGGTGATGTATTGCTAACCATAGGGAGGGTTCGAATATGGCCCAGGAGAGATGGCTAAAATACTCAACCATGCATGGATGACATAATGTATCTGATGAGAGAACTATGTTAGAACATGCTAGAAAGCAAAAATATATATAAATTGATACCCCTTCAAAGTAAAATGCATCAGATCACACACTCCCTGCAGACACGTGCACACCAAATCTGATTATTGGAGCTGTTAAATTAAATGCACTACAATACTACAAAGTCTGATGTGAGAATCAGACTGATCATGGTCAAACAGAAACCGGTTGATTTGGCTGTTTACATTTGAACTCTATGGCTATAATATAATCTAATGTCTCTATAAATGTTAATCAGATTTTTCCCGTTTGCATGTGACCGCAGAGTGTCCCAGCTTTTCTTTGGCAGGGATCCACCTCTACTGAAAAACTGGATCAGTATTGTAATGATATTTAATAGTGGATCTCTAGATGTAATGATTCTTATTTACGGACTCATTTTGGCCTAGAATGTCTCTCATTTCTTATAATATGTGAAAGATAAATAACAATTACAATTCAATCTCCTATGTATTAAGTTAACTGTGTTTTAAGGAAATAAACTCCATTTTCAGTTCCTACACTCGAATCTTATGATATCAGTCAAAGTATCAATATCAGAAACAAAAAAAACATGGATCGGTGCATCCACGTTTTATGTTCAAAATATACGTCATGGTTTATAAAAAGCCCAAACTGCTTCATTTCAGACACGTTTTTATTGACAGGTAAAACTGATGTCTGGTGAAGATCACAGGAGGAAAGGTTTTATGCTTCAGGAGGAATCTTTAAAACTGCAGCAGTGAGTGAATTTTAACAAACTATTTTGGAAAACACTAAAGCTATAAACAACTTTATTTTGTATTTTAATGTCTTTATTTTACAGTATTTCAGAAGAAAACCTCTGTTTCTACGCGATTGCACATGATCCAAAGTAACATTTCCCTACAGGAGGAGATTAGGACATCTGACAAAGGGATACAAGAGAACGAGAATACAGGAGGATGGGAGAGCATCTGACACTCACGAATACAGGAGGGTCAGAGGGCATCTGACACACACAGGAGTGTATCTGGCTCTACAGAAGACAGCAGGCCCTGAACAGTTCTAGGGAAGATGTCACCTCGAGAGGAAGATTCTGATTGGCAGAGAGGAAGAACACAGAGCCCCGTTTCAGAGTGATGTCACTGTGTGAAGTGCAGCGGGCAGAGCCGGAGATGACTAACAGAATGCTGCCGCTGTCGAGAGCCGCCACCGTGTACGACTTCAACTCAGCAGGAACCTGCATTAAGACCAGAGTTAGACCAAAACTAGAGACTAGAGACCAGAGCAAAGATTGCGTTTTAAAAAACTAGCAAACAGGAGCTGCCAGCTACTAAGCACAGCACAATCCATGTGTTGGTTTGTTGTGAACGGCAAAGAGAAACTTTATGAAAGTATTTGACCCAACCGTGCTGAGGTTGCAGTGACATCTATTGGTAATACTGCAGTACTAAATGCACAGGGTTTCAGACATTCTTCTACAGTGTGATTTGATGATTGCCAATAAAATGAGTAAAATTTTATGTGTGTGCAATTATTGATGTGTTAATATTAAACTAAATAAAAGTGAGGGTTTAGCTAATCCCCCGGATGAAGGATTACACAGATTTAATGGCAATAAATCTAACAAATCCAGTGTAAGAGCTGAGAAACAAGGAAAACACTTTTGTAAATACTAAATGCCATGCTCTTACACTTTAGCATAAACTTGTACTGGCGAGGGGAGATAATCCACACTCCACACAAATCACCTGCACTTGGACTTGGACTTGTACTCACAACCTCTGCTCTGACACGAAGTTGCTGCCTGCTGTACCCATTGTACCCACTCACTCTGCTCCGAAAGATCACAGCACCACCAACAGTGGGGATTTCAACCTCTTAAATCACATGACAGGCATTCTGAATGCCCCTGTTTGATTATCACTCCTAACCAGGACATGAGGAGTGTGGATGTGAGTCAGACAGGTGTATTATGGGTCAAATGAGTGCATTGTGAGAGGTGCCACACGTGAATTGTGAGTAAGACAAGTGCGTCGTTAGCATGTTGTGGAGGTGCATCACAAGTGTGTTGTGGGAGGTACCACAGCTGCATTGTGGGAGTTACCTGAATGCGGATGACACTGAAGTCGTCGATGGGCGGATCATACAGGGTCACGTGAGGGTCCTGGTCATCACGGCGACAGGGGAAGAGTTTGGAATGGGCGGGGCTGGGGCTGTAGTCCAACATCTCACAAAGAGTGTCCACGTCCAGAAACTTTGGGGTTAGACCAGCCCGGACCGTGTTATCACTGCATGACATGCACTCTATGCAATCTGAAAGAGACCAGAGTCCTGGTTTAGTTCTCTCCTCCGTACAGGTAGGCATGGACCTCGTTGTCTCAGTCCTGATTTAGTTCTAATTTAGTCCTTGTTTGCCCTGGTTTAGTCCTGATTTAGTACCTCCGTACAGGTAGGCGTGGATCTCATTGGCTCTAAGGAACATGGCTTCTCCTGGCTGAAGTTCGATCAGGTTCAGGAAGTAGACACAGAAACAGCCGATATCCCCGGGGAACTGAGTGTAAAGGGTTAACAGAAGACTGTCCACAGGGGAGGGTTTACCTGAGGAGACAGAGGAGCGAAAGAGCAGAGAGACAGGTGAGAAAGAAGAGAGAGGGGAAAATGCACCTTGAAAAGTAGTGTCCAGCACTTATCACTAGGGGTCAGTACAGGCCACAATGCATTAGGAGGTCTTTAACCGAAGACAAGACTGAATGAAAACAGACAGAAGTGCTGCTTTATTGCACTGTTGATCCTTGATTATGAATAAAACACTCTAAATAAACCTTGAAGTAAAGGTGCTAGGGTTAGCTTCTTAGCTTAACTTGAACTGTTAAAAGAGCAATCATTTCCACATCTCTATGTTTATTGTTAGTCCATAAATACTAAGAAGCTGCCAGTCCACTCTGAACATCTTTCATGACAGAAATCACTTTTGTCAGAATTTAGTCTTTAGACTTTCTTTTCACCCAGAGTCAGAGTCATGTGACCTGGCCGTAGTGATCTGCGTGTTTGAATCTCTCTGAATGAGAACCTCTAGAATCCACTAAAGTGTGCAGGGCATGAGGGGTTAAGGGCTGGGGAAGGCATTCAGCCATAGCTGAGCAGTCTTTACCTGAGGAGAGAGAGAAGACAGACAAACAGAGAGTGAGACAGACAGAGACAAAAACAGAGAGAGAGATGAAGGTCGTTTACTCCTGGTCTGGTTCTGGTCTAATCCTGGTGTAATCTTGGTTCAGTCTTTGTTCAGTCCTGCTTGAGTCCTGCTTCAGTCCTTACCCTCCTCTGAGAGCCTGTGGACTAGAGCTTGGAGCTGGGTCTTGACCAGGTCTGAGTCGCTCCTCATCATTCGGCTGAAGCAGGTCTTTAGAGCAGCACGGGTTTGGTCCAAGTCCCCCAGTGAGGACTTAAGACCCTGGACGGAGTCTGGACCCACCAATGCCAAGAGCTCCGGTACCCCTAAGAGATGAGAGAAAACTGATTCAGTCCAGGTTCAGTTGAGGTTCAGTCCAAGTTCAGTCCAGGTTCAGGATCTTACCTGAGAAGAAGTCCAGGATCTCTGAGACTGGTCTGAAGCCACAAAGTCCAGTGAAGGGCGTGAGGGCGATGGCCATCTCCGGTTTGTGGTTCGCGTCAGGATAATGCTCTGGGAACTGAGTGTGGAGTCGCACCGCCAACTCCTGAGAGAGACCAGTAGCCTCATTTATAAAGCATACGTACAAAATGGAGTCTAAACGTTACGTATGTGACATTTCACTTAAAAGAGGGGATATTTTATTTCTCTGGGATATATTATTAACTGCCAACACATAACATATTTCAAAACTATATTTGCCCTAAAAGACATATTAACCTATTTTATAAATTTAAGTTTAATTTTTAATGCTCTAAGTCCCCCCCTCCCTTTGCTCTCTGCGCTAAGTCACACCCCTTCAAAGTGACATCATAACACAATCTGCAGACATCTCCCTGATGAAACCACTGCTCATGCCTTCAGGTTTGTCAAGTTGATGTGTACAGCTTTGTATATTTAGCATGGGAGCATGGGTGATGCAGACTTGTGGGCAGAGCTTTATGTAGGGTCGTACTGCAAACTGTAAGGAGGTTTCAGTCAAAAATACTCAAACATGCATGAACAGATTGTTATAACACAGTGGCAAGCTCAAAAAAGATCTTGCATAATACCCCCTCTTTAAGTTTGGGATCGATAAAAAGACAAATTGATGTGGGATTGTTCTGACTACAAAACTGCACCACATGAGAAGCTTTCAGAGGCAATCTGTACTCAGAAAGAAGAGAAAGGGCCAGTCTGAGGAAGTTTGTATTAAGTGTATGATGGATGGATATAGGTGGCTTTACTTAATATTTTACAGAAATATTAAGTGAATATCATTCACTAAATCACAACTGTCGGTGGGAATAATCACAATGGTTGTATTTATCATAAGATGTGGTCTTATTTTGTTTAATATAAGGAGAAGCTGATTACATAATCACTGGGCATCAAGTTGACAAAGCAAGTGTCCAGCTGTCAAAGATGCTGCTGTCATATGCACAGACAGGTACCAAAGCTCTGCTGCCCCTAGCTGGTGTGTTCCAAGCAGGAAGTGCACATGTGTGCAATTTGGCTCCACTGGCTGCAGTTCAATTTCTGTGGCACCTATCTCTGTAACTGCTGCTGTCAGGCTCCTCATTTTGGTCTTAAAATGTCTGTATTAACATGCTCTACATGTCCTGGTTTAGTCCTGGTTCACTTCTGGTCCAGTCCTGGTCTAGTCCTGGTCCGTACCCGGTCTGGGTGGGCCTGGATGGACAGGGCGGTCCTCACTGACAGAACTTTAAATAAGAACGGGAGTTTTCCTTTGAACCTCTCTTGGACTTTGGTGCCAAGACTCTGGGGGTTCTTCTGTATCCAGGCTCCCAAAGTTTTGTCTGAGATCTGGTCCAAGAGGATTCCAGAGTCGGCTTTGGGGTGAGCGCCCATCCACAGCTGAAAGAGAGAGACTAATGTGAGGGCTTTTCACAGCTGCAATCAAAGTGAATTGATCCTAAAAGCAAAGGCACTTAAACTAATCAAAACAAAACAAAACAAAAAATACAAAATACAAAATACACATTTTCAGGAGCCTGTGATCAATTCTTGCTTTCTGTTTAGGTGTATGATATTTAACAAAAAGGTGAGAGTGACTAACTGAAAAACAGTTGGCTAATGTTAGCTAGCTTGTGACTGTAGGGTTATTTGAGAGAGTTATTTAACAACACAAATAAGCTCCCCTGTTGTAGTTCCAGCTAAATCGGTTCCTTCTGGTCTGACTGTGTTAAAACAGCTCAGATTAAAGTCTAATTTGTGTAACAGAGCTTCAGACAGAGCAGCGCCTAATAAAGTGTCAATACTGACTATAACCCTAACCCAGGTAAGTGGTAATTCTAACTGTATTGACATTAGACATTTACAATAAACCCATGTAAATGTTGAGATTAGCCAAAGGGCTCCGCTGTATGAGCTCATGTTCAGCTTTATTCCTGTTTTTGTTCCATTGGATGGTTTCAGTGATTACAGAGATACTAACCATAAAACAGGTCAAAAAATCAAGTCCTGGTCAAATCCTGCTCCTGTACCAATTCATTTGATTAATTCAGTTTAGTCCAGGTCTTGTCCTGGTTCAGTCCTGGTTCAGTCCTGGTTCAGTCCTGGTTCAGTCTGGTTCAGTCTTGGTTTAGTTGTCGTCCAGTACCTCTGCATAAGGAGTGTTTGCGTCAATAACACTCTGGGGGGCGCTGTGGAGGAGAAGCTGAGCAACTTCACTGTTTAAACCCAACTTTCCCCATGAGTAGTGCTGCGGCCTGCAGGCTAGAGGAAGAACTGCAACACAAATACAACAGATCAACCCACAATGCTACAGCCATAGTCCTACAGGCCAGAGGGACAACTGCAACACACATTCAGGGCTGTGACGTCATTTCAGGTTCATCAGGTGAATGAAAACAATGAGCACTGTCACTGTTTGATTTGTCCCGTTTTTCAGAGTACCCAGATATTTTGAACCTGAAGTTGCTACAACAACCATACTTTGATTAAATTTGGTTTGTCCAATCTATTTCACTTTTGGAATAGAAAGTGCTTTACTGATAAATATTTGCTATGTATCTGTGAAAATTCTGTATTTGAATTGTTACTAAAGGTTAGAAAACAGCAGAGGTGAGTAAAGTCTGACTTCAGTAAAACAGAACTTTGAGGATTCTGCTCAAATGCCATAATTTTTGTTTCTGTTTCTAAGAATTAACTCTGTGAAAGAGTCAAACTTTGATATGAAGGTATTTAAAAGGAGAGGACAGTTCAACACATTAAAAAGGGCCAAATTGGACAATGACAAACCTGCTACAGTGTCCTCTTTTATAGCTACGACACGACAGCTCAGATGAACAGGTGCAGTTCAGATGGACAGGTGCAGATGGACAGGTGTAGTTCAGATGGACAGGTGCAGACGGACAGGTGTAGTTCGTGTAAATGTGACAAAAGTGAAATTCCTCTGAGTTAAACTAATATTTGAGAGAGTTTCCTCACAGCGCTTGAGGTCTCGACGGTAACACAAACCCAATCACCAGAACATAGTCTTTATACAGACCTTAGACTTTATCTACACCATAGACTGTATACAGTAAATACACAATACAGACCATAGACCTTATCTAGGGCTGTCCAAACTTATTTCACAGACGGATGCATATTGAAACATATGTGACAAGTGGAGGGCCACGGACCGGTGGCCAAAACAGCGGATCATTACGATTTGGTGGTTATCATTAGGGCCAATTCAGCAGGAAGCCTATTTTATACAGTAAATACTCTCAGACCATAGACTTTATACCGTAAATACTTTATACAGTCTATGAACCACACACGAGCTATTTTTACCTCCACGACACGGAGAATGAACCAAGTTCTGGTTAAGATCTGGTTTAGTCCTGGTTATATACAGCCTGTGGTTATAATACATTTATACTTTACAAACTGAATTAGATGAAAAAATGTATGCCACCATAGTCTTAACCAAATCTATGGAAGACATTACATAGTTATGATATTAGATTATAACACAGCAGGTGGAAAGCTCCGGGTAAAGCCTGACTGACTGACCCTGAGCCCAGTGACAAGGGACCTCCTGGGCCCCCGGGACCACCGGACCGGGCAGAATCGGAGAGCGGTCTGCTTCACAGCACTGGAGCCAGTGACAACGTATACCGGAGGATAAACACGATAAACCTCTGTGAGACCCGGTAAAACAAAACCGAGCGGGGACACTCACCGGGCACTTCCGCCATCGCTGCAGCCACACTGACGCATGCGCAGTTCCAGGCAGAATCGCGGAACAGAATCAGGAAAACTTTGCCTCCGCCTTTCCTCCGTTTTTTTCCGTGTTTTCCTTTAGTAAACCGTTTCTCGACGCACCCCGCCGCTATGTCCAGCTTCGACACGAACCCATTTAGCGCCAGTGCAGCAGAGAATCCGTTTGAGGTGAGTTTTCCTGGACTTTTCAGGGACTTTCGCAGAGTTTAGAGTAGTCCAGCGCAATCTGTGGCTAGAGGGCGGGGCTCGGAGCGAGATCTACGCTGTGATTGGACAGTTCAGAGTGAGTGACAGGACAACAACGAATCAAAGTGCAGGATTGGGCTGAGGGGCGGGGTCACTGGTAAAGGAAGCTGAAGTGAGGGAGTTTAGAGGGACGTTTCACTCCGAAAACCGGTTTAAATAGTTTAAACCGAGAATCACCGGACGAATAACGGTCTGCGACAGAAACTGCGGCTTTGAAAATGTAAATAGGCCCAAACAGAGCGGAAATGAGACGGAAAATAGGGAACGGAACGTCACATGTGACACAGACACAGCGCGCCCTCTCTAACTAACTGGAAAATTTCATATACACAAAGCTAAATTCTCAAAAACTACTACCAAAATATTTTATTTAAAAATGTTTGTTTTGTTTATCTAAACATGTACATAGAAACAATCAGAAATGTGGAAAAAAAAAAAAAAAGAACAAGGACTAGGGCTGTGCAAAAATATCGAAATATTCATATAGCGTATCGTTAAAGTCGTATCGTTTAGTGATACAGTATTGATATCATGGGCTGCTGAGTCGATATATGTATACATGTATACTTACCAAATTATTTTATTACAGCACTTCAATTGGGTTGCTTGTTTAGAGGAAGGAAACTTGTTTATGCAATACATTTGACATATTCACATACAATTGATCTTTTTCAATTTAGTATCTCAGCCATGATTTAGTAGTTCTTTTGTGAGCCTTTGTACATGTAAATGTTGAGCTCATATAGGATGTGAATGAATCAGCAATAACCCATACTAAGGTTTTATGTATTCTTCTAGTTAGTAACTTGCATTAAACTAAATGCACTTTGTTAATTTTCCTTAATGGGCTTGATTGTATAAAAGACTTTATTTTTTTACTGAACTGCACAAACAAACATGCACTGTATCGCGGTATATATCGTATTGTGGTCTATATATCAAGGCATATATCGTATCAGCAACTTCTTAATGATACCCAGCCGTATTAAGGACTATAAAATGCTACTTTAAATACTTCCCACACAAATATATTAAATCTACTTTTCATTTAATGTACGTATCTTTTCTTTCCTTTTGTTTTTAGTTTATACCGTAACTCAGGAACAGAGGGGGTACAGGGGAGGGACAAAGGAGCGATGTGTGGGGTCCTGACTGATAGACAACACAGTAAAATAAAAATAAAATAAAAGTGTCTGTGCATTACATCAAGTTTATCTTAATCCTTCCTGACTACTGTGGAAATATTCACTCTCTGTTCACAGCTGTTTGTGGAGGATTATAAAGTAAATGTGTTCAGTGTCAGGTACAGCCAGGTGTTTGTCTCACAGATGGGGGAGGAAGGAGAGAGGGGGCAAGTGAAAGACAAAACCACACCTGGGTACTTTTATTTGATTATAAGGCTCACCACATCCGGGTTCTGCTGAATATAAAAAGGGCGTGACCCAAACAAATTACACAAAAGAGAGACAGAGAAATCAAGGAGAGGGAGGAGAGACAGACAGAGGAGAGAGAGAAAGAGAAGGAGTGGAGAGAAGGATGGGAGAGAAAGAGGGAGGATAGAGATAGAGGGAGGGGAAAGATGGAAATGGATGAAAGAGAGAGAAGCCCTCTCTGAATCCAATTCCTCCTCCTTTTTCCTCCCCATGTTTCCTAGCTCCTTCACAGCTGAGTGAAGGTTCTTTTATTAGACACTTAGAGCTTCGGCTTTTGGACGCACTCCCCTTGTTCATAATAGAAAAACACGCCCATAACACAGTCCACTACTGATGTTAAAATGATCTTAATGATCTTAAAAGTTTTTGATAAAATAGCAATACACTTGATCAGGTGGAAAAATGCACTTGCTGTGGCAGTTCTTAATGTTAAAGTATGTAAACATATGCAAAACATAAAGCATAAGCTACAATACATTAACTCAACATAGAATCGTGGTGACACTAAGGACATATTACACAATTTGACCGTTTGGAACCACACTTAAAGTGCCGGCTCCTTTGCAGGTGTGCTCAAAATGAGGATTAGTGCAAAGGAAAAAGGAAAGGAGGAGGGGGAGGTTGTTTGGAAAAGGGCCATAGAGTCCTGAGCATGGGAACTGTGCAGCTGTGAACCATGACTGCAACTCCCATCATGCACCTGGGCCTGAGCAGATGGTGCAGAGGAACAGAAAAGGAGCAGTGCTGCAGAGGAGGTGCAAAGGAGGAGCAGTGATGCAGAGGATGACAGTTGTTGTTTTTCAGGATCCTTCAGTGACGCAGGTGATGAACTCCACTGTGACGTCAGTCGAACAGTTCTACCCAAATGTGAGTCCTGTTTCTCTCTCAGCCCTAAACTAGGACCCAACCAACACTAGACCAGGACTGAACCAGGACTGAACCAGGACTGAACCAGGACTGAACCAGGACTGAACCAGGATTAGACCAGGATTAGACCAGAATTAGGATAGCACTGACAGTCTCAGAATCATAAATATACACTTCGAATCACTTTGTGCATAAATGTGTTTTACAAACTAACTTTCATTGTTTTTGCAGGAAACCACAGGATCCACATCTCCTGCAGTTCTACAGCCCTCCACAGAGCCAGCCCCAAGGGTAAAACATAAACAAGGACTAATCGAGAGTCTAAACCAAGACTAAACCAGGTCTAACTGTGTGTTCAGGAGGTGGCAGCAGCGGCTCAGGCAGATCTTCTCAGGCGACAAGAGGAACTCGAGAGGAAGGCTGCAGAGCTAGAGAGAAGAGAAGAAGAGATCAACAACAGGAACAGAACCCAGCCAGGTCTGAACCAGGACTGAACCAGATCTAAATCTTATCTTAACCAGGTCTGAACCAGGACTAAACCAAGACCAGGTCTGAACCAGGTTTAAGCCAGGTCTGGACCAGGACCAGATCTGAACCAGGTCTGAACAAGGACCAGATCCTTGTCAGTTGCCTGATATATTGGGCCGATATTGGCACTTTTTAGTGCAATGGCTATTGGCCTAAAATCTCAAAACAAACATGGTGGTCTACATGGAAAAAAGGAAGAAAAAAACACAGAGGACTGAGAAACAGCAGATTTGTGTAGAATTGACAGAAGTACCAAACTCTTACTTATCTTAGGTAAAAGAAGTGCTAGATTTCAGATCTTGAGTAGATCCTCTTGTGGTTTTGCTTATAAATCCTCATAGCAAGGATCTGGGTGAAGCTGCTGCTATAGGAAGCATGACTCTACTACTTCCTGTGTAATTTATCGCCAGATTTCTGTGCACTGAAAGCATTTATCTGAACTACTGCACCACATTTTAAAAATAAAAATAACACAGTTTTTACAGTTTTGCATCTAAACTACAAGTGTAATGCTCTGATCTTTTAGATACCTAAGAGTCTAAAAGTGAGCAATTTACTCTAGATTAGGTCACAGCTTTTACCTTGTAGCAGGTGGTCTCTTTGCAGCTGTTTTTGCCCTCAGAGATTTACAATCTATTATGATTCTTTTTGTGTCTGTTGTCTGCTCTGTTTGTTGCACGTTTAATAATCGATCTATAGAAGACTGAAAAATCCTGTAGTGTAGTGGGCTTAAGCTGTTATGTTTTTATGCTTTGCTTTTCTTTGATTGGCCAATTCAGTTTGTACTCCTAATACAATACAGTAAGTTGCACTCTTCAGTTTGTATTAGGAGCAGGTCTGCAGATCACTTATAGTTTGTCACAATAATTAATAATTTGTTAATTTGTTGTTCATTATATGAAAGCTGGAACAATATATATTATGCCTCAATATTTATCATGTGTACAGCCTTTTAATGATACAGTATATTTAAAATTAGGTTTACTGGGATATTTCTCTGTAACTATATATCATGCTTAAAAATACGTTATTGTGACAGGCCTAACCTACATTTAGTATTGTCTTTCAATGACTTGTGTTGTCCCGTTGACCATAAAAGCTTTTTTCAAAGTCTCAAATTGTTTTGTTTTCAGGAGTTAAGGAGAACAACTGGCCTCCTCTCCCAGGCTTCTGCCCCATCAGACCCTGTTTCTACCAAGACTTTTCAGAAGAGATTCCCCCGGAGCACCAGAGAGTGTGCAAGATGATGTACTACCTGTGCATGTGTGAGTGACTAGACAAACCAGGCACGTTGGTGAACTTTCTTTGCAATGCTGGTTGCATTACTGGACCAGGTTCGGCTGTCATTGATGTGCAGACCCAGGGGGCTGTGGACAGCTGCTCTTCCTAAACTCCACTATCAACTCTGTTGTTTTTAAACAATTCAGGAAGAGGTTGTTATTTAGTGTAATGTTATTTAGTTGTTTTATGTGACAGGTCTGGTGGGAGGTCAAGCAGTTGTATGTTAGCAGACTATACAGCAGGCGGCACAGGACACAGCCCTGGAGGACACCGGTGTCAAGAGTGATACAAATTAATTGCTTGCCCAATCACTAATAGTGATCCTATAGGAATCAGGAATACTTAAACAGGATTCAGGGTGAAGGTTTGAATTTCAGGACATCTGGTTTGGACATCCCTACTCACAACAACCCCAACAACACATAATGAACCATATACTACCTACAGAGCATCCCAAAACTCTCCAAAACACAGGCCACTTTCTAGGGAACTGATAACTGGGACCTGCAAATTTAAGCACATAAACAGTTGTTTATCTATGTTCCTTCCTGTGATAAACAGCGATGAGTAAAAAGTTTGTGAAACAGGAGTAGGTCTGAGTTGTAGTGACTCTTCCAACCCGAACATAAACCCAAGCTTCATGGTTATGCTGCTGTGTCTGCTTCTGAGTCTGAGTCTGCTTCTGTTTGAGGAAATTACATTTATGTGGTGTTTCTTCTCTCTGACTCTGGGCATGTGTTTGTGTTTTTGCTCATGTTTTGGTTAATTTCAGCTGAACATATGTGATGTTTTTTGTCATATGTCATATTTTTTCATATTTTTTATTTTTATTTACAGTGAACTCTTTGACGCTCTTCCTGAACGTGTTGGCGTTTCTAGCGCTCTTCATCACAATATCCTCTTATGGTCAGGACTTTGGTTTGGCTCTGGTTTGGCTCCTGCTGTTTACACCGTGCTCCTTCCTCTGCTGGTACCGGCCTGTGTACAAGGCCTTTAGGTATGAATACTGATACTATACTGATACTACTACTACTACTGACTGCTGATCACGTGATTGGAAATTGGCGCTGATCACGTGACTGCGGACTCAATGCGGACTCGGACATTATGTTTCGATCAGGTATCGGATAAATAATATATGTATATATAACACATAGAACACACAGGACACACAGCACACAAGTTTTTTTTGTTTTTTTTTACGCGATTTGCTCAGGGATGTCCAGTTAGTGCAACTGTCTGTCCCAGTGTCTGCTGTACTAGAGGTGCACTCGCGCTGGGACTTTTGAGCCGTGCTATGCTTGGGAGCTGTTATCTGGGGTTCTGTGGCCCGTGTTCACACCCGCGCAGCTGATGGCATTGTCGCACTGCACTGTTTGTTGCATGTTGTGCAGCTGGAGCTGGCGCTTTTGGTAGAGAGGGTGGGAACAGCGGCATGGAGTGTTTATTGAGCGGTGGGACCGATGTTGTGGTGCGTGCTCTGTGATGGGTTTGTGGGTGTGGTGGTGGTGCGGGGGAGTCGGGGGTGGCTGGGGTAGAGAGGCTGTGGGGCTTCTGTCATCTCGTTTTTATTTGGTAAGATTTTGTATTATTTGGATATCTTAGGAGCCTAAATGTTTTAAATGTAATGCACAGGCTTCCATATAATACCAAATATACAAAGTCTAGATTGTGCAGTCTACAGTCCCTGACAAAAGTTTTGTCGCTTATCCATTTTGTAGAAACAAAAGCTTATAAACTGACTTTAAATTAATCGACTGGTTTTAGAAATGTCTCATATGAAAGCTAAAACCCTCCCAAATTATGCTCAATATACTAAAATAAATTTGCTTCACTGAAGAAAGATTGATCATTTAATGAACACAGAAAGGTCAGATTTTGGCAAGACAAAAGTTTTGTCGCCTTGTCATATGATGCACCCAATCCTAGATTACAGCCTCACCTGTGATCAGTTACTGATCAGTCAATTAGTGGGTGTGTATAAAAAGAACCCAAGCACACCAGACCTTCACATCAACTGCAACTTGACCTCTGACAACATGCCTAAGATCCACCCTGAGACCAAAGCGTTAATTATCAAGAGGCTGAAGACCAGATCCACTGCTGAGGTGGCTGACACCTTCAATGTGTCTCAGCGTCAAGTACAAAGAATAAGAAAAAAATCTGAAATGACTGAAGATGTTTTTGACAAGCCCAGGTCCGGCAGACCCCGCAAGACAACTGCTCGGGAGGACCGTTTGTTGATTCGAAAATCCAAGGCCAGCTCCTTTTCCACTGCAGCAGACTCCACCAGGCCTGGTCACCTCAAGTCCCTGTGTCAACCAGAACAGTTTGTAGAATTCTGTCTCGAAATGGCCTCCATGGTCGAATCAGTGCACAGAAACCAGCACTAAACAAAAGTCAATTAAAAACCATGTGGCATTTGCCAAGGCCCACAGCCTGCTAAAAGAATGGACACTGGAAAAGTGGCAGAAGGTGGATTTCTCAGATGAATCCTCGGTTGAATTACATCACAGCCGCCGCAAATATTGCAGGAGACCTACTGGAGCCTGCATGGATCCAAGATTCACCCAGAAAACAGTTAAGTTTGGTGGTGGAAAAGTCATGGTCTGGAGTTACATCCAGTATGGGGGTGTGCGAGACATTTGCAGGGTGGAAGGCAATATCAATAGCCTAAAATATGGTAAATGGTCACATTTTTCTATAGCGCTTTTCCACCTTCAAGGCACTCAAAGCGCTTTACAACAAGGAACCACTCACCCATTCATACACCAGTGTACGCAGACACTGTGGGCAAGGTGGGTTAAGTGTCTTGCCCAAGGACACAACGACAGCATTCATCTGTGGGAGCTAGAATCACACCAGCCAACCTGTGGGTCAGTGGATCTGACCGCTCAACCTGAGATGTTTATGTTGAGAGCTGGATTCGAACCTCCAACCTTCAGATCAGTGGGCGAATGCTCTATCAACTGAGCTACTGCCGCCCTAATATCAAGAAGTATTAGCTCCTCTTACATTCCCAACCATAAAAGGGGTCAAATTTTGCAGCAGGATGGTGCTCCATCACATACTTCTATCTCTACATCAAAGTTTCTCAAGGCGAAGAAGATCAAGGTGCTCCAGGACTGGCCAGCCCAGTCACCAGACATGAACATCATTGAGCATGTCTGGGGTAGAATGAAAGAGGAAGCATGGAAGGCAAAACCAAAGAATCTTGATGAACTCTGGGAGGCATGTAAGACGCTTTCTTTGCTATTCCTGATGACTTCATCTACAAATTGTATGAATCATTGTGGAACCGCATGGATGCAGTCCTTGAAACTCATGGAAGTCATACAAGATATTAAATATGGATCTCACAGCACCACTACTTAATTCACTGACGTTATGCAACATATTTTTGTATTTGAAGTAAATTATTTGTTCAATTTCTGTAGGCGACAAAACATTTGTCTTGCCAAAATCTGACCTTTCTGTGTTCATTAAATGATCAATCTTTCTTCAGTGAAGCAAATTTATTTTAGTATATTGAGCATAATTTGGGAGGGTTTTAGCTTTCATATGAGACATTTCTAAAACCAATCAATTAATTTAAAGTCAGGTTATAAGCTTTTGTTTCTACAAAATGGATAAGCGACAAGACTTTTGTCAGGGACTGTAGTCTCAGGTCTGATCTGATCCTGGTCTGGTTCCTGTTTTGTCCAGTTCATTAAGTTTACTAAGTTACACATTCCAAGACCATACTGTGAAAAGGAATAATTTTCAACAATGATGGTGCATGGTTAGAAAAGTTAATAAAATTAGAATTTTGGAAATTTGATTTGTCACACTAAGTTCAGCTCAAATATTACACATTGAAATTGATACAATCTGATCCCCCATACATCCTGGGTCTTATTCTTTGCTCTTAGTTAATTTTATAATGTTTTATAGAAGTATCGGATCAGGACTCGGTATCGGCAGATACTCAAAATCAAATGACTCTGACTCACAGTCTGGGGCAAAAAAATGTGATCAGGACATCCCTACTAGTGATACTACTGGTATTACTACTGTGACTATTACTACTACTACATCTACTGATACTACTGCATGACTGATGCAAATTCAACAAATGACTCAAATTGGGAAATGGACAATTTGTGTGTTTGTGGGTCAGGGTTACTGGGGTTAGGTACATGGTTAGAGGTCAGAGTTAGGTTCAGTGGGGTCAGAGGTCAGGGGTCATTTAACTCTTATTCTTCTGTTTCAGGACAGACAGTTCCTTCAGCTTCTTCTTCTTCTTTTTTGTTTTCTTCGCTCAAGTTGTCATCTTCATCATCCAGGCTGTGGGCATCCAGGGCTGGGGTAACAGGTGAGTCTGACACCTGTCCTACATGTCTCTATGGTAAATGGTAATGGCTTCATTTTTAGAGGCAAGGAACCACTCACACATTCATACACCAGTATATGCAGACACCTATAACACCTGTCCAACACCTGTCACCCTGTATAACCACCCAGCCCTGCTCTCTGATTGGTCTGTTCTGACTGGTCTGTTCTGTGTCTAATCCTGCTCTCGGATTGGTCTGTTCCAGTGGCTGGCTCATAACATTCTCAGTGATTACAAGCAACAAAGTGGTGGGCGGGATCATGGTGATGGTGGCTGTTTTGTTCACGCTGTGCGCCGTTCTGTCCGTCATCCTGCTCAAAATGGTGAGTCCTTCCTCACACATGACCTCTAACCACTCACCCTGACCTCATGACCTTGTGACCTTTGACCCTAACCTCATCACCTCTGATCCTAACTGCACAACCTCTGACTTCTAACCTCACCACATTTAACCGCTGAACTCTGACCGTGATTCTTGTCTTTACCCGATTTGCCCCTTTTTAATGTAACAGTTTTAAATCTGTTTGTCCTACTGATCTGAAACCATTGTTATGATTGTTTTAGCTCTATCTTCAAGATTGCCAATTTGGTCAATTTTATTGTCAGTTGTCAATTTTTTCAAAAGCACGTGCAGTTACAGTGGAGGAAATAAGTAATTGATCCCTTGCTGATTTTGTAGGTTTGCCCACTGACAAAGAAATTAACAAGCTATAATTTTAATGGTATGTTTATTTTAACATTGAGAGATAGAATATCAAAAAGAAAATCCAGAAAATAAAAGAAAATATATAAACTAATTTGCATTTCATTGAGTGAAATAAGTCTTTGAAACTTCTAGCCAAAAAAGACTTCAAGTGGGTCTGCACATGTGCCTTCTTAAGCAGGGGGATCTTGCAAGATTTTAATCCACTGCAGCGTAAAGCGTTACTAGCGGTTTTCTTAGTGACTGTGGTCCCAGCTGCCTTGAGATTAATGACTTGCTCCTCCTGTATAGTTCTAGGCTGATTTCTTACTGTTCTCATGATCATTGAAACTCCATGAGGTGAGATCTTGTGTGGATCCCCAGACCGAAGTGTATTTCTTAACTTTTGGAACAGCTGCACCAACAGTCGTCTCCTTAACACCAGCTTCTTGTTTATGGTTTTGTAGCCCATTCCAGCCTTGTCCCTGACGTCCTTTGACAGCTCTTTGGTCTCTCCCATGTTGGAGAGTTTGGAGTAGAGCCTGACCGATATATCGGTTGGCCGATATTATCTGCCGATATGAGCAACTGAAAGCATATCGGCCGATATGCTTGCTGATAGGGACCGATATTTCACGTGGGCATGTTATGCCTCGTTATAAAGCTTAGACTCTCTACATTATGTTCATTTAATCCAATTTACAGACAGATAAATGTCCTAATATGTGGCTCCGCATCAGTATTTATCTGTGGAGTCATTTGTTTACACCCGCAGCGGTGCAACATTGAGATTCTATTCTTTTTACGGACAATCGGTTTGAGACTGGATTAAAAGAACATTTATTAGTGCAGACTTGTGATGTGAGGAGGAGCCTGTGTGAGCGGTGAGTGTTGGAAATACATCGACTTTGAAGCTAGTTTTGGTAGCGATTAGCTGCTGTAGCTCCCACACATAAACAGACTGTTTTCTCTTCTATTGGACTATTGTAAAGTGACTACATTGGCCGTATATTTGCCACTGGACCTGCATTGATATGTAAATGAGCTGTGAATACACGTGTGAATGATGAAATTTGCGCATATAATTAATTACCGCGGCGCGCAGCATTTACGGCTAAAGGCTAATAGCGATTGTTTATTTACTCGCTAGCAGTGATGGGTCGGTCGCGAACGAAGCGGCTCTTAGAGCCGGCTCTTTGAAGCGAACTATGGGAGACTGATCCTTTATTATTGGGATTGGAAGTCGTGTTTTCTCTTTCTCTCACTTTTTTTTTCTCTTCACGCCGCGTGCAGACTCTTGGTAGTTTGACAGCGGCAGCGGCTAAAATCAAAACTTTCAAAAATATGCGTGTGCATGGGGTAAAAAAACGTGCATAAATATATTCAGCATAAAATAAATAAACCAGGACTAATCTAGGGATCGAGAGAGTGAGAGAGATAGAGACCGAGTCCTGACACTCAGTCCTGGTTAAATTCTAGTTTAGTCCTGTTTTACACATGGTTTAGATCTGGTTTAGTCCTGGTTTAGTCCTTTTTCAGTCCTGGTTCAGTTCTGGTTTAGTCCTGCTTTAGTCCTGCTTTAGACCTGCTTTAGTCCTATGACATATCATGTAAAGAGGCAGAATAACAATAAATGTTGCCTAAATAAACCCAGGTTAAAATCCACCAGAGCCAAACCTAAGTTGTTTTTTTTATAATTCAAGATTTACAGTGAATTTTTACATCACTAAATATATTGGCAATTATATCAGCTATCGGCAGCTCCAACTCCCATTATATCGGTATCATATTGGCCACAACAAAATCCATATCGGTCGGGCTCTAATTTGGAGTCTGATTGATTGACTGATTCTATGGACAGGTATCTTTTATACAGGTGACTCGTTGAAACAGGAGTCTAATTCAGGTGATGAGTTGATTAGGAGTATATAACTAGTCTGTGGGAGCCAGAACTCTTAATGGTTGGTAGGGGATCAAATACTTATTTCTTTCAATGAAATGCAAATCAATTAATATATTGTCTATAATGTGATTTTCTGGATTTTCTTTTTGATATTCTGTCTCTCAATTGTAAAATATACCTACCATTAAAATGATAGACTGTTAATTTCCTTGTCACTGGGCAAACCTACAAAATCAGCAAGGGATCAAATACTGATTTCCATCATTATATTCATAGTTAAATAACTTGTCTTTGTCTGAATACAATTTAAAAATGACTTATGAGTTGCGTGAGCTTGTAGTGATCACCAGATATGAAGCCAGTATTGTGTTTGGGTTATTAATTGCATGTAAGAATACCATTTACTGACTGATTTTGAACCTTTCATAATGTTTGAACTTTTATTCATTCATTTATTCAAGCTCTTCATTTGTGATGTGAAGGATAAATAACAGATACATAACACAATTGGATCGGTTGTGTAATAAATTCTTTTTAGTTAAGGCCATTTTCCGTCGCTACAGTGGGTTTCGGAAGATATTTTGTCAAGTCAGTGTTTTGATATCTATATTGGAACTGAAAAAGCTGTATCGATGCATCGCTGCTAAAGACCAAACCAACGAAAATAGATACTTCTGAAATGTGTTCAGTTTAAATGATGCTGACCAGTGGTTAACCTTGAATAAATGGGTCCCACATTTTTAATAAATTCACACTGTAGCATCACTGTAGCAACAGCAGGACGAGGAGACATGTTTGTACCTTTCACTCACACACTTCTATGAAACAGAATTGTAGTTGACAATGAAGTGAAACTATGGACACTAGCGATGTTCATATGTGCCAAAATATGATTACAATCTGATTTCTGGAGCTTTCAAATAATTTAAACGGTACGCAATCTGCAAAAAACAGTGATGTGAGTGAACAATGAGACCATCACTACACACATGTCTGTTTTTAGACGCCCAGTGGCAAAGGGAATACAGGAAATTGCATATCTGTTTGTTTTCCTGCTGGGGGCAAGGTAGTGCCTCCCAGGGAGAATCTCTCTTTTACAGATTGGCAACTCAGATCACATAATCAGATGATCAGATACAGTTGTTCCTACTCCATAAAGAGTTGAGGTTGGGCTTTTACCTTTGAGCAGGTTTTTACAATGTTGTTTAGGCGTTGACTGATGAACCATAAAACCAACTGGTAAAGGATTCAATAAAACAATTACAAAAAGCAACAGGAGGTTGAGACATTATAATACTGTTTCCTCATCACAAACACTGAGTTCTTCTCTCAAACAGAAAACACTCTGTTCCACCTTGTGATGTCATGTGTTTTTAAATGCGATGCACCTTCACTAGAATCATTTGGATTATTTCAGTTTTGGAATTCCCAAAATGTTCTGAACTAAAAGGTAGCTGTTAACTTGAAAACTCCCTATATATGACATGACAAGGTGGAACAGAGCAATTTGTGCAGACTGTATAGACAGACTAAAGTGTTTCTGAAGTGTTTTGGTTGTGTTTGTTATAATAAGATTAGTTAAACTTTACTGATCCAGCAGGGGAACTTTGCCTTGGTCAAGACAAGGTGCATAGATGTCAAATAGAGAGATACAGTACACATGACAGGATAAAAACAGAAATTAATGCATTACAGTCACTTAAACAATCAGTGTTGTTCATAAAATTCATGAATTCATAGTCAGTACAGAATTTTTTTTAAAAGTCCTAAAGGGGCATGTGCACTAGTAGTGTACAGGTTCACGGCTCCTACCACTGCATTGGGAACAGTTTTTTATGGTTGTACATTGTAGTTATGTGGTAGTTTTCAGGTTGTATATCGTCATGTATTTGGTGTTTCTGAAGTGTTTTTCTTTGCTCTGTGTTGCAGGTCCATGGCTCATACCGTCACACTGGGGCGAGTTTCCAAAAGGCTCAGCAGGAGTTTTCTCAAGGCGTCTTCAGCAATAAGAACTTTCAGAATGCAGCTGCTTCTGCGGCGTCTGCGGCGGCTCAGAGCTCTCTACATCAGGGCAACTGATCTTCTGCATCACATGATCATCCTCTGCTGCATCTGACCCTTCTACAGCAGCTCAGAGCACTCTGCAGGACATCTAACCCTCCTCTGTATCATATGATCATCCTAGCGCTCTCTGCATAAGGACATTTACTCCTCCTCTGCATCATATGACCATCCTCTGATCATCCTGCGCATCAAGACAACTGATTTTCTGCATTCTCTGATTATCCTCTGCCCCATCTGACTCTTCTGTTGTGGCTTCTTCAGCAGCTCAGAGTGGCCTGAGTCAGGACAATTTATTCTCTTCTACAGCATATGATCATCCTCTGTACCCTCCTGTGCAGCTCAGAGCCCTCTACACCAGGACAACTGACCTTCTGCATCCCTTTTCTCTGGTTTGTACATTCTTGATCAAACAGACTCTAAAACCCCAGAGGATTAAAGCCCCTCTGTGTAACATTTAATCACATTAGAACAGGGTTAAAGCCCCACTGCGGAACATTTTATCACATTAAAACAGGGTTAAAGCCCCACTGCAGAACATTTCAACACATTCAAACAGGGTTAAAGCCCCACTGCGGAACATTTCATCACATTAAAACAGGGTTAAAGCCCCACTGCGGAACATTTCATCACATTTTCACAGGGTTAAAGCCCCACTGCGGAACATTTCATCACATTTTCACAGGGTTAAAGCCCCACTGAGGAACATTTCATCACATTATCACATTTATCAAGTTAAAATTTAGCAAAATGTAGGAGCTTTAAGGTTTGTGTCCCATAACATTTTACTGCCAACAAGACCTTGTATTAATTATGTTGTCCTCTTTTAGTTTAGACTTATTTTAGACCTGGTTTAGACTTGGTTCAGTCCTGGTTTACATCTGGTCTAGTGCTGGTTTAGACCTGGTTTAGACCTGGGTCAGTCCTGGTTCAATCCTGGTTTACATCTGGTCTAGTGATGGTTTAGACCTGGTTTATTCTTGGTCCATCTTTGGTGTAAATACTGACCCACAGTTGTGCTTTATTTGAATGGGGTTATTGTAATATTGCTCACAGTCTTTGATGATTGACTTGACAGACACAGGTTAAACAGATAATCGTGAATAAAATGCTGTAAATCTTTTATGTGTAAAAATGTGCCTAAATTAAAATGGTTATTTTTGTGATTTCTGTTAAAAGACTTGTCCTAGGTTTTCTTTGGCTGCCTCCTCTCTGGTCTCTGGTTTTGTCTTGGTTTAGACTTGGTCTAGTCATCAGGACTAAGTCCTGGTTTATTTCTGGTTCAGACCTGGTTTAGTCCTGGTTCAGTCCTTGTTTACTCCTGGTTTAGACCTGATTTAAACCTGCTTTAGTCCTGGTTTAGCTCTGGTTTAACTCTGGTTTAGTCTAAGTTTAGTCCTGGTTTGGACCTGGTTTTGACCTGCTTTAGACCTGGTTTAGTCCTGTTTTAGTGCTAGTTTAGTCCTTGTTTGGACATGGTTTAGACCTGGTTTAGACCTGGTTTAGACCTGCTTTCAGACCTGCTTTAGTCCTGGTTTAGTCCTGGTTTCCGTTGGCTCCTCCCTGGTCCCTCTAAAGTCCGCGCTCAGACTCAAAGACCTCTTTCAGCTCTGGACTCTGCAGCTGCTGCTCCCACGACGATGGAACAGGTAAGAAAAGCCCCATTCAGGAACATTTACTCAATAACTTTATACTTTTATATTTTTGAGTTTATTTGACAGTAACAACATTTTAGTGTTAGTTTCATGCAGAAGTTTATACAGACAATCTTTGATACTTTCGTAAATGAGCATGTGCCAGGACAAAGACCGATTTGATTTTAACACTAATGACAGTTATTTACAAACATGTTTTAGTTTTAACCAGAATTTAACTGAAAACAAAATAATTATTTAGGGTTCATAAAGTCCACATGAGAAGCACAAACGCTTTATTCATGAGGGAGAAACAGAGCTGTGTTCAGGTTAAAAATATCTGAGAAATCCAGCCAGAAAGATTCACACCTCAGGAGTAGACAGGAGCAATCAGGAGCCGACAGGAGCAAGCAGGAGTAGAACCAGAGGAGCAGACAGGAGTACAGACATAGCAGCAGGCAGGTGCAGACAGGAGCAGAACCAGAGGAGTAGACAAAAATAGTTTATAGATGTTTGAATGTGGAGTTACTTCTTGTTGCAGCTGTATTTAAATGTGAGATCACAAACTGAAGGTGTATGACCGGTTTTAGACTCAGTAGATCATTAAACTGGTTTATTTTGCTTATTTAAAAAAAAAATAAAAAAGTTTTCCAGTAGTCCAAAATGCAAAAATAAAAATTAAACGTTTTATAATAGACAAATGTAAAAATAAAGCCACATTTTGGTCTTGGTGTAATGCATAGAAATTAAAATGGCTAGTATTGTTTGTCCTTGTTTTTGTCGCCTCCTCTCTGGTCCCTGGTGTAGTCCTGGTTTAGTCATGGTCTAGTCCTGATGTAGTCCTGGTGTAGTCCTGGTTGAATCCTGGTTTAGTCCTGCTTTAGTCCTGGTTTCCGTTGGCTCCTGGCTGGTTCTCCTAAAGTCCGCGCTCAGACTCATGATTTAATGTTTGGTCTTATTCAGCTGCAGATCAAATTAGGGTTTGTGAAGTTTCAACCATATCAACAGCAACGTAACACAACGTAATAATAGAAACAAGTCCGCTGTCCGATGTCGCCGTAAACATCACTGACGTATGCTGTGGGCCCCTCCTATGGATAGGTGCACATCACAGTAGCAAGCAGTAGATTCAACAAACAAATCACATTCAAATATAAAAATAACAACACACAGAAAAAAACGTACAATCTTCATCAACAATATGCTTGCATGCAAAGTGGCCCAGAGTGTGAGGCCCAGAGCTTGACTCCAGAGCGTGATGCCTAGAGCGTGAGGCCCAGAGTGTGAGGCCCAGAGCATGACACCTAGAGTGTGAGGCCCAGAGCATTAGACCCATAGCGTTAGGCCCAGAGTGTGAGGCCCAAAGTGTGACGCCCAGAGTGCGACGCCTAGAGCGTGAGGCCCAGAGCATTAGACCCATAGCGTTAGGCCCAGAGTGTGAGGCCCAAAGTGTGACGCCCAGAGTGCGACGCCTAGAGCGTGAGGCCCAGAGCATTAGACCCATAGCGTTAGGCCCAGAGTGTGAGGCCCAAAGTGTGACGCCCAGAGTGCGACGCCTAGAGCGTGAGGCCCAGAGCATTAGACCCATAGCGTTAGGCCCAGAGTGTGAGGCCCAAAGTGTGACGCCCAGAGTGCGACGCCTAGAGTGTGAGGCCCAGAGTGTGAGGCTGAAGGTTATAGGCTCGACACATGGGTAGCGACATCACTGCTTCTCTACTCATTTCTAATGGCACATGTGTGACAGTGATAAAACTTTTTTCAACTACATGATTTCATGCTTTTTCACCCCATAATTCCCTCAAAATGTCCCATCCAATCTGTAGAAAACTGGTCCAGGGCAGATCGTGAAGCTGCAGCTGGTTGCTGCATCCCTCCCCGTGTGAGTGATGCTGGTCACTGTCAGTTGTCACTCTTGCTATGTGTTAAGTCCATTATGCTGAGTTCAAACGGTGGCATCAAAACGGCACCAAATTCCTCTTGTTACAGCCTGTGTATTTGAGGAAGATGCTTAAACTTATGCTCAGTCCATTTTGTAGAAAGTTTAAGTTCTGTTCATGATGCGCCATGTGAATGTTTAAATCCACCGTGTGAACACTCAAATGCCTATGCACCTCCCCCATAGCCTCTGATATAAACTTGATGCCCCGATGCCGCGGTCTGAATGCAGAGGAGTGTGTGTTCTGGATCTCAGGCAAACAAAATATATTTAGGCTAAAAACAAGAGGAGGGGTCAGGAGAGACAGGGCAAAGATGCAAAAGCTGCAAACAATATTACCTATGACATAAGCTGAGTTGTACATTTGTAGCGAGTATTATATGAGAGATAAGGTGAAGTGTTGTAGGGAGTATTATCTATGACGTAAGTCCAGGATGTCTGATTTGTAATAAGTAGGTACTTTAAAATACTGTTGAGGATAAAAGAGAAACCATAACAGTCTATCTCCCTAAAAGTGCAATCGTTTAAGCCAATTTAATCACGCATACCTTTGCAGACAGACAAGACTTTTACATGGACAGAATTAATGGGTTTGGCCCTTGGAACACTAATATGTATTAAATTGGGCCCACTGTGTAAAAAAGTTTGGGCGCCCTATGATCTATGACATAAAGTAAGGTGTACAGTTGTATGGAATATTATCTATAACATAAGGGGAAGTCTTGTAAGGAGTATTATCTATGGCATAAGGTGAGTTGTACAGTTGTAAGGAGTATTATATAACATAAATTGAAGTGTTGTAGGGTGTACTATCTATGGCATAAGGTGAGTTGTACAGTTATGTGGAGTATTAGCCCTCCAGGATCTCGTCCATGTGAGGGGGGGATAAAAGAGTCCTTCAGAGTCTCTGGGTTAAACCTTTCAGGAGCAGTGTCAGGAGCACTGTTGACAGACCCTGAGCAGAGAAAGGACTAACTTTTTATATGAAAAACATGAATAGGTTTATTCATTCTAGAGGGTGATGTAAATAACATCCTGCATGTCTCTCTGTCTGAGAAGAGCTTTATGTGTCCTAAAACATTTTCTACTGTTAGCAAGGTCTTATTAATTATGCGGTCCTCTTATGGCTTAGTCCTGGTTCAGTGTCAGTTTAGTCCTAGTTTAGACCTGGTTTAGACCTCTTTCAGACCATAGACTTGGTTCATACCTGGCTTTGTCCTGGTTCATCTTTGGTGTAAATACTGACCCGCAGCTGTGCATTATTTGAATGGGGTTAGTGTAATATTGATAACAGTCATTGATCATTGATGTCCGAAAGAATTAGCTCCTCTGTCCCTCTGGTGCAGTGGGTGAGCAGGAGTGCCCATGAGAGCATTAGACCCAGGGCGTTAAGGTGGGGGTTCTGGGCGTGTTAGCATTAGCAGCATTTGCAGGGTTTGCAGTGTTAGCAGCAGTAGCAGCGTTAGCGTGGTTAGCTTCACACTGGACTCACTGTGAGTCACAGAGAGCTTCTGTTCCTCAGCTCCGTTTGGTTTGGAGCAGCTCTGTTTACTTTGGCCCTGGGTCTGCTCCACACCCCTCTCCTCCTCCTATCTCTCCCCTCCTCTGTACCACCTCTCTTACGGCTGTCCCTCTTCTCTCTTCCTGCTCCTTCTCCCTCACCTTTCTCCCTCTCTCCTCTTTCCTCGCCTCTCTTCCTCCTCTATCTTCTCTCTCCCCTGTCTCTCTACCACCCCCCGCTCCATACTCTCTCCTCCCTCTGCTTCTTTTTCTCTCTTCTCTCTTTACTGCCTGTCTACCACCTCTCTCCTTTCTCCCACCTCTCTCCTCCTCCTTTCTCCCCTCTCACCCTGTGCTCCACCTCTGCCTCCCCCTTTCTCCTTCCTCATCTTTCTCTTTTGCCCCTCACCGTAACTCTCTCCTCCTGTCTCTCCTCCTTCCTCCTCTCTCACCCCCCTTTTCCCTGTCTCTTTCTCAAGTCAGGGTCTGACAGGTTTAACTCAGAGACACAGGATGGGTCAAATGTGTTACAACCCAGAGACACTGAAGGATGTGTCAAATGCAGGAGCTTCTACCGGCCAATAAGAAATCAATGACAAAGAATTGGCTAAGCCCAACCTCTGACATAAAGTACAGCTTCGTTATAGTTTGGGAAATATAAAAAGATGGAAAAACTGACATATACTCAAAGAACCCAGAGGGGGAAAAATGGGATAAATGGACTGAATATGTATCCTCCTTTTGTGTTTATTTTGTTTGACTAATTTCACTGTATTTTATGGGTAAAATACCTGAGCTCCCAGTTAAGCCACCTCTTTATTAATTTGCTATCTTAAAAAAGCAACTACAAAAAGATACAAAATTGTCTCTGTCTCACTTATTGTAATGATGCCTATCTTTGCTAATAAAATTGTAAATGAAAGCAATAAACTAAAATATGTTTAAGATTATTAAATCACCACATTTTTTGATCAGACCAGTTTGTCCTGGTTTGGTGTAGTCTTGGTCTGAACCTGGTCATAGTTCTGTTCTTGATCTTGGCCCTGGTCTCAGTCCTAGACTCAGTCCTGGTCTCGGTCCTGGTCTGGTCTCTCACAGAGTGTCTTTGAGTCACTCTGAGGTTTCGGGAGCAGACTGAGCGGAGCCGTGAACAGGGGGGACATTATTCAGCGTTACACCTCAGACCAGAGCACAGGGGGGACATTATTCAGCGTTACACCTAAAACCAGAGCACAGGGGGAACATTATTCACAGATACACCGGCTACCACGTGTGTGGGAGTGTTCACCACTCTGCCACAGGCTAACCACTCTGCCACAGGATAACCACTCTGCCACAGTATAACCACTCTGGCACTTTTCAGATACTTCAAATGTATTGTGATTTTTAATATTATTAAAATACCAGTAAATGACTACACCAAAAGAGCCCTAGGCTTTATCCATATATGTTTTTCTTCAGTATCAGTTAGCCGCTTTAAAATATACCAAATGTTTTTGTAAACCATTATAATAAAAACAACAACCAACGATAAACTTGTATTTTTAAAGAGAAAAGTAGATCTGATTGTACTGTCACTGCCTGATTTGTCTCGTTGTCCCATACTTCGGACAAACCTAATTTGAATAGAAGGTGTTTTACTTATAAATACTTGCTCTGTCTATGTGAAAATTCTGTATTGTTAATGAAGTGTTAATGAAGTTTAGAGTCTAAATGTCTACAGTCAAAAGTGTAAAACTGAGAACTTTGACGATTCTGCTGAAATACCAATGTTTTTTATTTACTTATTGTTTATTTCCTTGTCCAGGTCTCCATGACGACGCAGCTGTTCCTCCTGCTGGTGTCCCTCCCTCTGCTCTGGGCCTCTGTAGAGCTGTCCCCCCATCAAGGTGATACTTTACTTTTGGTTCAGATCTAGAGTAGTCCTGGTGTATTTTCTGGTTTAGTTCTGGTTTAGACATGGTTTAGACCTGGTGTAATCCTGGTTTGGGCCTTTTGTAATCTTGGTTTAGACCTGAGTTTGACCTGGATAGCTTACATTTACAAAGGCTCTGTGAAGAGTTTTAGTCAAACAGTCATCATGGCCATTTCTGCCCACGTGTAAAAGATCTTTTTGTCTTAAAGCTAATAGCTAATGCTAATGCTAATTAAAATATCATAACTCTACTGAAATATTCTTTCACATAAACATATCTCTTTACTTAGTTTAGTTGTTTTGTAAAGATTCTGACGGTGACCATAGTGATGTTCTCAGGAGTAGGGGGTTCTTCTGTACAGAGATAAACAGGAGTTTTGTCACAGTCCATTTCATTTGTGGCATTTGTTGCTGTTACCATCATCCAATTATCACCTAGGCTTGTTCTGAAACATTTTGGAACACCAGGCCGGTCCCTTGTATTTTTACTTAGAACTGTTAGCATTAGCCTGCAACAGTAAATTTTGCACCATATGGACACAACCAGTGACAGTTAATCAGTGTATTTGACACCTATATAAACAATAAACAATAAAAGAAGAATTTATCACATCATATGATTTGTTCACATGGGTTTGGTGGAACACGGGCATTAAAATGATGAGTTGGTCTGAGTTCTTGAACAGAATTCTACAGTTACCATGGAGCTGGACATACTGTACTATATAGCAATCATGGCAACCATCTCTCCTGTCCATCATTTATATCTGATTTGTTCTTGCGTTCCTCTCTGACGTTAGGTTTCTCTGGTTCTAGTTTTAGGAATTTAGGGTTCCGTGACATTCTGTGATGTTCTCTCTGGACCTGTCACAATAATTTCTACATTGACTTATTCTACGATATATGAAAACTAAATATTTTGGGGCTTGTTGTTTATCATGTTTACAGATTTTTTTGTGGGGAGATTTGGTGCTATTTTAGTTTGAATAGAATAACATTTGAACTGGAAATGTGACTTCTATGGCTAGTTACTGGTTCATTCTGCAGGATTATCCTGCATTATTGTTATTGTGTCAGTGGCATAAAGTAGTTTCAATATTACCATTTATCTCAGTATTTCTCTGTAGCAATATATTGTGCTCTAAAATGTTATGACAGGTCTAGTTCTCGCTCACGTTCTCTAATCTTGTTTTCCTTGCTGTTGTATTTTGTATTGGGGTTTTCATTGTCAGTGGTACTTGTTTTTAAATGTGTTTTACAAATAAATTTAACTGACTTGATGTTCTTTCTGATGCTCTCGTGAGGGTTCTATGGCATTCTCCTGATTTTCTAGTAATGTTCTCATGACGTTGTCCTGGTGTTCCCGTGAAGTTCTCGTGGTGTTCTAGTGACGTTCTTTGCAGGCCTGGGGAAGGAGTTCCGGGGTGGGTTTGTGATGACGGTAGAGTGAGGGGTTCTGGTTCGGGTTCTGCACTGTTTTCATCAGGGTTCTCTGATGTTTGACGTTCTTGTGTTCTTCTCCTTCACATACTTGGGAGAGGAGAGGTTAGGGTTAGGTGATGTTCTCTTGCGTTCTATTGTGTTCTTATGGCATTTTCTCTGGCATTTTTAATGTTCTTTTGCACAGATCTGAGAGAGAAGCTCTGGTTTAAGGTCTGCTCTGGTTCTGGTCTGGTTCTGTTTAAAGCATCCTCTCTGATGCTTTGAAGTTTGTTCTCGTGGTGTTCTGTGGCATTTTCTCTGAACTTGCCACAGGCCATGGGGAGGACCTCTAGTTTAGGGTTTGTGATGATGTTAGAGTAAGGGATGAAAGGTAAGTTTTTTCTAACATTCTGTGATATTTTTGTGTTCTCCTTCACAGACCTGGGGGGGACCTCTGGTTTAGGGTTAGGGTTCTCATGGCATTCTCTGATGTTTGTTCTCCTTCACAGACTTGGGGGAGGAGCTCCGGGTGAGCATTCCTCTGGACGCTCCATTGCTCCCCCTGTTGGGAGGAAAGGTGGTGCTGCCCTGTTACTTTGAGGACGACGTGGTAGCCCCACCCACCTCGTTGGCCGACCTAAAGCATCGCGTGAAGTGGAGTCATGTGACAGAGACAGGCACTCGGACGGTGCTGGTGGCAGTGGGCGAGACCGTGCAAGTGGAGGGGGAGTTTGTGGACCGTGTTACTATGGTGAACTACCCGCTGGTGCCTACTGACATCAGCCTCGAGATCACTGAGCTGCGTCGGACTGACTCGGGCGTTTACCGCTGTGAGGTCACACATGGGCTCCAGAGCAAACAAGACACAGTACACATGCACGTCACAGGTATGCCAGATGCCCTCCTATCTTCCTGTATGTCAGATGCCCTCCCATCCTCCTATGTCCTTGTTATTGTTATTGTTATTGCTAAATCTGAGTGCACTGATCTATTTCCAGTCTAACTCGTCCTTTTCTGTTTTTTTCTGGTCTTGTTTGGTCTGGTTCTGTTACAGGAGTGGTATTCCACTACAGAGCATTCACACGTTACTCTCTGACATTTGAAAAAGCCAGAGCAGCGTGTGAAGAGAACAGCGCTACTTTGGCCACTCCAGCACAACTGCAGGCGGCCTATGATGACGGATTCCACCAGTGCGATGCAGGCTGGCTATCAGACCAGACCGTCAGGTACTAAACCAGGTTTAAACCAGGACTAAACCAGGACAACCCAAAGACAAAACCAGGACTAAACCAAGTACAATACACATACAGCAGGGCAAGACATATGGTAACAAGATATGACAACAGTGAAGACATGTAGGAAATTAATGAGTATGGTTGGGTATTAGATTATAATCATGTTGTAAATAAAGATGCTATTCATTATAATTTACTATAGTGTTAAGTAAGCATCGATCAAGCAGGCATGTAGGGGAGGTGGAGGACTAGGGAGTGAAAGTGTATATGACAGATTTTTATATAATTCTTGAATTTCTACTTAATTTGGTGGGATAAAACCTTTGTATTATCCCTGAACCAATATCATGAAACCGATACCCGATCCAGCTACTTTTTTAGTAGTGGTATTGGTTCATCCCTGGATAATACCTATGGTAAATAATAATTAAAATATAGAGTTTTACACAGACAAGAAGCAATTTGTGAAAAAAGATTACAATTATGTAGAAAATTACAAGAAGTTAAGACTTCTATTTAAAGGCACTTTGCTTTCTTCTTTATATGTTATTAGCCCCTCCCACTTTTGCTATGTTTTATTTGGATTGGGTTATAGCTTTGTTTTATGTTGTAAACTATAAGCAAGTGTGAGTGACCAAACTGATCTGTGCAGGTACCCCATCCAGGAGCCCAGGGAGCGTTGCTATGGAGACAAGGAGAACTTTCCCGGAGTTCGGACTTATGGGGTCCGAGACCTGAACGAAACCTACGATGTGTACTGCTTTGCTGAGAAGATGGATGGTACAGACCAGACTAAACCAGGACTAAACCAGGACTAAACCCGAACTAACCCAGGGTTAAACATGGACTAAACCAGAACTACAAGAAGGACTACAACAAGGACTAAATAGGGACTAACCCAGGACTAATCCATTTTTATTTCAGTTCAGTTTATTTTTGCCTTCTTCGGGGTGTGATCACCACACCATCATATCCTAATATCTGTTTAGAACCAGCTCTAGACACAGATTTAGTTTAGGTGTAGTTAATTTTAAACAAAGGTTTACATCAGTTTTATTACCTGGGTTTAGTCGACTTTTAGTACCCAGGTTTAGTCTAGATTTATTTTTTTGACCCGGGTTTAATTCTGGTTTAATCCTAGTTCTGCTGCTCCTGTCTCTCATAGGTCATGTGGTCTACTCCACATCTCTGGAGAAGTTCTCGTTTTCTGAAGCTGCAGATCAGTGTGTGAAGCTTGGAGGACGTCTCGCCTCCACAGGTGAGTCCTACCTGTGCCAGGGGATCGACTAGTGTGAGAGGCAGGGCTTTGTGAGCTGCAGGGTCTGTCCTGGGGGCAGGATTCATTCTGGGGGCAGAGCTTAACCTATTCCCAAAGTCTGCTGTGCTGTGGCTCCCCATCAATGCGAAGATAAACAGGACCCCTAATAATATTTTACACTACATATAAAACTAAATTTTCTTTCTTGCATGCTGTGTGGACAACCTCTGAGGGCCCCTCTGCAATACTACTGAGGCCCCTGAGAGGTCCCCAGACCCCACTTTGGGAACCACTGTCTTAAGCGAGTGACTCTTCCTTTCTTCTCCTCTTGTCTCTCTATTCTTTCTCTGACTGGCTCCTCACCTCTGATTGGACTTCTCTTCTTTCTCCTCCTCTCTCATTGGCTCTGTCCTCTCTGATGGAATGTCTCCTCTTCAGGTGAGCTGTACCTGGCATGGGGGCGGGGCATGGATGTCTGCAGTGCTGGTTGGCTTAAGGACGGCAGCGTGAGGTACCCCATAAACAAGCCCCGCCCTCAGTGTGGCGGGGGGCTGATCGGCGTGCGCACTGTGTACCTACATGAAAATCAGACCGGCTTCCCCCAACCGGACTCCCGCTACGACGCAATCTGCTTCAGAGGTCAGTCCGAGTTCAGGGGTCAGTATGGCTTTAGAGGTCAGTCCGGGTTCAGGGGTCAGTCTGGGGGCAGTCCAGTGTCAGGGGTCAGTCTGGGGCGAGTCCAGTGTCAAGGGTCAGTGTGGGCTCAGGGCAGTTTCTTCTTTATTCCTATGACTTTTTGGAACTCTGTCAAAGGTCAGAATTTCATCCTGGGTTGGGACCTAACGTTCCATTGTAACCATGGCAACCCACTTGTAAACAGTGTTTTCTATTCACCTGAGCAAAAGAAAAAAGTAATTTTAGATCAATATTGTCATTTAAAATAACTACTATATTGCAGATACTATAGATCAGATATAAGCACAATAGATCATACATTCTCATGATCACAGCATTAATCCCATGTATTATTCAACATGGATGAACTTTGACCTTTGACTCTTGTTTCTTTCAGAGGGAGAAGAACCGGTCAAGCCCTTCCCTGGGCTCACCCCTCCCCCTACAGAAGAGGAGGCGAAGGGTGGAGATGTCATGACTATAACCCCCCTCATTGTTCCCCCCTCTGCACCACTCCTCCACAGGTACTGAACAATTAACTTAACTAAATAACAATATGACTAAACCAGAACTGAACCAGGACCAAACCAGGTCTAATCTAGGTCTGAACCAGGACTAAACCAGAATTGAACTAGGACTGAACACTGCCTCAACCAGGTCTAAACCAAGTCTCAACTGATACTAAACCAGGACCTGTTATGTTTAGTGTTGTAGCTTAATTGGTCTGTTTTTTCGTTCAGGTGTGGTGTTCCATTACCGTTCCTCCAGGGGGCGATATGAGCTCACATTTGAGGAGGCGAGGCAGACATGTGTGGATGTGGGTGGAGTCATTGCCAGTCCTGAGCAGCTCCAAACGGCATTTGAAAATGGGCTCCACCAGTGCGATGCTGGCTGGCTGAGGGACCACACTGTTAGGTGACCAAACCCCTCACCCATAGACTGCATATATCTCTGGACATATCTACTCCACTGGCTGCCGCATTCCAAACAGGAAATGAGCATGGGCGGAATTCAGCTCCATTGATTCAGTTCACTTTCTGTTGAAAAAACGTGGCCCCTCTCTCTGTAACTGCTAAATCAAGATATGAACATTAATAACAGACCAATAAGGTACCTTCTTTCCCTGAGGTTGCTCTTGCTAGCTTTAGCAATAGGTTTAATTGACAGCATTGGCTGTTTGGTTGCTATGTGTATTCTTCCGCTCAGAATTCCAAGTATGAAACTGGGCTCCAGATTAGCCACTATAACTGCCAACCACAATGAGCTTCATTTTAGCCGAATGCTGTAGGTGATGTCACACTCACTTAGTACACTTCTTTATACAGTCTATGCCCTTATCCACCATCATAACCCTGTCCATGACCACACCGTCAGGTAACCACACCCCTGACCATAAGCACCAATCCCTACCTTCACACCACTATCATACCACCACTCTAACCCTCTATCCCCACTATGAGCAAAACATCACCAACCCCTGGCCTCATCATAACTCCTCCTCTTTATCCTCATGAAGCCAGAACTCTGACCACACTGTCATACCTCAAACCTAACCATCCCCACTTTGAGAAACTAGTCCAACCCTCACTCTCTTAATCGTAACAGCACCCTCACCATCGTCCCCCACTATGAGTCAAACTACTACCACCACTACTACAACACTGCCTCCACACTCATAACCACCATAACCCAACCACACCATTTTGAAAGGAAGGCAAATGTAAACCAAATGTGTGTTTTCCCCTCCTCCTCCTCACCCACAGGTACCCAATTGTGTCTCCCCGAGACAGCTGTGCAGGGGACCTTCTGAATGTCCCTGGAGTGAGATCTTATGGACTGAAACCTGCCTTTGAGAAATACGATGTGTATTGTTACGTCGACCGCCTTGAAGGTTAGAGAGCTGTTTGGACTTACATGTTTTAAGCACAATATTTATAACAGCCAAACACCTGGGTAGTGATACTTTAAGAAAGTGCTATAGTCTACAGTTTCTTTGTGAGTGTACTTTTTTTTACAAAAGAATGTTTTTAATGTGTTTTATATTTGTATGTATTTTACATTTATATTTAAAGCGTCACATTTCCATAATGCCTCCCTACCTTCAAGGCAGAAAGCACTTTACATCAAGGAACCACTCACTGTGGCACACACACCAGGGTTAACAAACACTGGGAGTGAGGTGGGTTAAGTGTCTTGCCCAAGGACCCAGCGACAGCATTCATCTGTGAATCACACCCCAACTTGCTCTACCAACAATGTTTGTTGATAGCAGAATTTGAACCGCCAAACTTTGGATCAGTGAAGCTACTGTGCTACTACTACTACTACTACTGAGCTACTGGGTGGCAGTAGCTCAGTTAGTAGAGCATTCGCCCACTGATCTGAAGGTTGGTGGTTTGATTCCAGCTCTCGACATAAACATCACAGGTTGGGCAGTCAGATCCACTGACCCACAGGTTGGCTGGTGTGATTCCAGCTCCCACAGATGAATGCTGTCGTTGTGTCCTTGGGCAAGACACTTAACCCACCTTGCCCACAGTGTCTGCGTACACTGGTGTGTGAATGTGTGTGTGAATGGGTGAGTGGTTCCTTGTTGCAAAGAGCTTTGAGTGCCTTGAAGGTGGAAAAGCGCTATAGAAAAATGTGACCATTTATAGACATAAAAAATATTTTAGCAGGTCATTCCTATTCACAACCACCCGCCTCACTCACCCTAACCCACAGTCAGAGTCACACTGTACCACACTAAATTAATGTATTTTTGCATTTTATTAAATTTTTATATGTGTAGGGGAGGTTTATTTGTCACTAAAGCATAATTTGTGTGTGTATTTCTGTGTTTGTACAGTTTTATTTTATATTATGTCCATGTATTTGCACAGGGGAGGTGTTTTTCTCCAGTGACTATGATAGCTTCTCTCTGGATGAGGCGCACCAACACTGTGAGCAGCTCAACGCGTCACTGGCGTCTCCAGGGCAACTGTACGCGGCATGGAGGGCGGGGCTTGATAAGTGTAAACCGGGTTGGCTGCAGGATGGGTCAGTGCGTTACCCAGTCAGCCGGCCACGCCCTCAGTGCGGCCAAGGAACTACCGGAGTCCACATCATTCACGCCTTCCCCAACCAAACCGGCTTCCCCGACGTACACTCTCGTTATGACGCCTACTGCTACAGAGGTAAGCCAGCAGGGGGCGCTAATGGATTCAACAGTAATTGCCATTCTTTCCTCCCCATAGACTTTTAGAAAAAAATTCTAATGTTAATTAATTAATTAATTAATCATTGCATTTATATAGCACCTTTCAAGATACACAAAGCGCTTTACAGTTCATTATTCAGTCACTCCACACTCATTGGTGCTAAGCTACTACTGTAGCCACAGCTGCCCTGGAGCAGACTGATAGAAGCAAGGCTGCCAATCTGCGCTAGTCCGATTTCCTCAGGACAATATCCCAGGTGTGTGAGAATAAAAAAGCCCCCTCGTCCTGGTTTATAGTCCCGTGGGCACATTTCCGTGTTTCAATTGCCTCTTTAATCCTCTGTTCTAATGATGTTTGCTCTGTCCCAGTTCATGATGTGGTTCTCTCTTTTACAATGGTCAGAAATGGTATTAGCATTGCTTCAGAGCATTGTGGATGTGTCTGTCCTCCTCTTGTTTGTCTTGTTCATCTGTTATAATGTTGATTCTTCAAATAATGTCCTCACAACGGAGAGTATGCGGGCTGTGGGATGTTCCGATGTCCATAAGAGGAATTGGTCACTTGGGTTGGTTTTCTATATATTTTTATTTTGATGCTGCCATCTTCTCTGTGTGTAATGTTCATGTCCAGATTTTTTTTTTTGCATTATTTGCTTCTTCTTCTTGTGTGAATTGGATGTTTCCAGTTCTGTCTATTGTGTTTAGGTGATCTGTTAGCTCCTGTGTGTGTCCCTTTCTGATCTTTTCCATTATGTTGTCCACATCTTTTCCACATAGTGAGTCCACATTCTGTTGGTGCTGTGTTTATGGCCTTCTGCCCCAGGTTCTCCATGAGGAACCTGCTTATTATGGCCGATATGGGGTCCCTCATGGTGAAGCCTTCCTTCTGTCTGTATATTTTTCCTTTGTATTTCAAGTATGTGGATACAAAATGTAATGTTTTCGACTGTCAGGTTGGTTTGTTTCTGTAGTGTTTTATTTGTCCAGAGGCGGTCCTCAACTATGTGCAAAGTGAGGTTTATGGGAGTTTTTGAACAGGGATACCACATCATGGGATTTCAGTATTTCAATGGTTGTACTTTGACAGTTTTCAGTTCCTAGACCAGTTGTTTGAATTCTTGCAGTGTTGTTGGGTATGGCCTCATAATGCTTTTATAAGTTCCACTAATGCTTTTGATAAATTATAGGTTACTGAGCCGATATTGTCTATTATGGGTCTAAGTGGGGTATCCTTTTTGTGTATTTTGGTCGTGCCATAAATTCACAGTGTGCTATTTGCAGCTGGTATTAAATAGTTGTAGGTTTCCATGTCTATTTTTCCTTCATCTAACAGGGACTTTAGGAGCGTTTTTAGCTTATTTTTCTTTTCTTCCGTTGGGTCTTTCCTAATCAGTTTGTCTAACTCTACAACAATTAACAGTGAACACAAGCATTAAACAAACACAGTGACTCCTGCTGGTGGAGGGGAAAAACTACACCAGCACAATGGCCTCTCATTTCACAAATAATAAAAACACAGTGACTTGCATCTAGAAGAAGTGCTCTTATCAGATTTTAAAAAATAAATACTTTTTAGAGTCTTACAGTTCTCCTCATGTCTGTGGTCTGCATTTTTGTTGTACATTTAATAATTGTTTAATACTGAAAAATCCTGTAGTGTGTTTTGGACTTATGTCTAAGATATAAAACATGTTATTTCTATCTCTCAGCAGTGAATGTGACCAAATTGACCACAACTGTGCCCCCTGGAGTTGTCTTCACGACCACAGCTCCATCAGCGTTTATTCCCACTGGGCTCGATGCAAAAACTGGTGATGAAAGAACGCCAGGCATTTCTGCGACGACGATGTCACTGTCAGAGGAGGTGATCGGCGCTGTCACAGCTCGAGAGCAGTATGTCACTCCCAGAGGTCAGTTCCCCACTGCAAAGAAATTTAAACTAAATGTGATAATTCCATGATTTCCATAACATACAGACAGATTAACCAACATTCACAAAACAGATTAGGTGATCGTCTCTGTTTAGAGGCACCTGATCTGTCTGTTATTAATCTGTTAATCTGTTATTAATATCTTGATTTTGGGACAAAATAGTGAAATAAAAACCCCAGGATCATTTAGAGTGGGTTAAAAACAACATTTTAAAGTCAGAATGACGAGCATGACAGCTGCAGTTGTAGAGCGAGGGGCCTTGATAAGTGTAAGGCAGCTTGATTGACAGTTTGGTCTGTGTCTTACCTGGTCAGATGGCCTCGCCCCTAGTGTGGCCAAAGAACCACCGAAGTCAATATCATCCAGTCCTTCCCCAAACACACTGGCCTCCCCAACATGCACTTGACAAGGTGAGGCAACAGTTGGCTGAATGAGTCTATTGCCAGAGAGGTGAGCTAGTCAGGGGGGCTCTACAGAAGTGAGGTGATAGGGAGCGCAATTCTTTGATTTCTTCAGTGGCGCTCATCATCATCAGGGTGCCTCTGCTGGCTGAGAGGCTGACAGCGATGCAGGTAGATGCCCCTTTGCTGTCTCTTTGGTGTCCTGGAAGACCACAGTATGTACAGTTACAGAGCTGTATATCTGATAGTGGGACCATCCTCTCTCCTTTCCATAGCCACCTCCAGAATTTCTCTGATGACTCTGTAGTGATAGGATGCATCACAGGTGGTGATGAGAGAGTGTACTGTGGTAGACAACTTTGTCTCCTGAATCAAAATGAACCACCTTTAGCTCAATGTGACGAAGACCAGCCTGACAACGACCAAGGAACTGGTCAAAGCTGCTGTGGCCCCCACCTCCTCTAGGGAGCAGTGTGGGCGTAGTGTAAGAGTATCTGAGGGTGTACTTAGACAGTAAACTGGAGTAGGAATGTGGCTGCTGTCTACAGGAAGGGCTAAAGATGCTTCCACTTTCTGAGAAGGCTGAGGTCCTTTTACATCTGCAGAACAATGCTCAGGGTGTTCTTCGAGTTTATGTTGGTCCGTGTCATCATGTACACTGTGGTCTGCTGGGGCAGCAGTTTGACACTATTAAACTCAATAAGATCATCAAGAATTTGGTCATGTTGTGGGGAAGGATCTCTGACTGTAGTGTCAGACAGGAGAATGCTGTCCAAAATCAGGACTATTCTGGGCTCTTCTTCCTACCTACTCCACAATGTGCTGGTCAGCTACAAGACCTTATTCAGCCATAGATTGTTACTTCCACCTTGCTCCAACTCCAAACCTATAACCTTAACCCTAACTCCAATGACCCTCACACTAACTGTTACTGCTACAGACACCATAGGCTGTTACTACCACACTGCTCTACTGAGAGACACAGAAAATCAGTCCTGCCTGTCGCTACCAAACTGCTTAAGTTAAGGCTACCAAAAACACATGGTGAAGTACAGCAACCGCTGAGCTGAAGGAGATGGGAATGACTTGGGGGGAGGCACAGCACACAGCCCAACACAGGACCATGTGAAGGCAACTCATTGAGACCTTATGTCCAAATAGAAGAGGATTAAGTAAGTTAACAAGAAAAGTGGAGTTCCAAATGGGGGAATTAATATGTCCTGTGCTCCTGAGCCTCTTTAACTTTCCGATGTGGTGATGATGAGAACAAATAGATAATATAACTGTTCTTGTTTGGTGGGCATCTAGGCCCAAGAGACAGCAGAGAGAGTAAAATAAGGCTTTACTTTAATAATAATAAGATATTATGATGTCTAAGTTTAAGACATAAAACATGGTATTTCTGTCTCTTACCATAGTTATCCCCCATCGACCTGACTCTTATACTCCTGCTGGACAGACTGAAAGGGCTGAAGTGTCTGAACTGCCTTTTCAAGTGACAGAGGAGGTGATCCATGAATCCAGAGTCCCACAGCAGTCTGTCACACCCACAGGTCAGTTCAACTCCTGCAAAGTAAATTAAACTACATTAAAGTCACAAGCGACATCAAATGGCCCTCACGGACCATGCTTCACACTAGGCCAACCCGCCACCCCCTAAGGATGGCTCTAACCCACTCCTAGTCTATGTATTATTGTGGCTTTGGGCTGTGCTTGTCACTGGACAAAGTCAACACTCTTTGGAAGCACTGCTGAACTAACTTGGAAAAACATTTCACACTTTCAGGCATTGCCATGGCAACATCATACAAAAAACAAAATTGCCCCCCTGGGACTTATTTGATGGGAATGACCTGAAGAATTTCAAATTTTTCAATGATATTAATAAGTTGTTTTATTACTTTGAAATGTAGGACATTTCTGACATTTTCATCATCAACTTGGCAATACTGTGCAAAATACAGCATGTTATTTGTAATTAATGGATATAATGGTAATTATTCAATAGAAATAACATGGGTGCATTTTCACATCACTATGGCAATACAGTTAAAAAAAAACAAAAAAAAACACATGATTTCCATTGACTTTTGTCATATAGATGATGCAAGATTTTGACCCTGTGCATAATTTAGTTCTATTCTATAGGGGGACCTATTGCACCAAATTGAGTTCTTTCGCAGTTAGTTGATTTAGGCAAGAAAGTTTTACAACTGATTAAAATTTGAAGAAAATCGAACTTTGAAACTAATACTGCTAACTTATAGGGATGACATAGTTTTGCAATGAAGTCAAAAAAAGAATATGATTATTTTGCTATTTCAGAAAATGTGTTGCTTGTACAACAAGTAGTCCAGTTTCCTCCTATCATTTTGTAGAGCCCAAAATCACAACAGCAGTGGTGTGATCTGTGGTCTGACAACTCTGCCCTCATTCATGTTCTGCTCCACAGCATTTCCTTCAGTTACACCTGATCTGGAGACCTCAGCTTCAGGCTCTGCTTCAGGCTCTGCTTCAGGCTCTGCTTCAGGAGAGCCATTTGGGACTAGCGCAGAGGTGTCTGCTGAGGGTCCAGGGTCCACTCTGGTGTCAGGTTCTGGGTCTGGTCTGGACTCTGGTCTGGGCTCTGGTCTGGACTCTGGGGCATGTTCTGCAGAAGGTTCTGGTGTGGTCTTTGTCTCTGGAGACACAGAAAGTGACAAGTCCAGAGACCCAGAAAAGCCAGAGGCCACAGGAGAGACTGCATCTGGAGTCTCAGTATCAGGATTGGGATCTGGTAAGTATGTGTCTACCTCTGATCCTCTCTTTTGCTCCTCTGATCCTCTTGTCTATTCTTGACCCACTCAGTACCCCTGAGCAGTATCCTCTTTAACCTCAGATAGGTCAGATGCAAAGGACACATATGTAAAAAAAAATCTCAAGTGTGTTTGTCTAAATACAGCATTAAAGAGCCCATTTTGTGCTACTTTATGATCTTATGTCAATGTTATAATGTTGTTTCCTCATCACAAACATATCTGGAGTTGTGCTTTTTTTCACTGACAAATGTTATTAGGTTCTTTTTTTCAGACCTAGAGTGTTATTTCATACCTGACAGTTTCGACTGCTCATTAGCGTCTTCCTCAGAGTGATCACGTGATGTTGCTGTGACGTGTCTAGTCAGCTGATTTAAACAGACCAGACACATCACAGCAACATCATGTGACCACTCTGAGGAAGACGCTAGTGAGCAGTCGAAACTGTCAGGTATGAAATAACACTCTAGGTCTGAAAAAAGAACCTAATAACATAGAATATCGGAAGACCAACTGAATCTCATTGGACTAGTTACTTTTCTCAAACAGGAAATCACCACTTTGTGAAGTCATGTGGTAATACAGGAAATACTCCACCGTTTTTTTAAACTACATACACCTTCACTAGAATCATTTGGATAATTTCAACCCTGTAGTTATCAATTTCTACCGAGCAAAAGGTAAACTTGTTAACTTGAAAACTACCATTACATGACATCACAAGGTGGAACAGTGCTTTTTGAGCATTGGAGATGTAGACAGACATAATAAATGGTTAATCAGGCTTACTGAGGAAGTAACTCACAAGAATCCATTTTCTGTAATATACAACCTATGTAATTCAATAGTTATAGATGACTCTGTTTTGTGCAGGAGAGGAGTCTGGTTCGAGCCCAAGCTTGGGTATTCCTTCAGGTCTTGAATCCGGGCTTGGGCCTGGGGTCAGTGGAGACCGGAGTGGTTCCGGTTTGGTGTTTGTGGATGGGGTTGAGGAGCAGATCAGCGAGAGTGCCTCCGGAGAGGAGCTGGGTCGAGGAGGAGTGATCTACAGCGGTTCTGGGTCCTGGAGGGTCTCTGGCTCGGCCTCTGGATCCGGCTCAGGATCTGGATTTTCTGAAGTGCTGCTGGTGGATGGGACCCTTGTGGACCAAAGCCCGGATCGGACTTGGGGGCAGGAGCTCTCGGGATCTCAGCCTGTGGGATCGGGATTCAGTGGGACCTCTGGCAGCACCTCAACCTTAAGTGGAGTAGGTCTGTGTTCAGTCTCTTAAGTTTTGTCTAGCTCATAGACTTATAAAGAAATGTTCTGCCCTCACTGAGGGTAGCAGTTATAATTGCTAATCTGGAGCCCAGTTCCATATTTGGAATTCTGACCACGCATATCCTAGCAACCAAAGAGCCAATCAGGAGTGAAGCCGTTGAAGGTAACACCACTATCTGCCCACACCTCTGGTTTGGCAGGAAGAAGGTGTAATCCTGTCAATTAAGGCAGAGAAGACAAAAGATTGGTCTGTTATTAATGTTCATATTTTGAATTAGTGACAAAATAGTGAAATAAAACCCCATGATCCTGTAGAGTGGCTTAAAAAAAATTTAAGATCAAAATGATGTAACTCTGACAGCAGCAGTGATAGTAGAAAGTAAATTGGAGTTTGATCAAGTTGAAGCATACTCATGCTCACTATTTGGAACTCAGCGGCCAGTGGGTTCGATATGTCCAGAGACATGTGCAGTCTACAGTATGGGCAACTATACTATGAGTAAGAGCTATGAAAAGTTTAGTTTGCAGAGTAGGTCTGATTTAACATGTATACATGTTTTAACATGAATTTATTTACAGGATTCTGGGAGAGCGGGCGCCCTTGGGAGCAACTCCGTGGAGATGTGGTTTATGAGACAGACACCCATACTGAGACTGTAAATGTAGAGGGGCGGGGTGAGGTGCACTTCAGTGGAGAACACACCTCTGCATCAGGTAAGGCACCACAACCGTAGACAAGGTTTATTTAACCAGGTGAAAATTGTACGCCGGCTTCCAACACTGGGTCCTCACTCGAGGGACATAGAGTAGGAATTAATCAAATGATTAGAACAGAATACAATAATCATTCTATTCTATTCCCCTTTTGAAAAACTAGCAGTCAAAATGTATAAAAATCATTATTGTTGTCCTATTGTGGCTATATCATCCTGCCCTAACAGAGAGACAGTAAATATCATGTAAGCACAGGGCTTAGTCTTCAGCTCTCTGCACCAGGAGCACAGTTATGCAGGTGCACAACCATACATCTAAGAGACATCCAGTCCGTCCTGTCAGAATATGTAATACACAGTGATAAACAGTAGTTAAAGACTTTAGGCATTTAGCCGGTGCATTTACATAAAGAACATCTCCATCTCCAAATTTCCATAAACCGGCAAAGACAAAAATGTCTTGACTCCGGTGTTGTCTCCAGCCTCTATGTATGGACATGTTTGGATCAGAGTCTCAAGTGGAAATATCCCTCAGTTAATCTCTTCTCTGCTCCTCTGACCCTCTCCTCTGCTCCTCTCATCCTCTGACCAATCAGGTCCTAGAGACGCCTTCAATGTTTTATGGCTGTGTTTATTGTTTTAGAGACACATGCTTCCGGACCCGCAGGTTAGCAGTTTGATGCTTCCATTGTGTTCTTGAGCAAAACACTTTAATTCTGTTTGACCTGCAGGAGGCAGTGGCAGTGGCAGTGGCAGTGGCAGCGGCCACCACTCAGAGCCAAAGGAACCCCACACTGACCAATCAGAATCTGTGACACCGGCAGAGGCATACACCAGCCCTACCACTGCTCCCTCAGTGTCTCTGCTGCCACCAACCGCAGTGGAAGAGCCTGCAGTGGTCACAGGTAAAAGCCCAAGACAGTGTCTGAGAAGAGGGATGTTTCTGAGAAGAGGGAGGACAGAGGGAGGTGTCTGGGGAGGAGGAGGTGTCAGGGAAAAGGGAGGACAGAGGGAGGTGTCTGAGGGAAGCATCTCGGGAGACTGAAGTCCATCTCATAGAAATCACAGAAGCTGCACAGAGTGTTCTCCCATAACAATCATTTCGAGCTCCACCAAAAGACATGTTTCACTTTTGAACAGATTTTACATTTTATATCAACATATACTTTTATACAATACAATTTGAATTTTTATGTTAAAAATGCCATTTTAATAACGACAAGTTTCACTATAATTAATATGGGTAAAATGCAGATTTTTTTTGTAGAGGGTCTGGTGTCACTAATATATATATAAACAGGTTCAACATTTGTAAATTCATATTTTGGATATTTCACCTAAAAAGTACAATGTAATCAACTGGGAAAACTGGCACTTGCCCCCATCTAGGAGTGCAACATCATCACATTTTATTATCTGAAAACTACCAATTAAAATGACCAAATAAAGACCATCTTGGGACAACATCCATAGCTCCTGATGAGCCATGTAGTGGACTAAACAGAAAGGCAAAGACAAGGTATAAAAAGGTATAAAAATAAGGTATAAAAATAAGTTAAAATTTAATTAAAAAAATATATATATAATTTCACAAAGGCTCAAATTGTTAACAAAAAAAAGCCGGGCCCAACTGGGGTAAATCAAAATCAAACTGAACGGAACAAAACTAACCCAACCAGACAAAGGAACAGGGGTGTTTAAATACTTGAGGACCAACTAAAGCTGAACACAAGATGGAGGATTTACACTAATTATTTAACTAAACTACTAACTTCATCAAAGTAACAAAAAGCAAATAATTATAATACAGAAAATAATAAGTGATAATAAAATGACCTCAACATAAACTAAACAAACTATCTTAATAAAACTAACTAAATAGTGCTCCCCCCCTTCTTGTTGAGTCATGATGGTCTCTCCCAAGGGGCCTCCATCCAGTGCTCAAAAAAAACATAAATAACAAGTGTAGAAGTAAATCAGACTTATATTAACTAAAATGTGTGCACTCAAATTAGAATATAAGTCTAAAGAAAAGGAATTAAATTATGTGTAATGTGATTAATTATTGTAAGTGAAATTAAATAATACTGACTGTAGGAGCTATTTGCTTATTTAGTTGATTCTAAAATTAGTTTATTATTTTTGTTTGTTAATTAGCTTACTAATTTAGTTTTGTCAATTTGTATAATATATTTTTGCTATGTTAATATTATTCTTGCTAATTTCTTAGTCTAAGTTGGTATTATTTACGTTAGCACCTCTTTTTTGTTTCTGATTTAATTTGGGTCACCTAGGGAATAAAGGAGGGTGGTACACGTAGACCAGAGTGCACCTGGGTGGGCCTATGGTTTTTTACCAGTCACGAGGAGAGGCAGCAGGAGTAGGCCTTAAACATGTATTCCTTGTTGCTTGCCCAAAAACTGGAAAATAAATCTTGGAAAATCATCTCTAGTCATGGACATTGATTTGTACTGCGTAAACCACATACCCATGGTGCCCAAAGGTGATTATTTGAGTTATGTTTAGTTCTGAGTTTGCCCACGCTTTTGTTTGTTACTTTTATTTGACCAATAGTCACTACACTGACACTATGGAGTGGTGGCAGAGGTATCCACCACAAACCGGTACATAACTTCTATGATTTATGAGTCTGACTGTTCTGCAGAGGAAAGAGGGAAGCATCTGGGGAGAAGGAGGACAGAGCGTTTAGGTGGTGGTGTCACGGGAAGCGTCTGGGGAGTGGGAGGACAGAGTGTTTAGGTGGTGGTGTCACGGGAAGCGACTGGGGAGAGGGAGGACTGTGGTAAGTGGTGGTATTTAGGGGAAGTGTCTGTGGAGACTGAAGTCCATCTCTTGCGCAGAGGAAGGCTGTGCTGAGGGCTGGCAGTTCTTCATGGGGAGCTGTTACCTTCACGTCAACGACAGACTCACCTGGACGGAGGCGGAGCAACTGTGTGTCCGGGTGAACGCCCACCTGTCCAGCGTCCAATCAGAGGAGGAGCAGCTCTTCCTCAACTGTGAGTACACCACACCACACCCCCTCCCCATCCTCAGTGTCAGATGCCCTCCCATCCACTGTTCCCCTGTGTGTCAGATGCCCTCCCATCCTCCTATATCCCTGTGTGTCAAACTCCCTCCCATATTATAGCTATAAATTAAATGATACCCCTCGATCTCTCTATTTTTCTTTCCTCTTCTCTCCTCTCTCCCTCTCCCTCTCTGTCTCCACAGCGAATGGTCAAGACTATCAGTGGATTGGACTCAATGACAAAGATGTCCAGGGAGAGTTTGGCTGGACAGACGGTGCTCCTCTGGTCAGTCAGACACATATCCTATAAATATCTTTGGATATATCTGTCCCACTAGCCACAATGTTCCAAACAGGAAGTGAGTATGGGCATGCTTCAGCTCCATCAACTGACTTTCTATTGAAAACTTGTGGCCCCTCTCTCTGTAACTGCTGCTATCACCTCGTCATTCTGGCCTTAAAATGTTGGTTTAACCTGCTCTCCATGATCCTGTTTTTTTGTTTTGTTTTTTCTTCACTATTTTGTCCCTAAATCAAGATTTGAACATTAATAATAGATCAATCAGGCACCTACTTTCCCCAAGGTCATTCCTGCTAGAATAACAGATTAACCCTAAACCTGTACTTATTATGCCACCTGTCAGACCCTATTGCATCAGCGGGGACATGCCAACATGGATTCTCGAGAGTTTATGATTCATAAATATCATGAGAATCCATCTTGCTGCGTAGGGTTAATCGTGAGTATCATAGGAACCAAAGAGCCAATCTGGAGAGAGGCTGTACATGTTCCCTTCCTGTAACTCTGTGTGTACCCCAAATATACTAGTTTGATAATTTGCAACTGATGTTATCAACATTCAGTGGGGGTGTGAGGCTCAGCTCTGTCTGAAGCTCTATTACTCAAGTTTAGGCTTTAATCCACCAGAGTTTTATTTAAACTAAAAAAAACTGACACAGCTGGAACAACAGGTGGGCTAATTTGTTCTGATAAACAAGTTAATCTCAAATAATATTAATCACAAACTAGCTAGCAGTAGCCTTAGCACAGGACCATGAACACTCACAAAAGTTGCTTAAATCCATTTTGTAGTGTTTGTTCAGTTTGCTGACAATCTTAAAACTTATCAGACAGTGTTTGCTAATGTGTGCATTGTGTCACCATGGGTAACTGCTGAACATTCCACCACAGAGATACATACAGAACAGGGGTGAGGGTGTATCAATATGTATGTATGTATGTATATGTATAATATATGATGTATATTGTACAGCGTTAATGTGTGTATAAACCTGTGTGCATCCCAGACCTTCCTGAACTGGAGGCCTAATCAGCCGGATAATTACTTTGGCGCTGGAGAGGACTGTGTGGTCATGATCTGGCATGAAGGAGGACAATGGAATGATGTGCCCTGTAACTACCAGCTGCCCTTCACTTGCAAGAGCTCCCCAGGTACCAAACCAGGACTGAACCAGGACTAAACCAGGTCTGAACCAGGAACAAACTAAGACTGAACCAGGCCTGAACCAGGACTGAGCCAGGACTAAACAAGGACTAAACCAGAACTAAACCAGGATTAAATCAGGTCTGAACCAGAAACAAGCTTGGACTGAACCAGGACTAAACCAGCCTTTCATCTGGAAGACCAGGCCTGTCTCCTCTCAGTAAGGAGGTTGTGGGTTAGACTCTTGACCTCTCCTATTCTCTGTCCCCAGTATCCTGTGGTGCTCCTCCTGTAGTGTCAAATGCCCGTCCTCTAGGGGGCAGTAGAGAGCGCTATGTGGCAGGTTCTGTTGTGAGATACCAGTGTGAGCCAGGCTTCACACAGCGCCACCCGTCTGTCATACGCTGTAAGGACAATGGCCAGTGGGAGGAACCTCAGGTGGAGTGCACGACAGGTGAGTCCTACCCAGGATAAGCCATGTTCCTCTCTGTCCCAACTCTCTCTGATCTCTGTCCTGTATTGTATGTGAGTAAGACACAAGTTTTTTGTTTTTTTTTAGATTATTTCATAGAAAACATTAAATTCAAAACTATTATGTTCCTTAAAAAGGGAGTATTTTGCAAAATTGTTATTGTTGTTTTTTAGATTTCTACCACATTATAACATTGTTCCCTCAGCAAAAACATACCTGAAGAGATGTTAAATGTCATCCATGCATGTTTGAGTATTTTAGCGATCTCTCCTGCGCCCTCTTCAACCCTAATACAAAACTGTACACAGCAACTTGACAAACCTGATGCGATCTGCTGCAGTTTCATGTGCTGATTGAGTTTTGATGTCACTCTGAAGGGGAGGAGCCTAGTGCAGGGAGCAAAGGGAAAGCATACTCAGAATGTCACAAACAAAAGAGACTTATTTAATATGTTAATATGTTATTTTGGATGAATATAGCATTTTCAAAAATAATAAAAGGTAACATGGTGATCTAAATATGTTATATGTTAGCAGTTAATACCCCATATGAGTAAAATAGCCCGTCTTTTTCTGAGCGCTTTCACAGATGTACAATAATTGTAGTTATTTCTGTTTTAAACAGATCGCCTTCATAAACGATCCGCCAGAAGGAGAACTACACAGGAACAAGACCAGCTCTGAACCGGACTCAACCTGGTCTGAACCCCAAACACCTGCCCCTGCCTCCCACCCCCCGGGAGCCCCAAAACCTGATCCAGACCTAGACCACTCTGGACAAAGCCCCTCTTGGACTCTACCTTCTGTATACTGCATGTCTGGTCTCTGGTGTAGCCTGGACCCTGGTCTGATCTCTGGTCTCTGGTCTAGGCTCTATTCTCTAGACTAGTTTCTGGTCTCTGGACTAGGCTCTGGTCTAGACTCTGGTCTAGGCTCTGGTCCCTGGACTAGGCTTTGGTCTAGACTCTGGTCTAGACTCTAGGCCGTGGTCTGGTCTTGTTTCTTTTTTTGGGGTGGGGGCAGAGAATTGTCGCAGACCGGTTTCTGTGAATGAGCCTTTGTAGATTAATTTATAGAAAATTCTTATTAGGTTTGTAGAAAATCTGTGGCCCCTGGACGAGACAGACCTCAGTGCAGCACAGTGGTATTAAGTAAGTAAGTAAGTACCCTTAGAACTTCAATATTTTGATACTTTTCCAGTTAATATCACACCAGTGAATCTTATTTGTACCATATGAGGAATCAGCACAAATCATCAGGGCTCCCTTCAGGGAGTCATGTGCTGATCCGGTCACTATTATTTTATAAAGTAAATGTAATTTTGTTAAATCAGTAATGAACTGCATACACACTACAGTCTTTCATACAGGAGGCTGGGCACTAGGGGGGCACTCTAACTCTTAAGCACACAGAGACGCAGCCCGGGTGGCGGGAGGGCATCTGGCTTAAGTCTGTCTCGTCCAGATTTTTGCCTTAGATTGTTTCTTCTGGTTTCATACAGTAATTTTTTCTCAAATTATGTCATGTTTAAGTCACTTTAACATGTTGTTTTACTGAATCACAATATTCTTGGCTGGATCTAGAAAAATCAAAGAAAACGGAACCAGGACTGAACAAGGACTAAACAGGGACTACTTCTACTTACAAAATGCACAGAATGTTTTATGTATTTTTTTGAAAATATTTCTACTGATAAACGGTTGAGTCACCGCTGGATTCTTCAACAAAGCTTCATGTTTTAAATAGTTTTGTTTGTGTAGTTTAAATTCAGATGCCCTCCCACGGATCACCTCAGTGCACCTTAAAGTCCCTGTTTGTCTGTAAAAAGTTCTCAGAATAAAGGTATCCAACTTCAATCATGTTTCGGTCTGCACTGGTCTGAACCGGTTTCAGATGGAGCCTGGGGACTTCTTTACGATTCAGAGGGAGGTCGAGTAAATAAAAGACTTGGTCCAAACTTGTGTCTGGAGTTTTCTTTAGAAGACAGTAAAGCAAGAAGTGACACGAGCACTTCCCTAATGAACTAGGACTGTGTCCGAATGTCTCCCCTAGCCCCTAACCCACTGCTCTCTTCAGCTCTGCATGATTTAGTGTCTCACTCACAGACATTTAGATTCAGCTCGCCCCATTCTGGTCACATGACCCTGGCTCTGGGTGAAAAAAGCCTAAACTCTGAGGAAACTTGATTTCTGTCATGAATGATGATCAGATTAGACTGGCAGCTCCTGAGTGTTTATGGACTAATAATAAACATCCATGTTTATGTCTAGACAGATCTCATGCAAATGTGTGGAAATGACTGCTCTTTAAAAAGCTCAACCAGTTAATGCTAGCAACTTTACGCAGCAACAATTTAGCAACATTTTTATTCATAATCAGGGATCAACAATGTGATAAAACAGCACTGAATAAAAACACACATTGGTGAATACATTTTTAACATTAATTAAAAGAACACATTGCAATGCAAAAACAGACACGTTTATAACTCCTAAGTAAAAATAAAGTAAAGAACTGAAGAAGAAACCAAGGAGCCATTAAGAAATACAAAAAAATTAAAAAAAAGAAATAAAGAAAAGAAAAGGAGAAGAAGAAGAATACAGTTGAAAATTAACATCTTGTGGCCATGAGATAATTAAGCTGGGCAGTAAAAGCAAAGATCAAAGGCTGGATGTGAACGGACCCCCTTTAGGAACATATAAGACAATGTCCACCAGTGTCTGACCACAACTGAAGAAGCCTCTTGGATGAGTGGAAAATGTCTTCACTGTAAAATTTATCCAGTAGACAGAATTGAATTCTTCTTTTGCTATGTTTTTATTTTTTTGTAGTTAATTAAACTTTAATAAATGTCATGACAGAGGAGCCAATCTGTTGAAATATGTGTGTCCAGTGCACTATAATGCACAGTTGTGAGATCATTGTGTGCAGCTATGGATATACCAGCATGTGGCCTGTGTCTGTGTTGAAAGGGTGAGGTACAGTGGTGAGCCAGTGCTGGAAGAATTCTGTCAAAGGTGTCCCAAAATGTGGCCAATAATGTACTGCAGAACCATGTGTAAGTGTGAGAACCATGTGTTAAACTGGAGAGCAGTTATCTCGTTTTCCTAAGATATTATCTTGTGGCAACCAGACTTTTTTTTCCTTTATCTCATCTGCACGGCTCAGTGAGAAACAAGTTTATTGTAATTATCTTTTTTAAACAAATGTATAAAAGACATCCATACATGAGCAACATGGATGAACACGAATTGAACCAGTCCAAGTCTCATGTGGAAGTCCAGATCCACTCAGATCCTCTCTCTTGCACCCATTCTGGCTCTGGTCTGAAACAACAGGACACAGCACATCCACAAATCACAAAACCAGGTCTGAATCAGCATTTATACCACATATACAAGTACTAAACGGTAACTAAACCTGGTCTAAACCAGGTTTAACCAAGGTCTAAATCAGGACTGAAACAGGACTAAAACAAGACTAAACCAGGTTTGAGCCAGTCCTACCTCGGGTCTAAAGGACCAGTACCTTGCAGTAGTAGTAGTACATTGGGAGGATGTACAGGAGCTTCAGTAGTAGAATGAGCAGGACTCTAATCATCAGGTCTGAGTCTGAAGCTGCAACACAAAAGCTTAAGGTTATTATTTACTTTGTTATCCCCACAGTAGGATTAATTGTCCTCTGCATTTGACTCATCAGGAGCAGTGGGACCCATCTACAGATCTTGAGCTAATCTTGCTCAGGACTACCTTAGCAGGAAGATTTGACTTATTGTGCATGTTTTGGGTTGATGGGGAAACCAGAGTGTCTGGATAAACTCCACACAGAAATAGGGAGAACATTCAAAATTCACACAGACACAGGGAGAACATGTGGACTCCATACATCAAATTAAATATGGAAAAACAAACCAAGCATGGTGACACATTGCAATCAGACTTTTTAAAAGTCTGTAACAGCCTATTAGCTGTCTCTGATCAAACTGAACACCTAAAGGGTCAAGTAAAGAAGAAGAATTTGGTCATAGATGGAGATTGTGAAAATGTCACCCGGAGAAACTTGGGCTGAGGCTGAAAAAAAGTAAAAGCTATTTTCACAAAGAATTTGCAACAGTAAAGAGATATGGAACTGCAAGTAGTACAAAGAGTAGGGGAAGTGGCTCAAAATGTAAAAAATCTATTTAGTTAAAGATTAAGGACAGATAAGCACCCCTACACAGAGCAAAAAATTGAAAGAACAAAGATCTATATCAATGAAGATTCCACAAGATAAACACTGACATTAGTTTTCTTGTGTTATGACAAGTTGCTCATCTGCCCACACAGTAGCACTCCGAAACAGCATTAACATTTCTGTCTGTTTAAGCACCAGATCAACATGTTATGATGAATGTACCTATGCCTGAAAAGGACAACTCCAGAGATGAGCTGAAGCTCAGAGAGATGCCAAGCTGCATGGGGAGACTACAGCCATGTGTGGTTAGAGGGAGAATAAAGGGACAGGAGACAGGAGAAGCTTTAAATGAACAGCGCCACCATCAAATTAAAGCAACATTCAGCTTATGACTACAAACCATAGTGGATATGGACAAACTGAGCATAACAGTCCTCATTAAAAGTGAAGTGTTGTATTTACCTTCATCTTTTGAAATCAACAAACTAACGGAACCCACTTCAACTCCATGAACTGTGTTTAGATCCACAACAAATAACATTTCTATGCATGTTCTGTTTGTGACAATGATGTTTATGAAGTATGATTAATGAATAATCAAAAGGGAGAATGTGTGATGGAAATTTGTATTGTGAAGAAAATATTTCTCTCAATCTGTCTTTGTGTAAATTAGTGTCATTTCTAACTTAGACCAGTCCATATCTGAATAAACCTTTGTCTGTATTCCAAAAACTCAACAGGATTCGCAAATCATCAAGAAAAAGATCATTTCTGCCACTACAGATACTGTTAAAAACTTCAAAACACCATAGATGGAGAAGAAAAGCAATTAAACGATTTTTTTTTCTTCAGTATCAACATATTGCAAATTATTTCAATAATACATAAAGCTAAAACATTAACAAAGTCATTGTTAACAAGTAATGCCAAATATTCAAATATAAAATGAAATGAAGGATAAAAAACAAATATTTTAATTCTCAAAACTAACAGTAATTAAAGTTGAAAATATCATGAGAAATCTTAAATATAAACCAGCAGGTATCGATGGAATGGATGTAAATCAGCAGCAGATCAAAGACAAAAAGAAACCCATAAGTCTTACGACAGCATCAGGTAAACTCATGGACAACATTGTATACACAAGAATAGACGGTTCCCTCCTCATCAACATGCATCCAGGAAATGACTTTCAACAGCCACAGCTCTGACCATGATGACAAACATTGAAGAAAAAAAAGGTGGGCAGTGTTATGCTAGATATCTCAGCTGCTTTTGAGTTAATAGACCATGGATCAGACTAGCTGCATATGGATTCTATGAATCAGCAACATCCTGGTTTAACATCTACTTAAGACAAACTCAGATGGTTTTCTTCAATAGAGATTACTCCAGCTGAGGGGCTTTAGCATGTGGAGTAGTGCAGGGCAGCAGTCTCAGTCCTCTACTATTAACATCTAAACAAATGATTTGCCACTGGTTCTGCTGAAGGCCAAGATTGTGATGTATGCAGACAACTCTACAATATATGTCTGAGTTAAACGCTAAAGCATATAAACAATATGTGTGCCAAAGTGGGAAGAAAGATTACTGTTATTAAGAGATATGCATCCCAGAATGGGGACCAAAATGAAGACCAAAACCAAAACTCCTAAACCTAAGTAACTTAAGGGACACCTAAGGGTGTGTGGCCCTCATATGACACTGTGTGACCCTCACATGAGGCTGTAGCTGGACATACCTCCCAGATAGAGCTGCAGGCTGGGGCTCTGAGAGGAGAAGTTGTGATTGAACACCTGCACATGGTAAATACAGGTGTAGTTTCCTTTGTGGGTAGGGCCAGTGTCAGAGAACAGGAAGTGTGCAGAGTGATTGACAGCGGGTAGGGTGTAGTTCATAGTGGGAGAGAGGAGCTGGAAGGAGCCTCCTAGGTACTGTGGCTCCACAGAGCATTTGACCATGAACTTTGACCCCAACAGCACTCGGAGCCCCTGTGGCTGGGCCTCGGAGGCCCCATCAGAAACAGTCAAGGAGACGACTGGACGCTTCAGTAAGTCTGTGGAGAGAGATTATTGGACTGTTCAGAGAGTGGAGAGAGAGGTGTGATTCCCATAGACTGTATATATAATTGGACATAGCTAACCTGCTAGCTGCCACGTTCCAAATAGAAACAAGATCACAGAAGTCAGTGATACCCATGCCAAATTTTTTACAGCATAGCCATAACAATGACAGAAACTCTCCATGTTATTCTAAAGCTAAAATCACAAAATCGTACAAACTATGGCTAATTTCACTCAGCCTTCAATTGTGGGTAGACACCTGACCCTGAACATATTTATATAAGAATATTAATGTGGGTGTAATATCAACCCCTGGGCAATTTGTATGGAAGGGTATGTATTTGTCGAAGATATACAACATTTTCTGCACGTATTTATGACATGCTTTTGATCAAAAAATTCACTGATGCCCACAGCCCTTGTCACATTTTGTTGACATGGAAAAAATCTGTCCTCACCAATAGGATATCAAACTAAAACAGTGTAGCCAAATCAAATTTGGTAACTGGATGCATCATGCCAATAGAAACAAAAAATATATTGTGACCATACTCACTTACAGACTGGATGACCGCCATCTTGGATAAAAAAATAAATCACTACATAAATACTTTGAGAAAAATTGCATGGTTAGGGCCAGTTTAGGTTAGGGTAGGGTTATAGTAAAAACTAGGTTAGGGGTTAGGGTTATGTGTTAGGTTAGAGATTAGTAGTTAGGGTTAGTGTAGGGTTAGAGTCAGGTTTAGGTTAAGGGTAAAGGGTTAGGATAGGGTTATGGGTTAGGGTAAGAGTTTGGGTTAAGGGTAAGGGGTTAGATTAGGGTTAGGTTAGGGGTTAAGGGTAAAACCAGGGTCCCTGTTAAGGGTTTGGGTGGGGTTAGGAGGTTAGGATTAGTATCAAGGTCAGGGATATGGGTTAGGTTTAAATTATGGTTAAGGGAAGGTGTGATTTAGGCACGGGGACAATCATTGCCTCTATATTTTTTCAATATTTTGCTTCAGAAACACTTCAAAATGTTCTTTCACTTAAACCTTTAGTTCTCCTTCATTTAAGTTAAAACAAGTTTGCAAGTAAAGTTTTGTAAAATTTAGTTTTATTAAAACACTGGTCAAATCTTGTATTGCTGTAATCACACATAACATATTACACTTAGCTGGCCTCCGTGTTTCTCTGCATTTATCTGTTTGCTCAAGCTTTTCAGCAGTTCAGTGTGGTGTTAACACAAATGTTGGTCTCAGATTTAACTTCAAATAAACATATTTTTAAAATAATTATAAAAATAGATAGCGTATTACATGTTTGTCCATGTGTGTGTGTTGTTGTAGTAAGTTTCTGCAGAATGCTCAGGGCATGTGCAGTTCCAATTTAGACTCAAATTGGAAAATGACAGTGGGATTGAACATGACACAGACCTGTAGAAATGACAATTCTCTGGAAGAAATAAAACATGACAAAGTGAAGGTGAGACTTTTACCTGAACACACAGCCACCAGGCCCCAGGCTGAGGGAGAGAAACCATGCCCCACACAATCTCTCACTGCAGACTGCTTTCGCTTTACACAGTCAGGTGTTGTGACCCAAGCTACAGTTTCTGGAAGACCATATGTTCCATATCCAGAAACAGCAGAGTCACAGTCCAGGTCTCTGCACACAGCCGTTGCAGCCTGCACATTCCAGTTCTCATAGGCATATGTCATCCGTCTCCACTCTCCTCTGTGTCTCACCTCCACAATCCCAGCACAGCGACTGGCCTCTCCCACCAGCCTGAGTGGCTCTGAACAGACAATACAAAGCCAAACGCAAGTTTACTTCTAAAGTACACAGCAGGTCCATATTAGTCTTAGTCTTTATAGTTTCTAAGCTAGTTATTGGACTTCAATCTGTGTCGCTGGTGCTGTACTCTCTCCATAACGTGTTTGAGATCACTGCAAAAGCCACTGCAGACTCCATTGCAGAAGTCACCTTAGAAGCCACCATAGAAGCCACTTTTTGAACAGAAACAGAGATCAGGAGCATAGTTGGAAGAAATTTTGACTATGTATTGTCAAATCCAAGAGGCCTTGATTGTCTCTCTTTCTATCATTAGAACTTAAACAATTTATACAATAACCTCTACGGCGAATATTGCAAACTTCTTCAGCATTTTAAAGAGCTATTAGATATTAGATTTTCAACATACAATAAGAATGTTGCACAGGTGTGAGTGTTATGTAACATTTCATATGCCCTAAACTCCCATAGTTTGGGGCCTGCTTTGGAGAAAGCTCTATCTTTTGTCTCTGTCTCCTCTTAAGTCTGGACCAGGAGCAAGCCAGAGGACACTGAAGAAGACCTAAGGGCTCTGACTGGGGTGTGCAAAGACAGTGTTTCTGATAAAGAGGGTGGTGCCATGAATGCATATAAATACAAGCAATACAATTTTAAAATCAATTCTAAAAACAACAGGAGGCCAGTGAAAAGAAGCCAATATAGGAGTGTTGAGGTCACGTCGACTGGCTCCAGAAAGCAGGCACGGAGCTGCATTTTGGACCATTTGTATGCAGTGAATTGAGGACAGCTCTACATCAAAATATAGAGCATTACAATAGTACCAACGGGTGGTAATGAGTAATTTTTTCAAACTGGTTTAAGATCAAGTAGCGTTTCACTTTTTCAAGCAGCCTTAGCTTTAAGAAACTGGTTTTAACCACTGAATTGATCTGCTTTTCAAGTTTAAAAGAGCTGTAAGTAAAAACAGCCCTTCCCCCAAGAAAAATTTGACGTAAGTGGGCTAAGTGCATTAGTTAAAAGCACCAAATACCATAATCTCATTTTTGCTCTCATTTAAAGTTTAGAGACATCCACTCTTTGACTTCTTGTAGACACGAATTTCCAGATGAGGCCGTTTTAGTGTTTAAGGATAGGTATATCTGCACATCATCTGGAAAACAGTGAAACTGAATGTCATATATACTTTTTGAAGATTCAGCCCAGTGGCAGCATGTACAAAGAAAAAATAATTGGCCCTAAAATCGAGCCTTGTGGCACCCAATAAGTTAGTCGGGCTCTCTGTGAGGTGAGTCCAGAGTTTATTGTAAAAGACCTATCTCACACAATTTCAATACTAATCCTTTTATCCCAACACTGGCCTCAAGACAGGATATTAAAATGTGATTGTCAACAGTGTCAAAAGCTGCAGTTAAATCTAAAACCCCAAGTAAAGCTGAGCTGCCATAAAAGCATTGTTTCTGTGCAAATATCTTAAACCAGATTGGGGGTGGGGATATTTTAGAGAGATTGGGCAGTGAAACAAAAGAAAATTTACTAAAAGCAGGTGGGTACACAATAGAGCAGTAATCTGAGCAGTGAAGCTCTGCCCCCTTACCTGAGCAGGTGAGGTTGACAGTGGCTCCAGAAGAGCAAGTCTCTGAGCTGGAGTGTGGACAGTCCATCAGAGCAGACTCATTGCCCTCACAGTGGAATGTCTGCCTCAGAGGAGAGAGCGCCCCCTTGAAGAGAGAAGGAGCCCCACAGTCCAGCTCCCTGCACAGCACCTCTGCCCCGAGCTGGTCCAAGGCCCCTTCACAGAGCCCGGTCCATGACTGGTTCCAGATCTGCACTGATCCTGAGCACAGGCTGGACCCCGAGACCAGGCGCACTGACTCTGTGGACACACATGTGACATCATTGCTCTGACCCTTTACACCTATGTCACTAAGTTGAGCTATGACGGATGGCAGAAATGAGAGAAGGTAGTATGTAGGGTGCGCAAAACTGATGAAAACTCACAGCAATTGCAAGTATTTTTGTCAGTTTGGCAATGGTTTCTTCTAGTGCATGTTTAGTTTTTGGTAAAAGCAAAGGGCTCAAAATGGGGTGATATGGAAAAATTAAGCTATAGATCATCAGTGAAGCTGATTCGTTCTCCCTCCTGCCATATTCAATGATTTCATCAAATTGCCAACTTTAGCTAAGTGTTATTAGGTTTTTTTTATACTGGACAGTTTTGACTGCTCACTAGTGGTCATCCTCAGAGTGGTCACAAGATGTTGCTGTGATGTGTCCAATCAGCTGATTTATACAATGTTTTGGCGCAGTTTAAAACCTGTGGAGGCAGGATGACAGTGCCATCTCTAGTCCGACTTCCTCAGGACAGTATCCCAGGCGTGTGAGAGTAAAAAAGCCCCCTCGTCCCTGTTTATAGTCCTGTGGGCACATGTCTGTATTTCGATTGCCTCTTTAATCCAGTGACAATGTTTGTTGTTTGTTGTTTCTCTGTCCCAATCATGTTTGCTCAGTCCCATTTCATAATGTGGTTCTCTCTTCTACAGTGGTCAGAAATGACAGATTTGAGCTGTTCCTGTTCTGCTTTGTGTTTTGTTGCTTATCTGCACGCCTTTGCTGTTTCCTTCTCGTATTTTGTCCTTTGTTTTATTTTTTGTGTACTGAATGCCCTCTCTGTTCTGCTGATGTATGTTTTATTGCAGGATATGCAGAGTATTTCATATATGACATTACATTGTGCTCCGGATCTATGTTATCTTTCGGGTGGATGAGGAATTATCTTTGCTGGTGTGTTGATATTGTGTTTTCTCATTGCCCTCTGCACTTTTTCTGTTATGCCCCTGATATATGGTACTGTTATTATGCCTGAGCTCTTTTTTCAGTTTTATTTTTATTTTTCTGGTTCTGAGCAGTCGAAACTGTCAGGTATGAAAACAAACACTTGGTCTGAAAAAATAACCTAATGACATAAATAGTCGGAAGACCAAATGAACCTCATTGGACTATAACTTTACCCAATTCACCCACCATGATTTCATTTTGGCTGGCCAGACAATGAGGTTAACTCTCTTTGACCTGTTCTGAAAAAGTGGCTTTTCAGAGATTTTAGCCCTGTCATAGTTGTTTCCTCCCACCATTTACTTTTGTATTTGTATTTAGAGTTATTCATACACATTTGAGCAACTTTTAAACTTACTTTTAAGAAGCCATTTTGCACAGCAATTTCACTGCCACATGCCCACTGCTTTCCACTTCCTCCTCCAGATTTATTTTCTTAATTGATGATATGCATAGGATTCAATAGCATTGCAAAGTTATTTTGCTATAAATAAAAATAAAAAAAATCTGCTCCATGCAAGTATGATATGCAGCTATCTATATAGGGGCCCACAGCTTGCGACGTTTGTTGTGATGACGTTTATGGTCAGCTGCCATTGGGCACTGCAGTTTTCTAACATGGAAATCAGTGGGCTTGTTTCTTTTATTAAGTCATTGTAGATGAATAATGTGATTTAAAATATTCAAATTATCCACAATGATCAACAACTGTCATAGATTTTAAGTACAGAGCAGGCATGAGTGCAATAGGTCTGCTTTAAAAACAGCTTGGCTCAGAAATATCTCCATACAAACCTAATGTGATTGTTTACTGTCACCCATGATGCACCTGGACCCTAATTAGCTCCACAGAGGACATGCAGGTCAAGTGTACGTAATGTCCAATAACAGATTTTGTAATGATAATTTGTATCACACTCGTATGAAGGACAGTGACATCACAAAAGATTCACTACAAGCAAAGGAACACAAAAGTGTCACGTGACCAGTTTATCATAACAAAAAAATACACAAGGATACTGCAGCTTTTATCTTTAAATAAGCTTTTATAAAAAGTGAAAATGAAGCAACAAAAATAAATAAATAAGCAAAAAAAAACAAAAACAAAAAAAAACATAAATTTATGTGTATTAATCTGGTCTGAAAAGGCCCAAACTTGTGCTGAAGTCACAAGAAGTGGACATTTTATGAATTTTGTAGCCCCCTCAAAAAGCTCAGAAAAGTACATTTTACATAATAGTTTACATTGGGGTTAAGGTAACGGTCAGAACACTAGCCTTAAAAAATATTTGAAAAGAAGGGTTAAGGTCAAGTCAAGTTCATATTACCTGAGCACACCACCTCAAAACCCTCGTCTGTAGGATAGGATCTATTCCAGATGCACTCTCTCACTGCAAACTTCTTCCTCCTCTTCCTCGCACACACAGATGTGATGTCCCACACAAGAGTCTGTGGAAAACCATCTCTCAGATCTTCAGAAATAGCAGAGCCACAGTCCAGGTCTCTGCACACAACCGCTGTAGCCTCCCGGTTCCAGGGGTCTCTGGGGTGATAGGGCACCATCCGTCTCCACTCTCCTCTGTGTCTCACCTCTAGAGTTCCAGCACATCTATTAGCTCCTCCCACCAACCTGAGCGGCTCTGAACACACAAAAGACAGACTGAGCAGTGAAGTGCCATCTCTTTTACCCAAGCACTGAAGCTCTGCCTCCTTACCTGAGCAGGTAATGTTGACAGCGGCTCCAGAGGAGCAGGTCTCTGAGCTGGAGTGGGGACAGTCCATCAGAGCAGACTCATGGCCCTCACAGTGGAATGTCTGCCCCAGTGGAGAGAGCACCCCCTGGAAGAGAAAAGGAGCCCCACAGTCTAGCTCCCTGCACAGCACCTCTGCCCCCAGCTGGTCCAAGGCCCCTTCACAGAGCCAGGTCCAGGACTGGTCCCAGATCTGCACTGATCCTGAGCACAGGCCGGACCCCGAGACCAGGCGCACTGAGTCTGTGGACACATCACATGACATCACTGGTCAGAGATAACAGGACACACACACATGTCCACTCAGCCCATTTCAGGTTACACTGGAGGGGCAGTGTCTGATTTTCAGCAAAGCAAAAGTGGCAGAGAACTTTGTCCATAAGAATATCCACAGTAAGGGGGAAGTGATGGAGGAAGTGATGGAGGAGATGATGGGGAGGTAATGGTAGAGGTGACAGATGAGGGAATGGAAGAGGTTAAGGAGGAGGTGATGAGGAGGTAATGGAGGAGTGGGATGCAGGAGGCTCTTATAAATAAATTATATCTTATCTTATAAATAACATGTTTTTATAATTTGGAGTTCTATGGTTAGCCTAACTGACTTTAGAATAAAGGACAACATAGAGGCACTCATCCTGACTGCACAGGAGCAGGTCCTGGGCACTCGAGCAATAGAGGCCCAGATCTACCACACCAGACAAGACCCATGGTGTAGGCTGTGAAAAGACGCTCCTGAGACAGGGGTCAATCACCCGTCTCCACTCTCCTCTGTGTCTCACCTGCAGAGTCCCAGCACAGCGACTGGCCCCTCCCACTAGTCTGACTGGACCTGAACAGATAAGAGACACAGTGAGCACTACCCTTTTACCTCCCCTAACCTCCCCTTTACCTGATCAGTGAAGCTCTGCCCCCTTACCTGAGCAGGTGAGGTTGACAGCAGCTCCAGAGGAGCAGTTCTCTGAGCCGGAGTGGGGACAGGCCATCAAAGAAGACTCATGGCCCTCACAGTGGAATGGTTGCCTCAGAGGAGAGAGCGCCCCCTGGAAGCGAGAAGGAGCCTCACAGCCCAGCTCCCTGCACAGCACCTCTGCCCCCACCTGGTCCAAGGTCCCTTCACAGAGCCAGGTCCAGGACTGGTTCCAGATCTGCACTGATCCTGAGCACACGCCGGACCCTGAGACCAGGCGCACCGACTCTGTGGGCACATATGTGATATCACTGCTCTGAGATAATAGGACACACAGACATGTGACATCAAGGCTCTGAACCAACAGTAGCTTAGCTCTCACCTGAACACTTGAGCTGCAGACTGTTGTCTGAGAGAAATGTTTCAGTCCGAAAACAGTCAATCAGTGAAGTTTCATCACAGTTAGGAGAAACATTCACAACTTCTCTTTTTGAACTTATTTTTTCCACGACAGACAGAGCCGGGCCACAGTCCAGCTCCGAGCACACTCTGGCCCCAAACTCAACAGTCAAGTGTCTTGAACTCACTCTAGTCCAATTCAAACCTGTTCTCTGAAGCTCCAGTTCCCCCTCACAGCGGCTGGGTCCTCCCACCAAGCGCAGACTGCAAGGTTCTGCAGAGAGGAGATGACACAGTGCTTATACTGTCTCCTCATTTCAGTGAGGAGGTTGTGGGTTAGACTTCCGATCTCTCTGAATGGAGGGTGCATGTTCTCCTTGTGTTAGTGAGTATTTTTACCTGCTGAGCTGTTCTCTGCCAGAGCCCCTGCACACATAGAAGTCATGTTACAAAATGACATCTGTTGGTGACATAGCACAGAGCTCCACACAAAATGGCAGATGTTCTGAGCTCTTAAAGCATATGTCTATTTGATCAGTTTAAGAAAAACAGGAAAGTCAAGGTATTCCAGTTTGACACACTCTGCAAAAAAGCATGTTCTTTCTCAATTATACGTTTTCAATTTAATTTGAATTAGCAGAAACAAAGAGATATGTTCCAGTCCTCTTATTACATCCAGAATGATACATTCAGCTCATTAAAATTTCAAATGGTCACTCTAAAATTAATTTAATTTCATTCATCATGTTTGTTTCATTTGGAGCTAAAGAACTTCCGAGCAGACTTTTGGGTGTGAGGAGTGGCTGCAATGTTTGACAAAGCACTCACATTTGCCAAAAGATGAGCAAAAAGCAGCATCACAGAGAAGAGTAACACAGAGAAGAGAAACCGGACTTACCCAAACAGCAGATAGTCAGGACCAGCACTCTGAATGCCATGTTCAGCAAGGTCTAAGCCAGGAGTGAACCAGGTTTTAATCAGCACTGAACTAGGTTTGAACCAGGAAGCTCTCCAAGACCAGACTTAGAACTGGTCTAAGTCTGGTCTTGGAGAGCTTCCTGTTTTTTACTCATTCATATCTTGTCATCTTTTGTGGGTTTTTCTTGTTAAGACAAAAATGTAATAATCTGATGCACAAACAGCTCAATTAATTTTAGTAACGGTATTTTATGAATTAACCTATAATATTCTCATGCCACTTTTGAGGAGACAGCTGTCTTTTCAGTTAAAAAAATTGTTGAATAAACCCAAATAAAAATGTAAAACACACTATAACAGAAAAAAAAAAAAGAAAAAAACATGCACACATTTCTGTCTATGTGCTGTGAAAATGAGAACCGCTTTGTCCTTATCAGAGGAGTTTCCTGGATCAAACGGAAGTCGTCTGTGTTGTGTCAGAAGACAGCCTTTACTCACACATAGTTGCAATCAAAATTATTCAACCCCCACTGCAAATTAAGTTTATTGGTAAAATGTACAGGCTAGCAGCTGTTTCCAAAAAAGAAATCAAACAAGAACAATTTAAATAGCTCAACACAACTAATATTACAAGTGGTTTCTCCAAATTCAACAAAAAATGCTATGTTTAATGACTACTGCAGTCTCAAAATTATTCAACCCCTTCATGACAAGCATCTTTAGTACGTTGTAGAACACCCTTTTGCTGTTATGACCTGTTGCAAACATGATGCATTGCCAGACACCAGCTTTTGACAGCGTTCGTGGGGAATCTTAGTCCATTCCTCATGGGCAAAGGCCTCCAGGTCACCAATATCCTTGCGTTCGTGTGCTGCAACTGCCTTTTTCAAATCCTAGAGATTTTCAATGGGTTTCAAGTCAGGCGACCGTGATGGCCACTCTAGTATCTTCCAGGACTTCTTCTGAAACCAAGCCTTAGTGGACTTTGTGGTATACTTGGGATCATTGTCCTGTTGGCAGGTCCATTGACCTAACTGCCTCCTCAGGACTCTGGTGGCAGGTGTTGATAGTTTCCTCTTATTCCACGTGCAGGAAGTGTAGCCACTATTCCTATAACTTTAAACTTTCAAACTATGCTTCCACCTGTACCTCTAGGAACATTTAGTGCCTTTGCTATTTTTCTTTCCTTTTCCTTTTCCTTGTTTGTGCAAGGCAATTCTCTTGACTTAGCCATGTTTCTAACAGTCCAGATATTTAAAGGGTGCAACTAATGAAGCCCTTGATTTGCCAAAATGTGCTCTTATGAGGAATTTCAGGGGGTTGAATAATTTTGAGACTGCAGTATTAAAAGTAAAAATTTTTGTTGAATTTGGAGAAACCACTTGTAACATTAGTTGTGTTGAGCTATTTAAATTGTTCTTGTTTTATTTATTTTTTGTAAACAGCTGCTAGTTTGTACATTTTACCAATATACCTAATTTGCAGTGGGGGTTGAATCATTTTGATTGCATCTGTATGGGCCCATTGAGTTCTGTCCTCTCATGTTATTTATTTATTTTCATTTGGTTTGTCAACAATGAACATTACATAAATGCATGTTTGCACTTAAGATGAACGCAAAAACAAACTAACATGAATGGATTAAAAACAGCACTCAACAATTCTGTTTTAAGGGTTAGAGTTATGGCTTAGGTTAGGTATACAGGTAAAAGGGGTAGAGTTAGTGTGCCTCTGATGACATCTCTCATTTGTGTGGAGTAGTAATCTATTAACTACTGTTGATGCTTTATTGTGACTATAATATTTGAATAAAACATGAAAATATTTTCTCTAAAACATGTCAGATTTATTACAAATAATATTTGTATGTATGTATAAGTAGTCAAAACCTCTCCTATCTGTGCTGCTGATCTGTGTTTCTGTTGAAACTATGGCTTCTGCAGTGGCGCTGCCTGTGACATGGACTGTAGTTCTTTAGCTAGTTTAGAAATGATAAAGAATTAATGATATAACGTGGGCCTTCTGTATGCTGTGTACCATTTTAACCAAATATGAATTTATGAACTTCAAACACCTGTGTAAATCCCCACATGCATCAGTACTTATTATTACAATATACTCAATATCCATGGCTAAAAAACTTCAATTTTTATTACTTAAATTACTTGCCTAAACCTGGATCTGCTGCTCTGTTCTCTGTCGTTCCAGCTCCTCTTTTCTCTCCTCCCTCTCCCCCTCTGCTGCTGCTCTAAAGTGCACGGTGCTGAGGGACACAGACACAGGAGGAGCACTTCTCTCACCTTCTTTCTTACTTTAAACTAATTTATTGATGAAGAAGGCCTAAATATCTCTTTGTGGATCTTTTTCATACAATGTTCAAGTTCAACACTGCAAGCTCCACATTGTCCGTGGGTTAATTAGACTTGCATATATTTTTGGTCATATCATTATGAAATAAAAATTGGGACAGAGTCTGTCTGAATATGTGAGCTCCAAGTCTCTGTGTGGAGGAGTTTTTTACAGCTGCTCAGAGATATGCAACTTTATAGAGCTTGAGCGAGGCATAACCCTTTCATCCCCATGCCAAATATAAAGACAGGGGATCAAATAAAGAGTAAGAGTTAAGAGTTTGTAATTTATTTTTGATAATATATAGTCATTTGGTCAATAGACATAGATCCTCTACTTTTAGATTCTGTAAATTGTGACATCAACCTGCCCAGGGACTACAGGTGGTAATTTTTCATTTTTTTTAAATTATTGAGGTTACCCCTAACCTGGCTCACCTTACTGCCAACCTGGTCACTGAGCTCCAGCACAGACTTTTGTGATTGAGCACACTTTACGACTGAAGGACTCAAACCCCTTTTTTTATTCCACACTATTAACTTCATCTTCTCTGTGCGTACAATGTCCAGCAGATGATCCAAAGCAGGTCACAGATTGACAGTGGGTTAGGGTTGACAGTAGAGTTAGGCCTTGTAGGATGATTTCAACAACCTTAGGGCGCATTATGCTCCCACACACATGGCTCCATGCTAACCCTAACTTTTAGGTTAATTTAAATTTTATGCATGATTTTTTAGAAGATATTACATATTACTGTTAGATTCAAACCCTCTTTTAATAAGAATCTATTATATATGATTATTTGGCCTTTTTTTTTATTCAATCCACAAAGGCATCACACATTTGTCCTAAATTCCTAGAAGTGGGTGGAGTTGTGAATTATGTTGCCATTTTTACTTCATTTTGTTATATTTTTCTTGGTTTGATCCATTCACATAGATCAGGGGTGTCTAAACTTTTTTCGTCAAGGGCCACATATCTAAACACAGATGAAGCAGAGGGCCGGTCGAGGGCCGTAGACTGGTGCTCAGTACAGTGAATAAATTAAATATTTGCATGTTTAACACGTTAGAATGAACCATCAGTCTTTATTCATGCTAAGATTCTAAAAACCAGACACTATAAATGTTAAATATCAGCTTTATCAAGGTAGATTTTCAAAAAAAAACTTGCATTAAAAGGTTAATTTTTAATTGATGCAAGGTAAATTGGACCAACTCTCCTGGAAGACTGAGGGCCAAGAAAAATTTGTCAGAGGGCCGCATTTGGCCCACGGGCCGTAGTTTGGACATGCCTGACATAGATTGTACGGAGTCGCCCCTTGCCTTCTCTATCTCATTGAAATATATATATATATATATATATATTTCACTAGCTAGGACCACGCCAACGACAACATAGTGCGAAGTAGTTTATTGATAATGTACAAAGCGAGGCAAAGATGGCTGGGTTGAGACTATGGGTGGGGGCTCCGTCTCAATCTACAATTGGCCCAGCCGGAACGGGACCCCCAAAAGGTTAAAAGAGTGCAAGATAGGATGGGCTGGACAGAGATCATTGAGGTCATAACGAACGTAGACGAGACAGGCGCTGGAGGCCCGATGACCGAGGATCTGAGTTTGGTCGAATGTGCCCGCGCCGATGAGGAAGGAGTGGATGGAAATGAATGCGGAGATATGCTGGAGAGCGTAGAACTTATTGGAAATGTCACTGAACCAGAACCTGGGAGCCATCTGCCCGTATCTGAGGACGAGCGGATCGATGGAAGAGGAATCGGAGGTGTGACTTGGGCGAGATATTTTACGAAAGGTTCGCAGGGACTTATCGGTCAGTTGAGGCGAAGAGGTGGATAGGGAAGGTGTTTCCCAACTGGTCTGTTATACTCCTGCGGAGAGTGATGAGCGAAGACTATAGAATGTAAGGCGAGATCGGAAGCCTGGGGTGGACAAACGGGTCGAAAATGATTGACGATAAGAGTGAATTCAGAACGAGAATCGGAAGGCCGAAGAAGGCTGTGAGGAACATGCTTTCGAGGGTCATGTCCTCGGACGGCGAATAGTATCTGGAACGAAGTGTGAGGATATGAGGTAGAGGATATCTGAAGTAATTGGTAAGCGGTTAGGAGGGAGACAAGGTTCAAACTTAAGCAGTTCTTTACTCGATGGTAGAAATGTGGCAGTGAGACAGCGAGAGAGATGGGCGGTCCTTGCTTGAGATCGTCTTGAAATGATGTTAACACCTGAGAGATGCGCCTGGATGGTGGAGACACAGATGTTCCTGGAGAGATGTGAGAAGGCGACAAAACTGCAGATGGTGCTGACGTTGGAGAACTGAGGGGAAGCTGATGGAGACTGAAAAGAGCTTGAAGCTATATCCCCCGGTCAGGTAGGTAGAAAGGGAGCTCAGGGAGAGGCTGTCAAGGATGGCGAGTTGCGAGATTGAGGCGAGAGGGGCGAGAGCGGGGTAGCTTAATTGAAGATCGTGGCCGAAATGGGGAACTGGAATAAGCTGGACGTCCGAGTACGGAGCCAAGCTTCTGTAAAATCGAAGAGAGAATCCGCAATGGAGTTTAAGTAACCTGGAATATGAGCGGCGCGAATGACAAACTGATTTTGAGCAGATACTAGGTGAGCTTTGGAGGAACTAAGATCGCGGAGGAGCGAGACCTTCCCCTGTTGATTATGTGGGCTGCGGTGTCACTGTCGGAATGGATAAGAATGCACCTTCTAGACCACTCGTACCCCCCAAAAGAATGGCTGTGATAACAATGGAGTACAATTCGAACAAGGCGGAAGAGCCATCGGCTGGTCTGAGAGAGTGGAGCTTGGAGGTGACATGGAAGCGGACCGCTTTCCGTACAAAACCCTCTGAAACCAACTAAAGGAGCTGCGAGTGTGAAAGCTGGACATCTTCGGAAAAGATGCGAAATCAAGATTCCATTCCGGGAGTCTAGGCAATGCTTCCGTAGGCAATGCTTCTATAGGCGCATGTCGGATGTACGTGCGTCGATCATCGGTATAATACTCTGAAAGGATTCGACTGATGCGGCTTGCGTGAGGAAATGTGAAAGAAGGGCTTGCCCGGAGGGATGGTGCGGATAGCATAGTTAAGGTGACCTAGAAGGCAACAAGCGGTCTCTTGTTGCATGGGGTTGCGAGAATGAGTTGGAGAGGGGCAGAGAGGTTCGCTAGACCTTTTGGGAGGGAGACACTTGGAATGAGATCGAATCGAGTGAAATGCTGAGAAAAGAGAAAGTCATGACCAGGACGTCGTCTAGGAGGTGTAGGGCGAACGGGAGTTTAAGGTTGCTGATGAGAGTCTGACACGAGGTTTCAGACAAGGAGTCAGAGTTCTAGGGCTGCTGCAGGAGCCAAACTTCGGGTGTACAGCGACGTATCAAAACCCTAACTAGAAGACTCTGAAGTAACGCCAGGAATCTAGGTGGATGGGCAGGACCTTGAAGGCGCTGGTGATGTCCGATTCAGAGGGCTGTGCTCAATGGCCTGCAAGAAGAGTGAGAGATGACATGATTGCTGGTGGCATACTGCACGGAAAAACTGAAGTGGGAACGAGACTGCCGATGCTGGGAACGGCTGCGCCATGAGGAGAGGATAGGTCGATAGTGGGACATTTCTTCCCGGTGTACATGCGTGTGGCGATGCAGATGGAATTGATGCAGAAGTCTCGCGAGGTGGACGTTTGAATTGGCCGATCATGAACCCTTTGGCGACATCCTTCGCCGGAAGGTTGTCCACAGTGGTGGGATCCGGAAGCGAGGACTGGGGATTTCTACGTGATTGTGAAGTGACTGGCGGAAGTTCGATGCCAGGGTGAAAACTGTCGCTGAAACCATCGAACAGAAATTAACGAACCGATCGTTGAAATAACTGCAGATCATCCTTCCTCCCTGATGGAGGATGAAGCATCGTGGATCACTGCCTCTACTGATGGGTATGATGCGGTGGGGCGTGCTGAGGAAGCGAGGAATCACAGGCAGAGGGGAAGCGGTGGAAGATGAGCAATAAACCGCTAGGTTCTTCGAGGCTGAGGTATAATTACGGGAGGGCGTGACCGCTGAGCAAGGAAGCAGGATGAAAGGGAGCTCCATAGAGGTCACATGAGAGAGAGGCATGAGCTGTGAAGACCCTGCAGTAGAGCTCGAAATCCGGGACCCCCCAGTAAGCACCATGGTTGATTTGCTGGAGCCTTCCTGTCGCTTGGGTAGCAAATAGAACGTCATATGTGTGGATCCCGGTCTTGCCGAAGTGCAGCACAAGATTGAGGACCGATGCCGATAATAATCTAACTCCATTCTCTGGTTGTTGAAAGCGGAGCGGATGGCGTTGCAATATAAAGAGAAGGCGAAAGCCGATTTGGTGAGGGTGATATTCTTGAATGGCGAAGGAGTGGTGTGTAGTATTAGCGAGGTGAGGCCCTGGGTGGTTGGTATATCCCGTGGGTGGCTTGCGATGGAAGGACGGCTGGATCGAATGAGCGAGATCGATGTAATAACCAGTAATAATCGGCTACCGGAGAGATTAGGGAACGAAAACGAGGGAACGAAATCGAGGGAACGAAAATCAATTGAACGAAAATCGATTAAACGAATATCGAGGGAACAGTATTGAGGGAACGAGAGACAAACGATTGGTGGAGGCGACGTAGGAGACACAGTAGAAAACATTGGGTGTTGGGGAAGGGGAAGGGGAGGGAGGGGAAGGGATAGAGCAGAAGAAAGAAACGGATAAGACTGCTCTGCAGCTTGTAGGGTCTGCGGGGCCATGGGTACTGCCGAGGAGATTGTTGAAGCTGCTGTGGTGACGACGATTGGAGCGCAAGAAGCCATCTGACTAATAATGGCTGGAATAAGAGAAAATAAAGGAGGGATGGGGGAATTAGATGTGTGTGCATGGGGATTTAGTGCAGCCTGCAGACAGGGATGAGAGAGGTGACCCGTTGGTCAAACACAGAGGGAGCAGGCACAGGGGACGAGACAACATACTCCCCGCCAGGGGGAGCTGTGGAGGCAGACGTCGGCGGCTGGAACTGCGCGCGCCGGTCGAGAACGAGGAGGGCTGGGAGCCTGCGGTGACGAGGCTCGGACCGAATCTAAATAGTGATGAAACAGCTTGGATTTGTTATCCTGGCGGCTGGGTCCGATGCCTTTTTTCTTCAGTTCCTGCTGGAGGCCGGCCGCGGTCCGACTTCTAACGTCCCACCTGTTGGGAGAAGCCCGCGGGGATGCGCGGGGAAGCGTGCGCGCGCAGGGACCTGCGCGGTGTAGCGCGGGCGTGGAGTCGAGCTCTGCGGCCAGAGCTCAGGTGACTTCCGAGGGGGCTGCAGTGGAGGCAGTGGAGTGACGAATGCGAGGCCCGGGGCTCCTGCCGGGCGAGCGGCGAGCAGGAAGAGGCGAACGAGGGGGAGCAGAGCGAGAATCCCGCTGTCTGCGGAGGAGATTACTACGTGTACGCCCCGGAGAGCTCCGCGGTGGAGGCGTGGGGCTGATGGCGTTCGGAAGTCTAGAGGAGGCACGCCGGCTTACTGCTTGGACCTCGGAGCAACTGAGCGTCGTGAATGTTTCCTGCTCGTGGGTCTCCGGGAACCATCTTCGTAGAACTGCTGTGAGTGTGAGGAGACGGCGGACTGCGACGCGCCGAACAGGTCAGAATCCGAATTGGACGGGTTAATGATCGGCTCGGAACCGTGTCTCGTGTTCTGTCGAGTTCGCCGAGACAAACTGGGATGATGGGAAAGGCTGCTACATATAGGCTTCTGGGAAATTAGAGGCGTGGTCGAGGTGAGTTGTGGTTCGCCGGTGAGAGGAGAGGGCGGCTGAGGCGTGGTCCTGCTCCTGAATCTCAGTTAATCGTATTAACTACATATATATATATATATATATATATATATATATATATATATATATATATATATATATATATATATATATATATATATATGTATATATATATATTCCCCAACCTAATTTTTTTTTCTCTTTTCCAAGTTTCCGTGCATTTGCATTTTTCTTTCCAGTTTCAGTGCATTATTGAATTTCCAGGCTTTATCAGATTTTAGTTTTTGCTAATTCAATTGAGGCTAATATTGCAATGGTCAGTAAATGGTGACAGTTCAATATCACATTACAAAACCAGTAACATTTAGAGACACAAGCCAATAATCCAACTTTGAGCATAGGTTAGAGTTGGTCGGTCTAATCCACGTATGTTTTTTACTGTGTTTTGTTGCAGAAAAGATGTTTGATTCCAAAAATCTGATCTTTATTTCTTTAGACACTCGGGCCTCCTTTGATATGCAGTCGTCCTCCTGCAGGTGATGATCATCAGATGTGGTGACTTGGTGGTGGTTGCGTCACTTCTGCACTGTCCACTGTTTCCCGTTTCTCCACTGACACAGGAATAGCTCATGTAAGAACACCAGACACCGTTTCTGTAGACACCCCGATCACCTGAGATCTGAACGCCTCCAGTACCGCGCGCTCTTCAGGCTCTTTTCCTTCAGATTACCAGTCTCTTTTCTCAGCGACTGGACACGTGCAATTCTCAATCTTATAGGCTATTGTAATCATTTTTCATTCATCCTTTATGATAAAGCTTTGATTGCATCAAGGACACTTTCAATGCTCACGTTCCTTATTTCATCTCTCATTTTCAGTTTCTCAGATTAGGGCTTTGCAGTGGAATGTGGTCACTTGTTTCAGAAAGCAGTTGATTGATTGATTGCATTTATATAGCACCTTTCAAGATACCCAAAGCGCTTTACAGTTCATTATTCAGTCACTCCACACTCAGTGGTGGTAAACTTCAACTGTAGCCACAGCTGCCCTGGGGCAGACTGACGGAAGCAAGGCTGCCAATCTGCGCCATCAGCCCCTCCGACCACCACCATCACTCACACTCACACCACTTTCATACTAGGCAATGTGGGTGAAGTGTCTTGCCTAAGAACAAAATGACAGTTTTTTGCCAGTGGCGCCCCACTGTGGCAACTGGAATTCCTAGCGGTCTCCCATCCAAGTACTACCCAGGCCCAGCCTGCTTAGCTTCTCAGATCTGACGGGATCAGACTTTTACAAGCCGGTATGGCCACGAGCTCAGTTTAGTTCAGTATTGGGGTTTCGCAAAACCTATGTCTATGGTTTTATGGTAGCCTATATATTGTTTATAGAATGGTACAACTATATATTGAAGTCTATGGTGGAAGCCTCAGTTTTATTGAACATCTTTTATTTTCTTTGTGCGTCTATGGTGCATGCTAGTGCGCCTCAGTGCGTTCTTGTCATTGTTATTGTTATCGTTATTGTCTTGTCTTGTTATTTTAATAGATCCATGGTTCTTGTGCGTAGTGTGGGGCTTTTCCAGCAGATGGCGCCACGTACGCGGTGCTCTCTGAATCATACGCTGAACTTTATTTAAAACCAAAACAAACACACGGTCTCGTGCACAGCAGCTGTAGCTCTCGCGAGACCAAGCGGTGACCTCAAAGAGAAGTTAGTCCCGAGTCTGGACAAAAACGAAAACCTAGGTCTGGACCTGATCCGGCCCTGATCCGGACCTACATCTAGTCCGGACACGAGCACGGGGCCGGGCACACGCTCAGGTGAGTACAGCTCCATGCGCGTGAACCTCCGGGGGCGCCCCCCGTGTGCGTCTTTCTCAAGTTTGTCTCCGGCTGAGTTCGGCTGTTTCCGGGGGTCTCCGAAGAGCGATGGGTTCGGACCTGGTTTAGACCTGGTTAAGTCCTGGTTTGGATCTCGTTTAGTTCTGTTTTAGTCCTGTTTTAGTTTAGATTTTGTCCTATTTATACCTACTTTAGAGCTGGTTTAGTTCTGGTTTAGTTCTGGTTTGGATCTTGTTAAATTCTGTTTTAGTCCTGGTTTATTTCTGGTTTAGACCTAGTTTAGACCTGGTTTAATCCTGGTTTAAATCTTGTTTAGGTCTAGTTTAGACCTGTTTTAGTTTTAGTCCTCCATGAATAATATTTATACTGAAGTAACAGTACTCTTACTTGAGTAAAAGTTGTGGTTACTCTTTCCACTGTGTGTAGGTCTACAAGTGACAAAAGTTTTATGTTGATATGACATGATTTGAACATTTTAGTTACGCTCATTATTGTCTATGATTTGAAAATACAAGCTTTTGTGCATATTTAATGTGTTGTACTTAACAGTACATTCACTTCAAATCATAAAACAGATGTTTCACCCGACAGTTACTCTTTAAGTTAGTTTTGCTAAACACCTTTTTACTCTTACTTGAGTAATTTCTTGGTCCACTGCTTTGTACTTCTGCTTGAGTAACATTATTTTGTAACATTTCTCTTGCTTGAGTTCAGTTTGTGTTTAGAACTATAACAATTATGTAATTCAGTATAAAAAGTTGTTTGATTCCAGCTTCCACTAGTGCACGCTGCAGTTGTGTCCTTGAGCCAGACACTCCTCTCTTGTGTGTGACAATGGGAGAATTATACTTTTCCACTACATGGTCTATAGCGTTTTCCTACCTTCTACCTTCAAGGCTCAAAGTACTTTGCAAGGAACCACTCACCCGTTCACACCAGTGTACACAGATACTAGGGGTTTGTGTAGTATCTTGCCTAAGGACACAACAACAGCATTTGCCTTTGGGAGCTTGAATCACACCACAAGTTATGTTTTAGTCCTGCTTTAGTCCTGCTGTAACTGATTTGAACATTTTATAGGCCTGATTTACATCTGGGTCAGTGGATCAGTGATGTTTGTGGGATTCGATCCACTCACTTTTGGATTAGAAGACCATCACCCTACCACATAAGCTACTGCTGCCCGCGTGTTTCAAACCTTGGCCTGTGGATGATTCACCTGGACTCTGACCTCACCTGTCGGGGGCGGAGCCTGCTGCCGTAATGTCAGTGTGATGTCAGAACGGAGGCGGGGATTCGTGTTGGGGTGCGAGGAGGACGATGGCGACATGCAGACAGGTGAGGCAGGTGAGACAGGTGCGAGAACCAGACTCTGTAACATTATTATAACTTTAATCATTTTGGTTTAATTCTCTTTATATTTTCAAACCAGCATCTGTCCAAAATCTTTTAAATAAATGCATTTGTGATGATTCTGCTCTTGTCACATGTTTAGTTTTCCTCTCACAGAACCAGCTCAGAATTTTGAGGGACTGAGGGGAACACTGAAGACAAGCATGGACCAGGAAACAGAACCAGGTTTAGACCAGGATCTGAACCAAGACCCAGGTCTGGATTCGGGGGACTCTGTGGAATTGGAGGATCTGGAGGACCTGGAGAACTACGAGGTGAAGTTTATCATTATAATAACTTTGTACTGGTTTTATCCTGTTTTACACCTGGTTTACTCCTTGTCTAATCCTGTCTTGGCCTGGTTTAGTTTAGGTTTAGTCTTGGTTTAGACCTAGTTTGTACTTGATTTGAACCATATATAGTCCTGATTTACACCTGGTATGGACTTGGTTTAGTTCTGGTTTATTACTGCTACTACTACTACTACTACTACTACTACTACTACTACCACTATAATCATAATATGATAATGTATTATTATTATTATTATTATTATTATTATTATCCATCTCTCTGTGTCCTTTATCAGAGCTTTATCAGAGCTTTGGCCTTTGGAACAGAACAAACTGAGTCAGGTTTATGATCCAGTGATAAACCAGGTCTGAACCAGGTCTGAACCAGGTCTGAACCAGGTCTGAACCAGGTCTAAACCAGGTCTATAAGCCAGTATTTTGTGTTATAGCGCCGCATAGTGGTGGGGATCTGCGCCATGACGAAGAAGTCTCGGTCAAAACCGATGGTTCAGATCCTGGAGAGACTCTGTCGCTTTGAGTTCATCCAAGTCTCGGTTTTCCCTGAAGATGTGATTCTGGAGCAACCCCCGGAAAACTGGCCCCTGTGTGATGTACTGGTGTCCTTCCACTCCAAAGGTGAGAGGAGAGAGACGAAAGGAGAAGGAGGACAGGAGGAGAACAGAGGGAGAAAGGAGGAAATAAGAAGAGGAGAGGGCAGGGGGTGAGGAGGAGATGAAGAGGAGAAGAGAAGAGGGGGTGAGGATGAGGATGAGGATGAGGATGAGAGAGAGGAGAAGAGGAGGAGAGAGAAGAACAGAGGAGGAGAGGAGGGGGACAAGGTAAAAGGATGAGTGGAGAAGAGAGTGTAGGTGTTAGTAGGAGGGGGAGAAGGGGTGAAACAGTGAGTAGCTTGTAGATAGTACCTTGCCTCACAACAGGAAGGTCCTAGGTTTGTTGAACTCTTGAGGTGAAGCACTTCTGTGGAGTTTGCATGTTCTGCCTGTGTCTGGGCCTCAGGTCCTCCTGCTGGCCTAGGTCTGGGAACGGTACTCTTCTACTGTAGTGCTGTAGTACTTCTACTATACTATATGTACTATAGTACAGTAGAACTTGTGCTGATCTATTGTAGTACCTGTACTTCATGCTTTTCTCTGTGGCAGGTTTCCCATTGGACAAAGCGGTGGAATATTCTAAACTCAGGAACCCTCTACTCATCAATGACCTGGACATGCAGTACTACATCCAGGATAGGTACTAGTTCTACTACTACTACTACTACTGTTACTAATATTAGTACTACTACTACTACTTCTACTACTACTACTACTGCTACTGCTGCTGCTGCTGCTACTATTCAAAATGAATCCAAACTCTGTTGGGGTGTTTTTCAGGAGGGAGGTGTACCGGATCCTTCAGGAGGAGGGCATAGACTTGCCTCGGTACGCTGTCCTCAACCGAGACCCCGATCATCCAGAAGGTACCAGATGGATCTCAACCAGACTACGGGGGGCTAATATAGTCCTGGTTTAGTCATGATTTAGTCCTGATTCAGATTTGGTGTAGACTTGGTTCAGACCTGATTTAGCCCTGGGTTTTGTCCTCTCTTCAGAGTGTAACCTGGTTGAAGGGGAGGACCATGTGGAGGTGAACGGGGAGATCTTTCACAAACCGTTTGTAGAGAAACCAGTTTGTGCGGAAGACCACAATGTGTACATCTACTATCCCACGTCTGCAGGAGGAGGCAGCCAGAGGCTCTTTAGGAAGGTGAGATGAAACCAAAGCTACAGCTGAAAGAACCTTTAGAACTCCTTCTAGAGGAAAATGTATACTTTGCAGCTGTCATCAACATTCCCTGGGAGTGTAATGCTAACTGTAAGCACTGCTCTCTCTGAAGCTCAAGTTAGACTTTAATCTGAGCTTTAAAGTATTGATTTAACTGGAACTACAACAGGTGAGCTAATTTGTGCTGTTAAACAGTGGAAATTAGCCATGTTGGCTATAATTGTTACATATTTACATTTTAAATGTTCATTAATATGTGCTGTCCCTTTACAGTAAATAAATAAGAATCAAGTCCCTCTCAAATAACATTCCAGTCACTAGCTTGCTAGCACTTTAAAGTTTTTGACAGTGTTTGCTAATGTGTGCATTGTGTCACCATGGTAACTGCTGAATAAGTCAGGCTAATGGTAAGAGTGACGCAAATCAGACAGATGACTCAAATCCTGAGGTTGGTACGGGTGGTGGAAGGGTCCAACTGTCTGATCAAGTGGTTTGTTTTGTGTGTATATCCTACATATCCTATGTATATATGTTTTGACATGTTTTAATAATAATAGGATTGATTTTAGTAGTAATAAGGGTTCACAATAATAATAATAATTGGTTTAGTTTTGTGTGCAGGTCTTTATATCTATATTATGTCTAATGATTTTGATATCAGTGACAGCTTTTGTGTGTTATGTAGATTGGCAGCAGGAGCAGTGTGTACTCTCCTGAGAGCAGCGTCAGAAAAACTGGCTCCTACATCTACGAAGAGTTCATGCCCACCGACGGGACTGACGTCAAGGTACCCACGCCCTAAAATTACACCTTAACCTGACAACCTCTGACCCCTAATCCCAGACCCTAACCACCTCATATCAGATGCAAGAGGTAATGCCCACAGATGGGACTGACAAGGTCAAAGTAACAACACCCTAAAAATACACCCTAAACCCTACATCCTACCTCCCCTCCTTTTTGATTGGCTGGTTGCTATGATACTTGCTGTTGGAATTCCAAATATGGAACTGGACTCGAGATTAGCTGCTATAACTGCTATCCTCAGTGAGCTTCATTTGAAGGCTTACACTGTGGGTGATGTCACACTTCCACTATATAATCTGTGGCTACTCTATGGCACTATATACTCTATAACACTACAGTATGACTCCTCCTCCCCTCCCCTCTCTCTCACTTGTCTCTCACCTGCCTTTCTCTCACCTGTATGTGTCAGGTGTACACAGTGGGCCCAGACTACGCCCACGCTGAGGCTCGTAAGTCCCCGGCTCTGGACGGTAAAGTGGAGCGTGACAGTGAGGGGAAAGAGGTCAGATACCCAGTGATGCTGACTGCCATGGAGAAGCTGGTCGCCCGCAAGGTCTGCCTGGCCTTCAAGGTACAGAACTCTAGATCTGGTTTAGTCCTGGTTTATAGCTGGTATAGTCCTGGTTTGCACTGGTTTAGACCCAGTTTCAGTCCTAGTTTAGACCTGGTTTAGACCTGGTTCAGTCCTGGTTTAGATGTGATTTACATCTGGTTTAGTCTTGGTTTTGTTTTTCAGCAAACAGTCTGTGGCTTTGACCTGCTCAGAGCAAATGGTCACTCATTTGTTTGTGACGTGAACGGATTCAGCTTTGTCAAGAACTCCATGAAGTACTACGACGACTGTGCCAAAGTACTCGGGTAAGTACAATTACTACTACTACAGTGTGCTCCTAAAAAGTTCAGATGTCCACTCTTCATCTGACCAAACCAAATGTCCGTGTCTTTGCCACATGTTTCTAATGTCTTTGTAAAGTGCCTATTAAGCAGTAGTAGTAGTAGCAGCAGCAGTACTAGTACAAGTAGTAATTGTAGTGTTTGTAATTGTTGTAGTTGTAGTATTTGTGAATGCAGTTGGAGTGAAATTATCATTACAAACTGTTGACAGATGAAGAAAACAAACAGTAAAATTGAAGGCTGTAGTAGTAGTGGTTGTTGTAGTAGTTGAACTAGTTGTAGTTGTAATATTTGTGAATGCAGTTGCAGTGAGATTATTATTACAAGGTGCTGACAGCTTGAGTAAACAAACAGTAAAATTGAAGGTTGTAACTGAATCCAGACTGGGTTTAGTCCTGGTATGTTACCGGATCTTTATGGCTCTGTAAAGTCCACAGGGTGAACTGTAAAACCTGATCCAGAGACCAGAGACCAGAGACCAGAGACCAGAGACCAGAGACCAGAGACCAGAGACCAGAGACCAGAGACCAGAGACCAGAGACCAGAGACCAGACCTGGGGAACTCTGAGTTCTAGTTATTTTTGTCTCTGTTTCCACCAGGTCACATTACATGTCTCTTATCACATAAGAATTCACACAGCCCCAGGGACAAGACCTGGTTCAGACCTGGTTCAGACCTGGTTCAGACCTGGTTCAGACCTGGTTCAGACCTGGTTCAGACCTGGTTCAGATATGGTTCAAGCCAATATTTCTGAGGTGGTGCTTGGGTGCTTTTCTCAGACCCTTTGGGCCAGTTCTAGGCCTAGACAGGATAATGGGAGGGAATTTGACACGCAGGGATACAGGAGATAGAAGGGCATCTGACACACAGGGATACAGGAGGGCACCTGATGTATTTAGTTGTTTCCATAGAAACCTGGTTATGAGAGAGCTGGCTCCTCAGTTGCACCTGCCCTGGTCTCTGCCCATGGAGTCTGAGGACATTCCCATAGTGCCCACAACCTCCGGGACCATGTAAGTAATACTGCAACCTACTACTACAGCTACTTCTACTACTATTACTATTGCTACTATTACTTCTACTACTACCACTATACTGCTACTACTATTACTGCTACTAATACGACTAATACGACTACTATTACTATTATTACAAAATTGAATCAAAACAACGGAGCTTACTAAAGTTTTGGTTTAGTAGGTTTTGATTCAATTTCGTGAAACTTTCTTGTTCCTGGATGCCTCAAGAACAGTTTCTTTGTAATTTACTACTACTACTACTTCTATTACTGCTACTACTTGTACCACTCCTGGAGCCCTGTGTGGCAGTAGATCAGAATTCTATCTTTCTTAACATTTGCGTGGTTTTGTGATCAGAGATATGAACAGTCTATGGTCCAGACCTTAAAGTTTGGTTGCGTTTAAATCTTTTGAATGAAATAAAGACTTTGTATGTTCAGGATGGAGCTGCGCTGTGTCATTGCCATCATCCGCCACGGAGACAGAACGCCCAAACAGAAGATGAAGATGGAGGTCCGCCACCCACTGTGAGTCCAGGCTGGGATTATAACCAGATCTGAATCCTAAACTGTGATTATAACCAGGTCTGAGACCTAGACCGGGATCCAAACTGAGTTTTAAAAAATACGCATCCAGGTACTAATCAATTCTGAGACTAGTGTCAAAACTGGATTCTTCCCTGAATCACTGTTGCTATGGTACTCCATAAACTGGAGAAGGTGGAACCTTTCATGATTTTTTTAAGTATCTTTGATAATTGAGATTGAGTATCAAGTCTTTTCCTTAGTAAGAAAAAGAAATGAGCCCCAGACTTCATTCCTAACCAGATCAAAGGGCCCAGACCGGTATTATAACCAGAGCTGAAGCCCAGACCGGGATTATAACCAGATTGTCTTTGTGTTGTTTTGTTCCAGGTTTTTCGAGCTGTTTGAGAAATACGGAGGATATAAAAGTGGGAAACTGAAGCTGAAGAAGCCCAAACAGCTGCAGGTCGGTTCTACTCAAAATAGAATATTAAAATTTAAAGTGTCTATGACAGGTTAGACCACTCATTTGACTAAAACAGTTAATCATGAATTAATTTTTTTGATTTTACATTTTACTTCCTGGTGTGAAGTCATGATATCACTCTTGGGAATTCCATAATGGCTACCTAGCAACCATGTGGTACACCCGGCCAAAACTCAAATGTACAGGAATTATGATCTGACAAATAAAATATAAGAAACCATCTTTATTTGGTTGAAATCATCTTTAAGGTATCAGGAAAATGTGTTTTTGCATAAATTCTGCCAAACTTTTGGCTAGAATTTTCCCAGTGTAATTTCATTAATATGGAACGCTCTAAAATAGAACTCTACTTCCTGTAATTTTCAACATATTTTTTCGACTTTTCATAGAATCATTAAAAACTGTCATATGCACATTAAACATGAGAGTCTAAACTGGATCTGGACTGGGTCCTGAGTTCTTCTTGTCTTATTCTGTTTGTAGGAAGTGCTGGACATAGCACGCCTCTTGTTGGTGGAGCTGGGGCAACACACAGACTGTGAGATTGAAGAGAAGAAGTCCAAACTGGAGCAGCTCAAAACCGTCCTGGAAATGTACAGTTAGCATTTCACATTTTAGTATTTATACTGCATTTATATGGTCCTTGGGTACTCGGAATTCCAAGATTGAATTTGATTTTTTTATCTCAGCTTTTTTTTTTTATTATTATGTCACCAATAATAAAATCATTTAGTCTGCTCATTAACATTGATTAAAAGAACTAACTAGTTGTTGTTGCCATTAACCTTCTCAAAACTAAACATTATTTGTTTACTTTAGCTAGTTAACATTACATCTGTATTAATTAAACTCTCGTAGTGTTGGTATTTTTTGTGCAGATCTGTTTCTCTTATGATCTTATGATCTGGACGACTGATGGTTAACACTTAAATCTAATAACTTTTAGTCAAAGAGCTCAAATGTTTCAGATAAACTGACAAATCAGCTGATTTACGTTCATCTACACAGAGCAAGTATAAATATTGGTGCTATGAAATAAAAACTGAGTTAAAGTGTTCTCTGTCAGAATATGTAAGCTACAAGACTCTGTATGCAGAATCTTTTAGATATAACATGCTCCAGATTCTGAGTGACATGTAGCTCTTTCATACCCAGGTCAAATGTAAAGATGAAGGATAGAATCTCCTTTATGTTGTGGCAATTTGGTCCCTCAAAATCTTGAGATCTTGTCCCATCCCTAAAATTTACACACACAGCAGAAATTTGATCAGGAACTGATTTCTATGAAACATCATGTAAACAGTCCCATCTGATGTGAGTAACTGAATTGTTGTCACTATTGAGTTATCTCTTCGTCCTCTGAACTACAAAATCTGTCATTCTCTCTGAGTCCTGTTTTTCTGGCCTGATGCTGTGATCTCTTCTCTCCTCATTCTGTTCCTCCATGTTCTCCTTCATGCTCCTCCCTGTTCTTCTGTCTCTGAAGGGAGTCCAGTCTGAATGATTCTCAGTACGTGTGAACCCTCTTGTCTCTGAACTGCTTCAACTGTTTGCAGCATGAAACTTTCCAGCTGTTCCACCAGGCCCTGACCCTACTGACCCTGACCTTTCAGCTGGTCCCTTTGATACTGACCTTACAGTTTATCCTCTGACCCTAACCTTTCAGCTGTTCTCTTTGATACTGACCTTACAGTTTATCCTCTGACCCTGACGTTTCAGCTCTTCCTGTGACCCTGACCTTACAGTTTGATCTCTGACCATGACCTCTCAGCTGTTTCTAACCCTGTCTTTAGTGTGAAGTGTCTTTAAAGTGTGTTTTTTTGAGTGCATACCTTGCAGCTGTTCATGATGACACTTACACTTGAATGGACCTTGCAGCTGTTGTCTTGAGAGAACACTCTTACTGTTGTGTATATCACAGTTAGTTAAAACTGTACTTGTGATGTTTTATATTCATATTGTCTAATTTCGTTTACTTCTTGTGCTTTTATAATAATCCTGAGTGTTCTGTTTAAGGTATGGACATTTCTCTGGAATCAACCGAAAAGTCCAGCTTACGTACCTGAGGACGGGGAAACCGCAGGCATCCAGTGGAGAAGAAGGTATGGTTCAATCTTCTGATGTTTCAGTGGGGTTTGGGAGCAGTCTAATTACTGATAATTTCTCTTATATTTGTATCAGATTGAGACCAAAAGGAGGGCCCTGGTGGGTTTGGGAGCGGTCTAATGTTTGATGTGTTCTCTTATCAGATTGTCATAAGGAGGGTCCTTCGCTGCTCCTGGTGCTGAAATGGGGCGGAGAGCTAACTCCAGCAGGACGTGTCCAGGCTGAGGAGCTGGGACGCGCCTTTCGCTGCATGTACCCTGGAGGACAAGGTACGGGAGGGCATCTGACGCAATGTGGCACACGGGGAGGGCATCTGAGCCAGTCTGATACACCTGCAGGGCATCTGAGGCAATTTCACACATGGGGAGTGCACCTGCCATAATCTGAGATACTGAGAGGGCATCTGAGACACAGGGATACAGGAGGATGGGAGGGCATCTGACACACAGGGATACAGGGGGATGGGAGGGCATCTGACACACAGGGATACAGGAGGATGGGAGGGCATCTGACACACAGGGAGGGCATCTTTAACGTTGTCTTTTTTGCCGCGGTAAAATTTTGGTGAAAAGCCGGTAACCGCCGTCTCCTTGGAAACGAGTCTCCGATTGGTAAGCCCTGCCTCCGCTCTGATCCGGCCACTGTGATTGGATGGTTTGAATCAGCTCGTGATGATATGGCGGTGTGTGATTGGCCACAGTCTCCCTCTGTCTGCCCCCCCTAGACACACCCCCACACTCCTCTAACCACTCTGCCTCTCCTCTCCTCTTCTCTCACTCTGTTCTTCCTCTCTCTCCTCTCTTCCCCCTCTCTTTCCTCTCCCCAGGCAGCTCCATCTTTTTTTCTCCTCTCCCGCTCCTCTCTCTAGCTCTGTTCTTCATCTTTCCCTCTCTTCTGATATCTCCCACTTTTCTCCTCCCCCTCTCAGTTCTCTCTCTCTCCTTGTTCTGCTCTCTCTCTCCTCCTCTCTTTCACCCATCTCCCTTCTGTCTTCTCTCTCTCTGGTGTCACTTTAGTCCTGGTCATGTGATGTTATGTGTGCTGCCTCCTGATTGGTCGATATGAGCATGTGTGAGAATAAAGTTTTTAAACAGAGAAACAGCAACTCTGACCTTTCACTTCAGTGTGTCTGCGGGGTCACAGCAAGGTCAGATTATTACTCGACTTTGTGATTCAAGAAACAGACAACCTGCTGAACAAAGGGAGAAAATAGGAGAGAAAGGAGGAGATGAGGAGAAAGGAGACGTGCAGAGAGGAAACAGGAGATGAGGAGAGGAAGACTCTAGGACTGGACGAGACAAGGAGAGAGAAGATGAGTAGAGGAGACAGGAGACGAGGAGACGACGAGAGAGGAGACGAGGATAGAGGAAACGAGGAGACAAGAGGACAGGAAGCATGGTCATGTGATCTGTGACAGTAGCATGTGCTCTGCAGCCAATGAGAATCAGGCCTCTCTTCACTGTGATTGGTTCAAAACTGCTGCTCCAGATTCTGGTTCAGGTCTGCTTTAGTCCTGGTTCAGTTCTGGTTCAGGCCTGGTTTAGGCCTGGTTTAGTCCCTGACCAAACTGTGGAGCATCAGTGAAATTTCACAAAAAAGTTATTTTGAATATTGTAAAAGTTTAAAACAGAAAACCAGAAGTGTGATCCGAGCACAGTGAAAGAGACGCCTCCCAATCTGGGCCCTAATCAACCGCCTGGTCCTCCCCCGGATCAAAACTCTCTGGTCCCGTCTAGACCTTGTCTGGTCTAAGTCTGGGCTTTGTCTGGTTTTAGTCCAGTCTGGTCCTGGTCTAACTCCCATCTTGTTTGGTTCCAGGGGACTATGCTGGGTTCCCGGGCTGTGGGCTTCTGAGACTCCACAGCACCTACAGGCATGACCTGAAGATCTATGCCTCTGACGAAGGAAGAGTCCAGATGACTGCTGCTGCCTTTGCCAAAGTAAGACCTGGTTAGACCTAATTTAGACCTGGTTCAGACCTGATTCAGTCCCACTTTAGACCCGGTTTATACCCAGTTTATACCCAGTTTATATCTATTTAGACTTGGTTTAGACCTGGTTTAGACATGTTTAGACACGTTTAAGACCTGGTCTAGACCTGTTTCAGACCATGTTTAGACCCGATTTAAACCTGGTTTTGTCCTGGTTCAGACCTGGTTTAGATCTGAATTAAACATGGTTAAGACCTGGTTCTGTCCAGGTTTAAACCTAGATTTAAACCCAGACCCCCTTTTGACCTATTTTAGTCTTGATTTGAACCAGGTTCAGACCCTGTTTAGACCCTGTTTTCTATGTGTCAGGGTCTTCTAGCTCTGGAGGGGGAGCTGACACCAATCCTGGTGCAGATGGTGAAAAGCGCAAACATGAATGGCCTCTTGGACTCGGACTGTCTCTCGGACACTCAGAACCGGGTCAAGACCAGACTCCACGAGATCCTGCAGCAAGACCAGGATTTCGTACCCGACCACTACCAGAAGGTAAGACCAAGACTAAACCAGGACTGAACCGAGACTGAAAGAAGACTTAATCAGGACTAGGACAGGACCAACGGTGTAAGAAGTACTCAATTTAGCATTTGTTCTCAGAGTATAATAAAAAATATTTCTACTGGTCATCCCAATTCAAAAGTTTAGGAGCAGATAATGTAATGGAGTTTTATGTAAAGCATATCCACTTTAAAATTTATAGTGAAATACAGATGCCTAAAATTTGTACTTAAGTACTGTACTTTGCTGCTTGTATTTTATTACTTTCCACCACTAGACAGGTCTAACCCAGAACTAGGACAGGTCTAATCCCCGTCCCTGTCTCTTATAGCTGGCGCCAACCCAGAGTCCATCTCTGGTGAACTCCATGAACCTGGTCCAGAACCCAGTGAAAACCTGTGATGAGGTCTACAGCCTGATCCAGAACCTGACCTCCCAAATCCGACAGAGACTGGAGACTCCCACAGCCCAGAGTGAGTGACTATTTATTTATTATTTTATTTTATCTTATCAGGAAGTTCCACAGAGAGTTTAGTTTTAGTTGGTTTATGAGAGTATTCCATAAATGTGAGGCATAGAATCTAAAACCATTTTCCCTGCTTTGTGTAGATTTGTGGTACTGCTAAGGACTAACCCAGGACTCACCCAGAACTGAACCAGGACTAGGCCAAGACTAAACCATTACTAAACCAAGACTGAACCAGGTCTAAAATAGGACTAGAGCAGGACTGAACCAAGACTAAACCAGGACTGAACCAGGACTAACTCACCATTCCGAGTCCCTGATGTAGCAGAGATGGTCTAACCCTGGTCTAACCTTGCTCTAACACTGGTCTAACCCTGGTCTTTTGTATCCCACAGACCTACAGCTGTACCACTCTGAGTCACTGGAGCTGATGCTACAAAGATGGTCTAAACTGGAGAGAGACTTTCGGATGAAGAGTGGTCGCTATGACATCAGTAAAATCCCAGACATCTATGACTGCATCAAATATGACTCCCAACATAACGCCTCCCTGGGCCTAGACCGGACACAGGACCTGTTCAGACTGAGCCGAGCCCTGGCCGACATCGTCATACCTCAGGTCAGGCCTGCTTAAACCTGGTTTAGTCTTGATTTAGACCTGGTTCAGTCCTGGTTTAGTTCTTGTTTTGACCTGATTTTAGTCCTTGTGTAGATCTAGTTTTAGTCCTTATTTAGCCTTGATTTTGGTCGACTTGGTTTTTGGTTGACTTGGTACTGGTCTACAGGAGTATGGGATCAGCAGAGAGGAGAAGTTGGACATAGCTCAGACGTACTGTGTTCCCCTGATGAAGAAGATCCAACTGGATCTCCAGAGGACTCATGAGGACGAGGCAGTCAACAAACTCCATCCACTGTGAGCCCTACTCCAGCCCTAACACCTACACCAACCAATCCAATATCTACAACACCTAAATGCTAACCCGACAAACTGCACCCACTGTGAGTAAAGACCCATCTAGAATCATCCAATGCAACACTACTATCTCTAACATCAAACCAAACTCTACAAGCTCCAGCCATCATGAGTAAAGACCCTAACACCTACACCATCTAATGTGACACCACTTTTATCTGTAACATTTTATCTGATGAGATGTCACGGTTTTGACTTGTTTGCATTCATGTGCCTTTTATGTCAGAAATCAGTAAGTCATTCATGTTCATTAACAGAGTTTTAATAGAGCTAACCAGTGAGAGCTGTTGATGTTAGCATTCTCAAAAGCTAAATGTTATTAGTTTACTTTAGCTATTTAACATTAGCCAGGCTGGAGCCACTTGGTGCCTCTCCTTGCATAAACTAAGCGAAGATAAAACTACAGCTCTTGTGCGCTGATGCGGTCAATTTCTGTTGAATTAAAAGACATGACTCAAGTGAATACAGGTTAGTGTGACCATATTTGCGTTTGTCAAAACCAGGACACCGTACGGGGGGTGGGAGGTGGGGACTCGTCATCAACATTGCGCGACTCACCTGGCAAAGCTTTTTCCCACTGAACACCGAAACAAAGACATTATTGTCCTTCTTCCTACAGAATTTGGGAAAAGCTTAATATGCCAGTTAGCCACGTTAGCGGCGCATGACATATGTCACGACCAAATAGCAGTGATTGGTTAAATGAAAAAAAGTACCCGCCTACCGTCGAGCGAATGAATTCTAACGCTGCGAGGTCAGATGGTTTCTAATAAGTGAAACCGGCTGATGAATCGGGCAAATTTAACATTGCATCGGTGAGTATTTAAGCAGCTGTAGTGTCTAATTTTTCTTGTGCAGATCTGTTGCTCTTATGAAAATGATTAACTTATTAAGCTAGCCATTCAGATGTTATAACGTCTGTTCCATATATTATTTTTGTCTCTTTTAGATATTCCCGTGGTGTGATGTCTCCAGGGCGTCATGTCAGGACTCGTCTGTACTTCACCTCCGAGAGCCACGTCCACTCTCTGCTCAACATGTTCAGATACGGCGGCCTGCTCGATGTAAGTGAGCTCTAAGCATTATCAGTAATTCAGTAGTCCACACCAAACATACAGTGGACTGACGATTGTCACACTGGGGTGTTCTGCATGTATCTCTATGGTGGAATGTTCAGCAGTTACCATGGTGACACAATGCACAAATTAGCAAACACTACTCGACTTTATGTCTTTAAACTTGAGAATACAATATGTATTGAAACGCATTTTCAGAAGCCTGTGATTGATCAATACGAGTGTTCATGGTCCTCTTTAGGTGTTTGATTGCCTACAAAAATGAGAGTGACTACTAACCTTTGACTAATGGTAGCTAGCTTATGACTGTGATGTTATTTGAGAGGGACTAATTCAGTTCTTTATGGTCAGATTGTGTTAAAACAAAGCTTAGATTAATGTCTAACAAACGTCAGATAGAGCAGTCCCTCCAGTTAGCGTTACAGCCCCAGAGAATGTTGATGCAAAGTATCAATTATCTTTAATAATCTATATCTATATGTGTGTGTCCACCAGGAGGAGCATGACGCACAGTGGAAACAGGCCATGGAGTATCTGAGTGCAGTGCCAGAACTCAACTACATGACCCAGATCGTGATTATGCTGTATGAAGATAATAACAAGGTAATATATGTAAATGTGTGCAAATAAATATGTTTAAGTAAGTAAGTCTTTATATAGCGCTTTTCACAGACATTTTTTGTCCCCAAAGACGCTTTACAGAGCATTATTCAGCATTATTCATTCAGCATTATTCATTCACTCTATACCTGGTGATGTTAAGCTACTATTGTAGCCACAGCTGCCCTGGGACAGACTGACAGAAGTGCGGCTGCCATGCCAATCGGCGCCATCGGTCCCTCCGACCACCAGCATCAGTCACGCACACACCACTTTCATACTAGGCAATGTGGGTAAAGTGTCTTGCCTAAGGACACACAATGATTGAATTGATTGTATTTAACTGACCTTGACTATCAACTGTTCTGGAGACTTATGTAGCATGTTTTGGGTTGATGGGGGAAACCGGAGCGCCCGGAGGAAACCCATCCAGACACGGGGAGAAACATGCAAACTCCACACAGAAAGGCCCGGGCGACCCGGGGATCGAACCCAGAACCTTCTTGCTGTGAGGGATGAGCGCTAACCACTCATATTTATGTAACAAATATAATATTACAAACATACCCAAAGCACACCAATCCATAATAAACTCGACTATATGATCTTTCTGATAAGATACACTGTGTTATGTGTTGTGTTTAACTCTTGTATGTGTCTTTTAGGATCCTTCTTCTGAGGAGCGTTTTCATGTGGAGCTGCACTTCAGTCCTGGAGTTAGAGGCTGTGAGAGTGAGAGCGCCCCCCAGGGGTTTGGCTTCAGACCTGCCTCCTCTGAGGTACATACAGCCCACAGTATAATTCCTATATGGTAACTCATTTCTCCAACATGCCATGCCCCCTAAAGCATAACAACTACCAAAGCATGAGAGAGACTGGCATCTGAGTGCTCTGTGGTACATATTCCTTACAGTATATCTCCTATATCCTACTGCCTACCTCCTACACACTAAATACCTCATACGACATTCAGGCCTGAGCACCCCATGTCAGGCCTGCTTAATCAGACTTACACTGCCTACAGTATAGCTCCTATGTCTTAACGCACTGCCTACACACTAGAGCTAAAGTCCTACACTCTATTTTCTTATAATTACAAGGAGGATGGGAGGGAATTGTACTTTCAGGAGGATTGGAGTACTTCTTAGTGAAACGTGTGTGTTTCAGAACAAAGACAAGCGCCCGGACCAGGGGAGTTTAGAGGATCTGAGCCAGGACCAGACCGACCAAGCACTTAATGTATCAGAGCCAATCAGCATTCAGCGCCGCTCTCCCATGATCCGCAATCGCAAGACTGGATCTATGGAGGTAAATCAGGTGTAAACCAGGACTAAACCAGGAATAAATCAGAACTAAACCAGGACCATACTAGGACTATACCAGAAATAAACCAGGTCTAAACCAGGACTGAACCAGGTTTAAATCCGGTCTGTTCTTCAGGTCCTGTCTGAGTGTGCTCAGTCTAAAGGAGGTCCTCTCAGACTCTTCTCATCTGGATCTCGTCAGTCGCCCGAGTTCAAACCAAACCCAGGACTTGGTCAGTACTTTTTTCCCTCCTCTCTCCTATCATCCCTCCATCTCTCCTGTCATCACTCCATTTCTTCATCTCTCCCTCTCTCCATCTGTCCTGGCCCTCAATCACTCCATCACTCCATCACTCCATCACTCTATCTCTCCATCACGCTTTCCCCTGAGCCCCGGTACAGAGGACAGCCTGTGCGAGGGAGGGCCTCTGGTCTAAAGTCACTGCACATGTGTGGAGTCTGTATTGTCTCACCGTGGCTCAGTTCCCTCTGTCTCAGGAGACTTTTCAGCTGTTCAGCTGATATTGTAAGATTTTAGAAATAATCCAGCCTAGTTTTCTCTGTTTCATGGTTTTAATGTTACTTCTTGGTTAAGCATGGGCAGTAGATATGACAGATAATTCCCGTTCTGTTACCAAGTAACCATAATGTAAACAAGAGCCAAAGACCTTCCAGTTTTCATAATTGATATTTTGCATGCTGGAGGTGTTCATGTATGTCTATGGCGGAATGTTCAGCAGTTACCATGGTGACACAATGCACACATTAGCAAACACAGCCAGTCTGAAAAAAATGATTTAAACAGAAAAATTTTAGGAGCCAAGTTCATGGTCTTGTGACTAGCTTGTAACTGTAATGTTATTTTAGAAAGACTTTTTTTTAACAGCGCAAACCAGCTCACCTATTGCAGTTCAGTTAAGCCAGTTCTTTATGGTCAGATTTTGTTAAAGCAAAGTTCACACTAAGTAATTTAAATAACAGAGCTTCAGACAGAGCAGAGCCTACAGTTAGCATCACACTCCCAGCTGCAAAATATCAATAGTTATGATTAAACTAAAGAAAATAACAAACCTTTATTTAGTAAAATGAAGGTTTAAACAGTCCTTGTGCTTAAATTGTTTCTGCATTTTGGATGGAGTTTGTTGAAAACCTGTCAGATGTTCTTTAACCCTGCTCTGCTCATTCCTCTGGCTTATCCACATTCATCTGGACTGGAGACCGAAAGAGACCAAAGACTCTATCCCCTGACCCAGACTTGGTCTACCCTAGAACCAGACCAGGTCTAACCCTAAACCAGGACCTACCCCCTACTGGGCTCTGTTACATAGAAACCTTCAGAGTCTTCTGTTCCTTGAGGTTGTGTTACAAACACAGCACAAAGATTTGCACTGAGTTGGTCTGGGCCATGTGGCAAAAAAATATTTTTTTTTCCTCATTGATCAATCTTGACTTCAGTCAATCAGACTATTTTGTTTGTGAAAAACGTGTAGAAGGTAAGAGCTTTGTGCATTTGTATACAGGGAAAATGTGTGAGCTTTTCTGTCAGCTGGATGTTACAAAAGTTAAGATTTTTCGTCTTGTTCCACTGTCGTGACACTTTGACCAGTTAGATTCAAATAGTTGTCATGACGTTCTGTGTTTTCCAATCACTTTCGGTGAGAGATCTTCCAGATCGATAATGTGTACAACTCCATTCTACACATTATCAGTCGGTTATGGCTGTAGACCTCTCCATTAAAAAGACACAGATTGATAACTACAGCAGATTTGAATCTGATGAATAGCCCAGCCCTGGTAATGAGGTGCTTTTCTAAATGTGTCCTTTGATTTTAAAATGACAGTTTTAAATGTCTTGGGAAAATCTGTTGTTTCCCATTCGGAAAGTTGGAGGAGAGAGAGAGAGTTAGTCTACAGTCTATAGTAAGAGTGCCTGGAAGGTCTAGGGGGAGGGGGGATCAGCAGGTTACAGGGTCAGGGGTCACGGGCTGTTTGTCATTCTTCCCTCTGTTTATAACCACCATAACAGCTGCACCTGCCTACTCCTGTCTGCACCTGTTTGCTCCTCTACACCTCCTTGCTCGTCTCCTAACTTCTAACTACCCCTTACCCACTCTGATGTGTTTAGTGTGAACAGAGCATCCCCCACAGGCACAGAGAGGAACTACGAAATGTTTTTCAATTATCATTTTTATCAGTGGGAGGGCATCCGACACACCACAACATCTGCAGATTAACTAGAGGCATTTGACCTGCCCACATTTCTGTCTAACACTACAGGGCCACAGGAGGATGGGAGGGCATCTGACATGCAGGGATACATGTCTAAACCAGGACTGAACCAGGACTATACCAGGACTTAACCAGGATTAAACCAGGTCTCCAGGGCTACAGGATTGCATGAGGGCATCTGACACACAGGGAGGGCATGGGAGGGCATTTGAAACACAGATATACAGGAGGATCAGAGAGCATCTGACACATAGGGGGGAGGGTATCTGACACAGGTTCAGTTCTTCTCTGTTCCTGGGGGGGGCGCTGTACTAACTGTGTGTGTGTAGGCTCCATGTGCTCGGGGCTGTTCTCCTGTAGCGCACCCAACCTGCGAGAGTACATCCGCGCGCACCACCGCAAAAACCCAAAACCTGGACTAAACCTGGACCAAACCAGGGCTAAACCCGCACTAAACCCGGACCAGACCAGGACTAAACCTGAGCCTCTGCTCCGAAAGCCCCCGCTGTCCCCTGGAAGTCTGCCCTCCACAGTCTTTGGTAGGTACTAACACCAGACCAGGACTGGACCAGAACTGAGCCAGGTCTAAACTACATATAAACCAGGATTGAGCCAGGTCTAAACCAGGTCTAAACTAGGACTGAGCCAGGACTAAACAAGGACTAAAACAGGACTAAACCAGGTCTTAACGAGGACTAAAATAGCACTAAACCAGAGACTCATTCAGAGTGTTACACACATCAATCTGGTGTGAGCCAGGCTAGTGAAACACTGGAAAAGGAGCCGTATGAGTGTTTTAGCTCCAAATAAAGTTAAAGCGAGCTAACACTAGAGCTTCCTCTAATGTAACTGTCTCTGCAGGTCCATAGTGTCTGACTCAGATCTATAATCACTTTGACTTTCAGTCGGAGGATTTTAATTCTATGTTCTGATGCTTCATGACTTCAGTCTTGGTTTAGTCTTGGTCCATCCCTGGTCCATCCCTGGTTTAGACCTGGTTTAATTCTGGTTCTACATTACTAACCTCACATCACTTCACCATTTCATTCCTCCTCTTTTTTCTGTGTCTCTTGTGTCTTGTCTCATGTCTTACTGCATTTCCATCTCTGTCCTGCAGGGGCGCCTGTCATTCCCCATTTTGAGTCGAAACCATTGTGCACAAGCGTTTTCATAAACACTGGTCACTACGGCAACACAAAGACAACCTCCATAGTGTCATGGAGGGATCACAGGGACCAAATTTGACCCGAGTGCTAGACCTGTCACGATAATGACTATATCGACTTATCGTTCACAGACAAATGGAACAATTATTTTAGACTCGGTATTAATCATGGTTCTTTTTCTTTGAACTCGTGGGAAGTTTTGTTATAGTTCTGCACTAAGATAAGATCTGAGAACCATAAAAGGTTGAATAAGTAACTGGAACATGAGTCATTAAGAGTTTCTTTTATTTATTGCAGTTCATGTTCATTAACAATACAGCACACACTAGTTTTGGGGAGGTAAATCCTGCTTATATTATCGTTTATTGTCAATATTTACGTCAGCGATATAGCCTACTTCTGACAGGTCTGCATCAAAAAATTAAACTTATCAAGATTTTCTTCTAAAACTCGAGCTGGCACAGAACACACACATGCTAATGTTAGCATAAGTGAGGCAGATTCGGCAGTGACTCTGAGGACTCACATTGCGCCTCTGAACCTGCTCTGTCCCTCTTCTTCTTCTTCTTCAGACTTTCTGTCTTTGCCGCCGAAAAAGAGATTTTCTGTGACTCTGGCCCTGCACCCGACTAACGGTGAGAACCCAACTAAAACCAGTCTAAACCAGGTCTAATTCAGAACTAAATCAAGACTAAAACCAGACTAAACCAGGTCTTAACCAGAAGTAACCGAGCACCTTGCACCCGACTAATGGTGAGAACCGGACTAAAACCAGGCCTAAACCAGAACTAAAATAGACTAAACCAGGTCTAAACCAGGATTAAAACCAATTCTCAACTAGGTCTAAAGAGGGACTAAACCAGGACTAAAATTAGACTAAACCAGTTCTAAACCAGACTAAACCAGGTCTTAACCAGGAGTTACCCAGTACATTATCCTTGCACCTGACTAACGGTGAGTGTCTAAACCAAGACTAAACCAGGACTAAAACTGGACTAAAATGGGTCTAAAACCAGAAGATTAGCCCTGCACCCGACTAATGGTGAGAACCTGAGAAAAAAACAGTATTAAAACTAACCTTAAACTAACATTGTGTTTTTGGTCCAATTAGTTTAGTGCTTTACTAACTGTTTGAGTGTGTAAACCCAACCAGAACTTGTTTAATGTCTAAGTGCACATTTGCCGTTAGCTGTACAGACCCTGCAGCTGTAAACACCTTGCAGCTGTTCCCCTATATGGCCCTGCCCCTGTACAGAACTTACAGTTATACAGATCCTGCAATTAGGGCTGCACAGTCTATCGTGAAAATATCAATATCGCAAGAAAATAAATATGTGTCAACAACACAAAGTTCTCCATTTTAGTGTTTTTGTAAAGTCAAAAGGATAAAAGGGAGAGTGTTTTCATGACTTTCTTGGACTGGTCCTGCTTTTGACAAGTACTTGGAGTGAGGTGATGAAGGCTGAGGAGCAGGTAAATTCTGGAGAAGCATCAGATAGAGGGGAGCACAGTTTGGCCTTTCAGGCTGAATTTACGCTAGGTCCATTCTCAGTTTTAATTTAACTCAACTTATTGTGCCAAAAAGTAAATAAAATATCATTATCACAACACTAAACAGTGCAGCCCTATCTGCAGCTGTACAGACCCTGCAGCTGCTCCTCAAATCACTGATCTGATAAACCCAGACCAAGTCTAACTCTGGTTCTCCTCCTGACCTGGTTCTTTCCCAATCTTGTCTTGAAACAGTTTTGACATGGTTTTGTTGCAGGGTTTGAAGGCTGCTCCATGGTCCCCTCTATCTTCCCTCTGGAGACACTACACAACTCTCTGTCCCTGAAACAAGTCGACGAGTTTCTGCACAGAGTCTGCAAGACCCAAGACCCAGATCATAACCGGACTAATGCAGGTACTAGATCACGGACAGGACCAGGACTAGTCCAATGAGGTTCATTTGGTCTTCCGATCATTTATATTGTTAGATTATTTTTTCTGACCAAGAGTTTGTTTTCATACCTGACAGTTTCGACTGGTCACTAGCATCATGTGACCACTCTGAGGAAGACTGCTAGTGAGCAGTCGAAACTGTCAGGTAAGAAAACAAACTCTTGGTCTGAAAAAAAGAACCTTATAACATAAAGGAACTGGACTAAACCAAGTGTAAACCAAGTGTAAACCAGATCTAAAGCTCTCCTCTGTGTTGTCAGTTCTGGTGGAGTCTCCAGCTCAGCCTCGAGCCTCGTCTGAAGCTTATCTCCAACAGTTCATCCACAGCTGTGAGTCATACCCTTCTAATGTTCTAATATGGTCTTGTTCTAATGACTCTAATCCTAACAGCTGTGAGACCAACACCTCCATTGCACTGAGTCACAATCTAAAAATGCCCCTCTGGTCTAATATCTCACACTTACAACCCTTTTTCTTAATAAAAAAAAAAAAAAAAATCCAAATTTTTTTCTTCTCTGCGCTCTAAACTGTAAATGTCCCTCTGCTCTAAAGTTCTAATGACCCTCTGTTCTGATGCAGACTCCTAGTCCCTTCTGCTTATGTTACATTAATTATGAAACTTTAACTCTCTTTCTTACATTTTTTTTGCTTCTGCATTGGAACACTCAGATAAAAAAGTCACTCTTAAAGATGCACTGCGCAAATTTTATGGTAGAGGGTCCGTTACATACTTGCCTCCATGGAGATGTTGTTGCTTTGCCTGGAATGTCCCATGGTGTGACTTTAAACATATCCATCTAGCATTTATTCATTACAAGTGTTTCTATTGCTCAAAAATACATTAATTCCTTCTGTGAATAGGGGCGACTCTCCACAGATCTGAATTGTAATGTAGTGTAGCACTGTAACCTGCTCATGATGGAAAGGTTTAATCTATACTGTAGAACATTCAAGACAATGCAATAACATAAAATGACAATAAATGACAATAAATGTAATAACAATAAATGTCCACTTACAAAAACACTGAGTTTGGCAGCCTTAATTCAAAGTTTGTTTGTTTGTTTGTTTGTTTCAGTCAGGGGCATTCCCTCCAGTGGCCCCTCCTCTCCTGTCCAGGAAAGCCCAGTCTCCAGTTTCAGCTTTAGTCAATGACAGAGTAGCAGAGAAAACCTTGCCTCTATATCTGACATCAGTCAATGACAGTACAGCATCACAGAAAATCCCGCCTCTGTGTCCGACATCAGCCAATGACAGCGCAGCCTCAGAGAAAACCCCGCCTCTGTATTCAACATCAGCCAATGACAGTACAGCACCAAAAGACTAGAGTCCGGGTCTCAGTCAGACTGCACAGACTCTGCAGGACAGTGTTTTATGGATAGTTTGTTCACTCTTCATATTTTTCTATATTTGATACTTTTATAGATTCACTGTAAAAAAAAAAAAAAGATAGATAGATTTTTTTTTTTTTTTTTTTTTTTGAGGTTGTCAGGGTTAGTTTCATGTGTCCAAAACCAAAATGCAGTTTTATTTTTCAATCTCAGAATTTAAGGAGGCAACGGAAGCATCGCTGTAGATGAAGCAGTCCACCGTAAAGGTCCTATAATCCAAAATTCACTCTTGTGACCCTTAATCTATGTTATAATTTTGTTATCTCCCCAAAAAATTCACACGTGTTTGAGGTAACCCATAGTTATTAGTGTGTTTACATCTCCAAAGCTCAAAATGCTCTGCTCCACCTTTTGATGTCATTTAGTAGTAGCTTTCAAGTTAACAGCTCCTTTTACCTTTAGTTCAGTAGAGATTGACAATTCCAGGGGCTGAAATGATCCAAATGATTCTAGTGAAGGTGTATAGAGGTTAAAAACACAATTAGAGCACTTCCTGTATTTCCACATGACATCATAAGGTGGAATAGTGTTTTCTATTTAAGAGAAGAACTCAGCCTAAATATGCAGGTTTTGTGGGTTTAACTTGTGTGACTGAACCTAAACACGACTCCAGGTCTGTTTGTGATGAGGAAACATTATAGCAGATCAGAAAATAGTGTAATATGGGCTCTTTAAGAGACTATGTCAGTGTGCGTAAATGTAGCTTTAATTTCAGGTGGACCACCAGAGATGTGCTTTAAGAGTTTTTATTTTATGAATACTGAAAAATTCCGCCTTAAACACCATACTACCTTAACAAATCCACATCTGTGTATTATACCAAAAAACAACTAAAACCAGTCCGCATAAAAAACCCTCGCTCTGCCTTAACAGACTCAGCCCAAAGTATTTTGGGAAATCAGTTCTCATTCACATGTTCATTTGCAAGTCTGTGGAATTTTTGTTTTGTTTTAATTAATTAAAATGAAGGTTTTAAAGGTTTGTTTAAATCTGAACAGCTGAATGTACATGCCTGTCTGACCCTGCTGCTGTTCAGAGACATGTTATATCACTGATTTGTTCTGATGATTAAAATTTTGACTGAAATTTGTTTGTTTGTTTCTTATATTTTTATGCTAACAAACTTTTTACACACACACACATTGAATTTAAAGTTATAAAATGTGAGGTGCCACAGTCAATACACAAAATAGAAATTAGAATAAGAAATCTTTCAGCTGTTCAGTTTGTGAGAGCTGGCAGAACAGAATCCACATGAGGCAAGAAGCCTCACATTTAATATAAATTAATTAGAAGAGGGTCCAGTCCTGGTCCCCCATAGAGTGTATAAAGAAGTGTGATAAGCCAGTGTGACGTCACCCATAGAGGTCTGTGCCACTCAAATGAAGCTCGTGATGCTTAAGGTTACGGGGTGAATTTGGAGCCAGGTTCTATATTTGAAATAAGATTTTTTTTGACAGACAAATAGCAAAAAAAAACCAAAAACCACCAGGATCATGTAGAACGGGTTAATACAAACATTTTAAGACCAAAATGACGAGGCTCACAGTAGCAGTTACATAGAGAGGGGCCACTGTATGTAAGACAATGGGAGCCCGGGTCAGTAGGAGCCCGAAGAGCCCACATATGAACTTCCTGTTTGGAACACGACAAATAGCGCAATAGCTATAACCATTTATACTGTCTATAGTCCCCCTCCCTCCCGTCAATTGCCCTGGTCAGGAGATCGGGCTCGAGCTCGGGTTCTTATTGTAAAGTATGCCCTGGTGTGACCAGTGAGGTCATAGATGTGTCTCTTGTAGGGCTGTTTCAAAAATCGAAAGATCAGTAGGTCATGATGTAAACTTAGGTTGATCTCGATGAAAAGGCATGTGCATTTTAACTGACAGGTAAATAGCCAACAGCTTCCTTTCCCTCTCTGATCCCACTGCGGCTCCTCACCTTTTCTCCTCTTTCTCTCTTCTTATGCTTCTCATCTTTATAATCCAAGTTACGAAAGTAAACAGCTATTTTTTCATCATTTATGAGTAAAACCTAAAACCTCATTTAGCATTAGTCTCTGGGATTTCAGGGCATATGGCAATAAATGTAAGAAAATATGAGAGCAACACCAATCCAGCTTCTTCAGTCCCACCCAGCCATTATGACACTGGCTTTAAATATCTGCCAATGCCCGATATGATACACAGTGCACCTTTCAGTAACCACAGAAAGCTTTGTGTACATAAAAAAAAATAATAATAATAAATGTTGGTACAAGAATATATCATATTCTACATTAATATTGGTATCGGTGCATCCTTAAAAAAAAAAAAAAACTCTCTGAAGCCCCTTTATGTGACATGTGAAGTGTTACAAATGAAAAGACAAATGAATAAATATTTGAGATAACTTTATTGACAGGCACAGCTGGTTCACATGGAAACCATCATTACATCACATGATCTGAATCTTACATTAATTTAAACTCTGGAGTCTGGATCCTGCCAGAGTCGAATCTACTTTTGAACACAAACTTAAAGGTGCATTGTGTAACTTTTTCCAGTGGAGGACCCATCACAACTCATACTATTCTCCATAGATACGTTTTGCTTTATCTGGAATGTTTCAAAGTATGGCATTAAACCTTTCTATCTTCATAGAGACCAGACCAGACCAAGTTACAGATCAGGTCTGTGGAGAGGCGACCCTGCTCACAGTCAGAATGTCAGTTTTTCTAGGTATTAGTGAGCTATAAAACCACCTACAACTGAATAAATGTAAGATTTGTTTAAAGTCACACTGTGGAACATTCCAGGCAGAGCAATGACATATCCATAGAAACAAGCAAGTGACAGATCCCCAACCAAAAAGTTACACAGTGCACCTTTAAGGATTTTAAACACAAACCCTCAGGGACACTGCAGCTGCTGTGGCTCCAGTCTAGACTTTATTTAAACATTATTTCCTGGCTCAATCGAACAGCTTGGCGGCAGTGGCTTTCCCGTCGTATTTTGAACCTTTTCCGTCAAATTCCGATGGAAGAATGTCAGCGTCAAACTCTTTGTAGTAATTCTCCAACTCGTCCCCGTGAACGAACACCTGCAGGGAGAAAGAGAGAGAGTGAACAGCTGCAGGGATATTAGGCTATTCTCTGATTTACGTTATAATGTTGTGTACTCATCACAAACAGACCTGGAGTTGTGTTTTGTTGCATTCACACGTTTGACACACAACACACCCTGTATATTTAGACTGTGTTCTGTGTGTTTTTAAACTCCATGCAGCTTCAATACAATAATTTGGATACTTTCAGCGCTGGAATTGACAATCTCGACCAAACTAAAGGTAAAAAGGTAGGTGTTGTTGAAAACTAACTCTTCATGACATCACAAGGTGGAACAGAGCATTTTGAGCTTTGGAGATATAAACAGACAACTATTAATAATAAAGGATTACTCAAACATGTGTGAATGAAACAAAACATAACTCCAGGTATGTTTTTGATGAGGTAACAACATTATAACTTGACTTAAAGCTCACAAGAGTCAATTTTGCGTAATGTAGAACCTTTAATAAAGACAGAGCATAATGAACACCTGCAGGGGCACAAAGGAGAAACTTAAACTTAAATTTAGGCATTTTTAACCAGAAATTTCATCTAGTTTATATGAAAGTTGCCAAAATATGTCTAGAATAGATAAACAGATTAGAAGCAAAAAAGTGGATTTAGTGTTTAGCTCCACTTTAATGAACAGCTGCATGAGCCACTGAAAAACTCCCAAAGGGGCTCTGGTTATCTTTAGGGTGAGGTTTTTAAGGTGGACTAGTGTTAAGTGGGATTGGCAGAGTAGTTAGCCGTTGTTAAAGGTGCATTGTGTAAATTTTCAAGTAGAAAAGTTACATCGTGTACCTTTTACACTGTTGGGCAAGTTACTTTAAAACTGTAATGCGTTATTTATTACTTATTACTGTCATTTCAAAGTAATTCGTTACATTACAATATTACTGCATTTAAAATGTAAGGCATTACATTACTATTGCATTACTTTAAGTTACTCTCACCAAAATAACTGCGAAAAAGCTGAACTTTTGAGCCGTATATGGACTGAACCAGGACTAAACCAGAGCTGAACCAGGACTAAACCAGGACTATAACAGGACTAACCTCAGACTGATTCCAGGACTGAAGAGGAGGACTAAACCAGAACTGAACTAGGACTAAAACAGGACTCACTGTCAGGACAGGCTCGAAGGTGACCGCAGGAGAAAGGAGCGGCTCTGCTCCGCACCTCATGGAGGTAAGAGCTGCTGTCACCCTGCTGCGGGGGCTCGCGGTCCTAATTTCAGCAACTATTTACAGGTACACGACCTGGTGCAAGATTCTGCTACATCGCATAACTTCTACCTTCCTTCAACGTGTCCAGAAGTCCAACTTTTTGTGCGATGGTTTGCATCGTCCTCTGTCTTTTGGGTGTGAGCGCAGGAGACTTTGTCGGTGCAGAACATTTCGTCGACGTTGTGGATTTTGTCGGAGAGAAAACTTGCAGACATACAGCACTTCAGAATCACACTGATACAGATTGAACATTTATTTAAATTTGGCAGCTGAACATATTCTGTACTGTACAGTAGACAGGAGTCCCTTAGCCGATCAGGACACAGCGGGAGGAACGCAATACGTGTTCATACAATAAAAACAAAAGGCATGCAAAATTGCACAAAAAAAAAATTCTAAAAATCAGCGAAACAGCGAGACCGCGAAAAGTGAATCGTGTTAGAGCGAGGGACGACTGTAAGCCAGGTCTAAACCAGAAGTGACCCAGGTCTAAACCAGGTCTAAACAGCGTAGAGTTCTGGGTCGGTCCTTTCGCCCGCGGTTAACTGAAGGTCTGTCCGGCCGCGTCTCCGGCGTTTCACCGCTGCTGATTTCACGGTGATTTTAGCGAATTTCTATGAAGAAAAACCCACCACTTCAATCCAGGTTAAAAAAGCATTGTAACGCGCGTTACTCACATTTGTACCGAGTAAAATATTACAAATTTTCCCCCTGTAATGCCTTACATTACTGCGTTACAGCAAAAATCAACGCATTACTGTAATACATTACTTTTATAATACATTACTCCCAACACTGACCTTTTAGGGGTACTGACAGAGTGATTAGCTGTAGTTTGTAGGGTGTGGTGGGGTTTAAGGTGGACTGGTGTTAGGGGGAATTGGCAGAGTGGTTAGCTGTAAGTTAAAGAGGCACTAGCCTACCCGCTCCAGTAGTTTGCCCTTCATCAGGGGCTTGACCACGTTGTAGGTGGTGGTGAAGTACCAGGGCTGATGGATGAAGTGCACGGCTTTGAACCGAGCAGGAAATGAATCCTGAGGAAACAAACATGTGTCAGATGCCCTTCCTGTGTCTCGAATGTGCTCCCTCTTTCCCTCAGTGTCAGATGCCCTCTCTGTTTATCACCTTTTGTGTCTCCATGGAGTCTTCCTCTGTTTAAAAATGTTTAAAAGATTACCTCGACCTTTACAAATTGTGTTCTTAAATTCATGGCATTCCAAACCTAATCCCAGTCTAATCTGATGTGTTTACTAATGACCAAATACAATGGCAACCCAAAATTAAATTCTTTCCATTATACTAAACTGTGAGCAGGCTTGTATCTGCACACTTTTATTTGACCTGGGTGAGGGTGTCCTCCAGCTTGTTTCCATGGAATTGTTGTGAGTATTTTGCCTGTAGTGTTGTACCTGCAGCATGTCCACCATCTTCTTGAGCTCTGTGGGCTTGATGCCAGACGCTTGTTGCATAGTGAAGCCTTTAAAGTTCTCGATGATGCAGAAGCCGTTGATCTGAGTCTCCTCATTTTCCAGAAGCTTCTCCAGAATCACACAGTACGCACGAAGGATCTGAACATGAACACAATATGAGATACACACCTGACCCTCTTATTCCTGATTTTGTCCTGGTTTAGACCTGATTTAGTCCTGCTTTTGTGCTGTCTAGTCCTGGTTTAGTCTTGTTTCAGTCATAGTTCAGTCCTGGTCTAGTCCTGGTATAGGCCTAGTTTAGTCCTGCTCTAGTTTTGGTTAAGTTCTGCTTTAGTCTTGATTCAGTCCTGGTTTAGTCCCAGTCCAGTCCTGGTTTAGTTCTGGTCCAGTTCTGGTTTAGTCCTGGTCCAGACCTCGTCAAAGGTGATCTCCTCGTAGTCCCAGTTCTCGATGTTGAATAGCAGGACCACACGACCGTACTTGTCTCGGCTTTGGAGGATCCCTGGGTATCCGGCTTCGATGGTGCTGCGGACGGCCTCTGGAGTCAGGTTCTCAAACAGCTCAGGGTAGTCCTTACGGAAGCGCACATACCCTAAAGAAAAGCGGTTATAGACCAGGATCAAACCAGCACTGCAGCAAAAGCAAGAGCAGGAGATAGACCAAGAGACATGTAGAACAATTCCAGTGAGAGGTAACTGCAAAGTATCAATATGGGCCCATTAACCCTCTTCCTGTCCTGGCCCTGGTCAGGAGAAGACAGTGGCTGCTCACACTTATTGTTTTAGTCCTGCTTTAGTCCTGGTTTCTTCTTGGTTTAGTACTGGTTCAGTCCTGGTGGCTGGTACCTCACCTTTCATGAGTTCGTAGGCTCTGTTGACGTCGTACTTTCTCGCTCTGATGAATCGTGTCAGCATGCCATCTGGTTTCTCTCCAAATGTGTCCTTCACACCGCGGTGAAGATCGTCTCCAGACTCTGCCTTCTCTTTGATCATGGCCCTCAGCTCCTTCACTGCAGACACACGCTTCTCCTCCGTCTCATTCAGCTCGTCCTTGGCCTGAAACCAGAGAAACTGGGTCTAAACCAGGTCTGAACCAAGTCTGCTGTGATTGGTGAGTTGGTTAATGATATTTTTTATGACCTTCTGCTGTGTGTGATCAGGAAGTTTGGCGCAGGGGCCGAACACGGGGCCGTGGTCTTTGACGGTGAGTCGCTCCAGCTTGGCCCTGAGAGCCTGCTCCTCCTCCGACACCGCCCGGTAAGAACCACTCTGAAATATTATAATAATAATTAGTAATATGAATATTATAGAGACCGCACAGTAAGAATCACTCTAAAGGTCACATCCAGATTAATTACTGTCAAGATTAATATAGACAGTGCACAGTACAATTGGTGTAGAAGATATTTATTACAATGAAATAATAATTTTGATTTTTCAGTGCTGCTACACTGAAGAAACTGTGCAGCTGTTCAGATGCTGTGGTGTTCATCAGATTATTCAAAATGTCTATTTTATTTCTGAATATTGTCAAAGAACACATTTTCATCAGGGAGATTTGAACATAACTCTGTGGGGTAACAATGTTCCTGTGTTCAACCTCGTGTTTCTCAAACTTTAATCTGTTTAAGTCTTTAAATCTGAGCCTTAAAAACATGCAGCTGTTACACAAAAGCTTTCTGTTTCTCATCCACCTCACAAGACTCTCACACATGCACTTTTGCACATGCACTCTCACATATGCACTTTCACATATGCACTCTCACACATGCACTTTTACATGTGCACATGTGCAGAGGCAACTTTGCTCCAGAGCAAACTGGACTTTGTTTTTGAGGCTCAAGCTGACCTGGGATCTGGATTTTTATGAATAAGACAAAATACATTTTCATCACAATTTAAAAATTGTGATTAAAACTCACTGGGACCTCACACTACAGTCTGAGAAACACCTTAATATGCACTTCTGTCTTTGTGCAGAAAGAGAGAGCTCACAAATTGCTGCAGGGCTCATGAACAGCTGCAGGGTCTCCAGAGCTAACTTCATATTAAAGATGAACATATATCTGATTTAACAAAAAGGTGTTTTGACTCACCACAACGGCCATGATTCCAGAGGTCTGAGTCTGAAAAACCAAAGAGTCAAATGTAAAAAATTAGCCAGAATAATTCAACAGCAAACAGGTTGCTTGTCTAGCTGCAGGAGGACAGAGGCAAGAGGAGGAAGAGAGAAGTGGAGAGAGGAGGAGAGGTAGAGAAAAGGAGGATTTGTGGTGTTTTGAAAATGCATTTTTCACAGAATCACTTTAATCACAGAACAATAGACTGAACCTCGTCATGAGTTTGGATCAGAGGATTATCTCAGTCTGCATCAGCAGAGCGGCTTTAGACAGGGTTAGGAATTGGGACTAAACCAGGACTGTACCAGGACTGAACCAGGTCTAAACCAAGATTAAACAAGGACTAAACCATGATGGAACGAAGTCTGAACTAGGACAGAACGAGAACTAAACAAGGCACTAATCAGCTCCAAAAGGCCTAAAAGTAGGACCAGGACTAAACCAGGTCTGAACCAGGATTAAGCAGGACTGAACCAGGACCTGTTTACATTTGATCCTCAGTAATCTTGTCATTTAAATCTAATCAGAAATAGACTGAATCAGGCTGATCTCAGATAAACTCTCAAATACAGAAAATCTGCAGTGCCACATAACAATACTTTTCTCCAGTAAAGGTTTTGGTTACTCTCCCCAGAAAATGCCCCAAACTGAGATGTTTGAGAACTGAAAAGATGAAATCTTAATAATGTCAATTCAGTCTTTATTAAGAACACAGAAAATCAGGTTGATTGTGTGGAATTATATAAGTCATTAGCAATATTGGTTAAATACAGTTTTTTGAAGAGCCACCTGGAATATTCCACAATCGGTCTTTAAGGTCTGTGGCTGGACAGGAACAGGATTGAATTAGGACTAAACCAGAACTAAACTGGGACTAAAGCAGGACTAAAGCATTATCAAACCAGGAATAAACCAGGAGAGGACCAAGACTAAACCAGGACTGAACCAGAACTGAACCAAGACTGAACCGGAATTAAACCAGGACTAAGACAGGACTGAACCAGGTCTAAAGCAGGACTAAAGCAGGACTAAAGCAGGACTAAAGCAGGACTAAAGCATTACCGGTCCCTGCTCAGGTGCGTGTTTAGGGGGCGGGGCTCACCTGAGATGTTCCTGAGGTGGAGACGGTCTGGAGCCTCTGAACAGCTGCAAGGTTCTGTGCTGTGCCGCTCTTAACAGCTGCAAGGTTTTGTACCGAGAACCCCCTGCTGCGTCACTGATGACATCATAATGCTCACCTGGGATCAACCAATCACAGAGCAGTATCAGAATAATTAACTGCAGTAGCCAATCATAGCACAGAGGATTAGAGGGTTTAGAAATGAGGGAGGGCATCTGGATGAAAGAACAGAATGTGAATGAGGCACACGGAAGGAGGGGCTGTGATGTAATGCTGCAGGGGATTGTGGGGTCAAAGGTCGAACAGTTTTTATAAGTGTGGACAGGTATCTCTCACAATGTGGGGACTAAAATCTGCACACACTCACATCATGGGGACTTGCCTCTTATGAGACAAACATCAGTTCTATTCTAGGTCTATTCCAGGTCTAATCTAACATCTAATCGAACATCTAAGGAACATCAAAAGAGGCCGTGATCCCAGAACACGAGTGTTGAAGGTGTCTGATCCAAACCATAGAACAGTGACTTTTCAACCAAGTACCAACAAAAGAAAAGAGTTGCTTAAATCAGGTCTATAACTGGACTATTCCAGGTCTAATCTAGGACTAAACCCAGTCTAAACCAGATCCAAATCAGGTCTAAACCAGGACAAAACCAGGTTTATTACAGAGGCTGTTTTATTGCATGTGGTCATAAGAAGTTTAAAGTTGGTGCTTCTGACGTCAGAAAGCTCTGAAGTAACACTCAGTTTTAGAGCTGAGAGGAGGAGGAGAGGAGGAGGAGAAAGGAGGACAGAGGAGGAAGAGAGAGGAGGGCTTCCCTAAAAGCCTGGATTTTCATCCAGGGGCAGGACTTAACATTCTATTGTAACCATGGCAACCCACAGTGCTTTCTATTCACCTGATCTGCCATGTCTAAAAAACAGACTTTTGACAAAGCTTCATTATACCTAAAATTATAACACATCCATATTTTCTCTTACTATACTTTCAGTTGATACATCAATGGCACCCCCTAATTTTAGGGTTTTTGGTTAGGGCTGCTCACCGACTGTTATTGAGCCGTTTATTTAGACAAATGAAAATTATTATTAATGCTTATTATTATTATTATTATTAAGCTAAGTCGTGCCCCCAGACGAAATGCAGAGAATTTAGAGAGTCCTGAAGTGTGTTCTTGTTTTGACAGCTGTTTTCTGCCAGGTGCAAGAGTGTCTACTTCTTATGAAGTATTCATTTATCTTCGGCATTATAGGGGGTATAAAGTAGGTATTGCTGCTGGCCAGCCACAGCTGCCCTGAGACAGACTGACTGGAGAGAGACTGTCCATCTGCACCATCGGCCACCTCTATTTATGAATGTAAGCTTTGTTTATTTCACTTAATCCAACATTCAATGAGTTTAACAACGTAAAAAGAAAGCACTATACACATTCACTCAGTCAAAAGGGGCTAGAGCCCTTTGTGCGTGTGTGTGTGCGTGTAGGGCCTCTCAGGACTCAGGAGGATTTACAGTTGTGGATTTGCAGCTTTAGGTTTGAGTTGAAGCACAAAAAGAGGTCTGTGTCCACATCTTTACGGCCCAGCTCCACAGAAGAGGTCTGTGAAGGACACGTGTCCACTCCTCTGACCACAGCACACACACAAGCACTGACCATGCCACGTTTGTCACCTATGTACACTCCACCACAGCACATAAACACATGTATACACATATCCATTGACCACAGCAAACTCACACATCTGTCCAAAAACACACCAAACATGACAGACCCCACCCCACACACACACACACGCACACACACACGCACGCACGCACACACGCACGCACACACGCACACACACACCTCACTGACAACAGCTGACTGTGAAAGTATGAACTTACCCCAAACTAAACAGCTTCTAGCACATCCACAGCACCACACATTTAAAAACACTGATATCCAACAATATTTTAAACTTTATTACTTTTGTGCGTCTACAACACTGAGGTCACTTCAGAGAAAGCACGGTTAAGACACTTTATTTTACATCTTTTAATAAATACAGGTTTATTATTTTATAAAGTTTGTCTCAGCTTCAAGTTTGTAGCAGAAATGTCACCCACAATTCAATTCAAAGTTTAGGTCCTCACTGTTAATGTGGGAGGGCATCTGGTTCAGATGGTGAGCATGTACTCATTAGGCCTGTCACACTAATACATTTTAAAGCGTGATATATTGCGCAGAAAATATAAACAAGTAGATGTGCCAGTACTTGTCGTTCATGTGGGAGGGCATCTGGCTCAGAGGGAGGGCCAGTACTCATCGTTCAGGTAGTGTTGTGATGATGCGTAGCTCGGGGGGGTGGGATCTCGCTCGTCCCTCAGTGAAAGCTCCACCTCTCTCTCCCACTCGCCCTCCACCAGTTTGTACAAGTCCAGAGCAGCAACCGCGTCTTCTACGGAGCAGTGACCCTGTTTGTCAATCTGTGAAGAGAATAGAACCATCAACCCAAACCACAAGCAATGACCCATCTGCCAATTTTTGAGGTGAGGAGATAGAACCATCAACTCAACCATCAGAAAGAGAGGGAGAGGGAGAAAGCAGTGTTTCCCATTCATTAAGGAGACTAAATGGTTGCCTCCCATCTAAAAACAACTATACAACATAAAATCACACTGTTGCACATTGACTTGAACAATACTTGGCTAAAAGGATTGGTTTAAGATCAAACATAGGCAACTAACATGATTTATACTCCACAAATTGTATATTTTTTTTATGATTAGACTACTGTAATGCACTTTTCTTTAGCATTAGCCACCATGCACTTTCTCGCTTACAGTTGATCCAAAATTCTGCTGCAGGAAAAATTACTCTGATTTTAGCATTGTTGCACTGGCTTCCAGTTCACTTTAGAGTTGATTTTAAGATTTTGTTTGTTTGTTTTTAAAACTCTGAATGAACTGGCCCCACGGTACGTCTCGGACCTCATCCAAACTTAAAATCAGGGGGACAGGGCCTTCTCTGTGGCCAGCCCCAAGCTCTGGAACTCTCTGCCCCCCCACATACCAACAGCCCCCAGAGTGGACTCTGGCTTTTAATACAGCGCGAGTTGTGCGGTCCTCTGCGTCTTCCATTTATTTACTGCTATTTTATGATTTTTATGGTTTCGCTTTTGATTTGACTGGTTTTATTTTTGCAAACTGTCTTCATTTTATGATCTCTGCACAGCACTTTGGAAGCTGCTTTGTTTGTAAATTGTGTTACAGAAATAAAGAGGATTTGAATTTGAAAATTTAATTATTCAGTGCAATCAAAATTATTTGTGCCACGATAGTCTCCCCAGAATCTATGAGCAACATTGGAGGGGGAGAGAAAGAGGTGGTAGAGGTGTCTTCTACAGAGCAGTATCTCCATGTGTCAATCTACCCAGAGACACCAAAATCACAGAAACCAGAAATAAGAAAAATCACAAAAAAATACATGAAACTGGTTACTTTAAGCTGCCAAACTATAATTCATGTGCACAAATAATTGTAACATAAACCCACATTAAGTGTTTAATGATATGCGTCTCACCTGAATTTTACGATGCAGAAGCCGATTGGTCAGAGCCTTCAGAGAGGGGCGATACTCTCGGGGGAAACCAGCCAATCGTGTGAGGAGGCGAGTGCAGCTGGTGTCTCTGATCATGTGACCAGGATGAACCAGGTCTAAGGACTTCAGATCGGTCTGGACCGAGTGTCCAATCAAGACTTTACCCTCGAGAAGAGACTGGACCTGAGACAGAACTGAGATTACACAGGGACTAAACAGAGTCAAAACAAGAACAGAATCGGGACTAAACCAGGGAGTGGGGAAAAACCAGGACTAAACCCAAAATAAACCAGGAATAAATCAAGGACTATACAGGGAGCTAAAACAGGAACTGGACCTAAGACAGAATTGGGTCAGAGCTGGATCAGAACCAGGAATAAAACAGAGACATAACCTAAGACAGAACTGTGTCAAAACCAGGACTGAACAAGGGTCTAACCAACTGTGGACTCACCTGGTCTCGAGCCTGGCTGAAAGGGATGGCTTTGGTCAGATGACGCTTCGTGATGCCGCTCCACTGGCTCCTGTAGTCCGTGATCTGACCAATGGGGCGGATGTATTCGTCAAACAGGACGTTGCCATGGTAATCAACCACAGAGCAACGAGCAACCTCGCTGACCCTGCCCCGGGGCCCTGTGCCCACCATCTCACAGTCCAAAGACACCACGGCAGTTTGAGGAGGGGGCTGCACTAAGGTCTGGAGAGGCAAAAGAGCAGAACTTCTGATCACTAAAATCAAACACCACAGACTGTATAAAGAAGTGGACTGAGTGTGTGTGACATCAGCCAAACCAAGTTTATTGAGACCAGCAGTATACTGGCTAATCTGGAGACCAGTTCCATATCTGCAATTTTGACCGCAGGGATCATAGCAATTAAAGAGCCCATCAAGTGTAAGGCTTTTGAAGGTAACTCCCACTTCCTTGCCTGCACTGCTGGTTTGGCAGGAAACAGGCGCTTAGCAACACTATAAAATCAAACATGTTGTTAACATTAGCGAGGGCGACCTCTGGGAAAGAAGGCACCTGATTGGTCTGTTATTAATGTTCATAGTTTGATTGAGGGACAAGCTAGTGAAATAAAAACTCAAGGATCGTGTAGACCAGGTTAAAACCAACATTTTAAGGTCAGAATGATGAGCCTGACAGCAGCAGTTACAGAAAGAGGGGCTTTAAAAAAAAATCTGAACAAAAACTGATGATACAAATAGTTCCTTAATGCTTCTACTGTTGTCATACACCTACAGAAGTAACTGTATTTAATTTGTTATCAGTGCTCTTTTGATCCGTCTGGGTAGTAAATCACAATTATTCCCTAGAAATTATTCAAATACAGACTTTTTTTGTGCCACCACTGACTCAGTAAACCTGTGGAAAATACAGCTCATCCCACCCTTTCCTGAATGCCATTGCCTAGCAAGCAAGATCTAAAAAATTACTTGGAAGTCAGCCAAAACTTCAGCTAAAACATTTTTAAGTAAAAAAGCCAATTAAACTCTCTTGTCAGTCCCAAAGCTTAATCAAAAATCACAATTTGAATCATATACTCCCAACATTTCCTCATCAAAACAACAAAATCTCCAGTTTTATTCAGCTTAAACAATAATAAAGTTGCTATGCAGACTCACCTCAGCCAGGACAGGTGCGACGGACATCAGAGGAGAGCTCCGCCCACTCACAGGTGAACTCCGCCCACTGCTGAAGCCGCTGTCTAGCTCCCATTGCTCTGATTGGTTGCAGTGATGCCCCGAGCGCTCTGGTTGGTTGCAGTGATGCTCTAAGCGTTCTGGTTGGCTGCATTTAGTCCTTTTCACGTTGCTTTCATCCAAAAATGTTTTAATTTTTCGCTTCATTTTGTCTCAGAATCAAAATCCACATTTGACAAAAACCTCAATCTGAAAATAGTGAGGTTGTTTATGATTTCTCAGAGTTTATCACCAAAATGAGCTCCAACCATGAAATTTAAGGTAAACTTAAAGAAGAATGTTCCCAAAGAATAGTACTAAAGAACTTTTCTAAATGTGCAGAGATTTGGGGTAATTTAAATTGTTTAAATTGTAGTAAGTCCATCTCGTCTCTCCTCTCTTCAGCAGCTCTAAAAATCACAGACACTTTTATTTAAACACAAAAACTGCACAAATACACATAGATCCATTAAAATAACATTAGAGGCCAGCTCATTTTATGGCTGCATTTGACTCTCTTTTCTACTGTTGTCCCATATAGTTCCTAATAATCTAAATAAAATAATTAGTCGACTAAGGCTCAAATCGACTGATTAATTGACTAAAGGATTACAAGGATAGTTCATTTAACTCATTCTCTTCTGAAACAGCAGAGGACTTCACTACACATAACGTGCTGTGAGTGTACTATACTATACTGCTTTTTTTAAATCTTAAGAACCTTTTTTTTATTTTTTTTTATCTTGCGTGCCACGAAAGTGTAGTGTCACACTCTTGAGTTCTGGTTCAGTCCTGTATGTTATTCTACTTTTATTTTTAAGTCATGTCAAAATGGTCCTACAACAACAAAACATGAAAAGTGCATTACTGAGAATTTGAAAATTTAAATATTAAAAATATTTCAAATCTGAAGCCATTCCAAGAACCCTCTGACATGTCCTCACGTGTTGAGAAACTGTCGTAGACGATCCTATGTATCCTATTAATTATTATTGTAAATGTCAACACTGTTTTCGGCTGATGAGAAACGATATTTTGTTGATTTCTGTAAATGACAGTTCAAATCATTCATTTGTGTGATTTTGCAGAGAACAGACGCAAAACCAACACGTATCACGCTTAAAAGGCCAAAAGAACTAGAACCCAAAGTAAAGGACGGGTAAGACCAGAGCCGCAACTCCCTAAGCGGATTTAGTTATGGGTTTTTGGACTTATTTAACATGGCAAATGACATAAAACAGTGTTCACTCAAATCCAAGATCAACTGCGCTGTTTTTAATCCGTGACACAGTCACACAGTCAGTACAGATGTTGGGAGACAACGGACTGACTTATTTAACCCCGATTAAAACAGGATAAACTGAAATCTGTTCCTAATCATCGTGATAAACATTAGATAAACATGTCCTGTTCTGCCTCTAATCATAACGTGGATAGAACACACGCTTTACATTAAATAAAGGTGATTTTTACCTGAGCGCGAGTGCAGGGCCACACGTGCTGCACATGTCCGGACGTGTATCCCCCGGGCTGCAGCCGATTGGTCCAGAGTCTAGCTCTGTGACGGATGAAACACAGATGTAGTTCCGATGACGCCCCCTGCTGGAGGCATGGGCTCACTGCAGAGTTAAGGTGGTAATTTCTTTCTGACCATAAAAACTGTTTTTGGACCCAGCACACAGTCGCAGTTTTTGTTGAATGTGCATGTCTTTATCTGCTAATATTGTTTCCTAAAAAATACATCCCACGATAACACTGTATACAATATGCCTCTACCAGGGGTGTCAAACTCAAATTCAGAGGGCCAAAATTAAAAACTGGGACCAAGTCGTGGGCCAAACTAAATATCTACTAAAATTTTCAACATCAGCATGTTTTCTCTTTAGAGATATGCAATGTTAAACCTTTTCTTGTTAAAATAAATGTTTAATAATAGTTTTGCTTAAACATCAGGCACAACTGCTCTCATATTTGATATTTTATGGACCAAATGGCACAAACTTTGGTCAGAAGGATCAGGTCATGAAAATTCTGGTGACCCTAAGATTGGGAATCACTGCAGTAGGATCTGACTGAGAACCAGAGACCTGACCTGAGGATCCCACGTTCAGAAAGCCACTTCACCAATTTCCAATAAATCATTCTTAACATTTTAAAAGACTAAGATGCACACATTCACAGGTCGACTCAAAACAACGTGACAGCACAGTGGCTCAGTGGCTAGCACTCACACCTCACAGCACAAAGGTTCAGGTTCAATCCCTGGTGCCCCGTATGTTTGAAAGGATGGGTGAAATGCAAAGAAATTCCCTAGAGGAATAATAAAAAGTACTACAGAAAAAGAAAAAAAAAAGCATTATTTTAATTTAAAAAAAACAAAAGATCTATAGCACAGTTATAAACTCAAGATCTTGGCATATCTTTATGTAAAGGCAGTAAAAAAGACAGTTTAGTTCTTTTTTTTTTTTTAAATCTTTATTTCCAAAAGTTTAGGCCATAAGCACACAGGCGCCTCCTACTGCCTTGATCTTCTCCTCGGCTCTGCGGCTGAAGAATTTTGCTTTGACGATCACGGGCTGTTTGGGCAGTTTGCCTTTGCCCAGAACTTTGTAGTAACCCTGAAACACACAAGATGTACAGTTAAACTAAAGGGGGTATTACACTTCTATAGAGCATTAACTGCTAACATTTAGATCACCATGTTACCTTTTATTTAAAAAATGCTATATGCACTGAATATATCGTATTTGCATATATGTTTCACTTGTTTTAAACGCTCTGATACCATAACATTACTGACCCCTAAAAACAACATTACACAAACATGAACACAGATTAGGTTGTCAAAAGTATCAAAAATCAGATACTAAAACTAGAGTGACACTGAAAAAGTTCCCTTCACAGGACAGAAATTAACCTTTCCTGTATAGCTTTAGAACAAGGGTGTTCAAACTTTTCACAGAGTGCCACATATGGAAACATTTAAGAGGAGGGCAAAGGTGTTCAATACAGCAAGTTTTTCAGATGCATTTTACATAGATTTGACACAGCCACCATACATATAACTGCAAACACCAATTGGAGGTACATTTCAAAATATGTGACGTTATTAACTTTAATACTTGTAGAAACTGACTTAGCAGTTATAAAGCCTTTGCTCCTTTGGACCAATTCAGCAGGAATGATGAGGGTCAACAGAAATTGGTCTGAGGGTTGAATTTGTTCCCTGGGTCCTAGTTTGGACAGCCCTGCTTTAGAATAATCTTGAGCTGCATTTGAACAAGTCTAAGACCACAAAGCCCAGTATACACCCATGGACCACTATAGGATGTACCCGGACAGTCACATTGTAATACAAAAGAACTACCATTTCATGTTGAAAATTATTGTCCAAACAAAGTTACGTATCAGAATTGATAAAGTATTCCTGATTTGAAATTTTACCACTAAAACTAGTGCATACATTTACAGACAAAGCAGCACTGTCTGACCTAGGACTTTGTGTAGTTTAAAATATCACAACAATTTACCAGCCAAACACTTAATACAGATGGGACAGCTAAAATACAATACAAAAAATATAGCCAAACAAATAGAAATAATCAGTTTCAACATTTGTGAATTTACCTTTGAAGGTAACGTGCAACGTAATCAATAACTGACAGTTTCTTCATTTGAAATCTCCAAAGTCAAATCCACAAATGTTTTTCCATCATTTCGATTAAGCACAAGGTCGATTCTCCTGCTATACATTTCTTCAAACATAACATCTGAGAGGCCAGGGTTTAACACTAAAGGATGGGAGGACATTTCAAGTACTTACAGCTCTGACAGCGTCGATGATGGGCGCTGGGCCCTCTGGTTTCTGGCTGTAGTTCTCCCGGGTCTGTTCGCTCACCAGAGTCCACAGCTTGTCCAGGTTGATGGTGGGGCAGTGGGTGGTGTTTCTCTTCAGATGGTAGTGCCTCATACCCACCTTACCAAAGTACCCGGGGTGACTGAAGAGAGAAGACAGGGGTTAGAAAACAAGAACTAAACCCTGTGAGGGCATCTCAGAAAGGAATCTGAGTTGTAGTCCATACCTAAACCTATAACCAAGATTTAAGCAAACTACAGCATCAGTCGTAGTCCCAGTCCAATTTAAGATGAACTAAAGACACATGGGTAACTTAAGCAGGCATGAAAATGGTAAAAACACTTTGTATCCCTTTTGGATCCTACACACAGGGAGGAGAGAGGTGAAAAGGTGAGGAGAGGTGCACTGAGGTGAGGCAGATGGACAGGTAGGATGATGTTTCAAAAAGTTTAACCTGTCTTGTGATACAGGCTGGCACATGAAGGAACATGCTGTTGCAGCCAAACTGCGCATGCTGGGAGTGTGTGTGATGTGCCGCGCCGTGTCTGCGGGCTCCAGACTTGCGCACAGGCTACAGAGAGATGCTCTGCTTGCTCCCGCACACTGGTACAAGTTTTATGCCAACAGCAGTGGCCGTAATGAAATATGATCGCACTTGTCGAGAGTCAAACCTCAAGTCCGTGACAACAAGACCGAGCCCAAATGCGCTTGAGTCCGAGATGAGACCAAGACACCCCCCCAAATCTTTTCTCATCGTATTTACACGATTCAGATAGGACACTTATCTTGGCTGCAAAATGGCAAATTTCACAGAAAGGTGAGATTTTTATGTCTTTTTAAGGATGAAGAAAAAAACCCATCAAACCTGTTCAGTCATAAGAATCAAGATTAAGATTAGTTTAAGTAGGATTATTCAACATTCCCGTAAATTCAGGTTAGTGTTGTATATGCTGAGATGGTCAAGAAGCAGCAAAGGTACCAATAAAAGCACTAGTTTCAATACTTGCCCTCATCTACATGTACAGAAGCACTCACTATTTGTCGAAGTTGATTCTGTGGTGATGCATGCCACCAGCGTTTCCTCGACCTCCAGGATGCTTGCGGTGCTTGCCTGAAAGACATTTATGATACAATTACACACCAAGTACATAGGCCAGTGTCAACTTAAGTGTAGCCCTATTGTGTTCGTGCCTGCTCTATAGTTACAATCTGACACCCGTGGATCATTGTCATCATTTGCACATTCTAAAAATCACAATATTGATCCACTTAAAGAAAAGTCTGATTCCACATTATAAAACTGGGGTGCCCAATGCGAGCAGACATTGCTAGGAGTCACCACAGCACCTAATACTATCTGTCCCCTCCTATGAATAACTGCACATAAACCAGCGGGCAGAATTTTCATCTTTTGTACCAAAGTAACAGTGGGCGTGTACCGGGGGTGATGAAAATGGGGTAGATCAGCAAAATGCCATTTTGAAAATTGGCATTTAATTACTCTAACATGCATGACTATAACTTTGAGTAAAATAAGGGGAAAAACTCTGAAAAGACCATTTCGCAAATGAGGTCAGCTTTAACAAGGCTCCAGGTGGATTTAAACCAGTCTCAAAGTATCCAAACTTTCAAACCCAATTTTAAAGATTTAAAGACTGACCGACGCGACCGTGGCCATGGCTCACGTGTCCTCGCAGCTTCCTGGTCTTAGTTTTCTTGGTCGGCTGAAAAAGAAACAGATCACAATTATAAATGGCATGTGTACAGTTTAAAACATTTACATTAGGTTCCATTAAAGACAGTAATTATGTCCTTGCCCCAGTCCACAGGGAATAAAGGAGATGCACTGCAATGGTTACACACTTAAGTCTAAACCAACCAATAGGTCAAGACTTGCTAGGATGCTTTAAGGAGACATTTGCACAAAAATGCCAAGACTTCATAACGTCCTGTCAATGTTGAGATTTAAAATATATACAAGCTTTGATAAGAGTCATAAAACAAATCAGGCCCTTAGGTGAGCATCTGCGAATAGTCAGATTTAGAACAAGGCAATCCAAAATAAATTCACATCATCATCTTAAAAGACCATGCATAATCGAAATACAATCAAGATTTCTCCATTGACTCATTAGGGAATATATTAGTCTCTGCAGCTCTATGGCTAAAAACAAATGACACTGCAGTTTCGGAATTCATAATAAAACAAAAATGCCCAAACATCAGAGAGCCACAAAACTAAGCATCTAAACACGTCTCTCCTGAGCCATGCTGAAGCTACATCCACAGCTAATGCTAACGGAGGAAATACACCACTTTTACACATAAAATTTAAATTTTATTCACAGTAACAGAACAGACAAGAGGCTCGGGTTTATGGAACGGTCAGGAATAATGCTTTAAATGTATAAAACCGTTCTAAATAACGGGTTATCTTTGCATACGGGAGGCCACGGAAGCCGGGCGCAGACGGAACTTCTCAGGGTTTTAACACATTTTTAATCATAATTCAACAAAAATAAAAGAAAGAAGCTAAAGTGTGGACATGTGTAAAGCCTGGTCCATGGATAGATGTGTGATTAACCGCGGTTCAAAGGCGGATGGACAAGGATTCGGAGGTTTGTAAGGAGCGAGGAGCAAAAACAGCACCTACCATTTTGGACACAGACGAAAGAGGACGTGATCTGCAATCTCGCGGTTTTGTGCGAGATTTGGAGGAAGAAAGAAATGGAGAGCACCGCCACGAGGAGGAGGATTAGAACTGCACTGTGTGGACAAAAAAACTAAAAAAAAAAAAAATTTGACAAGAGGCTCGGTTTTATATATGTATATATATATATATATATATATATATATATATATATATATATATATATATATATATATATATATATATATATATATATATATATATATATATATATATAACATATATCAATGTTTTTTTCATTGACTTTATAAAAACTCGCCTAAGTCAGTCACACTATTACTACATTTTGAATAATGCTAATGAATCTACTTAAAATAATATATTTTATTTATGAATGAAATGAAATGAAAATTATTACTTTAATATCGTAAATAGTTAAATAATACAAAATAAAATTGTAAAAGAAATGCATATATATAAGTTAAATGCTTAATGTTACCTACAACAGGCACAGGAGTGTTTCACCAAATGACAAATTCCGTTTCTAAATGACACATTTAAACTTTTATATATTAATAACTAAGTTGAGGCTTTTGGGCACAAAAATATATATTATGTACTGTCTATGATACAGATGTGTTCTGAGATTTTTGTTAGTTTGTTAGATTTAGTTAGTTTGTTAGTTTTGTTAGTTAATAGTTGCAGTGATTAGACAGGCTGTGTAGGAGCTATTTGCTTATTTTGTTGATTCTAAAATTAGTTAATTATTTTTGTTTGTTAATTAGTTTACTTCAGTTTTGTTAATTTGCATAATATATTTTTGCTATATTCATGTTATTCTTGCTAATTTCTTAGTCTAAGATGGTATTATTTACATTAGCACCTTTTTTGTTTTTCATTTAATCTGGATCACCTAGGGGAAAAAGGAGGGTAGGACACATATACCAGTGTGCACCAGGGTGGGCCTATGGTTTTTTACCAGTTGAATGGCGAGGCAGCAGGAGTAGGCCTTTAACATGTATCCCTTGTTGCTTGCCAAAACTGGAAATAAATCTTGGAAACTCAGCTCTGGTCATGGACATTGATTTGTACTGCGTAAATCACATACCCATGGTGCCCAAAGGTGATTATTTGAGTTACGTTTAGTTCTGAGTTTGCTCACCGCTTTTGTTTGTTACTTTTATTTGACAAATAGTCACTACAGGCTGTAAAATGTCCAAAAAGAATAACCAAATGGGATTTTTATCAATAATAGGCCTACACTTTATTTGTAAATATGCTTTGATCCGCAATATCCACCACCTCCGCTGTTCCCTCACAGTCCCACTTGTTCACAGTTTATCTCAGTTTAGTGTCCATAAACTTCAGCTGGTTCAAAACTCAGCTGCCCTCATCATCATACCCATCTTACAACAGCTCCAATGGCTCATCACACACCGCATTCAATACCAACTACTATCTCAAGGAGCTGGATCACAGTTTGAGAAACACTGGGTTAGATTCACCTTCCATGGTGGTTGGTCTCTCTCCCTCTCATTCAGCGCAGGTCCTCTACCAGAGACCTGGGAGCCGGAGAGATCTGCGCAGTATCTTTGCTGTTCCCAGTACTGCACTTTTCTGGACTGAGATGTCTTGTTTTTCCTGGTATCTGCTGTAGCCACTCTTCCAGTTTGGGGGTTATGGCCACGTGTGCTCCAATGACCACAGGCACCACTGATGCCTTCACTTTCCAGACCTTCTCCAGCTCCTTCTTGAGCCCCTGGATTATTCATTATTTCAATTTTATGGATTATTTCAAACAGGAAATAAAATCTTATAGCAAGTACAAGTTTTATCAAGAAACTGTGCTCGAAGCCTCGCTTTGTACGGCACCATCTTGTGGCACAAAAGAAGAATTACGAATTAAGAAAAATTGAAATTCTTGGTTTATTGAAATTTCGTTTTTTCGTTGAATTACTATCACAAAGACGGTCACATGACGTACTCATGAAAAGTCACAATCAAGATAATAATAATTTAAAAAAAAACTAATTAAAGTTTATTTGTAGTTAAATAATAACCGTACAGAGCCTATGTGTTGTAGGTGTAGGCCGGTGTAATGCGTGCGCTCCTTGTCCTCTCCTCAGGTGTAAGCGACACCTGTCCTGCTCCACGTAAGTTACACCTGAGCGCGCGTTGCTTCACTGCGGCGGGATTTTCCACTGTTCCCTCAACAGTATGCGGAAGGAAGTTTAAGAAAAGTGAGGAAATAAATTATCTTATGTCTTTGCAAACAGGGAGAGAGCACGTGGAAAAGGTGGGACAGGTGAGGTCCTGAGGAACCCGGTCTGAGCAAATGGTCCCGTGGTTTGAGAGGAGGAGCTCAGATTTCCGAGGCGTTGTCAAAGCAGCGCGGCTTAAGGAAACTGGAGCGAACCGAACCGAGTCTAAACCAGACCAGACCCGGGTCTTATGACTGTGACCCTGGCAGGAGTGCGCCCGGGGGGTGAAACACCGGCACCGGGGCTGGAGCAGGTCTGTACTGGCTTCTGTCTCAGTTTGTCTCGTTCTATTTAGGTTTGACGGGGCACTGGAGGAGTTTATGAAGTTTTACAGGAGTTTCGCTGTTGATGATGCGGCAGGGTTAGCGGGGTCAGAGGGGGTCAGTGAGGGTTGAGGCTCGGGTCAGGTCCTCGGGGTGAAAGTGCCACAGGTCCGGGTTGAGTTTATCCGTTTGGTTTAGTTTAGTTTAACTTGGTTTAGTTTGGTTTAGCTTGCTTTAGTTTTGTTTAGTTTGGTTCGAATAGTTTAGCTTGTGATATTTGTGCGTGACGCGTAAAGACTGATAATCAGACGCCTCACGGCTCTAATCGGAGCTCTGTGTGTGTGCGTGTGTTTGTGTGCGTGTGATGTGCGTGTAGACCCACGGGACACAGATCTGCGGGTTTCACGAGGAGTATTTAGTTCCAAAGGTAAAGTTTATTTTTGTTTAACATTTTAGAGTCAGGCTGGATATAAACTAACCCAAACCCTGAAGCTTTTCTCTGTCTTAGGTCCTAATGCCCTGGGGGACTAAACCAGATCTAAATCAGGACTAACCCGGAGCTAAACCAGAGCTAAAAGAGGACTAAACTCAGACTAAACCAGAGCAAACCAGGACTAATCCAGGGCTAAAACAGGAATAAAACAGGATTAAACTAGTTCTAACCAGGACTAAACCAGGTCTAAACCAGGACAAAGGCAGGAATAAAACAGGATTAAACTAGTACTAAACCAGGACGAAACCAGTTAAACCAGGACTAAACCAGTTAAACCAGGACTAAACCAGGACTAAACCAGGGCTAAACCAGGACTAAACCAGGACTAAACCTGGACTGTAGATCCATCATGTCTGCCCCATGGTTCCCCTTTGAGTTCAGTGTCAGTCAGGTTCTGGTTCTAGTGCTGGTCTTGGTCCTGGTGTGGGCTTTGGACCTGATGAGTCCTGGTTCAGTTCCTGTGATCCACAACAGAGAGACCGAGCTGAACCAGTACCTCCTGGAGACCTGCCCCCTGCTGACCAAGCCGTGAGTACTATACTACCACTACTCCTATTACTACTGCTACTGCTGCTACTACTAGTGCTTCTAGTACTACTACTGCTACTGCTGCTATACTGCTACTACTTTTACTACTACTACTGCTACTAATACTACTACTGGTACTATTGCTGCTACTACTGCTGTGGGTGACTTACTTAGTCCTCTTCTTTAAGGCTGGTTTATAGTCCCACATCAGGCCCTGCTCAGCTGAGAACTGACGTCCTGTCACAGACTCGAACCAGAGGGGCTTCTGCGGCACTAATCAGGGTCCAGGTGCGTCATGAGAATCCAAACCATTTAATTTGCATAAATTGCATTGATTATTTGTAATTTGGGCTCATGCGCAGACATTTCTGTGCCAAACGTTAGCGTTTCACAGCTGTTTTTATTGTTTTTATTTATGTTCATATTTCATGGATAATCAGTGAATTACCAGCTCTTGGATTCTGCAAAAATTCAACGCGTAGTATCTTTTTGGCCTAGGTGCACATACACGGTACAGCAAACAAACCAAGTGTCCTGTTTGGCTTTCAGGTGTGTCAGGGAGCTGCGCAGCACATCTGCGTAGATTTGACACTGGACCATAAACCAGCCTTTATTCAGTCTATGGTTAATGTGTTGTTTTGGGCGAATATAGAATTTTCAAAAAAATAAAAAGGTAACTTCTATGTTACATGTTAACAGTTAATAGACAATAGAATTAATTTTATGCTCCAATTATTTTTTGTGTTCAACCTTTACTTTTATAGGCACCTCCCCTACCCCCTCTCCATCTCTGTTCCCCTCTCCACATCTCTCTCTCCTCCCTCTCACCTCTCTCTTGTCCTCAGGTATGTCCCTCCTTTGTGGGGACGCAGTGGTCATGTGCAGACTTGGCTCTATGCTCTGATTGGCCGGTTTGGAACCCCCAGTCCAAAGGGGGAGGAGCTTCTGATGCAAATGAGTGACGGCTCCACTGCGTCCTTCAAACTCTTCAGCCCAAGCACCTCCCACAGGTCCACAGGTATAGAACATCTCTGCTAGGTTCAGGTATGGCTCTGAAAAAGGTTGCGAAAAGGTGGAATATCATGTAGAATCTAAGCAGAATGTGGCCCTTACATAATTATGTAAAATGGGCAAGGCACAAACCTCAGGCGCACTGACTGTGATTATGTTAAAGTTCTGTAAGACATAAGGTGGATGCTGCTGGCTGGTCTTCGTCCGGGCATAAAATATCAAGTCATGTGGAATATTTGACAGCAGAACTCAATCAAACTCTCCCTCGCTCCCTCCTTTCTCCCTGTCTCTCTTTTTCTCTGAGGGTTTGAAGAGAACTGCAGGCAATGCTCTGTCTGAAGCTCTGTTACTCAAGTTAGACCGTAATCTGAGTTTCGTTTGAACACAATCTGATCATAAAGAACTGACTTAGCTAAACTACAACAAGTGAGATGATTTGTGTTCTTAAAAAAGTCCCTCTCAAATAACATTACAGTCACAAGCTAATAATAATAAGAATACATCAGTTTTATATAGCACTTTTCTGGACACTCAGATGCTTTACAGAGTATTATTCATTCACTCCATACACGGTGGTGGTAAGCTAATATTGTAGTATAGTTGCCCTGGGGCAGGCTGACAGAAGCGAGGCTGCAAGTCTGCGCCATTGCACCCTCTGACCACCACCATCACTCACGCACAAACCACTTTCATACTAGGCAGTGTGGGTGAAGCACCTTGCGAAAGGACACAACAACAGTTTTTACGACTGTCCAGTCAACAACAACACTTTTTGCGAGAGTCCAGCCATTTCCCATCCAAGTACTAATCAGGCCCGGCCTGTCTTAGCTTCTGAGATCTGACGAGATCAGGCTTTGACAAGCTAGCTAGCATTAGCCAACAGTTTTTCAGTTAGTCACTCTCACCTTCAACAGGGTGCTCTTACTGAAAATGGGCTGTTAAAATCCATTTAGTGTTTTTATTGATTTTTCAGACAAACCTTTTTGACAGTGTTTGCTAATATGTACATTGTGTAATATTCCCCCATAGACATCAGTGGTTATTTTATTACACTCTCAGGGTATAACCTGAGCTCTTCTCAAACTCACCTTCACTCAGTCTGCTTGTGCTTCCACAGGTGACCTGACGCTGGCACTGTGCCCGGGCTTCTGTAACCACAGTGGGCAGAGGTACGTCCGCACATTTGTGCATGAGGCTCTGGGACACGGGCTCCGCTGTGCCACGCTCAATCTGCTGGGGGCACCGCCTACTGTCCCGCTGACCGCGCCCCGGGTCTTCAGCTATGGTCAGTCCTGGTTTAGATTTGGCTTAGTTCTGATTTATTCCTGGAGCCCAGTCATAGACTCTATATAAATGGACATAGTTAACACACCAAAGAGGAAGTGTTCATGGGGGGGGGGGGGGGGGCGGGCGCTTCTGGCTCTTTCTGACCCTTCAATTGATTTACCTTGGAATATTGTTGCCCTTCTCTCTGTAACTGCTGATGTGAGCCTCGTCATTTTGGCCTTAGAATTTTCGTATAATATGGATTTTGCCCCTGTAACCTAGAGCCTGACTAGAGCTGAGCTCTATGGGTGATTTCACACTCCCATATACAGTCCGTATGAGTCCATTTCCATATTTGGGAATCCGACTATGAATATCATAGCAAATATACTATCCAACTAGCCTATCCAAGGCAAAGCTACTGAAGGTAACGGGCCCTGCTTAGCAATGTTTTGTTTGTTATTAATGTTCATGTTCATGTTAATGATCATATATATATATATATATATATATATATATATATATATATATATATATATATATATATATATATATATATATATAATATTTATATTTATCCCTGGTTCTGGTGTAATCCTTGTTTTGTCTTGGTTTTCTCCTGGTTTTGTCCTGGTTTAAACCTGGTTCATCCCTGGTTCATCCGTCATCTCTGCAGGCTGCACTCTGGAGTTTGCGGCCATGGTCCAGACCCTAAAGTCCCGGTTCCCTCAGACCCAGCTGGTCCTGGTTGGATTCAGTCTTGGGGGAAATATCGTGTGTAAATATCTGGGCGAAGACCAGGTTCATCAAGACCGGGTCTTGTGTGGACTCAGTGTGTGCCAAGGCTACAGTGCCTCCAGGTCAGGACCTGCCAAAGTCCTGGGTTAGACATGGTTCAGTTCTTGTGTAGTTTTGGTTTAGACCTGGTTTAGTCCTGAGATAGTCCTGCTTTAATCCTGCTTTAGACCTGGTTTAGTCCTGGGTTAGACCTGGTTTACTCCTGAATCAGTTCTGATTTATTCCTACTTTAGACCTTGTTTAGACCTGGTTTGGGTTTAGACCTGATTTGGTCCCGGTTTAGATGTGGTTTGGACCTGGTTTAGACCTGGTTTAGACCTGGTTTTCTCTTGTGTTCAGGGCACAAGAGTCTCTGAATTGCTGGACTCAGGGACGACGTTTCTATAACTTCTTCCTCACCTGCTCCTTCAGGAGGCTCCTTCTCCGGCACAGGTAACCCTGTCCCTATGTACTAACCACACACCCTCACAGGTAAACCTGTAAAGCCAGACCACAGCCTGACTATGGAATTTGACTAACTGAGTGTGATGACAGCATAGCTTGTACATACCTTTACACATACAGTATCTATTGCACTAGTGATTTGGCTCCATCTACTCCAATTCAAACTGTGGCCCCTCTTCCTGTAAAAGTTGTTGTCAGGCTTGTCATTCTGACCTTGTTAGTTTTAATCCCCTCTACATTATAGTGATGTTTTTATTTCCCAGTTTTGTCCATAAATCAAGATATGAATATTCACTCTGGCAATTTCTTTTCTCGAGGCTGCTGCCACTAGCCTTAACAACAGGTTTGATTGACAGCATTGCTAAGCGTCCGGTCCCTGCCAAACCAGCAGTGCAGGCAAGAAGGGGATCCATTCTATACCCTCACTCCATATTGGCTCTTTGGTTGCTATGATACTCTGACTCGGATATCCAAATATGGAACTGGGCTCCAGATGAGCCTCTGTAACTACTAGCCTCGATGAGTTTCATTTGGAGCTGAGCGCTGTGGGTGGGGTCAGATACACTTAGTCCACTTCTTTATACAGTTCAGTCAGAATCTGTTTACTCACATGTGAACAATATTATCTTTAAGTGTCATATGTGCACATAGGTTCAGGCCTATATGTATACAGAATGTGTGTGTGTTTCACTTGTGTGTTTCAGACAAACTCTGTTTAGTCGAGACCAGGACCTGAGTCCTCTGTTCAAAGCCACAGCCCTGAGGGACATCGATGAGCAGTACATTAGGTCAGAAACTACTACTGCTACTACTCTATACTATATACTACTACTACAGAGGGTACTGACACTACTACTATATTACTGATGATATTGTTACTTCTATTACTACTACTGTAGTAGTAGTAGTAGAAGTACTGTACTACTATACTACTGATACTACTTGTTGCTGTCACAGTAGATATTACTAGTTTTGTGAGTGTTTTTTTTTTTTTTTTTTGATGATTGGTAGAAATGAATAGATGATATTGTGCTGCTCACCTCTGGCCTCCAGTGTGGGAGGTTGGATATTGCATGTGCACGCGCCCTGTGCATGTGGTTCAGATAAATAAGAGTGGAAAAGCATGGACAGCACAGACAGCACAGCCAAAGACAGAGAAATGCATAGAAAATGTACAGACTGACAACTCCTAAATGTTAAGGGTCAGAAGGCGCACGTGGTTTGTTAATTTGTATTTTGTCTTATTGCATATGTCCTTTAAGTTTTTCACGGTGGACGTTAGCATCAATAAGAAGAGTAAAAGCTAATTGAGCATCATTGAAGCGTGGCTTAATCTGTACCTAGACGAAAAACTTTGGGAGCAGTCATACTACTATTGATACTACTGACATAGTTCTTTTGTGGCAGGAGGTTCCAGGGATACAGTAGTTTAAAGGAGTACTATGAGACTGAAAGCTGTGAGCACTACCTAAACAATGTGAGTTCTACTAGTTCTAGTACTACTACTGTACTACTGCTAATAATACCACTGCTGCTACTACTACTACTACTGCTGCTGCTACTACTACTACCACTACTACTACTATTACTACTGTTACTATTGTTACTACTGTTACTACTACTACTACTGATGTTACTTTTGCTTCAGATCTCGGTTCCTCTACTACTTGTGAACGCCTCTGATGACCCTCTGGTCCCTCCCCCTCTGCTGCAGGTCCCCAGAACACTTGCAGGTACTGGTCCTGGTTCAGTCCTGTTTTAGTTCTCCTTTAGTCCTGTTTTTTTGGACTGCCCTATCAAAAGTTAGGTTTGTCCTGGTTTAGATCTGTTTTACACCTGTTATAGTTCTGGTTCAGTACTGCAGTCCTGTTGTTTCTGTTCAGAGTCGAACCCATACGTGACCTTCTTGCTCTCATCTTGTGGCGGACATCTTGGATTCTTTGAGGGTTGGGTTCTTCCTCAGTCCGGTTCTTGGATCGACAAAGTCCTACTCCAGTACATCCAGGCAGTCTACAGGAAGTCAGAGGTCATATTCAGAGGTCACGGTTCATGCAGAGGTCAGAGGTCATGTGACACACAGAAGGGTCATGTTACACATCCCCAGGTCATCTGACTGACCCGAGAGTGGACTTTACACGTCTTCTTTCTCAGGGACATTGAAATAATTCTCATTTAAATAATTCTTTATGTCATTAAAATGTAAACCCTGTGCTCTTCTCTCTTTGAGTCTTTTACATTTTACTTTTTACATTGTGCATTTTATTATTGTGTAAAATGTGCAAAATGTTACAGTGAAATGTTTCCAAATTATGTTAGAAAAGCAGAATAAGAATATAGTGCTTTTATTGTGACAGGGTAAAGGAAACGCTTTTATTGTGACAGGGCCATGCATTTATCTCATTTACAGATCTCATACTGTGTATGAGTCTGATAATAACATGATGTTCCCTGTAACATGTAAACACATCACTTAAAACCTTAAAGCCTTAAAGCTGAATGAACTTAATGAACCAGGTCCTTGACTTTAGAGTCCTGTTTTTTTTTACATGAGTTTATTATGAATGACTGTGTTTGAGCCACTGCCCCAAATTTGAATAAATCATATTTCTTATACTGAAATCTCTGCCTTTGGTTTAAACTACATCTCCCATGATCCCACGGGGCACAGAGACCTCTAACAGGCACCCTCCAGGGCAGGTCCTGACCAGGACTGGCTCAGGTTTGACCAGGTTTAACTCCAGAATGACACACTTTGGGCATTTGCAGATTTATTTTTCTTAAAAACTAGACAAACTTTGGTGAAACTAAACCAGTTCTTCTGGAGTTAGACATTTTGCATTTTTCAAGACTTACATTTTGTTTTATAAATATATTTCTTGTCTGAACATGCAGCATTTTATGCAGCTTATTTTAACCTCAGTCACAAAAATTACTCTGAAATTCTCCCCTGTGTCTCTGACGTGCAATAAATACATGCATACAAAAGAATCACATCAGAAGTCTGTTTATCAAAATAGCTTCTTGCATCATTCCTCATCTTCCGGCATCCTTGGCTGTCTCCTTGCCTCCTTGTCTCCTTGGCTGTCTCCTTACTTCCTTAGGCCCTTGTCTCAGTACAGAATGGTGGAGAGTTTTTCAGACCTCTTGTTGTAGAAACATGCTACAGATGTGGACGAAATTATTTTCAAACTTTATCACAATTAAATATTTGACAGTTTAGATTTTTTGGCTGAATCCTCTGTATCCTGAGTCTCTGAGAACTCTCCGTAAAGAAAAATGATTCAAGTATCAAAATCTTCTGGAAGCACTGATGGCTGTGGCTCTTAAGGTCCTCATCTTCTCTCTCCTCATCTTCTTGCTTCCTACTCTCTGCGTCCTCTGTGTCTTCTCTTTCTGCGCCTAACATTTGTTTGTGGAACTCTCTCACCCTTTTCTACTCTCTCTTCCTCCTGTTTTATACCATGTCCATCTCTCTCTTTCTCTCTCTCCTCCTCCTCTCCTGTTCTTTGTAGACACTGTGGACCTCTTCGTCTCTTTGATGTTAGATGTTCCTCCTCTTCTCTGTTCTTTCTATCCTCTCTCTCTTCCTTCTTCTCTCCTGTTCTCTCTTGAATTAGATGTTGCGCCTCTGGGCTTTGTAGACTCCCTCTCTCTCTCCTCTCTTCTCTCTCTCCCTCTCCTCTCTGTCCTTCAGAATCCCTCCATCCCTTCTTCTCTTTCTCTTCCTCCTCTCTCTGTATCATTTTCTCTTTTTCATGCTGGTCATTCTTTCGCTCCTCCAGGCTCAGATGCACAGTGTCTCCTCTCTCCTCCAATCCTCCTGTTCCCTCCCTCTCCTCCTCCTCTTCTCTGCCACACTCGCTTTCCCTCTCCTCTGTGGGCAGGACTAAAGCATTGTCGATTTCCCACTTCTCATGTTTGATTGGTCGGTTCTGTAGGTGCGTTTGTTTCTCTTCTGTGGGCTGTCCTGGTTCCTGGCACTCGTCTGTGATTGGCCCATCCTTGTCTCTGATTGGACCGTCCTCATCTCTGATTGGACCGTCCTCATCTCTGATTGGACCGTCCTCATCTCTGATTGGACCGTCCTCATCTCTAATTGGACCGTCCTCAGCTCTAATTGGACCACCCTCGTCTCCGATTGGACTGTCCTCATCTCCGATTGGACCGTCCGAGGCTATGATTGGACCCTCTGCGTCTCTGATTGGCCAGTCCTCGTCTCTGATTGGACCATCCTCGTCTCTGATTGGCCAGTCCGAGGCTATGATTGGACCATCTGCATCTCTGATTGGCCAGTCCTCATCTCTGATTGGCCGGTCCTCATCTCCATTTAGCTGTTGCTCATCTCTGATTGGCCCATCGTTGTCTCTCATTGGTCGATCCTCGTGGTCTGTTTGTTCTTCGTGGGTTTGACAGTGACAGTCGCAGCGGTTCCAGAACGGCTCAAAGTCGTCGCACAAATCTGAGGAAACAAAAATGAGAAGATTCATGTTATTATTGTGAAAGCAGATGCATATTCCACTTGTGTTTATGCTATAGTTATAATCTATGACACATAGGATCATTCTGTTATAATTTGGACATTTTAAATAGACTTCCGCATTAAAAAACTGTGGTGCCCAATGGGAGCTGACACCACATAAACATCATCACAACAAACTCTCATCCCTCTCCTGTAGCTGCTTGGGCTCTTTCTCTGTCTCTCTCTCCTCTCTCATTCTCTCCCTGACACTCTCCTTTATCTCTCTCTCCTTGTGAGATGAGTGGAGTAAAATCTTGGATCATTCAGTTGTTCTCTCTCTCTCTCTTTCTCTGCTGTATCTCTTACCTGTCTCATCCCACTCCTCCCTCTCCTCTTGTGGGGTGAATGCAGTAAAATCTTGGACCATCTGGTTGTTCTTCATCACCTGGGTGATGGCTGTGAGCTGCTGGAGGAGGCTCTGCTCCTGATCCAAGCTCACACACGGAGGACTGAGAAGGATAAGAATGTATTTATAAAACAGTTCAAACCACACAGATCAGTGACAGTATGAGTCAGGAATATGAAATACACAAATTGGAGGTAAATATTGTAGGCCTAATAAGAGCTGATTCAGAGAACAGTACTGAACAGCTGCCAAGGTCCTAAACACATGTATGAGCTGTAGTAGTAGTAGTAGTAGCAGCACTAGTAGACAGACATGACTCACTTGTCTTGGTGAAGGCCCGAGGAGTTGACCAGTGTCTCCATCACAAACTCTGTCTCCATCAGACGCTCCTGAAGCTGTGACAGCTCAAAGTCCGCTGAGAAGAGAGAGAATAGAGATGTTAGAGATGATAAAGAGATGTTAGAGAGAAAAGGAGAGAGGAAAGAGATATTATAGAGAAGCCAGAACAGCGTTAGGAAGAAAAGGTTAAACATAATTATAAAACTGGGCAACTTTAAACTTTTAGTGCAGATGTTTACACAGTGTAAATAGGGATGGGTGATATCGGTTCCAGCCAATATCCATATTCAATACAATATTCGACACCAGTATTTTTTGTGCTTCTACATTCTCTGTGTACCCTTTTTGAACAGATTAATGAATCAAACTGGAAATAGAACAGAAGGGTGTTTTACAAGTGAAATATTAATTTGTGATCGTTATTTTAACTTAAGATACATTTGTGGGCCTCACTGTGGATTTAAAAAACTAAATATAGGCATCTGCAAATATCGGTTATTATTTACAGCAGCAAATATCAGACATCGGCTTAAAAAATCCATATGGCCCCATCCCTAGTGTTACATTTTCCTCAGATAAACTCACTGATTTTCCTCTTGTTGTTCTCAGACCTCAAAGACTGGAAGCGACTCTGGGCCGGTTTACTGCCCCCTTTGGACGTGATCTGGAACAACATATGAACATGAGTGTAACCATAACTATAATGCAGATCAAACTAAATATGGAATTTTAATCATCTGATAATGAGACGTGATATTTGAGGATAATATTTGCTGATGACCAAAATTGTTAATACATTTTTTTTTCTCCCCGGACAATATAGCATTTCCAAAACAATAAAAGGTAATGTAATCGTAGTAGTAAAAGGTGATCTAAATATGTTATGTGTTAGCAGTTAATATCCCACAGAAGTAAAATCCATCCTCAAGATGGCCCCTGGGGGTACAGTTTGGGAACCACTGATAACATAATTACACAGATATGACCTTAAATAGTATATAGAGGATGTAGAGCAGGATCCCGAAGCCGTACACTGGGATGATCTGCGCCGCCAAATTGGATTTCCCTCCAGGGCCACTTCCTGTCCCCGCCCCTCCGCTTCCTGTGCCCACTCCTCCACTTCCTGCTCCTCTGACCTCTGCATGACCCCTGACCCCAGCTGACCTCTGCCCCCCAGGGTTAGGGGTCACATGGCGGTGCATCATGGGTGGGAACCGGCCTGGACCTGCAGCACATGGAGAGGACATGTTTAAAATAATACTTCATACATACTACATACTTGTATACAGTTAGTGAGGTGCAACACGTCAGCAAACAGTGGTGGAAATTAACTTTTTGGTTGATTGTTTTGGTTGAAATCACAATTTTACTTCTATTGATACTACTACTACTACATTTGAACTGATACTACTGATAAACTGTTTTTGAAGTACCATAATTTCCTCCACAAACAACAAAATTTCCTGTCTTATTCTGCATAAAACCTGATAACACTGTTTAGATCTGTACAAACAAGCAAAACATACAAACATGTTCTGAAATGTGAACCTTGTTTTCGTTTGTCAATGCAGATTTCAGTCATTTTGTAAATTCTTCTGGACGTATTTCAAATGTGAACACTGAACAAAATCCTACACTTGATCCCGAAGCAGGAGTGTGTTAGCTTTATCGTGAAAATATACGCCTGGTCTTTGAAAGTTGTGACCTGTGTGCTTATAAACTCATCATGGTAAATAATTAGGATGCTCAGAATGCATAAGGAAAGTGAGGGATAACTATGGCAAACCATTTCAAATGAACTTGTTGGTTTTAACCTTTTTAAGAGTAAAAATCAGGTAGAGAGGCTTTAGCTCCTTGGCTTACCGTTTGGTCTGACCCTCCACTAAATGAACTGAACCATGTTTCGGAACGTGTTCCACGAATTTATTTACAAATATGTTTTCTTTGGCTTTATTTTATTCTCATTTCTTCCTCTAATGATTTTTAGAGCAGCTATTATATTTCGAAGTCTTTTAATCTTTAACATCATCAGGACCGCACTGAGAAGACACTTGCGCCCCCTGAAGGGAGGAGAGGGCATTGCACTGACGCTACGTCACAAAAAAAACACACACAAAAAAACAACCAGAACTACACCAGGTCTAAAGCAGGTCTAAACCCGGGTATATCGGCTCTCCTTTGCAGAACTCTATAATCTCGGTCTAAACCAGGTCTAACCCAAATCAGGACTAAACCCGGTCTAAACCAGGTCTAAAAGTGGTTTAGACCAGGACTAACAATGATCAGTGGCCCGTACCTTGTTCCTCCGAGGGCTCTCTCCGCAGCAGCATCTTTGGCAGGATCAGAGCCGCACACAACGCCACCACCGCAGCCACGGTGAGCTTCTGGAACCCGCTGACCGCCATGGTGCTCCAAGACCGGGAAGAGACACCGAGGAGTCCGGGAAACAGGGAGCATCAGCGGAGAGACGCTCACGACGCACAAGAGACGCATGTGGACGCAGGGAGGGAGCAGGTGCAGGAGGAGAGGGGAGTGCGCATGCGTTACACTGGAGCCGGAGAGGGACACCATTGCGCATGTGCACACTTAGAAACCCAACACCATGGATCTTATTATATTTCCATGCCCAACACTGACTGAAATATTGAAGAGTTGTTTGGTTCAGTTCTTATTAAACAGATGAAAAACATGGAACCCCAGGAATTCATACTCTGTTACGCAGAGGTTAAATAAGTGAAAGTTAAAGTGAGTTACCTCAATTAAACACTATTGGCCTAATAATAATATGTATTTATTTATAACATTTGCATTTGTGTTACAAATGAGCTTTTAAAATGCAATCAAACTTTTAATTAAAACCAGTTAACAACAATACAATACAAAACTTTGCAACAGCTATTTAATTTAATTTTCTTCTCCCTCTTCTTCTCCATCGACGCTGTCCAAACCCACCTCTTCATAATCCTTCTCCAGAGCAGCCATGTCCTCTCTGGCCTCGGAGAACTCTCCCTCCTCCATGCCCTCGCCCACGTACCAGTGCACGAAGGCCCTCTTGGCGTACATCAGGTCAAACTTGTGGTCCAGTCGAGCCCAGGCCTCAGCGATGGCTGTGGTGTTGCTCAACATGCAAACACATTTCAAACTGTAAACAAACACACTTCAAACTGTAAACAAACACACTTCAAACTGTAAACAAACACACTTCAAACTGTAAACAAACACACTTCAAACTGTAAACACACACACTGCAAACTGTAAACAAACACACTGCAAACTGTAAAAACACTTTTTTCTATTGTCCTTGTTCTTTGTGCCAATCATTATAACAGTCCCTAAACATTTCTTCTTCCCACTGGACACCGTAACATATGTGCCGCTTTGTACACTGTGCACAAGGCCTCACACTTGTCCCGAACGCAACGGAAAGCGTGGAATTTCTTCTACAAATCATCGTTAAATACGCATTTGTGCTTCGATACGTTGCTGACTGTGTGTCTGCTCGCGCTTTCTGAGTGCAGAGAGACACATGTACGGACCTGTTTGGTCACACTACGCACAGCAACCTACATTCGGTTTGTCGATTAAAATGAACGTAATCGATGAAATTCTTAATGATCAATTATCGATTAATCGACTAACCACGCCCATCCCTAGTTGTGAATAAAGTTAAATAATTGGTTGTGTGTAATGGAAGGTTTTTGATAATCCACCAAAATATGGCAAATTTGGCGGGAAATGTGTGTGTGTTCTGTGTAGTAAAGTCTGTCTGCGCCATTACGCGTCACGTTAGGTTCAGCAGACCGGTTTGAGCCTGTAGCTCTCCTCTCCCCTCCCCAAACAGAGGCACAGCAAATCCGTACCACACCACCAGGGAGGGGAGAAGAATCTGTGTATCATTCGTTCATTCGTTTTTCAATATAAAACCAAAAATAAGAAAACGAAAAAACAACAGTTTTCTTCGTTATTTGTCTCCAAAACCAAAATGAAAAAACGGATAATGATTCATTTTTTCAGTTTGCGATTTTGTGTTTAAATGAAGAATGGAAAAAACGGATAACGGCCGTTTCCCGTTTATGTGACTTCTGTGACTGCGATGCTGGACTTTTGCACCGCATACGGACTGAATCAGGACTGAGCGCACGGGAGTGCACGGGAGCGCACGGGAGCGCACGGGAGGCGGGCGTACGGGAGCGCTCGTGAGGCGGGCGCACTGGAGGCGGACGCGCACGGGAGGCGGCCGCGCACGGGAGGCGGCCGCGCACGGGAAGCGGGCGCGCACGGATGGCGGTCGCGTACGGGAGGTCGGTGCACGGGAAGAGGCGCTGCGCTGGAGGCAGGCGTACGGGAGGCGGCCGCGCACGAGCGCGTATAGCAGTAGGACTCTTATCTCTGCCACGATTAGACAGCGAGCGGAGAATCATTCTAGAATTTGTAGGCCATTGATTCTGACTGACTATAAGAAGTTACCATGGTTACCACTGACACGGAACTCTCAAAACATCGAATAACTTGACGCTTTTAAAGTGGCTTGTGCAGTGTTTGTAAAAGTAGCCTATTTCTCATGATATTGTTTTGTCAGTAAATTCTATTAGTGGTGATTTAAAAACAAAACTAAACAACTAAACATGATTTTTTTTTCTCCCCCGTTATCGTCATTTTCGACACTACACTTCCCATAGTTCATTGGTTTGGTAAGGCGCCAGGTTCATCGATTGTAATTTATATTTACATTTTTATTAATTAATCTTACCCATCGCTTTTATTACTCCCTTGTGTAAAATATCCGTCCGTGGAATATTACAAATTTTATACATAAAATATATTCATAATGCCGCGCAAATGACGTCAGCGTCCACGACTATCCTATCCCAGTTCCCGCCATCTCCCACCAGCATTTGCTGTTTTCCGTTTGTGGAAGTCCGTGGAGCTATTAAAATAAGTAAGTAAGTCTTATACATGCTAATAACCACATAATAAACATTTGTGTAATTTAATGCTAGATAATATAGCACAACTTATCATAAAGCAACATAAAAAAAAAAAAAAAAAAAAAGTAAACAATACAGCCGTGGCACAATTCGATACTGTATGACTGTAAATCCACGCTATGGTGTTATAATCATTTTTAAGTTTAGCATTTTAAAATGTTCATTTTCATTGGCTTAGTATTAGGTAAACATTCTGTACACGATCCCTATCTCTATTTGCTCTAAATTGCTACACTTGTCAAAATACTACTTTTTTGATGAACACCTGTTATATACACTGTGTTTTTTTTTGTTTGTTTGTTTGTTGTTTTTTTTAGTTAAAATGACAAGGCCAAAAGTGAAGGCTTGCCCCTCATGTGGGGAGGCGAACCCTTTGGCTCGAAAAACCTGTGGGGCCTGCCTTGTCTTGCTTCCACAAGGTGGAAAGGTCCACCTGCAGAAAGAAAAAATAAAGCAGTCTGGATGGGCCACAGGAGTAAAAAAAAATAGGAATATTGGCAGAATTGTCAAGTCTGCCCAACTGTCTGTAAGTTCATTTTGTCTGTTTTTGCTCGTCACATCACTGATAAATATGAATAAAACAACTAATTTGTTAGTAATCTTTATTAACTTGCTATAATCTTTTTTTTTTTTGCAGACATTTAAGCTGCATGAACTTGGGCAAAACCCAATTTTGTTCATTGGGCAGCCTAAGAGGAAGGGGTTCTTGGCAGACATGTTCCACCATTTCAACCTCGACCCAATAGCGGAAGAGATAATAAAAAAAATGATTAAACTTTATGAGCACCTGCTTAAAAGTAAGATTTGTGTTTTATAATTGTAGAAATTTTAGCATTACATAAGGGTGTATAGAAAAAACAGACCTACCAAAAACTACACAAAGATACAACCATCATACCACACAATAGCCCCAATCATAACAGCATCATTCCAGAGTCTGAAGAAAGAAAGATCTTTGTCCAAAGGGGCTTTTGTAGGCAGAGCTGCTACTTTGAGCTCAAGCTGGTGTTCAGTCTGGTGCTGAGTGCTGCATTAGTGCCAGGAACAGACACTTTGCTTTTATCTGATTATAAAACCCAATGGAGATCATTGGACATATTTTTTGCTTTAATAGAACACTTATGAAAACAATATGCATTGTACCTGTGTGTGTTTGAGTTTGTAATTGTATTCCAATTTTTCTCATTCTGGTTTTGCCATCCACTGCTCCACCGTCCACTTCCTCCAGCCTGCACTCCTTCATCTCCACCCTCTTTCTCCAGCCAGAAAACTCAAAAACAGGCAAAAAAGAGACCTCATGTGAAAGGTTAGTTGTTGAACAGTTTTTGTTTTTATATGGGTACAGTGCTCATTATTACCTTTATCTATTTTTGTAGAATGTAAAAGACACAAATATCAAAAGGTGTTTCGCTATGAAAAAGTAGTGGACAAAAGAGTTTCAAATGTAAGTATATGACAGTTTTGCAGACCAGTTGAGCAGTATGTTGAAGGTTTCTCTGCAGTGCCTTTACATATATTTTATTACACTGTAAAACATTCAAAATCTTACTGAGTCTTACTTTGCCTGGAGGAGAATCTCCTGCTTTTTTTCCATGGAAATGTTGTTTCTTTGACTGTAATATTATTAACTTTCTATTTCCATGGATTCCAGAAAATTACGTGTTGTTGCTTTAAATAACTCTAGACTTAGCTAAGACATCTGTCTGCCTCCCCTCACAACTGAGAGGCTGCACTATATATCACACTCTTTCAACTTTTATATCATCCCCATTTATATCAGGATATATCTCCAGTAACATTATAAGGCCAGGTTTATGATGTGTATTATGAAGCAAGATTATGCTATTTTTCTTCATGGTTTAAAATGCATTCAGTATTATTATAATGCAATTTTTTTTAGGGAAAAGCAGAAGTCAAAATCCGATGGTCACCATGTCCTGAGTGGTAAGTGATGTGCTATCAAATAATTGTAACTTAATTAGAACTTAGTTAAAAAAAATTTTTTTAAAAAAGCTGATTTTTTTTTTTTTTTTGTCTTATACTGTTTGCAGTGGTAAGGTGTGGGATGACACCTGGGAACCAGCAGCACAGTATTTGTTGTAATTGTAAAATAGTAGTAGTAGTAGTAGTAGTAGTAGTCGTCGTGGTTGTTGTCATCATTCTAGTAGTAGTTGCAGTTCGTTTAACAATTAAAAAAAACATTTTCTCTGTATTGTTGTTGTTGTTTTTTGCGGATATACAGTCAAATCAGTCATGCTTACCATATACAGTTTTAGACCTGTTTTATTCTTTGTAGTCTGACATTTTTTCAAAATCCTTGTTTAGGTTTAGAGAAGTTATAGATATTCCACTCCAGCGTATAACTGCTCACACCCCTCAGACAAAAGATTGAAGAGGCTCCCATCCTAGACAACAACACTGCAGTTAAGCAAGAACATTTCATATAGTACCTATATTTCAAGTTATCAAATCTTAACTTGACTACAACCTATTGCTGTTCTGTAGAAGACCGTTACTGATCAACAGTATTTAATGGAGGTGGCAGGGGCAGTAATTGTTAGTGTGTTAACATTAGTGGGCATAGAGCAAGTCTGTATGTTATATTTTGCGAGTCAGATTTTCACCTCTCAGGGGCAGTGAACTACTATGGTCCTGTCAACAGGCTAATCCTCTGAATAAGGTAAAACTTACACAGATGTTTTGCGTATTTGCTTTACTCTAAGAGCTATTTTTAAAAAATGCTTTTCACAGGTCCAAAAAAAAATGAATCCACTGATGAAACTCTGATGATCCTTCATTCAGAGAACCCACCAGGAGACCCTGATGTTATAGCCTCTTCTGTACACTGTGTCTGGCTTGTGGTGTCCTCTCGACATGATGATAAAGAAAGAGAAGTTGACAGACCTGTGCTAAATGTAAGTATGTTGCTTTAGAAATTACACTTTTATTAATTATGTTTTGCAGCAACAGCATGAATGTACTTAGTAATACTACAGTCAGATTTTAACGTAACATTTCTCACCAAAAATAAGCACACTTCCCTATGCAATGCCAGTAATACAGTATGTCTATTCCCAATCATTGTCAAGTATGACGATGACAGACAAATCTAGACAAAGTAATGAATTTGGCTTGGCCATTACATTAATCTTACCGTAACCAGTCATCAGCTTTAAAATATGTTGTTTGAGTCTTCATCTGTACTCAAGATGGAATGATGGCAAGTTAAGCCGCTGTAACATCCCTTGGTACAACAATCTGAAGTTGCCTGCTCAAGGCTGTCATTTGCTTGTGAGATATCAAGGCATATTTGTGTTCCTTGCTGTTTTATTTCATTACACACCCATGTATCCATATTTTTAGCCTTTTTCTGAACTATTGAAATGGTTGACCACTGCCAGTGACGTGCAATACAACATGTTTTAGCATAACTGTTTCACTATGGTCAGATTAAACCCAGGGATCACTTATTTCTAAACAGAGCACTCAGGATGAATGCAAGAGCATAGTATCTGCTTGATGTCAGGCATAAATGGGCAGCAGGTATCTTGACCTTTTTAAAAAAATGTATGTTTGCTATCTGTATTATATTTATATTTGTCCAGATGCGACTGTCTAATTGTATTTATTTATTTTGACATACAGACAAAGAACAGACAAACCAGGGTCAGTAAGCAAAAAGAATGAATGAACTCCGTGGTAGACTGCTGTATATTTGGTGATGCTTTCTTGGGAAGCACAATGAGAAGGTAAGCAGTGTGTGTACTCAGAGATAGAACAGCTATGGAATATAATGATAATTTGTGCATCTCTTTTCATAAACATGGCCTGCTTAAAAGACACCGGAGGTGAGGTCAGACTGTCAGACCCTTATTTGTCCAACAATGGGTAAATCACAGTGCTGCAAGCAAGATAAGCATGGGAATGAGAAGCATCATGTAATTACAATCAATATAAATGACTATTAAAATAGACAAATGTAGGTCAACCCTCAGTCTAAGTTATTGTGACTTTTTTCAATGGTGCTGCAACATAGCAGAGAAAATATTTGTCATTAACAGTGTGAATATTTATTTATAACAACCAACTGTATTCTCTTTTTAGTAATGCGCCACCCAAGATGTTCTATCCAAATGTAGGACAGAGGAGATCAGATTTCAGCAATTTGCCAACCTTGAGTTCTTTAAGAAATCCCAAGTGCTCAACAGAGGCAATGTCTCAAGTGACTGCTCTCTGTGGTGCTGTGCACCGTTACATGTACATGTGAACCGAAGTTCCTCTATTTATTTTCTGCCTTTATTCTATGGTGTCACATGTCAGCAGCTATCTTGTGACTGAAGAAACATCTTCAGATTTTGAGAGGGATTTTCAAGGCGGAAAGATTCATCAAATGATTCAGCAAGACATCTTCATCCACACCAAAGGTGAAGAGGACGCATTGCATTATAATGCTTGCATAATTTACATTTATGACATTGCTCCTGTCTCTGTTTGTCATTGCAGTTTGAGGCTGTATTCGGCAATGAAGGCTTCAACTGATGTGAATGTGCTACCTGCTCCCGTCTAAACAGGTGATCAGTGTGGTACAGTGTACCAGCTAATGTTTTGTTTGTTACGAAGAACATTAAACATCCTTAATCAAATATTGCTCTTGCTATTTTTTTTTGTGTGAAAAAAAATATATAATTATAATAATTTATATGTATTAATTAAGTAATAAAAACATTTATTCCCAAAAACAAACATTTAATCAGCGGCCAAATCTGCACTGTACATAGCAATAACAAAATAATAAATAGCATTGAGATTAATAAATTAATAAATTTCACTACCTAATATATAATTTAGTTCAGTTTAGGCATATTAACTGTATACCGAAAAACTGAAAATTTTGACCATTGGCATTGGCCCAGTATGTTACTACTTTCATGTTTGCATACATTTTTCACTGTACTAACACAATGCTCTGTCTTTTTCCCTTAACAGACTACGCTGAGGACTTCTGGTTATTCCCCCCACCAAAAGAAAGTGTGGCAGGTGTTTGCTAAGAGGTTATTTAAAATATATTGCAATCTATGATGTGATTGCATTTTTTATTTTATAGAGCAACCAGTCAGGGCAAAAAAAATGAATGGGTTTTCTGTTCAGAGACAACACCCTTGGGATCACTGTGGCAAGAACTGTATAAGTGCAATAAAGGATCATCTCTGAAGAAATTATATCTGAAAAGGTGAAGGAGTGAACAGGAAAAATAAAGAGGCTGTCTGACTAATCACCAGGCCCACGTCTACAGGGGTACAAAAGGATGCTGAGCAATCTCATTTAAAAGTGTTTGTATGTAAAATAATGACAGATAAAATGGAAGAGTATTGTTTGCACCCCTTTGAAACTCGGATGCACCCTGAGTCAGTTAGGTCCCACACCTGAACCAAACACCACATCACACAGGTTCTACAACAACCCCACGGGCTCTCCATCTGACTGAAACCTCCTCATTCACACAGTTTAGACAAAGCACCTTCGCCATTGCTCCTCCTACTCTCTCCCCCTCCATTTTAGAAATTTGGACACACTTATCACCTTTAAAAGACTGCCCCCACCTCCTCGACACTGCCTTTGATGCACACTTCTCTTTGAAAGGAATATTCTGACTTTGTTTAAAGTTGTCAACTAGTAAACAAATAATTGGAGGCAACAATAGTAGCCTACATCAGATGCTATGAAGTAGTAATAGCTTATAGGGCTACAACTGCTATTTAGCCAGTGGCATTTAAATTGTGTAGGCGTATGTACAAACTGTTTACATTAGTGATTACATGTGATTCATTGTTGAGTTCTTTTTGTGGTTAAGCAAAACAACAAGCTTGGCTAATAAAGTTACTTTTAATGGATTGAATTATTGTTTCCATTATTTAATGCACCATAATCATTTTCTTCTCAGTGGAGCAAAATACACTATGC